TATAATAAATTTAAATTTTAAATTTTAATATATTTTTATTAATAAAAATATAAATTAAAAATAAATATAAATATTAATAATAAAAAATTAAAAAAAATTGTTTAAATTTATAAAATATTATTTAAATTATTAAATAAAATAAAAAATAAATTAATTTTTTAATATTAAAGATTATATTACTTTAATATAAAAAAAATAAAATAAATTATTAATAAATTTATAAATATAAATATTAATAAAGAAATTATTAAAAAAAAATTTTATTTTATATATAATTAAATAAAAATTATAAAAATATTTTTTAAAAAATTTTAAAAATAAATAAATTATATTAATAAAATTATATAATATAATCTTAATATTTTATAATTTATTTTAATTAAAAATAATAAATATTTTATAATAATTATAAATAATAAAAATATATAATAATAATTTATAGTGTATAAAATAAAAAATAAAATTATTAAAATTTTTATAAAATATTTTATTTAATTATATAAAATATTTTAAATTTTATTTAATTTATTTAATAGTTTTAAAAAATAAGTTAAAATTTTTTAAATTAATAATAAATAAAAATTTAGAATAAATTATTTAAAAATTTTTTATTGAAAAAAAAAAATTAAATTAATTTAATTTTTATTTTATAATTAATATTAAAATAAAATAATAAAAAGAAATATATATTTTTTATAAAATAAAATTAAAATTATATATATTATAATAAAAATATTTATTTATTTTTAAAATTATATATTATTAATAATTATATATATTATTAATAAAATTAAAATATTAAATTAAAAAAATATTATATTTATAAAAAGATATAAATTATATTTAAAATTTAAAAAAAATTATAAATTTTATAATGTTTATTTTTAAATTTTTAAAAATTATTATATTATATTAATTAATTTAAATTATTAAATTATAATAATTAAAAAATTTAATAAAAAAAATATAAAGATTATATTTTTAAATTATTAAAAAAAATATAATTTTATAATATAAATATTTAAAAAAAAAAAGTTTTTTATTATATTATATATTATTTTTTATAAATATATTAAAAATAATAATAAAACCTTTAATTTAAAAAACGTTATTAAATTTTTATTAAATTATATATAAAAATATTTATATTATAAAAAAGTAATTAAAATATTTAAAATTAACGTAAAAAATAAAAATAATAATATTATTAATAAAAATATTACCGATAAAAAAAAAGGTTAAATTAAGTATAAATGTGGATATTTTAAAAAATTTATATTAAATTTTTACGTTTATAAAATATTAAATAAAATAAATAATTTTTTTATAATAATTTTTAATTAAAAAAATAAATTAAATAATTATTTTAATTTTAAAAATTAATATATTAATGTTATTATTTATAATAAAAAAGAATTTATAAATAATTTTTTAAAAAAATATAAAGAAATATAAAGAAATATAAATAAATAATTTTATTTAAAAATATTTTATTAATTTTATAAAATAATATAAAATATTTTAAATAAATAATAATAAATTTATATTAAAAAAAATAAAAATAAATTTTAAATAGGATAAATAATTTAAAATTATTTATAAAAAAATTTAAAAAAATTTATAATAAAATATATTTAATTTTATATTATTATATAAAATTATATATAATTATTAAATAAATTTTAAATAAATATTAAAAAAAAAATTTTTATTTAATAAATTATTAAATAAATTTAAAATATATATTTATATATAAGATTTTATATAATATAAAAGTATAAATTATAATAAAATAAAAATTATAATAATTAAAACAGTTTTATAAAAGATATTAATAATATTAATTATAATTTTAAATTGGTATATTATATAAATTAATTTTATAATAATATATTTTAATAAAAATTTAAAAGAAAATATTTTTATAAAATTTTTCTTATTTTTAAAAAAATATTTTAACGTATATTTAAATAAAAAAAATAAATATAATTTTAATAAATTAAAAATTATTAAATTAATAAATTTATTATATAGGTTAAAATAGTTTAATATTATATAGTAAAAAAAAGTTTAAATAATATTAAAAAAATTAAGATATATATTAATAAAAATTAATAATATTATTTATATTAATAAAAAAATAAAAAATATAATAATTTTTTATATTAATAATTTTTTATTATTTAAATTTAATTTTAAATAATTAAAAATATTAATAAATAATGTTTAAAAAAATATTTTTATTATTAATTTAGGTAATACTAATTAATTTTTAAAAATAAAGATTATAAGATTTATTTTTATTAATAATATTTACTGTAATTAAAAGTAATATATTAAAATTTTTTTTTAAAATATAGTATTAAAAAAAACAAAAAAAATTATAATATCTTTTAATTTAAAAGCGTAAAAAAATATAATTTTTTATAATATAAATAATTATATAAATATAAATAAAATATTTAAATATATATTTTTAATAGGTAAAATAAATTTTTTAATTTATTTAATAAAATTTAATATTAATTTTATTATATTAATTTAAATATGGTTTATAAATAATTTTATAATAAAATATATAATAAAAATTAAAAAAGTAATAAAATATTTATATAATATAATAAAATAATATATATAATATTATATATTTAATAAAAATTATTTATATTATAAATTTAATAAAATTAGATTATATAGTATGATAAACATTAATTATGTTTTAAACCTAATTATTAAGAAATTAATTATTAGTTATATATTTTTTATAGCTAAAATATTTATATTATAATTATTTAAATTATAAGTAATTATTATTAAAAATTTAAAGAAATTTAAATATATTATATTTATTATTATTATTATTAATACGGTATAAATTTATAATTTTTTAAAAAAATTAAAGTATATATTTAAAAAATTAATTATATTATTATATAATAATATAATAATAATTAATTAATTAAAAAAATTAGTAGTAAATTATTAAAAATAATATATATAAAAAAACTATTATTATATAAAATAAAAAATAAAAACTAACCATATTATAATATAATATATTAATAAAAAAAAAAATTTAATTAATAAATTTATTAAATTTTTAAATAAAAAAAATATTATAAATTTATAAAATTATTAGGTTTAAAAGATTAAGAATAACTTTATAATATATTTAAAAAAATATATAAAATATATTTATTTTATAAATAAAAGTATATAATAGTAAAAAAATTATAATAATTAATTTAAATTTTATTATATTAATAAAGTTATATATAAATACCGAATTTTTATAAACCTTAACTATATATATAATAATATATATAAGCATTATTACATTTTGTATTCCCTTATATATATATAAAAGACCCCTATTAAATACTAATAAGGGTCTGCTAAATAACATTATTACAAAGGGCGTACTGTAGTTCTATGCCTGCGGCGCCTGGCAGCGGTTTTTTATTGCTTTCATGCTAACCAATGGATATTTAATGGAGGATGCTTGCCCCTGGCAGATCCCTGGCTACACAAATTTCGCCTAATATGCAGGTTTAAATGTTTTATCCAATCAAAATTCACCTGTTCCTGAAAGTGGCGCTTCTGTGCCTGACTACTGCAGGGGAGCTTGGACCATGCGGGCCAGTAAGAAAGACCGAAAATGATCAACATTCGTCCATTGGAAGAGATGAGATGATCAATTGGGGATTGGGGGGTGATTGCAAGGATGAGAAGATCCATTCAGCCATAACTTTGGATGAAGGATGTTTGGTGCTGACTGCAGCCCAACTTTTACAGCTCGTTGGATTTTGGCGCAAGTGAATCGACTACCTGGGGAAGATACGATCTTAAGCGCACAGGACAATACGAGTGGCGTTGTTCGTATTATATGTGTTAGGCTGTTAGGCTGTTAGGCTAGATAGGTAGGTACATACCTAAAGTCGAAGTAAACACGTAAATATGTAATGTCTATTATGTAGGTATTTGTGAGCTGGCTCAGTATTGACAGAAGTTTACATAGATTAGGTACCCCTAGGTAACAACCTGAAAAGAGTAAACGGAGAAACAATCACCAAATTAGATGGATGGATACTAAATTGATATAATGCATTCCCGTTTGTGAATATAATGATATGATAGACTGCATGTTCATGCAACCACCCAAGAATAGCCGGGAAGGAAACCCTATTCCAATAATAATTCGAGAAGAACTATCTATACAAGTCCCGGCTCTTGTATGAGGTATGTAGTATGTACTTTGTACAATTGTATGTGTTTAGAAACACTGCTTCCAAGGTTACAGGTGATAAGCAACGGTTGCTACCGTTTGAGGTCTTGAATTACAGGGAAGCAAAAGACACTAAGAACCACCAGCCAGTGCAAGTGCTTTGTATTATCCGGAGTATCTTTGTACCCTTGGACGGGAAACGCGCTAGAGGTTGGCAGCTGGCCAATCCCGGATTCGCTTCTCCCACTGGCGCTTCACTATTCCAATTCATCCTCTCTCTCCTCCCTCTCTCATTCTTTCCTTTCCCTTCCTCACCGTCCTCGTACGTCGCAACCCAGACACACGGTCTCTTCCCCCTCTCTTCACGAGAATTGGGTTTCTTTCGTTGGATCCTTTCTCAATTACATTCATTTCAAACCGTAGCTTCTCGGTTTTATCGAGGTTTTACACCTTCGTTACCCCACGAATCGCGATCTCGACGCTTGCCTCCGCGGTAAACAAGAGCACGACAGTGTAAATTACGCCACTACCGCCAATACCGAGTCGCATTACAACCAACATAACACTACGTGGATTACATTCTTTTTTTAAATCCGAGATTAGCACGATTGCATAACGATTACTGCATCGCACTTATAATCACAACTCGATTATACTTACGTCTCTGCGGCGCGACCTACTTATCTCTAAGGCTGAATGTGGTCGAACATACGACTTGGCTTTTTATAGGAGTAATATAACGTTTCTAGTGTTCTGGAAAAACTAACTATTCATGATGTCGGGTCACCGTCATAACCACCTTCATAGAAGGCAAGGCAATAACGGCTGGGATGAATTCGTCGGTGGCGTTGAGAGTATTGCCAACGACTTCAATCCTTTCAAGCAGACGCCTACTGTACAGGCAAAGGCTGCCGAGCAATCCACAGTTGTAAAGACTGTATACCAGACTCTGCCAAAAACCTTCGATGGCCCAGTCGGTGGATATAGAACTTTAGGTCAAGATGAAGATGCTCCCGAGACTACGCCTATAGTGACACCAACCCCAGTTGTACAGGCGAAACCAACCAGCTCACCAGTAAAGGACCAAACCACGACAGCGGCAGCTTCGATCGCCAAGGCAGAGAACCCAGCCTCGGCTACGAAGGGCGCTGAGAAGTCGGCTACCGAAGTCCTGCCTGGGTCGATTATGGGCACTTCCTCCGTTGATATTAGTGAGCATTCGACACTAGCTATCGCTACCAGCACTCCCACGACGCTTACGAAAGCAACTAAGAACGTCGACACATCTCAAATTGCCGCGACGGACGCCGCAGCCACTTCCTCTCCGACGGCTACCGCAGATTCCTCAGTCCCTGACACCAGCGGCGCAGCGAAAGCGGGTATCGCAATTGGAGTCCTTGGCGGTGTTCTGGTGGTCGGTCTACTTATCTGGTTCTTATTCGCCAGGCGCAAGAAGCAGCTTGAGCAAAAGGAGATCGAGGATGAGAAGGCCAATATGAGTAATCGCCGCGTGTCAATTCTCTCGACCCAAACCAGCGCTACCGCACCCCAGCTTAGTCTAAGGCCTGTGACGGCCGAATTCATGCCCACTTTCGGCGAACGACGATCAAGCAAGGGAGCTGCTCTCGCACTTGCAACTGGTGGAGCAGCCTTAAAGCCTGAGAGTGCTAATCGCTCTCTTTGGGAACGACCTGGCTCTAGCGGTGCTAACAACCCCGAGAATCCCTTCGGCAACAATGCGGAACGTGCTTATACGCCCACTGAGCAGCCAACAAATCCTTTTGACAACCCAGAGAACGTTGTTGGCGTTGCTCAAACCACGAACTCGCCTCCTAGATCTTCACCAACTGCCGGTGCAGCTACTCTAGGCGCTGCTGCTGCAGGCACCGCCCTGACCCGAAAGGCTTCCACTCGAAAGGAAGCTCCTGCGCCTCTCGACCTTACCGTTCTTTCTGGACCTCCCAGTCCAGCCGGAACCGAATTCAGCGTTCATTCTGTTGCTCCCGGTCAATCGCCTGGTCCTTCCCGAAGTGCGGCGGCTATTTCAGCAGCTGGCGGCCCCCCATCGACGGCCGTTCACCGTGTCCAACTGGACTTCAACCGGACTCTAGAGGATGAAATGGACCTGAAAGCTGGTCAACTGGTTAGGCTCTTGCATGAGTATGACGATGGCTGGGTAAGTTTTCAAAAAGTGCATTGTGACGTAATAGTAGCTAACCTGACCAGTCTCTTTGCATCCGCCTCGACCGTTCGCAGCAGGGAGTCGTCCCTAGGACTTGCTTGTCAACTCGACCCGTGAAGCCCCGTCCAGCCGGTGGACCCCCAGGAGCTCGTCCCGGCCCGCCTGTTATTCCTAGTCCGCGTGGGCCACGCGGTCCAGGCCCAAACTACCCTCCTGGACAAAGAGCTATGACTCCTGGCAGCCGCCCACAATCACCTATGTATCCTATGGCAGGTCGTCCCCAATCGCCAGCCTCTATGCGACCTCAGTCCCCCGCAACTGGACGTATGAGTCCGTATGAAAGCCGTCCGGCTTCTCCTTCGAATGGTCGGATGAGCCCGGGACCTCAGTCCCCGGGATCGAGACAGCAGCGAAGGATGACCCCACCGGGACCTAGTCCGATGAATCCTAATGGTGGTGCTCCCCAACAGCAATACAGGGGCCCTCCTCAGGCACCTGTTGGCAGGAAACCCGTTCCAGGTCAAGCATATTAAGGTGTGACGCTTTGAACACCAGACAAATCAACTTGAATGGGAACCACAACTACTCGATATGATATTGGTTATACTAAGTATTCACCTGAATTATATGAGTATCTCTATTGGACTATGGTTCATCAGTTACCTCGAACTACAGATCCTCGACTTTGACGAACCTTGATGAACTTGGGAATGATTTAATCTTCTCGACACTCGCTTGCGACTCTTTGCTTTACACTTGATACATTTCAACCCTTTGGTCTTTTCTGCATTTCCCTTATTTTCACTTCTGACTACCCCATGTTCATTTCGTCGTTTTTCGTCGAAAATCTAAAGCACCGACCCCGGTGGAGCATTACTCCAGTTTTATTTGGACGTAGTTACTACATACTGCTCAGATCGGGATAATCTGGTAATTTCTTGTCGATAATTTCTAGTTTTGGGATGAGTTTTATTCTCCCAATTAGCTTTGAGGCTGCGTATGGTCAGCACCCGTTGGCCTTGCGTAGCATCTTTTGCTATTGCCGTCACGGGGGTCAACAGATCGTTCTTATATTGGACGATATTGGCTGTTAGACCGTCGTGGCGTCTTCAACCTCTTTCCAACCAGCCTTGGAAAAGAGCCAACTGGCAACTTTGGTACCTTCTCTTCATTTCAGCGGCACAATCCGGGATGATGAGCACGCCTGGTATCGGTATTAGGGGGAGAGCTGGATCAGGGTTGGCAATGGGGGTTTGTCGACGTTGATACGCCTATGAGTTAGCCAAGGTCTAGCTGGAGGACGACGAAGGTGGATGATAGTGGCTAGGGGATGGGAGATATGTGATGTTGATGTCTTCTATGAAGAAAACTAAGTCATTACAAAATGTGCCTCTGCGGGGCTGGTTATGTCAGGGAGGCCCGGAGGTTCCCGTAGCTAGACTGCCTACTTAGGAAGTCGAATAAAGTGATGATTCACTAAACCTTTGAGATTCGCTTGAATATAAGCCTGGTATGTTGTGTAAGTGTGTTCAAGAGAATACATCGGGAGACATGGATAACAGTATGGAAGTGAAATGAAATCGCTTTTGTCCTTCAGATCGCCGGTTGAAGATACAGGAATTAGCATTGGCTCAAAATTTTGGGCCAATATTTATAGGTACTTATAGTTAGGGGTTAGTAGCATCTCTATAGCTCTATTCCTAGAGTTGGGATTTTCGGGTTGTATTATTCGATCCAGAGTTGAGGGCACCAAGCTAGGAATGAGTAACTAACTCGATCCAAATTTAATAACACTGGATCATATATCGTCCCCCTATCCTAATAACAACTACTAGATAGGGGTCATTATAATCCCAAAGCCTTAACAACCTCCCCTAGTACTATCAAGATTCTGCCCCGTAATCAACCTCCCCTCAACAACAACCTTCTTGGCAAACGGGGCATTCGTCTTGACAAAGTTCCCCGCGCTACTCTTATCCAGCTCCGTCTCGAGCAAAAACGGCATTAGCGACGTTAACTGGGCGATTTCTTCCTCCTGGTTCGAAAACCCAGTGACCCTGTTCCCACTAAGCAAGAAACTCCCGTCCGCCAACTTCACGTTGACTAGCGCGGCGGGCCCGTGGCACATCGCGGCTACCACCTTGCCCTTGCCCCAGAACTCGGCGATTAGCTGCTGCGAGGCGCTGTTGGTGGCCAGGTCGTACATGGGCCCGTGGCCGCCGGGGAAGAATATGGCGTCGAAGTGGTCGGCTTGGCCGAGGAGGGAGGAAATCTTGGGGGTGTTTATCCAGAGAGCCTTTTGTTCGGCGAAGAAGGTGGCGGAGAAGGGGTCGTTCTGGGAGCGTTCAACGGAGCCTGGGTCGACGGGGGGAGTGCCGCCTAAGGATGAGGCTACGGTTATCTCGGCGTTGGTGGCATGGAAGACGTCCCAGGGGTGAGCGAATTCGGGCTATGGTTATTTAGCATTTATTATTCTGTTTGTTGACCATGTAGTCTAATTGCGTAAGGGGCTTGTATAGGACTTGGACATTACTTACCAAGTACCATCCAGTAGACTAGTCAGAGTCGCCCAGCTTGTTATGAGAGGTAAGCACGACAAGAATCTTTGACGCCATTGTAAAATCGTGACAGATTAGAATGGTTGATATTCGAGTGAAGACTTATTCTACAGCTAAACTCTCCCTTCTCTGTCGCCGTATGATTACAACATGTTTATATCAAACGACATCGTATATTTGTTGGGTATTGCGTCAACATAGCAACTCGGAGATATTAATTCCGTCTAAACCTCTTAACCTGGGCGCAATGCTGGGTTCGTAGCACTTATATGACACTATCTTTACGATTGTCATTGACAATGTCGCGGATATTCATAACCCGAGATGGGAGTTATGTAAGTTCTAATACCTCCTTAGCGGATTTCTATAGCCCGGGATGTTAAGATGCCGAAATATATTTATGCTAGTGGGTGTTTATATTGCGAAATGTAAGTGCATATAGTCTATCCTCTCCGCTGAGTGGCACATTAAGGTTAAGGGTATTTTATGAAACATGTATCTATCACAGGTCCATAGGTACTAATAGATTTATGGGAACTTCGGATTTGTATTATATCCGTTGGGGTATTAGGCACCTGCATCTTGAGGATCGACATTGACTTAATTCCTCATGTCGTATATTTTACATGATTACTTCCGTCGTCTTTGGAGCCCAAACTTACAACAGGTAGATTAGGCAGGCTCAAGCTTGTATGTTGCTTGACTCTTAGTAGGTGCAAATCTCTTGTGAACCTGGAACATCAAGCCATTGAACTCTATAACACCTCATCTCACTGAACCTGCCTGTCTCAAGGTGATATTTTGTCACGTACCTTCCCGCTATTAGTCCACGACTGTAGTATAGAGCAAGAACTTTCAATTTATGAAGTATAACTTGCCTCGTGAATTCCCATGACGTAAATAATCCCTCGTCGCTCTTCCTCCTACCCTCTTCCACCCGTTTGTATTCCCTAGTTTCGTGCGATGTTCGGACAGTCACCTTCCATCTCTCCCTGTTCCCCTCGTACGATCTTTCGGTTTATATGCAACCAAAACCCAGCACTGCGTCATCATTGCCCAAATCTCCTTTCCTCCATCAACACTTATGTCCCCACGACTTCCTCTTATCCTGTCGAGCGGCCTCAAGGGTTCTCGTTCCTAATACTATAATAACCCAGCAGTCTTCCCACCGAATTCTCCTTTCTTTTCTTTTCTTCTTCATGGTGTTGGAGCGATGGAAGAGGCAGCTCAAGAATTACTTCTTCCCCAGGGAGCCATTGCACATCGTGCCCCTGGGCTACCGGCCTTGTGCCCAATACAAGGTCGGGATGCATTCGCACAATTTTTGATGTCCATTTGTTTTCATTGATCTCCTTGCTCTAAGCAGGGTCTCGAAGAAGACGCGTAGACTGGGAGGGGGGCTAAGAGGGAATGGGGTGGAGATGACTGCAGTGTAGATGTTTGATGGAAGGGGGGGTGATAGACTTAAACAGAGGGGTGATGAGGAGTTTGGCATGCTAATGAAGTGATGGGAGTGATGGAGGTGAGATTGAGATGAAGGAAATTTGCTTTGTCGGGCCATTAAGAGGATAGCCGCGCTCTGCTCCGGATTTTAAGGGATCCATCTTAGCTTCGGACAAAGTATGAGGGAAAAGGTAGAAGAGAATCTGGACATCTTGGGGGTGGAGTGCCTTATATGGTCGTAGAAGAGTAAAAGTTATAACGCTATGATGAATGGCGACATTACTGACTTTGGCCATGTGAAAAAATTTCTACTTTGAGTTGCATATTAGTACGGGAGCAGAGCGAATGGGCGCTTTGAGTTTCCTAAAGGATTACGTGTTTAATAGACAAACTCGGTACTACGGCAAATGATTACTATTTATTTACCTTACAGGTATGTACTGGCACACAGACATCAACTTGATACGGGGACGTCAAGATTGATGCCTTGAAGTGTCTCCTTTTGTATCTAGGTGGATGGCCGCCTGAGGTAGGAAACTTAGTGCTATTAGGTTGAGCATAGAACCCCTATACCTTAGGTACCTATAATACATAGGTACACTAGAGTAGCTGTCAACAAACCTGTGCGATGGTAGACCGACCCACGGTCACCTCCATGTGTTTCACGACCCTTTCGATAACTTTAAAAAGCTTTGAGTTGTAGTCCACAGCTTCGACTTGAAATTGAGTAGGCGAAGGCCTAGTGGTCGTGTGTATTGCGCTTATCGAGTTACATAGACCTGGGTCAAGTATAAAGGATTTTTCTCATGAATGAAGGAGGCTGCTGTTAAGCTTACATATCTCCTTTAAAAGCGAAGTTAGGAATGTTTTGTAAAGCACACTACCCTTATGTTAAATCAATCGGTACATGTTGTTAAGTCCGAGAGCCTAATTAAATAGGTTGATATGTTTATAATATCTTCCTGCAGTCATCACTATATATGGCTTGATTGGTTATTTGTACGGTAGTCACCGATATATATATATGTATGTATGCTAGGATGCTATTGCGATATTTACCCGATCCCTTTCTTCTATCCCCTCTATGCCTCTTCCTATATAAACAAGGCTCATACCTATAAGCCCATAGGCATTTGGTTTAAATTTATTCCTTTATTAATACCTCTATCACTTCGCTTTAGGGGCGACCTCTTTCGTCCCTATGTTAAGTTAGACCCCCTTCATATCTCGTTCATCTTTATCACTTGCGGCCCCAGAAAAATGGTCACATTTCCGCCCGAGAAGGCCCCTAAGCCAGGTCTAAATATTTACGAGTTTGCGGCCGTAAATCCCTATAAGTTGACTATTGCAGCTGAGGAGCTTAGGTAAGTATTTTCCCTCCCTGACGCTGATAACCTGTGCAAGTATACAATCTAATGCCCTATTAGCATTCCGTATAACTATATCAACGTGGACTTGGGCGCAGGCGAGCCTCAGATCGTGTGGTATACATCGATTAATCCGAATGGTCGTATACCCTCACTCATCCACGTCAAAGACGATGGTGCTTCCGTGACTGCCTTCGAAAGTGCCGCCTGTTTGCTCTATATCGCTAGCGAGTTTGATAAGGAGCACAAGATCTCGCATCCTGTTGGCACGTCCGAGTACTGGACGCAGCTGTCCTGGGTAAGCACTGTCCATATCTAGGTAACGACGCAGAACGATCAGTTAATATTTCCCCTATATAGCTCTTATGGCAGGTCGCCGGTTACGGTCCTATGATGGGCCAAGCATGCCATTTCAACCGGTATTCGAGTGAGACAGTGCCATATGGTTCTTGGCGCTACACGTCCGAAAGCCGAAGGCTTCATCATGTGCTGGATAAACAGCTGATACATCCCGTGTTTGATATGATGGCTTTGTTTGTGACGATAAGATATCAAGGCCACTTACATATGGTTGACTTTCTTTAGTCTACTTCTCCCTTTGTGGCAGGAGATCGTTTGACAGTTGCCGATGTTGCAATCTTCATCTACGCGCACTCGGCTAAGTGGTGTGGTATTAACGTCAACAAGTTCCCCGACGTTAAGGTGTGGCATGATAAGCTCCTTCAGAGACCTGGCTTCCAAAGAGGACTTCAGGTTCCTGTACCTTATCCGTTTACCGATGAGGCTGTCTTAAGCCCCGATGGGCAAGATTTCTATATCACAATGCGCAAGTTTGGCAAACAGATGATTAAAGGGGCGACTGATAAGTGGCAAGGCGATGTAGTGCAGGTGCCTTCTGACCGTGCTAGCTATTGAGTCGCGTATACGAGTTTGCATTAGGATCTGGTGCCAAGGAAAATCTGAGGACTTTAGGGGTAAATATGGTATATTAAATGGTGATGTCTTTAAATTGTCTTAGGCACCTAGGAAATTAAATATATTCGTACTTTAGACCTGGCTCTTGATAAAGGAATAACTGCTTGATACAGGCGATTAAACCATGAACTAGGACAAGCTCTCTTGGAGAAAAAATGACAAAGGCCGAAATTTACCGGCTTACTTTAAATGGTTAACCAAGTTTCAGAGGTGCCATATTCAATATCATGAGACTTCTTGATGGCGTTCTCGTCATTCGGTCCCGCCAAGCAATGGTCATTGCCCGCCACATTGCTTGTATGCCCTCGAAGGTTTTCATAACTACTCGAGGAAGCTTTGCGTTTCCGAAGAAGTGTAGATGCTACAACCGATTTGATTCGTAGATGTAAAGTCGAGTTTGAGACGTGGTTGGTCCAGAACGATGGGATGGCTGGCACACAACTGATAATGATTGCTATAGAGCATTCCCCAGCACTAGAACGATATGTAAGTTATAGGATTGGAAGGCTTCTGGGAATTGCTTTGACGTACGTGCTGAGCATTAAAGTATATCTAGGGATAGTTCCGTTTCTGAAAGTTATCACCCGCCAGTACAAGGAGATGCCACCTATAGCTATTCCACTAAGTCATGGTGGATGTTAGCAGTAGGTAGGTATAGGAATTATCCTTAGTTTCAACTTACAAAATCCCAGCCATGAATACAATTGCTAAATCTATCTTTTTCTGACGTGGAAGTTGTAGCTTGATGATAATTGGGAACGGGATGAGGAAGAGTATTATATCGGTGACAACTGCAATGATTCCATTCCACAGTACAACACAAGGATACCACACCGTACAGTTATTGATGAAAAGTTCATCTAATACATATCTTCCTATTGGACTACAATAGGCACCCAGTAAAGACGAGCTTATTATGAATTGTAAAAGCGCCAGGGCAATAGAATAATAGCTAGCTATCCGAACCCATTTCACAGATCCGAAGAGCCGAATGTAAAGGACAAATAAGGGGACTTTGGCAAAGAATGATAGGAACGCAGCAATTATAGTTTGGCCCATTTCCATCTGGAATAAGTTAGTGATGTCAACAGAGGGAATAAAATGGTTCCAGCATTACAGATAAATAGAAAGATATAATTCTCTCCGGTGTTGTTGATTCTATTAAATATATTAGATTTTGACGTTGACAAAGGTTTTTGAACACACCAGGATCGGCCATGCTTATATATGCTCGTACTACGTATATCCTCAATACCAATGCAAGGACTAAAAGTAAGATCGTAACAATGGATAAGTCTAACACATCTCTTATTAATATAAAACTTCGCGCAAAATTAATATAGGCTGTGTGCGGACGTACACTCTTCAATTCGAAAGGTCTTTTCTTTTACCCAGGTATTCCATAAACGGATCATGACAAAAAGGGTGGAAAGTAGAATCGCAGATATGCCTACGCCTAGATACAACGTCAGGGACACACTACCCGAGGTAATGTCAAGACGATCCATTGTATAAGGAGGTGATGAATGGCCAGCTAATATCTATGATTTTGCAGTTCACGCGATTAAAAAGTGAGCAGAGGCCGGCGGACTCTACATAAATATTCTCTGAGCGGGGAACTCCTTTAGTAGACATGATTCAAGCTAAGCCCCCAATTCTCATGTCTTGAAGAATGGTGGTAGTATTTGCATCTTGATCATTGGTTATGATTAATCCTCGCCTCTCAAATGCATCTGAAGAGCTACGATGACTGATTGGGGTCCTCTATTCTCCCAATTAGGTTGTCGGATTTACTCTCCAGTACTACACACCTGCTGTGCCTCATTTAAACGAAGTCCTAAGAATGAAGAATGCCTAGCTTTATGAGTAATGGCCGAATCTTAGAGCCGATTTCTCAACAGGAGTATCAAATTGTTTTTTGTAGTTATATTTGATAATGAAGTATCGTTTAGCCACCCAAAATTGCTTCGACAAAGCTGTGTTCTTATTCTCATTCTCACGGTTATCATTTACAATTTTGAGAACACGGATAAGACTTCTTTACTACGTGACCGAATAGTGGTGCAAATAACATGGATTAAGAATAGACCTACTACAGCATCTACCACGTATAATGTTAGGTACGCTTAGTTATATACGGTTAAGATATGAGGGGATCTCTCCACTGTACGTACTATAGATCGAATATAGAGTCTAGAACCTAAATCAACACGTTATTATTTACACTTAAATCTACGACACCATTACATGACAGATCACACTCTCTAGTACCCGATATAATGGTCATATTCTGACTTCAAAGTAAAATTTGGCATACTGACGATCGCTACAAAAAATATCCTAAGATCCTACCTAACTCCTACAAAATCAACCCGACGATTATACTCACAGCTTACTATCCTTCCACACCGGCTTCCGCCTCTCAACGAAGCTCTTCACGCCCTCGATCGCATTATCCCCCTTCTCTATACGTCCAAACCAGCCCTTAACCAGGATATCTGTGCCCTGCTCCGGCCCAACCCCTTCCCAGCCTAACTTTAACCCCTCGCGCGACACGATAACCGCATCGGGACTGTTCCCCGCGATGCGCTGCGCCCATTCTAATGCCTTCTCCAACACGGCTTTGCTATCGCCCTCTACGACTTCATTCACCAGGCCCCACGCCAGCATCTCCTTCGCGCCGTACTTCTTCCCGCTAAGTGCCATCTCCGCGGCCCTCTGCCTGCCCACGCTGCGCGCAAGTCGCGGTAACGCACCCGCCAGCGCGATAACCCCGATAGTAACCTCCGGAAGACTGAAACTCGCCGACGCAGCCGCGACGATCAAGTCGCAGTTAATAGCCATCTCCATGCCGCCGCCGAAGCAAATGCCATTAACAGCGCCGATAATAGGCTTGAGTCCACCGCGATTGCTCATGCCACCAAAACCACCAAGCGGGAACCGTTTGTTCTGCCGACCGTGCTCCTCTGCCGACACCGCCTTATCTTCGGGGGAAGAATTGATAGAATCCCATTCCTTCAGGTCTGCGCCCGCGCAGAAGGCCCTGCCGGAGCCGGTGATCACGGCGCAGCGCAGGGAGGGCTCCGCATCATACCAGTCCCACAGGCGCTCGAGGGCGAAGTGCTGCGGGCGCGGGATCGCGTTGAGCTGTTGTGGGCGGTTGAGCGTTACGAGTAGGATGTGTGGGCTGGGGAAGGACGTTAGGGTATCTGGGACGTTGGGTGGTGGCGTTGTGAATGAAGATAGGGGTTGAGATTGGGGAGCCATGGTGAGTGTTTGAAAAAGGAGGGTTGGGAATTTGGTAAATGCGTTTCGTACGTAAGAGACGAAATGGATTTGTTTTAGGTCAGATATCTATAGACGGGATGATGCAGGAAATAATAAAAGATAAAGCCGTATGTTAGCTTATCTTCAGGCAGTGTAATATGTTCTCGAGACAAAGAGTATGACATGGAAATAAGCTAAATATAAGTTAAAACAAAATATAAATGAGATGTAAATAAGATTATATTGAGTTCGCTCGGTTAGAATGGTAAGTTTGATATTTTATTACTCAATTCTCACCTTAAATTGCCTCGGCATTCCGTTGGACCCACAGTACTCCGCAAATCGCAAACCGGACCCGGACCCCGGTTGTTACCCCTGACGGTCAAGCTCCGCAGGTTACTACATATGGTCAGTCATTCCAATTTACTGTGCAAGATATTATGAAATAGGTAATCAAGTAAAGTAGGTAGCGCGAATATGCTTCGACGAATAGCTTTATTATATTCTGTATTACTGTAATACCTAGCTCTTAATATCCAGAGCTATTATTTCTTATCGGTTATCACGTAGAATGAGCCTCCTGTCTGAAGACTATGGCTCATCCATCGATCCAGACATCCGAAGGGTATTCCCTTTATTATACTCCCTCCCCATACGCAGACTATCTTAAACTGCGGGTTAGATATCCTCAATTACAAGACGAACTTTTAAATTTTTGAATTGTACAGTGGTTACCGAGGTATGATGTTATTGCAAGGCATCGAGAAATCAAAGTACCTTCTCACCCTATGCAGAAAGACCACGCTTTTCACTCTCGGTGAAGAAAATAACCATCCTCCAAAGCTTCTTAACAAGAGCTTCGGCTTCATCATCCAAGGCCTAAAAGTATAGTTAGCATATTAGCATATTAATTAAAGAACTCGTGATATGACAAGTCACGTACCTCTGCCAATTCCTCTACCAGCTCCGCAGGTTTGGCGTGCTTCCGAAGATGCTCTTCTACAACCTCGATAAGAAGTTGCTCCTGGACACCTAGATACTCGACCAGTTTCTTCTCGACAAAGGGCCTGAGCTTCTCGCGAATAACGCTCTCGTCCAAGAAATCCCACTTGACGTCCCACTCCCAGAGTCCTTCCTTTTCGTTTGGAATTTCTTGTGCCAACGCACGCACAGCTTGATCTCGTTCTTCGTCGGACATGGCCGCAGCAGCAGCGGGCTCAAATTGAATTGGTATGAGCTGCCGCCTAGAAGTCGCATCTTCGTCCTCGTCCTCGAGAAGACCCTCAACCTCGGCGATGGTCTTCCTTTGTGGCGCCGCACGTTGCGCCTGCGCCTTCTGCGCAGCTGCGCCGAGAGATAGTTTGAAGGGTTGAGGTGCGGTAATTCCGACCCTACTGGCTTGGCGCTGTTCCATCTCCTGAGCTTGCCTCTCAAGGAACGAATCAGCCATACCCCGTGCTTGCTCTCGCTCCGCCTCTTCCTTAACGCGTTCTTGCTCTTCTGCTTGTCGGTCTGTGTCATCGGCTGCTATTTCTCTAGCTCTAAATGCAGTGCGATTTCTGATCCAAGCGCTCCGGTCCTTGTAATAATCTTCCGACTTTCGTGATGCCTCCGCATCGTCATCAAAATGTTTGAGTCGCTGGAGAACTTTATCTCTGTTCTTAGCAAAGTCTTTTGCATCCGAGCCGTCGCGCTCCTTTTCTCGTTCTAGGGCAGCTGTGCGAGACTTCTCCCGATTCAACCATCGGCGCTCGGCGTCCAGATAGAGCTTCTCAGTCTCCGCATTTTGCTTAGCGATTCGACGACGCTCTAGTTCCTCATCACTAGCCGAATCGTCCTCATCATCCCTGTTATAAGATTGACTACCATTTGTCGTGCCGCCGTTAATAAAATTGATTGACCTATTGTAATCCTTGCCCATATCAGACTTCTGTCCCTTCGGACCAGATGGCGCGTTCGGTACACCGCGTGGTCCTAGCGGAATATTATTTGAACTGGAAGGCGGCGGTGACGCTAATCGAGAGGGCCGAGATGCACCATTCCTTTGACGTTCCATTGCCTCGAGTTCTTCCTCCCTCTTCAAGCGTTCCAAATCTCGCCTAATACTTCGTTCTCTGAAAGCGGCAATTTCAGCAGCAACGGTCTCGCGCATCTCAGCTGGGATATCGGCTAGTTCGTCCTCCTGTGCCAAGGGGATATTAACCACCTCAACATTCTCGCCGTTCTGAGCCGAGCTGTCACCCATAGCGACATCCCCATCCGCGTCTGCTCCAGATCGCGAGGTAGGATAAAAGAGATTTTTTATGGTCTGCTTTAACGCACCTCTGGCAGCTTCCCGTCTTGCCTCTGCACCGGAGTCATCAGGCCTGCTCTCCCTATACGCCTCCAGGTATTTTACCGAATTCTCATCTAATTTAACTTGAAGGATTGTTTTTTCGAAATTCGCGTAGGAATCGTCGTCGTTCGCGGGCTCGTCTAATGGTAATTGCTTTTTCACGGGTACCTTGATATCTTTTAGGATCTCGGAGACGAGCCAGAGGGACTCGATATCTTCGAACTGGGCGAAACCAAAGGTCATTTCTTTCCCACCAGCATCGACAGCTCTATCCCAACGGCGCACCTTACCCACGGTGCTGAGGATCTTCTCCACACCCTCATTGCTACTAATTCCATCTGTGATCCCACTCACAAAGACAGTCCGCACGATTTCTTCTTTGGTTGGTGGGACTAATGCTTGCATATTCTCGCGTATGGCCTGTCGTGTTTGGTCTAAGCCACGTTCCATCCCCATACCTCCTCTAGGGCCAGCAGAGTTGGGGGTCTCGCTGTCTTTGCGGCCTTGCATCCCAGGGGTTGGGGGTTTCGTAGAGGTACCGAGACGAATGACGGGGGCGTTGAAGTTAATATTAGGCATATTCGGAGGAGCTTGGAAGTTGGATGGCAGACCGCTAGGTCGATTAGCTTGATTGATGTTGTGCTGCTGAACGCCAGGTGGTGGCGCCATTCCTGGGGCAGACATGCCTGGAGGAGGTCCTGGGATATATATTAGTATACGATAAATAATGCAATAGTCAATTGCGACAGCAACCTACCTAGACCAGGAGCAGACGGAACACCTGGAGCACCGCTAGCTCCAGGATATGAACCGTATGTCGGAGGCGGGCCGAAGCCAGGCACTTGAGGTGAGTATTATTATTAGCATGTTTCCAGTCCTTAGAATGACAGGAGATATCAAAGTAAACATATCAAGAAGCTACTTACCTCCACCGTAGGGATTATACGCCATAATAGAAATGTTGAATGTTACTAGATTCCGGCAGACGTAATAGAGGGGAGGTAGGGATTTAACCGAATAGATCGGTGACAAGAGGTATGCAAATCGCAAAACCTCGAATAAGAGAGAAAAAGATTAATAGGACGAAAATGTTTAGCAAGGGCGAAGTAGATCGCGCGAGGTTTGAATCTTGACAAGGTTCCAGTTTATTAGAGGTAAAAGTTTAAGCACAGCCACACGTGGGGCTTACCTTTGTGGATCCGTTGCCACGAAGCGCACGGGCCACACCTGGCGAGGCAACCTGGCCCATCAAATAATATAAATGTAAATATAGTCCCCAAAACCTTATATAGTTATTTTAAATATTAATAAATATTATAAAATTTATTTAAATATTATTATTCTTTATAATAATAATATTACAAGTTTTTATGTTAATATATAAAAATGTATAAATAGTTATTTTTATAGGTAAAATGTTAGTATATAAATAAAAATAAATAATAAAAATTCATTATATTTATATTAATATATTATTATTAATTAAAATGTTTAAAAGTAAAGAATAATCTAAAGTTTAAAAAAGTATAAAAACTATTGCGGGATTTTTTATAGGTTATAATAATATTATAATAAACGTTTATAAATGTATAGTAAAAATGGGCGGTAAAATAAATATGAAATTTAATAGTATAAATAAAAATATAAAGAAAAAATATATAATAATAATAAATGTATTATATAAAATATAAGAATATATATAATTATTAAATAATATTTTCTAATAAATATAATAAAATTTTTTATTAATAAAAATATTATTATTATTATTATTATTATTAATATTATTTTAGAAATTTGCGATAGATTTAAATATTAAAAACCTTAACGTTATTAAATTAAATATATTTAAATTTGTACTTAAAAATTTGATAAATGGATAAAAATTATTAAATAATAAAATTAATTTTTATTAAGTAAATATATATAATATTATATATAATATTTAAAAATATAAAGTAAAATTAATATAGTTAAAAGTAATTTTTAAGGCTAAAAGTAAAATATTTGCAAAATGTAAAATAAAAAATAAAGTTATTTTATTATTTAATTTAAAACTAATATAGGCAGATAATTACATATTTAATAAATTAAGTAAAATATAAAACTGATTAAAAATAATTTTAATATTATACGAATTATGGCTAATATGAATATTAATAAAATTATTAAAAGATTTTTAATAAGTTATAGTATGGATAAAAAATATATAACCTAATTAAATTATATTTATAAAAATTATATTATAAATTTTAATTAATTATTATATATTATATAATTTATTATTTTTATTTATAATAATATTATTAAATTAAAATAAAAACTTAATTAATTTTATATAATATGTTTACGAAGTTTTTTATTATTTATTGGTAGATAATAAAGGTATATATTAAATATATAAGATATTAATTAATATATTATAAATATATATATTTAAAGTTTAAATATTATGTTAAGATTATACAAAAATGTGGAATATATAAAAATTGGTAAAAAAGATAATAAAGTAAGTAAATATTATAATATAAATAATAGTAAAAGATAAAATATTTAATATTTTAAAAATAGTTATATAGTTTTAAAGTAAAATAGTATTATTTTATAATCTAAAAATAAATAAAACTATATTTAATAACTTTGGAAAAATAGAAATTAAATAAAAAAACATATTATAAATAATATTAAAGGTTTTATAAAAAATAGTAATAGTTAATTTTAAATTTAATAATTAATAAATTTATATAATAAAAAATTAAAATTATATAATTAAATTATTAAATAATAAATATTTTAATTACGGTAAAAAAAGTTATTAAATTAAAAATTATAATAAAAAGTTATAATAATTATATAATATATTATTTAATAGCGAAAAAGTTATTTTTAAAAGAATTTTTTATAAAAATAATGGAAATTTTAAAAAAAAAGTTAAAGGTGTTATAAAAAAATAAAAAAATAATAAAAATAATAAGAAAATTTACTTTATTAAAAATAATAATAAAGATAATAATAAAGAAAATAATAATATATTAAATAAATAAATTTTAGATAATAATGATTTAAATTAAATATTATAAAATATTATAGAAAATATAATAAATTATTATTAAAATTAATAAAAAGGTTATATTTATTAGATTAAAATAAATAAAAATAATAAACTACTATTATATAAAAATAAGCTTATTTAAAAAAATTATAGAAAGGATTATAATTTATTTAAAATATAAATATATAATAATAAAAATTTTACAATTTTTTTTAATTACGGTTACGAAATATATTACGTATTAAAGTTATTAATTAAAGATATAATTAAATATTTATTATAAAAACTGTTAATAATAATAAGGATTAGAAAAGTTGGATTATAAATTAAAGAAAATATTATAATTTATATAAAATTTAAAATATTAAACAATTATAATAATATTTTTATTATTATTATAAAAATAATTTTTAACAAAACATTTTTTAAAAATTTTATATTAAAATAGAATATTTTTTATAAATAAGAAGTTTAATATAAAAGGTTTTTATTTAATAAAATATTATATTTAAAAAGATTTATCAATAAATTTATTTTTAAATTAATAAAAAATTTTATAATTAATTAAACAATAAAAATAATAAAAGAAATAGTTTATAATATAGTTAATATACCAAAAATATAATAATATAAAAAAATATTAATTAATAATTTAAAAATTAATAAATATTTAGTTTTATATAAATAAAATTTTTTTAAATTATTTAATATTAAAAAAAAGTAAAAAAATATAAAATTAAATATAAAATATAAAATAAATATAGGAAATAATTTTTTAATTAAATTACTATTTAAATAATATAGTTTTTATTAAAAATAAACGTTATAAGATTTTATAAAAATTTACAAAGGTATAATTATACAGAAAAATAAAAATTTATAAGGTATATTTTTACTATTAATATTTAAAAAAGTATTAGGTTAAATAATAAAACCTAATAAAAATAATCTTAATATTATATAACGTTTTTATTATAATTATAAAAAATTAAATAAATATATTAAAAAAAATATATATTCACTACTTAATATTTGGGATTAAATTTAATGAATAGTAAAGTATAAATAATATATATTTATTAATTTAAAAAATGGTTTTTAGTAAATTAAAATCTAATATAAAAATTGTAAAAAAATAATTTTTGTAATGTTATTTAAACTTTTTAAATAAAAGGTTATATTATTTAAATTTATTAATATATTAATAATATTTTAAACATTAATTAATAAAATTTTAAAGTTATTTTTTAAATAAATTATTAGAATATTAAATAACATTTATTTATGGGTAAATTTAAAAAAGTAATTTTATAAGTAAATTTAAGTATTATTTGTATAATTTATTAAATATGGTATAATTGTTTACGTTATTAAAACTTAAATATTTATTAAAAAAAAAATATTTTTAAAATTTATTATATTAAAAAACGGGATCAAAACAAATTTAGCAAAAATAACAGCAATTAAAAATAAACCGATACTATAAACAATAATGTAAATTAAAATTTTTATTAATATTATTAAATATTTTTAATATTTTATAAAAGGTTATTTGGAAATGTTAACTTTACTTACAATATTTATAAAAAAGTAAAAAAATGTATTTATAAAATTAAATGCAATAATAAAAACAATTTAAAAATAAATTTATAAAACTATCATAATAATGTTAATTATATAAAAATTTAATTAAAAATTATTAATAATATTAAAATTAAACGTTAATAAAGAATATATAAGAGTGGTTATTTTATAGTTATATATATACGGAAACTAAAAAATCTTTTATTTAATAGTTTATTTTTTTAAAAAATTAATAAATACATAAAAATGCTATTTAACGTAAAAAAGAAAACTATTAAAAATAATGTTAACACTTTAATATTAATAACATTAAATAAAAAGAAAAAATGTTATAATAATTATAAATTATAAATTATTAAAAATAATTAATATTAAAGTTAAATAATTTATTAAAATTTTTTATTTTTTTAATATTATTAAGTATTATAATATTAAAATTATTTATTATTTAAGTAAAATTAATATTTTTATTAATTATTTATTAAAATTATTTAAAAATTTAAATAATTTAAATTATTTGGTATATAAATAAACCTTTAAATAAACGATTTAATATTTTTATAAATTAAACCAATTAAATTTTTAAATTATATACAAATATATAAAAGTTGGGATAATTTTATTAACAATTATTAATAAAAAATAGGTAAATAATTATTTTATTATTTATAAAAGATATTTATATAAAATTATCAAATATAAAAAAATATCTGAAAAATTATTATATATAATAAATATAATATATAAAACCGTAAACCTTTAAAAAATATTAAAATATGATAATTTGTTTATTTAATTATATAAAATTTACTATAATTAAAGTTATGTTATAATTGAAATAATATAAAAAAATATATTAAAATAATATTAATATTTAAATATAATATTAATTATATAATAAATTATTATTAAATATTTTATTTATTAATTAATAAAAAAATTAAATCTTTTACTATTTAATTTATAGTTAATTTAATTTTTAATATTATTAATATAATAAATAATTAATTATATATTAATAATTATACATATTTTATTAATAGTTATAAAATATGTTATAAAATAGGTAAAAATGTATTTAATATAAATTATATTATTTATTAATTGTTAATTATTATTTATTTATATTAATAATATATATAAATATTTTAAAAAATAGATTAGTAATAATATAAAATTATTTATAAACGCAAATATTATTTAATAGGTTTAAAAAAAAGGTTTAATAATTAAGTATTTTATACCGTTACAGTTAAAAAAGAATAGAAAAATTAAAAAAATTAATAAAAATATTAAAAAAATTATATTATATAAATATTAAATAAACCTTATAATTAATTTTCTAAATTTATTAAAAAAAGCGTTAATTATTCACAATTATATTTTTAAATTAAGGGAATATAGTAATTTTTATTTAATATTTGGTATATAATTTTTTTAAAATTAATAATTAATTAAATATAATAAATATATATAAAAAATAATAAAAAAGAAAAAGGTTTTATTTATAAAATAATTAACTATATAATATAAAGTACCTTTAATTTGTAATAATTTTAATAGTAATAAGTTAATAAAAGATTAAATATAAATATATTTATAAGAAAAAAAAGGTTTAATTAAAACATATATATTTGGAAATTAAATATTACGTATAAAATAACAGATAATTAAATATAAACCTTATTATAATAACCTTTAAATTATTAATAATTATTACGTTAATAATATATATAAAATTTAAAATCTTAAAGATATAATATTATAAAATAAATATAATAATATTAATTTATTTTTTACTTATATTTAAAATAAATATTTAATCTGTAATATATAATATATTAATAAAAAATTGTTAAAATAAAATAAGTAACGTTTATAAAAAAAATTAAATTAAAATATATTTTAAAAGAAAATATTATAATAATTAAGGATAATTATATAAAAAAAAAAAGATAATATAAATTTATTACTATAAAATATATAGGTTATATTTAATAAAGTAACTTAACCTATTAAATAATATAAATATAAATATAATTTTTAAAATTTTACATAATTATTTTAAATATTAATAAATATTATAAAATTTATTTAAATATTATTATTCTTTATAATAATAATGTTATAAATCCTTATGTTGATATATAAAGACGCATACCTTTTTTTCAATCACCTTAGGTACCTAGGTACTTCGGACTAAGTATTTAGGTACCTAACGATACAGCGGATACGGCAAATTATCGGCACTAGAGTCACGGAAAAAAAAAAGAGGACGGAGTTATGGTGTGGACCCATCAGAAAATCGTAATGGACCGCAATTAACGGAAGCTTCGCTTTCTTTAATCGCGACCACCGGAGGAAGTCCTTGGATCTCAAGTCTCAATCTCGAGACTTAGCCAAGTTTCGTATAACTCTTAAGATGTAAGAATAAATACTAGACACCAATTATGCTACACCTTCCCTAATCTTTATATTTTATAGGGTTGAGTTCTGTCGAATAGCGCAAGTCGCTGTTCGATCAACGTCACTCCTCCGAAATTCCACCTCGAGATGGCAACCATGCTCCTTCTCGGTCGTGTCTACTACTCCCTTAATACCGAGTATAAGGCATATCTCAACTTCTCCGATTCTACGGTCAAGCGATGCTGATAACGGCCCTCCTAAAGACTCTACTCTTTCTCCCAGATCACCTCTAGCCCGCGCGCGGCACAAGAACTATTCTTCTATTTGGGGCGATCCTTTTCCAGAAGAAAATAATAGCGGTGATGAGATCAAAAAGCCAAATATCTCGGCATACGATGACCCCTTCACCCCCGAAATCGACTTCGAAACTGGCGAACTTAACAAGAACAAATTTCTAGAGGAAAGACCGGTCCCTACCCGTCCTATATTGCGCCTTGTCCCACGAACTGGTCGTACTATTCATGTCACGAAAAATTCTGATGTAGCACGGTCATTTGCGCTTTTATCTGTCCATGTATCGTCAAACAGGGTCCGACATGACTTGAACTCTCAGAGGTACCACGAGCGACCAGGTCTGAAACGAAAGAGGCTTAAGAGTGAGAGATGGCAGAAGAGATTTCAAAAGGGGTTCAAGGCTTGTGTCAAGAGAGTCAGAGAGTTAACAAAGCAGGGCTGGTAAATCCGGGTCTTTCGTGTATAATTGTCCAGGTCGACCTGAATCACACCATTCATGTCGCCAATTATATAAATCTAAATATGTTGTACATCATGCGACTATGCTCTCGAAATTTCGATTGCATGATTGCATTGAATTAAGAAGCAACAGTAGCGAAACTGTCAAAGTAAAAAGGGGCGAAGCTACCTAATACATGATTTATACGAAAAAAGGCAATGCATCCCTAGCCTTCGGCGTATTTATCACAATCCTAGGGACATCAACTATTCAATATTGGCGTCTTGTCCAGACAAGCCTACAGCCGGTAGCAAACAGCCCAGGGAAGAAAGGCGCGCCTATCGGCATTCAGGAGACGCGACCAGATTATAAGTAAGGTCTATCATATTTAATACACAATGCCGTTACAAGTTAATAGTGAATTTATAAAGATCCCAACAGTCCGATTAGCATCAATCAATAATTTAAGCAGTTGAGGAAATGTTAGCAACGTGTATACATAATACGCAACCAAGAGAAACGTGCCGAGTGCTAAACAGCGCCATGATAGGTCGAAACGGCCTAAAAAGAAAAGGTTCGATTGTCTAGTAGATTTGTAAGAGGAATTGGTATCTCTTATTTACCTACTTAAAAGAGTATGGCAACTAGAAATAGTTAAAATGTAACTTGGAGTCTAAGGACAGAAGAAGACCGAGAAAATAAACCTATAAGATGTACTGGAAACTGAAAAAGAAAATTACGTCTGCCTCTAGCTGGCTCCAGAGGGGTCGTAAGAATATTAATAAGGCATACTAGACAGCCAACTTGAGCAGGGAGAAGTGTATACAAGGATAGAGGTCAAAATGCTAGATACTTCTACATGGAAGGAGAGTAGCGTAGACGCGTCAATATATTATATAACCCAACAATGCCGAGGGAGCTTCAAAAGGCGAAATTTAGAAGCTACGGGAAGAACAATAAGCGGTGAGAGGCAGCAGAGACCTTAAAATAAAGGAGCTGAGTCTCCGTTGCTGAAAGGGATTGTTTTGTCTGGAGATTTAACACACACACAGAAAGGATTGAGAGATGAGATAGAAAGTCACAAGAGTAAATTCCGAATGACCTACATTAGGCTCCAGAAAGACCTAATGCAACACTCCGAAATGTATGCACTTATAGAGGCCATAACTGCCGCTCTCCTATGGATGGCTAGAGGGAGTAATTTACAACTTAGCCGTGCACAAACTGATGCCAAAGTTGCAAGGCTTGAAAGACAGGTCAGAAGGATACGACTAAGGCTTGATAAATACGAAAAGTTTCAAATGGAAAATCAAAAGATCAAGGATATGAAACCGAACAAACAAGAAATCGCGATACTACAGCAAACATTCAGAGAAACAGAACGACAAGATAACAATAAGCCTACAAATATAATACCACAGGAAATAGAAGCGGTTACCATACAGCTAAAATCAAAGGAGGAAGAATTAGCCGGCCTAAGACAAAAGCTAGAGCAAACAATTGTAGAGTTAGAAAAGCTACAGAAGCGGGAAAGTTTGCATCAAGAAGCTCTACAGCAAGAACAGAAGAAATTCAGTGTAAAGTTACAGGATTTTAAGAACACAATGACTAAAGATATCCAAAACTTAACCGATAAGCTGAGCGTAGAAGAGAATAGGAAACATCGACTTTTTCAACATGTTCAAACACTCCAGGGAACCATCCGTGTAATGTGTCGCATCCGACCAGAAGCTTCCAGTCAGTTATTGGAATATAAAACAGAGACAGGATACTTCTACGACCACGCGACTAAGTTAATAGTCCAAGAAGAAGAACTACAATATGAGTTTGAGCGGATATTTCTTCCCGAGGACACAAACGGTGATATTTTCGGCGGAGTCAGCCACTTCGTGAAATCGGTCCTTGAAGGGAAAAAGGCATGTATATTCTGCTATGGTCAATCGGGTACCGGTAAGACATACACGATGAGTAATCTAGATAACGTCAAGAATCGAGAAGAAGGTGTCGACTACGAGAATGATGGTATTATCCCAAGGGTAAAGACAATGATCTTCAGAGAGAAGAAAAGGCTCCGCGAGCTTGGTACTGAGCTTGTGGTTAGTGCACGCTGTTTTGAGATATACGACGAGAATCTATGGTTAATACAAGCAGACGGAAGTAAGAAGAAACCACGGGTTATAAGCAGCATCGTGAATTCAGACTTCCAGACGCTCGACTCAGCTAAAGACTTCAGCGCTTTAGTTAACTCCGGGATGAAAAACAGGCATTTCGAAGCGACTGCTTTGAATAAAACCTCATCCCGGTCTCATTTCATCATCAGCCTCAAAACAGTCACCAAAATCGAAGGTAGTCATGGTAAAGCACGCGAAGGCATATTCTGCATAGTAGATCTCGCAGGCTTCGAGAGAACCGAACAAGCAGAAACCACGGGGAAAACTTTCAAGGAAGGCAATGACATTAACTTATCACTAATGGCACTAAGAAGCACATTAGAAGCTCTTGCCAAGAATGGACCCCTAAAGTTTAGAGATAGTATACTCACGATGGTCCTGCAGCCCTTTCTTGGCGAGGACAGCATGACACTCATGTTTATTATGATTAGCCTCTTGAAGGATAACTGGCAGGCGACTAAGTGGTCACTTGAGCTTGCGAAAATCGTAAGTTAGGAATAATTATGGCTTGTCTACTCTGTTCATTGTATGTTAAGACGCTAACCACCTATCATGATTTAGGCTCGGGTCGCAAAGAAACGAAACAGAGATAGTGAACGTGCGACAGCGGCGGTGGGAAGGAGGCAGCCGAACGTACTAGCAAGTACAGCTCAACTGCGAAGGGGCAAGAAATGAGCAAAAGTCATCAGTTATTTGGAGGAGGGGCGGGGAGATCTTGGTTGGAATTCTCTCGGGTGTCTAATGCCAATACATGTTTACGAGATACATCTTGATAGGTATATCCACTTGGCGAACGCTCGTGAGTCTTAGTAATGTATCATTCCCGGTCAAGGGTGGAAAGGAGCGACAAGAAGAAAAAAAAGCCTCAAAAAAGCTGATCTCACCGGTACCCTTAAGGCCGTACTTCTGCATACACCGATTCAGACGCCGCTTTGCCATTGCGTCACGATGAATCGCCTTCCTCTTACGAGACGTGAATATCGGGGTCGTTAGAATATCTGCTCACTCCTAGGATTAGGTTTTACTTCTTTATGACAGGGCCTTAATCAAGCCTCAAACTTTGCCATAACCACCGGGAGATTCGTAGGTTGTTATTGGATTAGGGCGGGTCTATCCGTGCTTCTTCATACATTAATGAGGCGACAAATGGCGTCTTGACTTTACTTGCCGGTCCCCTGACAATCATTGAACACACTTCCCCTTGACGCACTTTGCCGCCCCATAACGGCCGCGCTGTGACCCCCTTGTCAGTTAACGTGTTCAAGCCTTCTTGTTACGGACTTGCCGTGTCACTTTTTAGCGAGCAGTAGGTACATTCCGGTTGGGATATCCTTAAGAGGCCAAGAGAACTCACGCTTATTACAGCAGCCACTTGATCCCGTAATATTTACCAGTAAGTGAGTTCTATGAATAGAATAGAAAGTTGATCGCTTGTTGACTTCGAGTAGACCCTTGTCATCCTAGGCTTGGTCATTTCGTCTATGCCGTGTAGAAGGGAGTTGAGTGATCAGTAGTGAAGGACGGAATACATTGGAGGTTCCAGTCCCTATCGCTAGTACATACATTGATACCTGTGAATCAATAATTCTATGCGCAGATGCATAGGTAGGTAATGCTTATGTAGCTGCGAGGCACATTACAGGCTGGCCAGAAGGCTCCACCGGGGAAAGATAAACAAGCCAAAACTTATCACGACGATAACGGTTGTTTCGGAAAATATGCCTCAAGCTCTTGAAAAGCTATTGTCTCGAGGGTTTTAGGGGGTCGGCGGAGCTCTTTCTTTTAACCACTTCTTCCCCCTTCTTAATTAAATTTCATTTTGTAATGTTATGTTATTGACGAAATTTATCAAAACGTCTTATTAAAACTTGAATTCACTATAATTTTAATAATATATAAAACAAGACGTATTACTCTTGTATAACTTCGTCCCGGCATTCGAAATAATGTTCACTACTATTTTAATGAGTGAACATTGTCGTTAGGTTGAAAAGCTCCACTACGAGAGCAAGTAGTCCAAAAAAAGGATACGAAGGTAGGTTTTTTTTTTTTTTTAAAAAAAAAAAAAAACTGTCTAACAGGCCGGATGATCAGATGATCTGGTCCCATCACTACTCGAAGTAATGCCAAAGCCTCATCCCAGATTCGCTTCTATGTAACTTGTCCTTGAGCTAAAAGAACAAACCCTGAGACTCTACCTTTTATTAGTCTCGTACGACTCTGAGAACATGTCGGGAGACTGGGAGCGATGGCTTACGGTCGAAGCTCCGGGTGCTGCAACGCGGCATCAGCCAGTTGATGACCATCGTGTTCCAAGCCCCGTCTTGAGTATTTCCCCGCTACTGCGGCACTGCTAGGATGGGGTAGGATCTCAGGTACTCTCCATCAATATTTGTCGAACCGAGGACATGTTTATTCGTGCCTAACCTAAGGTATATAATTTCAGACACAAGAAACATCAATTATGTAGCTACCTAGGTAAGCACCTGCAACAAGGCATACATGATTTTGTGTGACTTTGCATTCACCGCCACCTACTTACATAGGTACCTACCTAGGTAGATAAATATATACGATTAAGCATATCTGCACATTCGAACCCCAGGAGAGGCCTACCTAAGCTGTACTTGTTACCTGGGTACTTATAAGAACTCTCCTGTGAAGATACCGGTAGGATCAACGCGCTTCTTCAGTGATTGAAGTCTACCCACTGTGTCGGTATCTTTGTAGCGGTACTCTATAGGATCTTCACGGGTAGTATTGGTATAGGAGATGGATGCTTCCTCTCCAGTACCCTCACGCATGGCAGCTTGCGCCTTATGTTCCATCATATCGACGAACTCATGGTTGGAGGCATCTGTATACCAGCTCAGAATGTTACTAGCAAGAGTCAGAAAATCCTGGTTCCAATACTCTAAGATAAGATTCCATATAAACTTACAGCCAGTACTCTACATTCTCGTTGCCGAATGAAGATCTAAGCTCTCTTTTAGCCCGGCATGGAGTATGCCATTCAACTGTGTACCCTGAGCGTGCTGCGTCTGTGCAATTCTCAACCAGCTCGGAATGAAGCTCTGCAAGGCGTTTAAAGTTCCCAGTACTCCAGCCAGCCAGGCCCACTTGGCTGAATCTTTTCAAATTGCCTTCGGCGCAGACCCAATCTAGATGATCGCTGTGCTTGTCAAAAGTAGACGGAAATAATATCTGCTGGGCTGGACCGGCGTCTACTAGTTATTGGAAAAGTTTGGCAGCTTTAGTGGCTGGCAAAAGGCTTGAGGCGCAACTAACAGCACTTGCTGATTTAAGTCTGTAGGCGCCTGGACGATCATAATATGGCCTGCTGATATGTACTCTGTGCTATTCATGATAGCCTCTAAAGCGACACAGACAGCATCGAGGCTTTGCATAGAGAAGATGTATGTGCCATACATACGTTGTCCGCCTTCGTTTCCAAGTAAGGAGTATGGCTTCGTCTTGATAGTCAGCTCCGTGACTGGGCCAAAAAATTGCCCAGTACCGCAGACTCCCCAGAAAAGCTCCGGATATTGTCTTTCTAAGACTTCTACTAGCTCACCCTTGGAGTTTATGAGTTTGGCAGCGATAATGTTTTCACTACCGTAACCGATGAAAGGGGCGTAAGTGCTGATACCACCGTCGAGGTAGTAGGGAATTATGTCGACAGTGTTACCATTTCCAACAGCTAATATTGACGTAAGTATATGCTAAGTGGGGAGAATGGATCTTTAATTTTTCTATTTTATACCCGCGAACTGTTTATGAAGGTGTAGAGTAATCTGAAATTCCTTCATCCGAGTACCACCTCTGGCCGTGGCGAGATTGTTGTCTGCATCAATAGAACCGCCCTTGTATCGGCTCAGGTCGATAATGATTCCATTCTAGCCAATAGATGACCATTGGCTATGCCCACCTGAGACCGGAACGAAAGGCACAGAAGCTGATATGGCCTCCCGTATAGTATGTACGATGTCGTTCTCGTTTGCGGGTTGAACGATAGCAAACGGTACCTTTAGCTTGTAGTTTGACCAGCGTCTCATGGATAATTGAAAGTCGGAGGACTCCGTATCTCTCAAAATCTTCGACTCCGGCGATAGCTTGGGAAGTAAAGACGAAAGGAAGGCGGCACAAGGCATAATTGCTCAAGAACATAGATAGAAAGGGATAAGTTGGAGTAGAAGTAATCACGAAAATGTATGAGGATCATTGAGGGGCTAGAGATAAGGGAATTGAAGATGCACGGAATTAGAGTGCGATAGAGAGAACAAAGCCCAACATGTCAAAAAGTGTTAGCGAGGGGAGACGTATGATAGCATTGGCAGATTCATCTGTGACTAGGATGCTAGACCCGGTCGCCTTTTGAAGTAAGGGATTAAGTACTTATACATGATATCGAGAGGTACAAGTAAAATATACATATATAAACTCATTGTTTGAAGTATTTCGCTGTTTTGGCCTTCACTGCACAGTGTCCGTATATTAAACTGCCGAGACCTCTAGACGAAATGATTTATCTATAACTATTTTATTTTTTGGCATGGCCTCGAGAGGGTAGCTGTCGAAGGCGTGGCTAGACGCTTGGCTAGAGCCGGATAAGAACCTAGCAGGCCAACAACACTCTTAACTAGGTGCTAGAGTAACGTATGTACCAACCGAGTACCAAGTGATACCTGAGAAGTACACAAGAGGCTGGGTTGTAGTAAAGGATATCGCCCATCCGAAAATAACGGCGCGCGTGATGCCTATAGTAATGACCCTGTTTCGGTTAGCTCTGGTATACGCTTCTAGAAAGAAAAGGAGTTATTGTAGATAAATACAGGTTTTCCTGGAATAACGGAATACGAAATAAATTACACATATCCGAGCAAAAATATCCGGCAATGGCAATCTTCTGTTTCCAGGTTAGCTTGAGCCGACGAACATGTTGTATAGGTAAGTACGACGAAAATTGATACATTAAAGATCAGATCTGAGATGTCTAGAGAGAAATAGAATCGCTGAACTTTGATACAAGCCGCGCCACATTTTATCTCGAATTGGTTCGAGAGAGTCGCTTTCTCATATATATAGAAGTCCTCGGTATGCGCGATCTGACCGTTCACAAGTGCTTGTTAGGTGCCGAAGCCGCCGACCGTAGTTGCTGTTCAATAACAGTTAGTCTTAAGTGCCTATAATTACACTCTTCCTATTAACGACATGCCGATGATTTAAGTTATCGACAGCGCAATATAGATAACTATTGACGGGATAGTGATCCAGTCATCAATGCCTAGTATCGCTGAGCTTACCGACCGTGCGCAGAACCTGAATCCGACCAAAATAATAGGTACAAAAACGTCTGTCTGGTTGGAATTCCGGATATTGACCTTATGACGTGACGATACGTATATAAGGTAGAATTTACAAAACGAAGTGTTAAGTTTGGAAGATATATCGGTTGGTACCTAATATTAGATTTATTAGCTGTTAGCTCTTAGTTATGCATACGGAACCAGGCGCTATTGGTAATATCAACTCGATGGATTTAAAGAGGTTGGTAAAGTCAGAATTCTAAAAATCGATTCAAGCGACGGATGAATAGGTACCTAGTTAATACACTAAAGCGAAAATGAGTTTTCAGGTATTAATCTAAGACTATAGCTTCACTATAGCCGAAGGTAGTTAGAAGATTCCAAGCCTTTCTTGTAAAGGTATATTCGTGATATTTACTTGATCTACTACGAGCACCGTTTACCCAAAATTAAGGACTTTAGTTTTGACACGACTGTATCTAATACTAGAAATAGATTCGTAGCACGTTGAGATGGGTTTTCTATTGGACCACAAACAAGGTAGGGGAAAGCTTATTTCAGGGGCACCAATATCAGATATCTGCCTCAGTCCTTGTCGATTCTTTCAAGCATACCCTTGGAAAGAGAAACGTTCGTGCCAACGCTCAACTGTCTCGATTTTTTGATTTGCTCAATATGGCTTGGATTCCTAGACACTGTACAGATAAAGAGGGAGGTCCTTCTTATATATACATTCCATGTCACTATTCCATATACTGTACCTGAAAGTAGTCTCTTAACTATTTAGTTTAATGCGGAGATTTATACCTGATTAAATCCTATATATATTTCTAAAATAGCCTTAAGAGCTTAGGACCTCGGTCTAGCGATGTCAAGTGATCCAAGTACAAACGTTTGAGCGGGACATTAAGTCAGCCACATCAGCCAGCAGTTTGTTTCCGTGTAGCATAGTGCGTGAATCTTGCCGAAACTCCGCCATTAGATATCCACAAGGATTCAATGTGTGCAAAACGAAAGTCCGAAGATAATAAGAAACTAGGTTACTAGGGTAGTACGGCCGCAAGGATTTAGAATGGCGACGGTTTTGCAGGAGAAGAAAATTAAAAATACGAAGTTGATAATTGGATAGGTACTTAACGTACCTCCCTATTACAAGGTACCTCTTATACTTCAAGGCCCCGATTAGCTACCTAATACACCCCTTAGGTAGATACATTAGGTGCGTTATCCTTGATTATGAGTGCCGCTAATGGAACTCGGATGTTCTTGTTCAGTTATGTACTTTAGAAAAGAAGAACCAGGAAGATCTTAAATAATCTATTATTATCCCGGAATGCCGTATGATAGGTCATTCTTAAGCTACTTCTTTTGCCAATGGTCTCTGTCCTTGCTTGGCGGTGCTTGTGAGAGTAGCTGGTTAGGTAGGTATATTACTTCGGGAGGGAAGGAAGACCAGTAGCCACGCCTTATAAGTACCTCCTTGAAAATGCAGGTACGATGATTTTTAGTTAGGAGTACGCTGTATGTCATTGTGATGCCGGCACTTCCGCCGAGTTCAGGTACATTTTAAAATAATTTCCTATCATTTACGACGTTTTATTTGGTAACTAGTAGCTCGGTTATATTTTGTAAATATCGGGTTTTTAAAGGTCATGACAGTGTCAGGATTCTAGATGAAACATCTAGAACAAAGAACATGTTCAGTATATAGACGTAGAACCTTCTAGGTAGTTAGAGTTCCTTGCGGAACAACAAAGTTGTTTCCATGCTGTTTGGTTCCACCTCGTGACAGACAGTATCCTACCCAAATATACTTGTCCAAGTATTTCTTGAGTCTTGGGCTTAATTGTGTATTAAATGTAGGCTCTGGGGGTGGTATCATTCATATCGCGTCGAGTTCCTCTAGATAGGTAATGATGAGGTAGTGGTGGATGTAGTACGGCTCGGGTGATATAATTAACTCGTGGTGGACGTAGTAAACAAAAGGACCTGAAGGAAACTTGGCGGTGAGTCTGGGTTGTTCTACATACTCAAATAGAATGGTTGACATGGCGAGAAATGTTAACATACCTATTCAAACCGGTTAAACCGGCCTTCCTCGCAGCCTGTTTGTATCTGAATATAAATCCGACTCGAATCTGAATAGCATATGAAAATATTAGAGACATGAGGCGAAGTTGAGCATAGCAAACGGCGATATTTAAGTGGGCTGGCATGAAATATTTCTAACGGTACGATTGTAGCATTTGAACTGCGTATGGAGTTGACTCTCCTACCCATTGACAAACGTTTCTATGTACTGATTCGCGTACTACTTCCTCAACCAGGGGTTATAGACCAAATATTATAGGTATGGCAACACCACGACGCACAGATACATGAAAGGGGAGTGGAGACCAGATTGGTACCTTACTGTCGCCCAAAGAGAATTGCAGCACTCTGTGCGCTATGTTTCTGATAAAGCACGGCCATGCCTTAGAGATAATATGGGGAACCTCACGTCATTATCAACTGTCAGAGCGCATAGCAAACCATCTTCGGAGGTCTTCGGTCATCCCTAAAAACACCAATATCTGGTTATAGTGGAATGGAGAACGTGACATAGGGGATCTCGATGAAGGCTCCGTCCCCTCGGGGTGAGAATTTGACGCGTGTCCGTTAGTTAAATGTCGAGTGCTAAATGGAGAATATTTTTCGGCAGGGCTGAACATTTGTTGGTTGATTATTGAAAAGATGATGGTCTGAGCTCTAACTAACTCATACTACTTTAGCTCTCTCTCTTTTCTTTGCAGCTTTTCGCGTGGCGACAGGGATAATGAAACGACACCATAGCGAAAAGTGAGGCGGAAGAAATGAATTAAAGATCTTTAAAATTTTGGTTGGTCTTTAGAACGACGAAGATGTTTATAATTCGTGTTCGCCTCGAGTTAGCCCGAGTAAAATCAATATGGTGCTTTAATTGGTATTTTTAGGAAGGCCGTGCCGTTGATACCGACACCGAATAAGATAATGGGACGGTTTTTTTTTTATCAATTTCCGAATCTAATTATGGTGGACTAATTATTAATACACCCGTAAGGAGTTGGTAAGCCTGTTCACCAACCAAAGAAGGTCTATCCGGTGAAGTATAGTAAATGTTGTACATTCTTCCGGTAAGATAGCTTGTAACCAATACAAAACCCGAACCTAAACTTCCTCTTGTGAACACACAATCTGGATATATACGTGGATAGATAGGAGGCATTGATACCCCCTATACCTGGAACAGTCCAGACAACCTCCCACAGACCACCGAATCGTTTGATCGTGGAGCCACAAAATGTGATTACGTAGCGGCTATAGATTTAATGACAATGTCAACTCCAATAGCCAAGCCCTTTAGGTTGTTTGAAAGAAAGCTCTACGAATCCAGGCCAGCCTGGTCTGCCTTGCCATTATCGCAAAGGGTGCCGTTGGAACTATTCTTTCATATCCATGAGGGCCACCAGGCCACACATGGAGCTCTGCTTGAACCCCGCCCTCCCATAGCTTGGAGGCGAATGCCACAATTTCATCCCGAAAGGGTTCAGCCGAAGCGCAGTCGAGGTATGTCGGTGGCAACCCTGAGAGATCCTGCCCTCGACCGGGTGCTTCGTATTCAGTAACAGAGTTGCTCCCAGCGCGCTCACCGAGGAGACAATGCCAGGCAAACCTGTTTAGGGTCGAATTGTAAAATGGGCCAGTCGAGAACTGTTGGGACGAAACCTTTTCATTCCTATCATCGAGCATAGGACATTCGAGAACAAGGCCACACAGCTTCGGGCCGCCCTTATCACGTGCCATTAATGCTGTAGCCGCTGCCAAACCGCCCCCAGCAGATGTGCCGTAGAGCAGCAGGCGGTCAGGATCGATACCTAGTTCTGAGAGGTGCTTACCAGCCCAGAGTAATGCAGCGTAACAGTCTTCTGCAGGCTGCGTACCTGTATTCTCTGGCGCACGTCCGTACTCCACACTTATAGCGATGGCATTGAACTCCCTTGCCCATACGACACTAGTATCCAATCCCGCGAAGCGATCTGCTGCAACTAAGGCGCCACCGTGGATGTAGAAAATGCATGGATGCTGATCACCCGTCGCGGCCGCTGGCCGTACAACCGAGACCGTTAGATCCCTTCGAGGCCCAGGGATTGTGACGTCGTCGACTTGAACACTCTCGTCGGTAAGTAGAGCGTTCGTGAGAGGTTGAGTCCTCGCCGCCGCATCCTTCCTAAGCTTCTCAACCTCATACCTCTCAGGCGTGCCACCTAGAGCCTTAAATATCGCGTCTATCTCAGCGTCATAAGGTGGTCTTGGCAAGCGGTCAGCTGGCCCCGCCAAAACCTTGCGCATTCTGAGTGAGGCCGTAATATGTGTAGATAGTCCAACAAGTCCGGAGTGGCGTAGGGGTGAGGGCTTCCGTGTCGAGTTGAGACGCCCTTGAAAGTTTGGGTACTACGCGCCCAAGAAGTTACCAGTCGAGGAGACGGTTTGACATTTATATCGGAGCATTACATGTACAGGGGCTAGTCGATGGCGACAAGCTAACCTAGCGTGTCTATTGCAAGGGATGGAGAACTAGCTGGAGACACCTTAACCAATCGCGTGAAGCATAGCAAGGAAAATTTCCGGCAGTCGGTGAGGATCGAAGAGAAGGCGTCTTTGGAGATCGATTCCACAAAACACGGTTCTTTGGAGAAACGGCCAAGCGGATAGCGAAATAACTCGCATATCTCGAACCAGCTTACCAGCTTAACAGCTTAACATACGGTTAAGTTCAAATAGAGGTAGCTTCCTATCGCAACAAATATTTGGAATTAAGAACCGAATAAATGAGAATGAGTGCTTCAGTTAAGTAAAGCTACTACTTTTATCATTTCTTCTAACGATTTAATTCGGTAGTTCGAAACTGTGGTTGTCAGTAAGATTTAATCTAAGTGTTAATGCACTTCTTTTTTTATTACTTGCTTAACGGCCATCTCCTATCTGTTCTCCAAAACGATAGATCATCTGCATAGTGACTAGTCAGAATTTACGTGTCGGCGATAAAGATGGCGACAGAGTGCGGCCGATAATAGAAATATGTATAGAAAGGGGAGCAATTCTTGCCTATAAGAAGTCCCGTGACGAAACTTATATGCATGCTGCATGCAAGCTGCAATCATCCATGGTTCAATACTCTTATATAGAAGCTATATTACAGAATAGAAGCTGCAAGAAGAAACCCGGAGCCATGGAATTCAGGGAAGACGAATGTCTGAGCGGAGTGCATTAAAACGTATATTTGCGTTTATAGGGTATAAGAAAACTCTCTTATATCGAGGAGGGGTGAATAATGGATGAAGGATTTTTTTTTTTTTTTTTTTTTTTTTTTTCAGACTCGTCATATTTCTAATTAAAAAGTAAAACAGATCTGATCCTATCTGCTCACCGATCTTAGCATATTCCCCAAACTATCCCCAGACGCCACTACCACATTATTACGATGACAAGCCGTGGAGTTCCGAAGACGACCGAGGTAGTTCGAGGCGCACTTGTGAATATTGTTCTAAAAGCCGATCAGCGCACGGGCCGCCAAGTATGCGGAACTGTTCGTGATGTTCTAACACGAGGTGACCACCATCGCGGTATCAAAGTTCGACTCACTGATGGTCGTATCGGGCGGATCCAGAGTATGAGCACTATTTCATCAACATTAACATCAACATTAACATCAACATCAAATACTATCTCCGATGATGTAGCATCAGGAAGTACGTCAACCGTAGGTGGACTAGCCGATTTGATGGAGGGGACTACTTCACAGCCACGTGCGCGTCACCCGCGTTTTCGGGATGCGAGGCTAGAAGAGCCGCTTGATATTCCATCTAATCAGGCTGACTTAGGTGCATATATTGTACCTTCAAGACGCAAGGGCAAGAACAAAAATGGTTCCAAGCAGACTGACCAGCCAGATGGGTCGGCCCGGGGCGACCAGTCCTTAAGGAGTAACGTGGTGGCAAATTCTACTACGGATGTAACATCGACCACGGTGACGTGCCCAGTGTGTGGCGCGTTCGAAGGAGACGAGACGGCTGTGGCTCACCACGTATCAGAGCACTTTGAATAAATGAGTCTGCCAGCGGGCTTCTAAACGGAAATTGGTGATGATCAACTCGATGGCTATACAAACCCAAATGCCGATCAAAGAAGGGATCGGGATACTCTGTATGAACCGTAGCGGGGTGATCCTAAAATACGCTTCGTACCATGGCAGGGTTCGCTCTCGTGGCCCTTTGGCCTGGTCTACTCTTCCGCAATCGGTGTTCTACTCAACTATCAGCTCCCAGCATGGCCATAAGCATCCAGCCAGCAATGACGGAAGTAGTTATTGATGTAATGTGCTCAAATGAGTCGTTTCTGACAATGGTGACCTCAAGGTCATCTCCACTGAAGACGGAGATGCCATCAGGGTGTCCAACCCACCATCAAGGTTCTCCCATCTGGTCCCTTATAGCCCTCAAGCCAGTCTATGGGTTTTCTACTACTATATTCTCATAACACCAAAAGTACCTAAATATGACTGATAGAGAGATGAGTGATATACGGGTCCACGACGTTGTTATTATCGGCGCTGGACCCTGCGGCCTTGCTGTTGCGGCGCGATTGTCCGAACGCATGCCGGCAGCGAACTTCTCAGACGATGAACATCAAAGGTACCATTGGATTAGGAAACACCGAAACCAGGCCAGCATAAAAAACTACAAGACAGGATTCGAGACGCGTCGAAAATCGTCTACCACTTCATCAGGTAGTGCGGGCCTAGATCTTCTAGTGCTCGACGCTACAGACAACTGTTGGATGGCGCGATGGGATACCCTATTCAAGACCTTCGATATCTCCCACCTTAGAAGTCCAATGTTTTTCCATGTCGACCCCGCCGAACGAGATGGCCTGCTAGCATTTACGTATAGAAATGATAGGGGGAATGAACTTACAGAGCTTCGGGGCTGTGTTGGGAAGGAACTAAGTAAACACCAAAGAAAGAAGAGGGAGAGGGCCGGAAGAATGTAAGCATTCCTATTCAAGTTTCCAATGCGAACATCTACTCAACCATGAAAGACCACGGACTGAACCCACTGTTGACGAACGTGATCGAAACGATTATTTTGTTCCTTCGACGCCGCTTTTTGCTTCTCACTGCGGATGTCTTATGGACCGCTATGGATTACGCGGCAATATTGTAAGCTATGAAAAAGTAGGCGACATTCGCTACGACTACGTCGAAGACGTCTCCGAAGTCGACAAGGTCTTCACTGTCCAAACAGATAGGGGTATTCATTACGCAAAGACCGTGGTGTTGGCCGTGGGTGGTAACCCACCCCAGATCCCCGACAATCTCTCGGAGGGGGCAGAGGGAGCAACCCACTCCATGCATATTAAGGAATTTCCATCTCCTCACGTTAGAGCGAAACTGAACACCAAATCCCCTGTTAACATCGTGATTGTCGGAGGCGGGTTAACTTCGGCTCAATTGTCTGACCTGGCTATTCGTCGCGGTGTAAACAAGGTGTGGTTGTTGATGCGTGGACCCCTTAAAGTGAAATATTTCGATATAGGGCTCGAATGGGTGGGCAAATTCCGAAACTTTGAGCAAGCTGCCTTCTGGACTTCCGATTCTGCCGAGGAGCGATGGGAGAAGATAATGACTGCTAGGAACGGGGGTAGCATTACGCCGGCATACAAGAAAGTCCTCGAGCGGCATATCTCTACTGGTCGGTTGTCCTTACTACAGAATACCACGATTAAGGATAAGAGTTGGGACCCGTGCTCCAAGACTTGGACGGTGTCGCTATCGGACGAGAGTCAAGAACTCCCTCGGATCGACCATATCTACTTCGCAACTGGCGTTCAGGGCAATTTCGAATGCCTCCCCTTCTTGAAATCTATGTGCTCTGATTATCCCATTGAGAACTGCGGGGGAATGCCTTGTATTACGGAGAATATGGCGGTAAGCTTGTTCCATATTTATTTTCTCTTTAGCCCTGAAAGCCTCTTCGGGGGTTCTGGTAGTTGCTATCGATGTTCCCTAGTCTGGAGCACTTATGTCTTCTTTTCTATATAACATAGCTAACTCCGTATAATCCAGTGGAGAGACGACGTCCCCATGTTCCTAGCTGGCAGGCTTGCCGCGTTGCAGCTTGGACCGGGCGCCCCGAACCTAATCGGCGCTAGGATCGGAGCTGAGAGGATTGCTTGGTCAATCCAAGATGTCCTGGGTGCTAGGGACTCTGGGAGCGATATCGACTCTGGCAAGCGTGATTTCGACTACCTTACTGGAAGGGGTAGTCGCTACGATGCCTTAAGTGAGGGCGTATAGATGCTAGATTGATTAGTTCACTCAACAACCCTGGTTTTATACCAATATTTATCTTCATAAAAAGGAGTGTCAGAACTATGTATTTTACTATGCGAAATACAGTTCGGGGCTAAGGTTTCTGGGCATAATAGTGATATTGCAACTTATACCCCCTAATCTCCCTAAATTCACTCGGCAAATCCCTCAATCTATCTCCAGAGTTCGAAGGCTATGTTGTTTCCATAATATTATATTCTACTAATAAAACTGTAGCCGGTCATTGTCCCAGGATATTCCCCCACCAATACATCAGAGGAATAGAAACCAAGAGATAGTTCTTCTATAGGGACCCAGTCGGCCTTTGCGACAAAATAGTAGTACGTCATTAGAAGTACTGTTGCGTCAAGTTGACAAGATCTAAGGGGAAAACAGGAGTTGTTAAACAAATTGGCGTTCCAATATTCCTTCTGGAGATCGCTCCGCCGAGTGTTCATTTTCTTCATCGGGAAAGGATCCTAATGTCTCGTAAGTTGCAGTGTTCATACTTGACCACTCCCGTGGGTATTCTCTGTCTCTTTGGATTTCATAGCTTTCAGCTGGAGGTGATAATTGAGATCCACCGAGGTAAGATCATCAAAGGTTGCGACGGTGGTCTCCCCGCGCGCCGAACTTCGTGCCCCAGATCGATATATGTTATGGATGAACTTACGCATCCCTGATAAACTTGCGTGGCTCGGCACGAATGGAATATGCGGTGCTGCGTTGTCATTATTGGGCGTAAGATTTGAGGAACTCTCATTGCAAATGCAGAGATCCTACTTGGAGTATCTATGATACTATCTAAGTTCGGTATAGAGTTCGTCGAATGGATAAAAACAGATGGGACTTCCTCGAACCGGGCTGCAATTGATGACATCGGGTATTCTAATGCAGTGGCAGCGCCGCCTGACAGAGATATGAAAGTTAGGTGGCGGAGAGTAAGGTAGGATATTGCTGCGTATGCTCAAGAGAGAAGCTAACACAGAGAAAAATAAAAGGAGAAGGAGAGAAGTCTATTGAAGTAATTAATAAATGGATAGGTACCTACCTACCTAGGTAGCTAGCATTGTTTTGCTGTTAGTATTTGATTTGAAATTTGTCGTGAACGCAGCGGAAAACGTGTCGAGTCGTAACCTTAGGTGCCAACCTACGGAGAGATGTTCCAATCCCAGCAGGTTTTCGAAATAGGAGTAAAATTGCACTAATAGGATGAATAAAATATCACAGAGGGCAATCACGGCAGCCAAAATATAGGAACCTTGAAGAATATTTTTATTGTAAAGAGTAGCAACGTTGTAAAGATACAACTATAAACGCAAATTACCCAAGACGGGGTCCTTCATAGGCCTAAAGCCCGTACAGATACAGGATATCATCAAACTCTCAATTTATTGTACAAGCATATCACTCGCCGCCAGCGAGTCAGTAATCCAATAGGAGCTTAATGCTTCCCAGGGATAATCTTTTCGAAAGTTCTCTTTACTTTAGTAAGTGAGTTTCGTCTCCTCTATTTAACTGTTAGTCTCTTTCATTGCTAGACATGATCCGAGTACTGAACTTACCTCGGCCCGAGCAGCTCGCTCCTCAGCTCCGTGTATCAACTGATATTCAGCCTCTGCCGCTTCGTCTGTAATTCCTCGCTTCATTGCGGCTTCATGCTCATGCTCTTCTTGTTCGGCATGATGTATCATGTCGTGCGCGCCCATAACGGCGCTGTCTGTAAGTCCGTGTCCGTCGGCAGACATGATTGATGTTGTTTCTGATGTTGATAATTGATTTCGATGTACTGGAGTAATCTTTAAAATGTGTATGTTGATGGCAAATTAAGCTAAGTCCTCTTCTAATCGAAGGAAACTCTGACATCTATATAATTGCGTTAGTTTCCTAGACGGGCCATCCATCTCGTGATGTCTCATGATGAATGACTTCATATTTTGATGTTAGCCGTGCGACGCTGCGCGAACGAGACCAGCATCCCATTTACAACCTCGAGATCGATTCGCTCGAAGGTTCGAGTATTTGTTCATTGGCACGTCATACGCTGTCGATCCACCGTCGTTCGTCTGGGGTAAATGCGGAGGAACGCGGAGGAGGGCAAATCCCCAACCCGCCATCATCGCCGACCGCAACCTTAGATCTACGAACAAAATCGATCGCGCCGCTAATTTAAACAACGGGTCCGCGTCATATGTAACATTGGTAAACTCTAAGATTTGCGATATGACGGCGCTTTTAATTATAATAAGTTTAGTAGTTGTTGTCCTTATTCTTTTTTTTCTTGCTCAGCGAGCTTGGCGTCGAATCGAAAGTTCTGTAGGAACGTTCTGGCCCAGTAGATGACTACTTGGGCACCTAAGTCTGACAAATAGCTCTATAGGTATGTTTGGGACCAGAGAACCTCTTCCCTTTTGGTCGGAGAGAAGAATTACAATGGCCTGTAAGCAGTCTGTAGTACGTGGCGAGATAAATGTTCACAAGCTTTTAATTTTGACTACCGACTGTTCTACTATCACACAATACAATACTATATAATATTCCCTCAAGTTAAATTTGCATTGGCTTCAGTGTGGGGGTTCGCATCTGTATGAGCTATTGGCGCCATGTACCTAATGCTGGAACTGCAGTGTCGCCGCTTTGGTCATCGTTGAAAGTACCGCAATCACATTCTATATGATTTATTTAGATGTCTTTCTATACAAACTGTCAGATATAAATATCTGTCCGATATATAATATGTAATAGAATAAAATCTGTTACCAAATAACCTTTTAGTGGTGTAGCGGTATATCGACACAAACTAGAATCTTTTGACTAAACAGCACCTCAAAGCAGGCTCCCCAGAAGTAATGCCCACAGTGTCTGCTAGCTTGATCGTACACGACCCTGCCTTAGGAGGGTATTAAACTGATATCAATTGAACAATAGATATTGTTTCTTTGTAGCAACAAGCTAGCCCCTAATTTCGTCTACCTTAGGTACCTACATACCAGCTTTCTCGTCAAAAGAGCGACCTAATTCCACCGGTTAACCAGGGAACTACCAGGAAAGACCTAATAAATCTTCACCATAGTCTTTTCCACCTGATCTTCATATCTCTATCTGGTGGGACAGATCCAGCACCTGCATACCTCGGGTCGTTCTGAGCAGGACGCTGTGATGGCGACCCGTCTAGTTTCGTCCACTGAATGCAATTAACATCAAACCTTATGACAACCATTGCTATCACTAGCAAAATCTCTTGCTTCGCAAGGTTTCGCCCTGGGCACATATATCCCCCACCACCTGTTCCAGAGCATTTGTGAGCAGGGACTTGAAGTAGGGACCGCGCAAGTAGATTGAAACGAAATCTTACCATAAGGAAAGAATGATCCTGTGTGCCCAGAAATCGAATATTCCAACATATTGCCAGAATTCGCTTCCCTATCCTGAGTCTTTGATGGCTTCACATGTCGATAAGCCCAGAACTCAGAGGCACGATGGTCCGGTGTCCCCCAGACAGCTTCCTCGTAATGAGAAATCTGAGTTGGCGCTTGAACAGTGCACCCTTTCGGCAAAGTGAATCCCGCAATAGAAATGTCCTCTGTTGCGGTTCGAGTTAGGTTAAGGCTTAAGTGTAGGCGTAGGGACTCTGTGTAAATAGATTGAATTAAAGGAAGTGATGCTAGCTTTCGGATGTCAAATGCACGCTTCCCAGAGACGGAATTTGTAACGAGAGCTTGTAAGACTTCCGTTCGTGTGGCCTGAAATAAGTCTGTATCGTTAATAATTTCCATCAATGCCCAAGTGCAAATCGGAATGGTGTTAGTATTCAAGCTGGCACGCCGAGCACTTGTTAGAAAGATATATAAATGTGAATCCTGGCGGACGTGGGCTTACCCGAGAAAGAGGAACATGTAGACACTTGCTATGCTTTCTTTTGAGAATCCGAACGACTTGGCCCATTCCCCAAGCTCTTTTGACAATTGCGAGCCAAACGCATTGTCAAATTCTTTGCCTGTCTTGATGTTGTCCCCATTTGATAATCCTTGCTCCGCTTCTTCGTACCATTTGAGACACACGGAACGTAGGTCTTCGCGAACCTTTATTCCCTTTCTGTTTAGCCACCTTGGTAAACCAAATGCCAGGCTCTCCGCATAGCTATCGTACTCCCAGAACAAATCCATGAATGTTGGGTTATCAGTCAAGATATCCCTACCGACCACGGAGCAAACAGAAGCAGCAGCCACCTCATGACGAATGAAGTTGAATACGGATACTTCAGCCCATTTTCCAATTGGAAAAGTGTTGAGCGTTTCTCCAAAATGATTCTGGAAAGAAACTGCAAGAGCTTCTGTATGTTGAGGTGTCGCTAAATAATCATTATGGATTTGATGTTTGAGATACCAGATACGTTTCTCCGGAAGCACGGATTCATTACCTGGGAGCGGCAACTTTCCGATACCTGATTTGTCCCGTGCTAGCTTGGCCAGGTCTTTATCTGTGTAGCCAGCCACATTCTTGAGTATGAGTAACATCCATAGCTCCGATATGAGATTGATAGAGGATTGCCGAAGCACTGTCGAAACGCTAGCCTTTCCAGTGACGAAATACACTTTCATGGGCCCCAGCTGGCATTCTACGACAGGACTGTTCAGGAGTGCCCGGCTATATTAATTGTGAGAAACTATGTAAAACTGATTATTTCTTGCTAACCTAGTGGGTACTTACGTTATTCTTTCAAGGAAAGCCTTCTTACTTGTCATATATATCCAGATATTAGAGACGTAAGGGATGGTCTCCTTAACCTGGGGCGGTCGTTGAGCATCGTTGTGCCTCAAGAGTGAAGCTAGCATAATCGCCAATGACGCTGTCAGAATTGCGGCAGTGGCCCATGCCCCAGTAGAAGATTGAGCGTATACAGCAAGACTATGAACAGTATTCATTTTGATAAGTTGGCAAATATGCATATATCAACTTCCACATTCGTATGTCAACGTATATTTCTCATACGACCAAAATCTAGCCAAAGCTTACGGGTCAAATAAAAGAATAATTCACAGTCTCAAGGCTTCATAGCCTTACGTGCTCATAGGCTATACTTCCAAGCTTGAAAGTATACCTCGATTCTCTAGAGAGGGGAAACTATAATGGGTATGATCTAAAAGCGGTCATACTAGGGGTTCCCGCAATGTAGGCTCTGAAGGATTACAGGTAGGTAATATCTTTAATGGACGATAAGGCTAATGAGACGACAACGTCGTGATCAATATATACTATGGCATTGTTCAATGAGACTCCAAGTCCTCACTTGATGGAAAGACATGCTGCTTCAATGGCCGTGTACTTCTCCTTGTATACACCATTGTATCATCACAGTGTGTAGTAATAACATCACGATTTATAATTGATAAGTCAGAACAATACGGAAATGCATGATTCCGAATATTTTCTTTAAGTGACCGCAGCGTGTGATGGATTCTGACTTGTAAGTTGGGTGTCGCCTTTTGGTTGGTGGGGTTGTAACGGATAGGTACCTACCTAATATATGCGTTTGATGCTGTGTGACAGTATGGATTAACTGGTTCATCTAATGCAGTGTGGACGGTAAACTGAACCAACTTCTTAAGGAGTACGCGATATGTGAGGCTCTGTCTACCTACGTTGTATGCATTGCCATCTTGAGAAGCATTTCGCGAGATAGCAAAAGGTCTGCCTTTGTAGCCATGATTTCATCGTGTAACCGTTTACAGTCCCGAGCTTCAGTGTGATATGCCTACTTCTATGTGCGACCACAAATGCCACTCCTACTCAGTTTGGTACTACCTATCGTGAGATTGGATCCCTTCTTCCGAATATATATTAATAGCACAGTGCGAGAAAATTGAATCATATCTCCTACGATACACAATGAGATGCAGTAAACAGTTGTCCCTTGGTAAGTTTTAGGTACCTAACCTATCTAAGGTGGTTAAAAAAAGTCTTAGCGAGTACTGAAAAGCTACCTAGGTATCTCGAGTTTCTACCTCAAGAAATTATGTAATCGCTTGGCCGCTTGGCCTCTTACCCCTATTACCCCTATTACCCCTATTCGGGCTCAACATTCTGACAATTGTCTGTCTTGGTGTCTACCATAGAAGGCACCCAGGTATCTATTTAGGCGCCATAACCACTCCGCAGAGTGGCTTCTCCCTCCTACGTACCCTGATCTTTGCCATCGGGTTTAGCATTAAGAACTCGTGAATTCGAATTACCCCTGGTTTCTTACCCCTTATGAACTCGAACTCATATTTATCTAGTAATTCCACCATTATCACCTTAATCATCATATTCGCCACTATCCGCCCCGGGCATGCCCAGCGCCCGGAGCCCCATGTAAGTATATTTCCTGATATTCCACTAAACGGTGTCGCCTTGTGACGCTCGAGATCGTCATTGTAGAATCGCATGCCATCGTACGTATTTGGGACATGCCCCGGTGCGCCATGATTCGCGATATAGGCCATTATACCCTCCTGTGAAGCTAGTGCGATGAACTGTCCGCGCTTTAGCTGGATACCGCAACTCAACTGGACATCCCTCTGTACGACACGTTGATACACGAGCGCAGCACCTGGTGCGAGGCGGGAGGTTTCTTTCAGTGCCGAATCCAGCTTGTAAAGTCTTTCCAGCGCAGATAGATCCCACTGTCCCTCTATATCCGAATGCTTCTGTTTGATCTCTTCGCGTACCTCCTTCAAAATATCAGGATTTGCTATAAGGTCTACCAGAGCTTCAGACGCGAGATTCGCCGTGCTATATGTTGCACCTGCGATAACGGCGGCACAGAGATGACATAAGACGTGCTCGTTGCGCTCAATAGGAGTTTTAGCATCGTGCAACATCCAGGAGATCAGGTCACCTCTCTTTGAAGGATCAAAGTCCTTTTCTTGCAGTCGACGGCGCACTTCAGGGATCACGATGCGATCCCAGGTTTTCCAGCCGCTAACGAGACGCCACTTGGCAGGAAGTAACCAGACGATCACGGGTTGGAGAAATGAGGGCACGATACGCATACAGAACGCGAGAGTGAAGACTATCCCGTGTTAGGACGATGAAATAAAGTTATGTTCTCTGCTCAATGCTACTCACCATTCTTAGTATGCTCATGACAGACCTTTACAAGTTCAGGGTCATCGCAAATTGGCGGTCCAAACAATGTAAATGCTAAACATTCACTAATGCAGCGTACGAGTGCATCAACAGGATCTATAGATACCCATAAACCAGGCTCCTGGGGAAACAAGCGATCTAGTCTCGTTGTCATGCGCTCGGCCATTGGTAGTGTGGCCCCGTTGATTGCCGGGCTAATCCGGCCTAAAAGCGTTTTCACATGGTAACTCGTCTTGAGAATAACGTGCATTCCTGTCAAGTGGCCGAGGAGACTAAAACTATGATGTTTTCTCGTATTGAGGACGTCTACAGGTAGACGGTTCAACTCAGGGATGAAGCTTGCCGGAAGTACCACGTAGTCGGCATCACCGCGCTCCAGCTGGTAAGGCTTTCCCCCGGACTGGCAATAATGTTACTATCCATATTACACGGATGTTACGTCGTTGATGTTGATATTGAAGCACGGAGATGCTACTCACCTTCCTATATCCCATTTGCAGGATTTCACGAGCAAATAGCGCCCAGCGAAGCCGTGCGAACAACCTAGGCTCCCAAGCGAAACGCCTATTAATGAGGGGGAGCTGCCCTGAAACGACATATTTCGGGCGTTTGAGGGCAAGTAGAAGAAGAATGAAAAGGCAGAAAAACGCAGCCACAAGGAGGAGGTGTAGTCTGTTTGGGACCGCAACAGCAGCAGTCATCCAAACTACGTGGCTCATGTTGGTCTTTGTGCGTAGTACAGAGAGTAATGTAAGCATCTAACGACTCATTTGAACATCCAATGCGAGATTATAGGGACCTAATGTAAGTATGTATTATGAACCTGTATGTATTCATGAAACTACATCTCCATGTGCACCCAAAGTGCCTTATATAATAATTTCCGATTGTAGTATCTGATACAGAGACTTAAATGTCTCATTGGAGGAAACATGCGGCTACAATAGCCGATACGAACTTTGGAACCGCGAACAGTTGACCCATGCAGGTCACCTGGAGGTATGTACCTATCTAGGTATGCGACAGTGCAAAACACTGTCTATAATAGGAGCAGGGATATAATATTTAGGTGATAATGCAGGCTACAGCCTGCTTGATATCGGACTGCATGTTGGGTCGTGCAGGATGCTACGATGCGCCGGCATTCTGTACAAAAGCTCCCATGTAGCTTAGGAGGTAGGTAGGTCAGGTCGTACGGTAAGAGGAATTCTCCAAATTCCAAGAAGCAAATGGCTAGCATTGAAATCTTTTCCTCTATCAGGCCTTTTTTCTCCAGTATCCAATATTCAGCGAACGTAATTCCAAGCAATCGGTGTCGCGAACGTTGTCAATTCTGTTCATCATGATGTTCTTTACTAAACGACAAGCCGACAATGCGATGCCAACGCCGTGCCTGGTCACTACAGCCTTGGTAATTGTTTCTGTTATTTTTATGCTCTTATCACTTGCAGCAACCGTCCTCCGGTTTAAGGCACGAAAGATACAGCGCGCGAAGCTACTTGCAGATGATTGGTGGATGCTCATATCCTGGGTATGAAATTATACTACCATTGCTATGTCACCTACCTGGCTCGAAACAATGCGAGCAATGATATCTAGGTAATATCCTAGCTGCTAATGCTTGCAAAAATCTCATACAGATTCTAGCATTCTTTCTCAGTATCGATGTTTGGGTCTTCGGCTCGCTTACTGGGCTTGACTACTACAAGATTGATCCTATTAAAGGAACGACATTGTCACTACAGGTTGGGCCATATCCAAATAGTCTTACCAGAGAGCTTCCTGACCAAGTCCACATATTAGTGTTTATATGTGGCTTCCATTCTTACTTTGCCGGCCTTGACTTCGGTTAAGATTGCTGTCTTGCTTTTCTATAAGCGAGTTTTTGCCACGCCAAAGTTCAAGATTGCCGTCTGGACCTTAATAGCCATACTGTTCTGTTGGTGCATATTATTCATCTTCGTAAGCAGCCCAGAGTCCTAGTAGCAGCTAGAAGCTCGAGAGAGCGCTAACTACGTCTCAATTACAGTTAACGGCCTTTCAAGGCGATCCGCTCGACTCACCATGGGAAGTCAACACTGGCAAATTTCGCTATGACATTGCAGCTGTAGGATATGCCCAAGTTGGCTCAAGTATCGCCCTGGACTTCCTTGTCTTGTGCTTCCCTCTCCCTGTCATATCAAGACTTCACATGGCTTTTACGCGCAAGATATCCATCATGCTTATCTTCTGGCTGGGGATCTTGTTAGTTTCCTCCCCAATACCCATGGCCAAACCCCTTCCTAATGGACATTTTATAGTTGCTGCGTCGCATCCATAGTCCGAGTAGTATTCCTCGCAGAACTACTATCTGCCGTCGTCGAAGCCAAGGAATCCATTGGTAAATATCAACCACCACCATTCTGGGACCTGCTGCCGCAATGAAGACTGACTTAATGGAATATCTCTAGCAATCCAATCCAAACAATTCGTCTTCCTCGTTCTTGAGCCTCATTGCTCCATTATAGCCGGCTGTCTTCCGTGCTACGGGTCTCTTCTATCTAGGTTCGGCGGCCGCGCGCCCGAGTCCCTCGTGCGCAGCGTGCGTTCCATCATTTCCCTTAGAAGTTGGGGTTCTCGCCGCGGCTCCCAAGGGTCCGGAGGCAGCAAGAATAAGACACAGAAATCGGAAAATGACATACAGCTGATAAAATCCGGAAATAATGGAGAAATTAACCATGGCGAGAGCCAGGTCGAGCTTACTAGTAGATCACAGTGGCCTGATTCCCGCCATGACGTGCACGTCCTGGGGGGTCCGAAAGAAGACGAACCACTAGAGCGTACAGTTGATAGTGAGATCACACAGGCGGACCTGGTGAAGAACTCTATCAATGTCACACACGGTGTTGATATTTCTTACGTCTAAGCGTAACTATATCATCCACTGGAATTAGATATTAGAGCCTTGCTATTTGCCTAATTACCTAGGTACTCAGGTCGGCACGACGGTTTGAAAAATAGGTGTCGTTGGAAGAGGTGAAGATCTCTTACTCGTGTATCACAAGTGGATAGTTATTAATACATAGTTAGTTTTTAATAAGATACTTCATTATAGGGCTTCAATGATGGAGACCTGAAATTGACCCTTTTGCGCATTAAAACTAATCAAGTGCCTAGATTTAAAGCAGGTATATATTCTTATTTCCAGTCAAAAAGGACAGTTCCCTTTCTCCTTCTTTCTAATAAGCATACGCTGCCATGGTGCTGTGAAAAGGAACTCGTGTGCCAACAAGTTCTTAGGTCTCCCGGTTCCGGGAAGGAACTCGAACTCATATTCGGTCAGGAGCCTAGTAAATAGAATTTTGAGAACGAGGCTTGCGAAGTAGCGCCCTGGACATGCATGCCGTCCATATCCAAAATTGAGAACAGTTGGGCGGGGCGTTGAGAAACGAAATTTTCTTCCCTCGTCGCCATCACTACCGTCAGAAATATTATGTTCTAGCATAAGGCGATAATTGCGAAGCCCATCGAATGTTTCGGGATTAGAAGTGTGTGCAGGGTCGTTCTCGATAGCGTAGATGGGCATCGCTGTGTACATACCTTTGGGGATATGCAAGCCATTTTTGAATGTGTAATCTTCTTGAAAAATACGCTTCATACCTAAAGTAGTGGGCGGTGACATTCGCTGCGACTCGCTAAGCACGCTGTCAAGCTTATGCAGACTGTCATAAGACGATTTATCCCAAGTCCCCGACCGGCTAGTGGCTTCTTCGATCTCAGACCGAAGCTCCATAGCGAGGCCAGATGCCGTTATGTCGTATAGAACATTGACCATCCTTAGGAGGGTGGTGTGAACGGCGGCGAGAGCGAGTAGCACCTCTACATGGGCTATAGTGTCCGCGTCACGGTCTGCCCCCTTTACAGTGTCTACAAGCCAATTGAGGACATTTGAGTCGGATTCATTGGGCTGAGGCTTCCAGGCCCCCTCGTCACTCATATGAAGTAATTCATTGATTCTAGGACCAAGGAGATTTTTGGCTTCTTTCATGTATCTCTGACCAGCCCAGAAGGATGGCAGATGACGGCAGACAAACGACTGCATCCACGAAGGGAAAAGCCGTGTGATAACAATAGTTCGAAACACTATCATGTCACATTAGGATGCAAAAATAGAAACGCTCGGATAGCGATATAAGGTGCTACACCTAGGCAGTAGGGAAAGTGCATGTAGCTTACAGTTCTCAGTATATTCGACTGAAACTTCCAGCCATTTTGGATCATGGGCAAACTCAGGAGTCACAATAGCTTGCGCAGCGATTCTCGCAGATACTTTGGAAAGTGTCTTGTAAGGTTGAAATTCAACCCATTCATGGGATTTGGTAAGAGACTCATCGCATGCGTTGTGTATTTCTACCTCGAGGCGAGGTGTCATTAAACCAAGGCGTGGTGTTACTCTCCGTTGAACGATAGAATGATGAGCTCTACTCTCCAGAATTAGGCTCAATCCTGTGTAATTTCCCAATAAATCATGCTCGAGGGCGGTATTTGGGCTTGCCACCGAGGCAGGCAGGTTTGAAAGCTCTTCAAGGACCGACAATGGAAGAAGTAGAACTTGACCATCATTTCGTATAAGTTGGAAAGCCTGGCCTTTGAACTAAATCAGGCAAAGTTAGAATCGCTATTTCGTTTGGGACGTGATAGCCCCCACCCACCTTTTGATAGCCCCATTCAACGATATCCGCCGCTTTAGAAGCGAATAGGAGGTTCAGAAGAAACCGTGGTATCGCTGTGAAAGGGCTACCTATAAAGGGTATATCAGGATTCTTCCTGATTGATTTTCTCGCCATCCAGCCATCATACACACAATAAACCAAGAAAACAATTAAAGGCAGTGCCCAGTAGTTGCTATTCTCCATGACGAAAGGAGAAATTGGTTCTCGTTATAGGCGACGAAACTTGTTTGCCAGAAAGCAGAGACTAGAAACAGGGATTTCTTAGGTAAAAGGTCTATAGAGCTTTACAGAGATCTATGTATGTCCAGTTTGAAGAAGCAAGTAACATACTAGATACCTTACTAGGTACCTATGAGCAGACTTGCATATTAAATTCGAAATAACTATCGGGATCACGACTTAAGCAAGATTAAGCAAAGATACCAGCGTCGTAAGAGCTACATGTGTGTGCCTACATTAGGTACCTACCTTAGAGGTAATTAGGTATCAACGTACCTAAGATAGGTAGCTTAGGTACCTAAGGTAAGTAGAAAAACATAACCTGACTTGGTGATATTAAATGTTTGGAGAACATTATGCTGTGCAACCGTACGGCGCTAAAGCACTAAAGAATCCTAATAATTGTACACAGTATGTCAAAACTCATTCCCTAAGAGGCTGTGATAAGTCAACCCTTTTTGATTGTGTAACATGTCAACAGTTAACTGTAACCAACTCCAATGTGGCCCGTGCTCAAGACCGTTCCTATCATTACCTATGTGAGGCACTGTGTACCTCCTAGGGATGTACTAACCTTAGGTACCACTTATTATCTACTATTATTTTGTTTGTCAACGTAGCACACTAATAAGTGTCCCCTTCCAACATCCATCTTCCAAATTGACCCGTACAAGTCTTTCCTACTTTGCTACGAAAGTAATACTATTTTTCTTTCTCTTTCTCGTTATCATTGCCCCCCATGAAGCCCATCCGAATCTGGCTCATCCGTAAGTCGAACATGGAAAGCCTCTAGTTACAATTCGTGATGTTAACCCTATTCGTAACAAGCTGCCGGTCCAAATCCTTGGAAGGTAAGCCCATTACCGATTAAGAACTTGGCCGCTATTAATCTTTCCCTCTGCAAGACCCCTTTATCTAACTTAAATATGCAGGTGGTCGTTATTTTCGAGGAACTCGGCATACCTTACAAGATAACATCCATCAAATTTGACGATGTCAAGAAGTCTCCTTACACCGATATCAACCCCAATGGTCGTGTTCCAGGTATGAATTCTTCCTTTCTGTCTCTTGCTTTGATGAACATGATGATTTAACCCGGTAAAGCTATCTATGATCCGAACACCGACATTACTCTCTGGGAGTCGGGCGCTATCATTCAGTATCTTATAGAGCAATATGATGTCGACCATAAGCTCACGTACACTACTCTCAAAGAAAGACATCAACTCAACCAGTGGCTTCAGTTCCAAATGAGTGGTCAAGGACCGTATTATGGCGTATGTGCATGGTGAGTTCTTCGCCTGGTCCTGTAGCCTTATCAATTATATACCCAAGAGGTAGTCAACCCCTCAAAACTTACATTGTGCCGTAAAAATCTAGGTTCAACGTGCTCCACCAGGAGAAGTTGCCCTCGGCCATAGAACGTTACAATAATCAGCTGAAGCGCGTTCTCGGCGTCCTAGACAAGTGGCTCGAAACGCGGCAGTGGCTCGTCGGCGACAAGATGACGTACGCTGACCTGGCTTTCGTGCCGTGGAACGACCGCATCGACTCTACCATTATCTGCAAGCCGCAGGACAAGTTCTCTGGTTTCCCTAACGTACAGGCCTGGCATGAGCGCATGATCTCGCGCCCCGCGTGGAAACGGTGCATGGAAGTTCGGGAGCCTCTGATGAAGGAGCAAGGTTTGGATCAAGAAACAGGAAGACCGGCCCGCTTTAAAACACATCAAGAATTTGAAGAAGCAGTTGCCAGAGGAGAAAGTACCGATGCTTGAAACATGACCAAGTTGTTGGTGAATTAAGCTAGAAAGATGGAAGTGTCCTAAGATAGGTCCATATACTATTTTAGTGTTATCCTCTGATTGAGAAATTATTCCCACGCGTCCATTACACTGGAGTCAACCGCCCTAGAGCAAGACATAGCTGCTACGCATGTATACTCCGCCATTACAACGAAGATTTCCTTATCTATCGTGTAGTAGCCTTCGTACGTTAACTACCTACCTAGCTAGGTGCCTAAGTTAGGTACTCAGGTGCCCAAGGCATAGCTACAGTTTTTCCAATTATAAATATAACTTAGATTCCTACTTAAATTACGCAGCTGAAATAATTAAATATTGCAAAAGTCAATCATCTGTAACTCCCCTATATACCTCTCATTAGGTTTGCCTATATCAATACGCCTGAAGTACCGTTACAAGGTTATTAAGGTCTGCTACCTGTTATCAAATGATTGAGCAAGTTACTTCTGTTTTTCTTCCCCCTCGGCCTATGTAGGAGTGGGCCGCTTCTTGGTAGATGTCCACTTTGTAAAGGCCACAAGGACGAACGAAAGGACAGGTGCTCCAGCAGGTACATACTATATGACGCGCCGTCAGCACATCGTTCTACGTAAACAGGATTATAGTAGGGTATGTAACATACGAATACTTGTGTGACCGAGTTTCCGTACTCTCGGATCACTGTTGATAACACTGAAGGGTCAACGATGGAGTCAAGGTTGGTGGCCCCCGCGGAAATAATGGCTTGTACAACTTCAGGTGATACAACAGCCGACAGATTAGCCGTTAGCCGCTTTTGAAATATTGTCTGTCCTATAGCTGTGAAGATGGTGCAGCTTGTTGAGATTATGGTGAGAAGGGTGGTTGCACCGAGCGGTACGAGTTCTATTGGTAGAGACGCCTGCATACCGAGATGGGCCTGGCACACAGTCTGTATTAGTTTCCTCCTAGCAGTAAGATATAAAGGGAAATTTCAGACAGGGGATGAGGGACTAGAGAATCAAATTGTTACATACCAAATTACCGGCCAAAGAGAACCCGAAGCCGGCGAGAATCTGATAGCCGATCCAATGACCACTAGATATCTCCGGGTAGATGGTGGACAAGAGGCCTCCCCCTATGCACACCAACGCCTCAGCAAGTAGAAGGAAAGGATTCCACCACCCAACAGCCTGTACAATAACGCCGGCGCCGACGAAAGCGGCTACCGCATCGGCAATCACAGTCGGGAAATAGTTGATACCGCTCTGGGTGGGCGAGGCGCCGAGAACTGCTTGAAACCAGATAGGTAACCAATAGATGATAACCTGGAACGGGCCGTTTACGAAAAAGGAGCTTGCACAGATGAGCCAGGCATTTCGATGTACGGTGAATAAGCGTGGGGGGATGAGAGCATCATTCTTCATATAGATCTGCCACGCAACGAAAGGCGCGAAGGCGGCACCACATCCAACAAAAAGACCGATAATAATGGACGAGTTCCAGTCATACGTGACACCACCCCATTGAAGTGCAAGAAGTAGCATGGTCATGGAGCTGGCAAATAACAAGAATCCGAGCCCATCGAGGCCCTTTAATTTGGTTTTCAGGGGCATCTTTTCGCTCGCGTCGGAATGGATGTGGAAAAACGGTACAAAGAGGAGGGCGGCGAACCCACCAATAGGGAGGTTAATATAGAAGCACCATCGCCATGTAGCGTGTTCAGTTAGGGCGCCTCCGATGATAGGGCCGACGACACTCGCTATAGCAAAGGTCGAGCTGATAGTACCTGTGTAGATGGCACGCTTATGAAGCGGGATTATGGTAGTCACCACGATAAAGCCACCCGCGAAGATGCCCGACGCTCCTAGGCCGGCCACAGCGCGGCCTACGATAAGGGCCTTGGATGTGGGCGCTAATGCGCAGACGAGGCTGCCAACCTCTAAGATGCCAACGTACACTAGGTACACCAGCTTTTTGGGAAACAGAACGTAGATTTTACCTGCCAACGGCTGAGTAGAGCACCTAAAATGACGTGAGTGGACAAAGCGAAGAAAAAGGAGGTTGTGATGAGAAGCATAAGTGCACCTACAATGCCAACATGAAGGATGATCCGTACCACCCCACGTCTGTGATGGAGTTGAAGTGATCGGTGATGATAGGAATAGCTGTTGCTATCATGTTTAGGTCCTAGATAAGGGATCAGTTCTGTTAGCTCGCTACCAAATATGCAACCATTAGGTAGTAGTTGTCTGTGCCTGTCAGCTAACACTTACCAGTCCAACAAGAAATGTGAACATGCAAACGGCTGTAAATATCGGGACAAGCCTAATTCCTTTAACTTCATTTTTTGGGTTGATGGTGTTTTCTTCAGAAGCCTGGCGGCCTCCGGGCTCAGGCCCCGTATCAGTTTCCTTGTGAATGGAGATATCCTCGGCGCTCCCTGTCTTTATTTCTGCCTTCTCGGTGTCTGCCATAATACCAAGATGTTCTTAACAAGATATGAATGTAGCCGCCTTGTTTGACTGAGCTACGGTAAAGGGGTGTTCCGGGGGGTTCAGTGAAATCCCTTCCCTCTTAAGGCTGGAACCCGAAAGGACAAGTCAATAAATAAAGGGAGATAACAGGATATCATTATCAAGAATGGTGGGTAGCACACGTACGGTGTTATTAAGACTGTGTCGTATAAGTCAATGTAATGTACCCCAAGCTCCTCTACCCGAATATTACAACGTGCCAAAAAGACTACATAGCATAACTGGGAAGTACCAATGGATATATAATAAATAAAGTCATTTTCAATCGTAAATTAATGGATTTCATAATTATCCATTATGTTACTTCACGTCTTGTTCTTCATTACTTCTCGGCTACTACATCAAATCAAATTCTAATTTCGACATAATTTGTACACAGTACCTAAGATGGCTACTAGGAGTAATGTTATCGATGCCTGCCAGGCTCTTGTAAAAAAGCTGGCATCAGATTGCGCCTCTAGCAGCAATTTTGGCACTATGTCCGTATCTATCTATGATACGGCTTGGTTGTCTATGGTCCAGAAGCCAGGCGATGACAAGGAATGGCTATTTCCTGAGTGCTTTGATTATATTCTTAGGAACCAGCTAGAAGATGGCAGCTGGCCAAGCTATGCCTCCGTATTGGACGGCATATTGAATACTGCGGCATCATTACTAGCTATCCGAAAACACTTATCCCGTAACCCGAAGGCTCCCGACCTTCGAATAATATTATCCAGAGCAGAAGGGGCACTTGCGGAGCTAATACGTGGGTGGGATGTGTTCTCCTGCGATCAAGTTGGTTACGAGGTTCTTGTTACGACTCACCTGAGTTTACTTGAGAAAGAAGGAGTCATATTACAAGTTCCACAATTTGAGCAGCTGAAGACTCTGCGAGAGATAAAATTATCTCGACTGCCAGCTTCATTGGTATACAAGGGGCCATCAGCTCTATATCACTCCCTAGAAGGATTAATTGGTCATATCGATTTTAATAATATTTCCCAGTGGCGCGAATCTAACGGATCAATGATGGGTTCTCCGTCCTCTACGGCTGCCTATCTAATTCATGCTTCGAAATGGGATGATTTAGCTGAGGCATACCTCCGAGATGCCCTGTTAAATGGGAGTGGTCGAGGATGTGGAAGCGTGCCATCGGCATGGCCCAGCTCGATTTTCGAGGTCTCCTGGGTAAGCTTCAAGGTTATCATCTTGTAGTATGAAGCACAACACTTACCTACCATACACAAGGCAATAACGACACTTGCTGAGTCGAACATCCCTATCGGCGAAGCAGAAGCTTCAGCTATAGGAATGTTCCTGGAGACGTCTTTACAAATGCAGAAGGGCATTGTTGGCTTTGGTGATCCTTTTTTCTCTTTTCAAAAATTCCTTTTCATTATGTACTCCCCAAAAAGATGTACTACTGACCGCCTAGCCTTTAGCGCCTGGATCACTCGCAGATGCAGATGACACGGCCAAATCTATAATAGCTCTATTCTATCTTGGTCGAATAGGAGAGCCTTACGTCGAAGCTCTTATTGGCACCTTTGAGACTGTCGATCACTTCCAAACCTACCTGGCTGAACGCAACCCAAGTTTAAGCACTAACATTAATGTGCTTTCTTGTCTACTACTCATAAATGACCCCCTTCCTTATGTACCGCAGATTGCTAAAGCAGCCTCTTTCGTATGTCAAACAATCTTCGTTGGAGATGTCAAGGAGAAATGGGTAAGAATTCCTTGACCTCATTTCCTTCAACTTCGTCCTTCTCTATATCCAGTGTAACTGACATTGGGAGAACAGCACCGACATCAACTATACTGGATGATGCTTCTATCAAAGGCTGTGGTTCTTATATATAAGCAGATGCAGAAAAATAGGACTTTTTGTGAACACCTCCTAGTAACTGCACCTCATCTCAAGGAGCAGATTCCCACTATCTCACTTCAAGTCTTGATGACTGTCTTGAAAATGCAGAATAATCGTGGAAATTGGGAAGAGAGCTGTGAACTCACATCTTACGCTATCTTGACACTATCTTCATTTGCACAACTCCTCTTGGGAGAGGCGGGACTGCAAGAACGGGTATATGATAGTATGAATCAGGGAAAGGTATTTCTCACTGCGCACAGAGCCCAATGGAAAGACGGTGCATATTTATGGACTGAGAAGGTCACATACTCTTCAACTATTCTGTCGCAGGTCTACTGCCTTGCCGCGACAGTCAATTGTGCGACATCGCCAGCTACCATTACAACACCATCACCATTCCAAGTCTCTGAGAGAGTACTACAAGACATGAGCAAAGCAAGGAATTTGATTAGTCGCACGCCTCTATTCAGCCAAGCCGATGCTCAGCTTCTATTTGCTGCACAGTTGCAAGCCTGTTATATTCTATCGGACCTCCAATGTCGCCGTCTAGACATATTTCCACGGACGGGGATGGGAAAAGATAAATATCTGACATTTATTCCTCTCACCTGGACGGCATGTATGTCACTACAAGATGACTGTGTCAGTCTTGCGGTGCTTTTCGACATGACGGTCTTATCGATGCTGAATTATCAGGTAGACGAATATATGGAGAATATGTTGGAGCATGAGTACCAATATAAAGAGGGTTTCGCATCAGCGCGAGATACAGTAAGGAAATTATTTATCGAGACCGCTCCTAACAAAAATAAGCAGGGTGAAGCTCCTAAGAATTGCAACATTCCCCCACGGACATCGAAATCAAACCTACCAGGCCGCTATGACAAGGATGATACCAAAGTCAATGGCCATGAGAATGGCAGTAGCCTTGACCTTAGCCACATGAAAGTGGTACTTAGTCGCTACATCGCCCATATACTTCAGCACCCCTCGGTGGTAAAGAGCACTCGAGATATGCAGACCCGACTCGCTAGAGAACTTGAAACATTCCTTCTTGCTCATATAGACCACGCAGAAGATAATTATAAGTTTGCTCATCAATCGAATAAGCGTTCAATGAGCGTTCCCGTTCCTAGTAACAAAACGTCACATAAGGCCTACAACGGGAATCGCGACAGCGCAGGAGATGCGAAAGGGGAAGATATAATTAATGGAGCCCGAGGATACTTCAAGAAATACGAGAATCCAGGCCGGACATTCTACAACTGGGTACATAACACTTCCGCAGATCATACCTCGTGCCCCTTCTCCTTCGTCTTTTTCCAATGCCTGCTATTCGCTACCCACGGAGACGTTGCGGGCCGCAAGCCCAAGATAGCGTACCTTGTCGAGGACGTGTGCAGGCACCTCGCTAGCCTATGCCGAATATACAACGACTACGGCTCTCTAGCCCGGGATCTTGATGAGTCGAATTTGAACTCGCTCAATTTTCCCGAGTTCTCTGTAGACGATGGCGGCATAACAGAACAAGAGGCCAAGGCCCAGCTTATGAGCATTTCAGAATACGAGAGGCGTTGTCTCAATGTTGCGCTAGATCAGTTGGATCATGAGATTTCGTCAAGCAGTGGCAGAAATAATGGTAAATGGATGAGTGCGATTAGATTTTTTGTCAATGTTACAGATCTTTATGGGCAGATATACGTCGTGAAGGATATTGCTACGAGGAAGTAATTTATGTACTTACCTAACCAAAGGCATAGTTGCCATTTTAAATTGAGAAAGGGGGTTATACATTGACTAGGCTGTCAGAAAAGCAGCTATAGTGTACGCAACGAGTTAGCTGGCTACTTACTGGGTACATGGTTCAGATACTAGTAACGTACGACTACTTCTAGTTGTTTATTATCAATAATAGTAACTGGGTAGGATAAATTTCAAACGATTCATACAGCATTGTATTCTTAACATGTGAAGTACTAGCGATGGACCGGCTACAAAATATCCAACGTACCCAAGTATACGTTCGTCACATAGATGTAGAAGGCATCTCAATTGATACCTCCGCAATGAACGCCTCGTAACTTGAGATATATTAGGGCTAGGAAGTTAGAAGTCTCCGATGGAAGCTCTTAGATGCACGGTATAAGGATAAAGCTATAGAAAGTTAACTATAATCCTAGACGATCGTTGACCCTTTCGTTCCATCGCTTCCATTCCTGTTCTCATAAATAAGGAAGGGTTTCCCTTTCGGAACCAAACCAGCCATCCCTAGTCTCCCGGTCTTACATATCAGGCCTAATATCCCTTAAAGCTTGCGGCCACGGAAAAATGACCTTCTCTCGACGGCATCCCGGGAAAAAGCACAGCCCAAGAAGCCAACGCTTAGTATATAGGTACGGAATGTCACTATTTCCTTGATTCTTTACAAAATGTACCTCAAGAGAAACGTGGCGATCTGTATCATTGACATAGTATCCATCTGTGCCAATTTCCTTAGGTTGCGAAGCAGTGAATGCGAATGCCGGCCTGTTATCGGAGCCCTTCTTATATGCGCCCTCCCAGATGAAGATTGCCGTATACGGGGTAGTATGTCCCTCGGGATTCCAGAGTCTTCCAAGTCTTAATGCCTTTCCCTCCTCAATCGCGCCAGCTACCGCCTCTGCCATCATGAGCATATACTCTCCCACAAATTGGTAAGAATCGCTTCCAACATGTTTCTCGCGTAGGTAGGCTTCAATATCATCGGCAAGCTGTTCTTGGCGGAGCCATCTTAACATATGAGAAAGCTGAGTGAGCACCTTCTGCGCCGGTAACGCCAAATCTTTTCTCGGCTTGTCTACCCAGGATGGCCAATGATCAAATTCCATGTCGAGAACTGGACTCAGCTCCCATATATGACCTTCCGTTCCGATCCCAGTTTCGTTAAGTTCAACATTGATGAACCGGCAACCTTTGTTAAATGTTAGGCTAAGTGCACCCGGTGGAGAACAGAACTTGTTGAAGCATTGCATCTCGAGGAACTCAGAAAAACACATGTTAGATACTGATTTATTTTTCGAGAACCCGTTATAAAGAATCAGTCCGTTTAGAAGACACATGGCTAACATCGATAAGCTGAGGCTACAGCCGCTCTGTTGTAAATATCGCTCGTTCAGGCGAACTGGATAATCGCAACAATTAGCGACGATCGAAAGACGATCCCACGGTTCTTTGACGCCTCGCTTTTCGATATCGGCAATTATGGCTGGATCCATTGGGTTCGATTTCGGTAGTAACTCCTTATATCTTCCGGCTTTGCTTAAGATGCATTCTATCATCTCCTCCACCCCGGGCGTCATATCTCCTCTACTCTTCAATCCTAGGCAGAGGCCGGTTGCATTTTCAAACAGGCAAGTTGATTTAATGCAGAGCTCACCTAGGACGCTCCCAAAAACCCTGCATTTCCTCTTCAGCTCTTCTAACAATGGTGGATGCGAAATGAGCAAAGTCATTTCTTTGCCCCCTTTATAATTCTCTTGAAATGTCCAAGCCCGCTGCCACCAAAGGTCGCTTGTAATTTGATATAGTAAAATCAATGCATCTCTTTCCCCCTGATCCGAGCTAACCCCTCGCCTGACCCCTTTGGCGAACTTTCCTGTGAGGATCTGACAGAGAAGTTCCAGTTCGCACTCTTTGTCTATCGGCCGACCTAGCAATGCTACGGGGTACCGGCTTTTCTTATAAACCCAATCCATAGATCGGAGAGCTGCGACCTTCTTGTCATACAGATCCTTTTTATAAGTCTGTTGTGGGATACTATGCCGGTCGATCCAGAGTAACTGTACGCCCATATGCTTCATGTACTTCGTAGTGCGGTCTAAAACACAGTTTCGTACAGGAGATCCGTAATGATTCTTCTGTTTCCTATCCTGTACTAAATAGCGGCCTTTCGCGCTCTTCTCGTACTCTGAAGGGCTCCAGGTGTATGATAAGGCGACATAGTTTTGCTCTTCTGCGACATCAATCCAACACCTATCAAGACTAACCTTCCCAGAGTTGCCATAGTTAACACAGAAGCACTCAAGATTACTAAGAAACTTGGCAGAAGCTTCATTTCGTTGTTCATTTTTTTGTTGAATATCGAGAAGATGCTTAATTATGGACTGCTGATGACGGACAGAAATCCGAAGCAGATGATCCCTAGAGTCGTCGTTCATTTCTTTTCACTCGTTCATGTGGTGAACTTTGCAGTATAGGTAGGAATAGGAGTAATTTATACACGAGAGTGCAACCAAAAAGACTTTCTCAATCTGCTATGAACTTTGGAGTAGCTATTATCTGACCGATCATGGTGACGCGATAAAGTATTTCACACGCGTTCTGTAAGATTTAAGCTTTATTTGCACGGGTCGAACGCGGGGAGGATTACTGTCCGTACCGCGAATGGTTGTATTGGTACTGGCAGTTTTACTATTCGCTGCATTTGCCGTGACATCTGCACAAGCATCGGAAGCATCGTTTATTTACTCCGATCTATGATTGAACTTAGGCTCTGATGTGAAGCTGTCTCTTAATTTGTCACTCTCATTTACAAGTGATACTAACTTGAATCAAGATAGTCTACCGTGCGCGTCTAAGTAATATTACAAGTTCCAGTTTGTTGAACAGCGACGTCTTTATAATTCGCCTGCCCGTTGCCTCGAGTTTACTGAGGAAAAGAAAGCCTGGTACCCGATACTGGAATTACACCCTGGGGCTGACGGTGTGGCTGGCCGTATGGCCATGTGGTTGGACGTGACATTTGTAACACGTAACCTGATAAGACCTGGCGCTGACAGTAACTATTGTATATCCTGAGAGAGACAAAGGGGTACCTCCTATTTTTAGGTGTTGTATATCTGCAAGAATAAAGTGATACCTATGCTAATATTAAATAATGTATTGATCACATTAGTGGTTGGGTATATTGGTGGTATAGCTTAGTAGCATCTTGTGGTATTTCGTAAGTTCTTTTGAATTTCAAGATACGCTTGTATTTAGCAGAGCTTTAGCTATAGAATAGTAGAAAGAAACTATCACGGTTGCCTAAGTCAGCGGAATAGGAAGACGATTTGATGCTATCTTAGGTTGTCACGTGAGTGACCCCTATTCCGGTACTCGAATACAAGAATGCTGACAAGTTGATATCACCGTTATGAGGGTTATTCACTGCTACACAAAACAAAACCAAAAAAAGGACCTTTACGCTAAACATATAACACATCAACAAATCATGACTAATAGAACTATCTTATAATTCCATCTGCAAAATGTTTAATGTCTCGTCTTAGTCGTGGGTGCTTGAAATGCCGCCAACGACGAGTCAAATGCGACGAAGGACGTCCCGCTTGTCGGCGTTGCGTAAACCGCAATGAGGCATGCGAAAGATATCGCGATGAAGCAAGCATAATATCTCGTCACGAGACAAAAAAGGTCGTCGAGCATGTTAATGCTATAACAATATTGTCCGCTACGATAACCCCGCGGAGTTCAAGATGGAGGAGCCGATCTACCGCGACGGGTCATATCGGAGCAAATTGTCTACAACATTTAGCGATTCTTCTAAGCTCACGATGGAAGAAGCTGTTGGATTGAAGTTACCGGAGCGATTTCCGTGGACGAATGCAATCTCGGATCATTTGACCTACCCCCGAAGATGATGCTGTCAATCAGTGTATGGATAAATATATCTTATATCCGGGCAACGAGACATCATCACCCAGATTTCTTGAACAACTTCCATGTCTATTTACAGAAGTAAAGGTGGAAGGTCGCTTCGCTCTTAGTTAGGCCGCTTAGGCTGTAGCGTTCGCTGATTTGTCGAAGACTGGAAATAGAGACGCCCTAGAAGCCAAAGTATTCCATTGCTACGAGTTGTCGCTTTTGGCACTAGGCAAATCGTTAAAAGCAGTGGGAAAGATCTCCGATGACTACGATCTTATGGTCGTAGTTATGTTAGATATCTTTGAGGTAGGTATGAGCGTTATTTAATCCTCATGTACATATGCTAAGTCCTTAGACCTTCTTCATTGATGATCCCGCAATGAGGGGAGCTCATGCTCAGGAAAGTAGGTAGAATTAAGAGTCCCCTGCACCCCCCCTTTCAGCGCCTTTTAATGTGCCAAGGTTTCCCTACTAAACTACCCTTAATCCTGAGACCTGCCCAACCCCTCATCAGAAACAATTATTAACTCTAGTTATTATAGTGGCACAGATCCTAAGACTGCGAGGATCGGACTAGATTTATAGCCCTCGAGGCTGGAGTCTACTCAGGCTTGCTCACCACAGAATTGTTAGTTTACCCCCTCTCCCCCCTCCCCCCCAGCGAAGCAATGTGATATTTACGAGTCGCAGCAAAAGCAGCAGCTGGCTTTCAACATGAAACCACTCGATGAGTCGGACCATTGGATTAGCCAGTTGAACGACAAAATGTCTTTCATTCGCCTAGAGAAAGACTCTCTTTGCATTAGCAAGACATGCGAGCGGGCGAGGATGTTGCAGAATACCCTAGCTGGCGGTAGCTCGTCGATATCTGAGATCTTAGACATGGTATACGAGTTAATGAAGCTTGATAACGAGGTGGTTAGTTGCCGGCAGAAGCCCGAATGGCCCTGTAAGATCTTAAACGTATCCGACCTGCCCCCTTTCTATCCTTCCATACAATCCCTGACCAGCACTGTTCAACTCCACCCCGATCTCCGGATTGCCTATGAGTGGAATTATCATCGTGCAGCGCGAATAATTGTTCATCAGCAGATCCTGAAGTGCCTAGAGGCCGTGGTGGAATCCCTCAGCCCAGATAATGTAGCAAACGAGGCTCTACAATTCTTGGTTGGGAAATTCACCGAAACGATACGGGCTGATGAAGTTCTTTCAACTGTGCCTCAAAGCTTTGGCGATATCGACAGCTTAGGACGCTTACATAATGATTAATAAAGTGGAACGAATATCCGCGTTGCCGGGGAATAGGGGGATACCTTCTACTCTGGCCTATCAAAGCCATCAAGGGGAAAGAATTTGCGACGACGCTAGAGTAAATGCATAAGGGGCAGATAGTGTTTGACAGTACACCGGAATGAAGTCACATCTTGGTTCTCTAAGCATTATGACTTGAATACCAGGTCGGTTAATACGGTCGGTGGCATTCAGGGGCACACTAAAAAGGGGTAAGAGCAAGGGTTATATTTCCAATAACTACGAAGGTTGGGGCCAAAAGTTCCGCACATGTCCAAATCTTGGCACCGTATTTTATATGTTCTTTGAATTATCAATACTGTATTAGCCACACGCTAAGCTAAAAATCAAATAGTGGCCTATCCACTAAATCTAGGTGGCTTACCGCTATATTTATAGCGATATCAGCCACTATAGCTTAAATAAAACCGTGCAGTCTTTTTTTAATTCGCACGTGGCTTACCAAGCTTAAATGTGCGAAACTTTTGGCCCCAACCTTCGTATATGCATGGAAAGCATTCTAACTGAATATAATATACCCAAACCCCCGTCCGAATACCCTGGAGTTCTAACTTCTATTCATACCATAGGCCCCCTAAAACCAATCAAGCATAAACCCGCTCCTCTAGGGAATCTAAGCAAGAATTAGAACTATTTCCGATCGGGGTCTCCCTCAACTCCTGTCCGTTCGAAAGTTTAATCTTTTCCGCCCCCACCATGACGAATACAATTCTACAGACTTCATCCGTGCGGTTATGCCACACGTGGTTGGCACCCTGCTGCACAACCACCTCGCCCGTCTTAATGGTCCTCTCCTCACCACCGTCCAGCTCAAGCACAATCTCACCCGACAGTACGGCGCAGTAGTCTAAACTTAGCGTGCGGTGCATCGGTGAGCTGTGGTGGGGCGCCAAATTGGCTATGCAGAATGTGACACCCGCCGGCTCGGGACGGGGAATCGTGTTCTGGAGGTACTGCGGTTCTCCCTTATTATTTATAGGCACCGAAGAACGAGTGTCAAAGATCGAGAAGGAACTTCCTCCGAGCCCGAAAGGCATGAAGGGTTCGTGTATTTGGTCCGAGTGGACGATGGAGGTTCCCTCCTCATCGTGGGCCGTGACGACTACGCGGACGCCGGATGGTGGGGTGACGTCTGAAGTCATGACGGGTTTTTAATGATGGACTTCGATGTGATTTACCTTGGCTGCGATGGTGTCCCGAAGCGAACTATAGTTGGCGAGGTGTATAATATACGTAGGGATTACAGGCCGTTCCAAGGCCACTAGGTTAGGAGGTAGTTATGCACTGTTCAGTGTTGATAAGAACCAGATAAAGGCTATATCTTGAGGGTTTGGTAATGAGTCATTAAGGGGAAGTCGAAAAATAAGTCGGGGAGGTGGTTTTTATACATGAAGTCTCTCCTATAATGCCAGTAGAATGTTAGCAAAGGTTTACTTAGATCATAATGCGTACCTGAATCTATATCGAAGGTACGTACTTTGCGGCACTAACTAGATCTAGTAACCGGCACGAGATGAGAAGCCGCGAAGCTGAATCCGCGACTGCCCCCGATGACCCCATGCCGGCAGGAGTTGAAATCCCGGAGATGATAGCGATCTGCGAAGAAAGCGCGAGACACTCCACTTGCTAGTGTCAATAATGTCAATTTCCTATTACTTAGCCTCTACGCACGTACCGCTTGGTATATAGGAGTACACGATTGACGATCTTTAATCAGCTTTCTAATATTTATATCCTATTTCTTGACCATGGTTGCTTTGACGGAATCGTACGATGTCTAGTCTATTTTCGTGATAATCTAGTCTTGTCGGATACTCCCCACATGTCAAAGCTATATTTACGTAGAATTGAATTGCGATATAGACGTTCCATTGGACCCCGAACTTTGGAGGGGGTTTTTTTTAGGTACTAAGCAGCTAAAGTTAGTGGGGGAAAACGCACTACAGCTATGCTAATTAGAAAGGTTTTGGCGGGTATTCACTCCCTTCACCCCACCCCAAAATATAAGATGGATTATTTGATAAAGTTTTAACAATATCACGCCCCTATAGCTCAGTGGTAGAGCGTTCCACTCGTATCATGTGATTGATTATATTCTGCATAATCTAGCGTACATCGAAATGGAGAGGTCCATCGTTCAATCCGGTGTGGGGGCAGGCTTTTTTTTTATCTATCTCTTTTTTTTATCAAGTCAACTTACCTAGACAGACCACTAACTAGATCGTATTATCGGTTTTAATTACCCACCTATTTTTCAATATCTTGTCAATTTCCAGGGTTCGAGCATAATAACGCTTTATTGTTATCATATTCATACGTACACCCTTGCCAGACAGGCCAGGATATAGATACTATGTAGTAAGTAAACCTTGTGATCTCCACTCTAGTGGTTGGTACGGGGTATCTGACTTTGACGCCATTCTACCCATTCAAGTCTTACTTCGTACAGATAATAGACGCTTTTTATGGAGAAAATATGTGTAGTAGCCTATGGCAATGGCTTGTGCGAGGCTCGACATCTTCAAAATTCGAGATCAACAATTTCATATGCTTTCGCACTGGTCGACGCAAAGTTTCACATGTCTTCAACCTTCTCTTTCACCCTAATATTTGTTTTATCGTCGCCGCTGCCACGTCTTAGGTCAGTTGTTTCAATAACCCCAGAGACGCCCACGATTAGTATGATCGGCCTCTAGATAGACTGGAGTATTGTTTTAAGAAGTGTGAGAATTAATATTTTGCCATCTTCGACTTCGTCTATATAGTATATCAGACATAAATAAGCCTGAATATACATACTCTCGGGACGTTCTCAAAGGTATACTATGTTGTAGTAGGTTATGATCGGATGATATTTATTGTTCCATCCTATCTTACACAGGACGGTTGGTTGTACATACTGTAAGGGAACCTCCGCTACATTACCTCCCTACTTCTAAACGTTCCGTAGAGTCACTTACATCACGTACCCAAACAATTCGACGGGTATTTATACTACATGTACCGCATATAGTCAACTGTGCGGGGTGTACGCCGGATCTCTTATGTAGAAGTGAACAATGTAGCTGAGAGGGACGAGCGCTGAAGGGCCGCTAAGCTCCACTCTATCTTAAGACACAAGGAGAATATCAAGTACCGCGTGATCTGCATGTTTTAATCTGACCAGAAACGATCGCTAACATGGTACAGGGGGCTGAACTGCAAGAATTCAAGGGTACAAAATTCCTCTTCAAGGGCTTTTGCAAGCTCCTTTGCTTGCCAGATTTTCCAAACCCGGTCGACGGGTACTTTTGGGCTAGGATTGTATACTGCTGGGCCGTTTAATTTCTCTAAAGCCTGGGGTTTCTTAACTGTTAAATCAATAGTGCGGGCTATATCGTTAGCACGAGTATCGTGGGGTCCGAGCGATAGCTATTGCTAACAATGCATGTCTTAACGGACTGTCACGGCCCCGTTAGGTAGCATACCACTGTCGTGGCTCAGTCCAGTCCCTGTGATTAAGACATGATATATTACGACTAAAGTACACATCGCCTCATATTATATAAACAACCTACCAAAAACCTAAACGATCCAAGTAGTTGATGATGTTTTTGCGCCTTCGCTGGGCCGGGAGGGGATAAATAAACTAATACTGGTTTCAATATTGGAAGATAAGCTGATAATATAGCAATAGATAATTCAATGTTACCCCAGAAGAAGACAGGCGATGTGTAGTCTAGTTATAGAGGTGTTTTGGTGATCGCACGTTACAATATGTTCTCATGGATATCTAAGGTAGGTACATGCATATATCATCGTTAAGGTAATAGGAATTGGCATAGCTAGGATGAGAATATCAAATATAAGATCGGTGACGAGGGTGGAAAGAAATACAGCTGCTTCATCAACACATTTATTGTTATAGTATGGTTCTATCAACGTTGTAACAGGATAACAGCTATAACAAGAGTAAGTAATTACTTTTCTAAGAAATGAGTTTAATAATGTCAAGCATGTCTCATGAGCACCGACTCCTCGTTCATCTTTATTCGAGAACCTTGGCTCCAAAGACAGGCTAAAAGGAGAGAAAAGAACGCTCGGCATTACTAACATGAATAGATTAGCTAAGGAGAAGAAAATAGACCATGCGCCGAGAAGTCCAAGCATGACATAGGCAGCCAATCGGAAAGGGCGAACATTATGAAAGATTCCATCGTAGAAGACGAGGATGGATGCTTTCACAAGTCCGAAGCCAATGGAAGTAAGGACATGGACGGCGAACTTAGTCTGGGGGGGTTATATCGTTAGGTATGTCCATTGGTGATGCGGTCCATGCTCACCTTTTCATAGAAGAGAAATGTCTACGAGGTCCTTACAGCTTATGTTAAACCAGGAATTCCTGGTATTCCCATTGATGGCAGCCACATTTCAACTTCAACAATGCTGCTTCTTCCCACATCCCGCGGTAAGGTTACAATTCGGTCTAATTCGCCAAAGGACCTCCCGTCCGTGCGACCAAATTATCTCTCGACCCAACTAGATCGCGATGCTCTTATTCATGCTGTCCGTACAACTATAAAGGTCCTAACGGCAACTGAAAACTTGAAGCCTATCGTCGAGGGTGAATCGCCATCTGTTAAAGAAGGCCTGGAAGAATTAACACCGATTACTGTTGATACAAGTGATGAAAAGATATTGGAAAGACTCCAGCAGATTGGAGAGCAACACCAACATTCTGGCGGTACTGCGGCTATGGGTAAGGCAAAGTCTTAGGCGTCACGGGACTTAGGCTTGTCGACGCAAGCATTATTCCAGTACCCCTGGGCGGACATCCACAAGCTACGCTGTATGCCATGGCTGAGCAGCTGGCCAGCATGATTCTTGCAGATTCTTGACGTGAAAAATTCAGATTAGGTGGAGAGAGGTCATTGAAAGCTTTAAACCAATACAAACCCCGAACCTAAACCTCCTCTTAAGAATTCGCACTCTAGATATATACGTAAATATATAGGAGGCAATTATAACCCCTATACCTGAAACAGTCCAGGCAACCTCCTACAGACTACCGAATCGTCTTCAAATACATCTTCCACTAGGTCAACGCCTAATGGCACAATTTTAGTTCGACGTAAATACCATCCTAAAATGGCTTCATAATATACTAGATGCAACTGGTTAATCGACTGTTAATTTAATAACTTATTAAACAAATTGTTTTCCCGGTATTTCCTCCGAAAATCGCCTCGCCGGATGTTAAGTTTGTTCGTCATGGAATGATCCAAGCCATAGTGCTTATGCTCGACGACTTTCGTAAAGAGTCACGAGCATTTCAAGAGACATAGAGGTAATATTAAATTGTAAATAAGAGAATAATCCGTACGGGATGATAGAATTAGATTATTTCAAGAATATCCTAGTGTATCTATTTTTTGCTTCTCGCTAATATTCGGATTTTCTAAATAGATATTCAACAAGTAGATACTTCATAGTATATTTCTTATTTCTATCTGTTATCTAAACTAACTTCTTTTCAAGCATACGGTATTCAGTGGGCCCTGTAAGTAGCGGTGCCAACTGCGGGTAATCAAGTAAAAAGTCTCGATGCCTTACGATCTGATAGCCCAGCTTCATGTACCATTTCTGCAGGCGAATTTTGAATGGGTGCTCGAAATGTTTCGGAAATAGGACGTTAAGTTGAGTGACAACAGCCCCAGAATCCCCCAGCTCGCTAAGGCAATGCTGCTCAGCAAATTCAAGCAGGTCCCGACCAAGTCCGTTACCACGTAGCTCGGCTACAACTGCAAATAGACCGAGTTCGGCGCGAGTTTCACCCAGTTTCTGAATAGAAATACAGCCTAGAGGAATACGACCACCAGACGATGTATGTTGTGACGCAACTGCTAGTTCGCTGGATCGCAAGAGAGTTGCTATGTCTTGCCCCGATGTTCGTAGGTAGCCGGGTTTAAAAATATCACCCTCTGTTTCTGTGTATGCGGCGTTGATAATTTCCACGAGAGCTGCCACGAAAGCCTCGTCGTCCGCAGCAGATGTAGGCGGGATCTCAATTATAATATCCTGGCCCAACTTCATCGGTGGGTCTGGAAGTCCGTCCCGAACGGGTGCCGAGTGCACGCTAATGAGAGAGGTTATAGATCGTCTCGAGATGATATCCGTAGCATCTATATCGTGTTGGGCCATGGTGCAGTTATCTAATATATGAAGACTCTATAAGATAACATATGATATATTATAGTTAACTATAATTCAAAGATAATGTCTCAGTTCAACTGAACAAGGAGTCAAGTCCGATGTAGGTATCCTGCTACACGATGTCCAAATTTAGTGCAAAATAGCTCTGCCCTAGTTACATGAGTCACTTAGATAAGTACCTCCTCAGGGATAAGCTCGAGTATACTACTAATGCCCCACGCTATGTTCATAATGAAGAGAGCCCAATGTAATCAAGTCAGTCGGTACATCTCGGTTAGCCTCCTCTATACTTACCTATAAGATGTTATTGTAGAATCTACGTAGGTTGATAGGCAATAGATGACTGCCGCTATTTTCCGACTATATACAGTGACTTGCCCCGGTTCTAGTGATATTAGGGACCAAGGGTACAAGTTTATATTATAGATTGCACTTTGTTCATCACTCCGAGTATTTGTCGCTGCACGCTGAGTTCATTACTGCGAATATCTTAACCCTGAACAATAGGTAGGTATATTAAAACTTCAAGGGCTGTTTCCTACTTCAAATTATTAAGCTACCTCTTAATCCGTTTCGAAAATGCTAGCCGTTTCCTTCAACAAGGATAAATCAATTAAACCCATTATCCGGCCGTCGAGCCGTCTCACATTTTCATCCCAGTACCAATACACGCCGCATATTGCTATCGTTAGGATAATTTGCGCGATTCCCAGACCCAATGTAGCTGCCTTGAGGTCATCCCACGAAAGAACAGAATTAGGGAGGCCTAGGATAAGGGCACCTGCGACAATATTCCGGAAGCATGTAAGACCACCATGCATATCCGCTGTGTTGCGCAGGCAGACTGTAAGGTTCGCCGAAGTGAAAGCTGTAGATCGCTGGATGACGGGCCAGAATGTGCTATCCAGAGCTAGAGACCCAGCTGCCAAAAGTCCAAGAAGGAATGAGACTACCGGGAGACTGACCCGATCTAACCCAAAGCTCCACGGCGTGTTGAAGGGCATTGTTGAGTTATCTGCAGGCATTTCCATTGATGCAGAGAGGTAGAGGCCAAATCCTAACATCCCAATTGAAGCAAAAGTGGTACCGAGAGCAAGCGTCGTGAGATGGATGATTCGCGAAAAGCGTTTGAGAAATGAAGGAAAAGCAAGCGCAACAGCTACAGGTGTAGCAAGGAGAAAGGGGGCTGCCATCAAGGAGCCAATAGATGCCGAAGATAACATGAAAGGAAGTGGGGAAAACAGCATCGAAAGTGAGTGTAGTAGGCTCCAGTAACCAGCATATGGCAGAAGGGTCACGGTAAAAAGGAGTGCGTTCGTCGGCGCAATTATGGCTCGGGGGGCTTGCAATATTAGTGCGCGGTTAATTTCATTCGCCTTGTATGACCAAGGCTTCATATCAGTAATGTACTGCATGGCAGCCTCCTTTGTATATGTTATATTCGGCCAGAGCGACTGGGAACGTTCAAGAGTTGGTACCTCGACATCGAATGTGGCACGGCTGTACGCCGTCTCTGGAGCGCCCAGCACAAGTAATAAGATGGAGAGCGTTAAGAAGGCGCTCATAATCTCGAACTGTAACTCAAATCCCCTAGGACCAGCTGAAGCAACGCCTCCAAGGAGCGGGGAGCCCAACATAGTTGCAACTGAGATAGCATGATAAAGGATAATCTTAGATTGCCTCTCATGCTCCTGAACAGGCGAATTAGCACATAAAATTTAAAGAAAATAACAAGGGGGTTGTACTAACAAAATATGTATCGTATATCGATCCTAGGACCAGAGTATCGAAGGCACCCCAACCCAATCCCTGGAATATTCTCGCCGCCATGTTTTGCGCCAAATCCCCCCTTACTCTTGTGTTCCAAGCAGTCCCTATAAATATCATTACCATTGAAATAAGGTATACCGGCCTTTTACCCCATATCCTCGACACTATTAAAGAAGCTAGCCCCGTTGTCGCAGCCATCATTAATGGAACGGCGGTTAAGGCTACCGCTGCCGTATATGAGACCCCTTCCTCCACTGTAATAACACTGTTTACGCTGATATACGCCGTCTTCATCGCCCCCACCAGTGCGACCATAGAAAGTAACGCTCCTAGATTTAGATGCTTCTTCCATAACGGCCAATTCAAAGGATCATCGGGATCCTCGCTGGGCTGCGGAGACAGTTCGACGTTCGCAAGTTTTCCCGTGCCGTACTTAATAGTCCGTTTCGATCCCGTAGTCGAATATGACATCGCAGTTTCTGTAGTTAGCGCAGTGGCTGCAGTCTCTGGTCTGAAATCCTTTGTTATCGGCCTCGGAGGGCGCTGCCCCATCGACGGTATGCCCAACGATAACCTTCCATCGCTCCTATTCCCTCCTAGAACCGACAACAATGATTCCAGCGTACTCGAAATTGTTGATGCTCGATTAGTATTCGACCCCTCGGTCTTCTCACTATTATACAAGGGTAGGGGTAATGGCGACGGCGGCGGTAGAGGCGGAAGCGTCTTCCGATAATTAACAGGCGGTTTTGGTGTTGCCGGTAGGCTCCTCTTTGGATTTGATATCTCAACCATCGGCCCCGGAGATGCCATGACGGCGATTATCGCGATATGGCCTCTCTTCTAGCGACGAACCTCTCACTAAAACTTTTGCGACAAGTGGTTCTCTCACGACCGTTGTCCTAAGCCTAAGAATGTGCGGTCGACTTTATCGCCGGCGCGCGAAAATGACCAGCAATGGATGAAGGTAATTAACAAGTATAATTAACAAAGGGCTACCAGGCCCACGAAGATCTACTTCGAAGAAATGAAAGCGCAATAAAATGTTAGTACAATATTGAAGACGGCGAACACCACGTTGGTGTTGCAAATGTAGAAAAGTCAACTACCAAAGTGGCACTCGTAGAACCACACTCAGTCCCATCCACAGGCAGGATGGCACGGACACTTGCTTTGTGAGATCGCCATAGAGCTTCATGGGTATCGCGGACGCTAGTCAGTGTGAACAAGGGTATTATTTGCTGTATTTCAAAATGTGGCTCGGGTTTGGTGAGCCCGGCTCACTGGCGAAACCGCCCAGAGTTAAGTGAATCCTCGATAATAACTTGATTGAACTGAACAAAATCCTGTTGTCATCATTCCTAATCCCCCTCCGAGTCATCCATCGATTGTTCTTATGATCACAAGGCGAGTTGTGATAGTCTCAGGATGTCAACGGTGTGAAAGGATCCAAGTCTGCCAAGCTAAAATCCTTTCCTCTGCACAACATCTTACTTACAGTATGTATCATTTCCGAGCAGCAAGAAAACGCCTTTTTTCGGTAAGAATCACAGAATGTTACTTACATACTTCTGAATCCCTTAGCTAGATCGATATAATATTTTTTTTTACTTGTGGTGCGGTTTTTAGATCTGGGCCAACGGAATAGATCAAGGACGAAGACAGAGAAAACAAACAGAGAAAAAAAAGAGAGAGAAGCGTACCGGAGCAAGTCGGCACATTCCGATCAGCGCTCGGGCCAGTGTGAAACTCGCCTGACGCAGGGAGCATGTCGCGGATCATCCCGCGCTGCATCAACAAAGACAAATACCACACCATAGAAAACCGGCCAGCTAAGTGTAGGTATGTAAGTCCAACTCCAAACTGGACGGGTAAACACCTACCAAAGAGATTTTCAAGTTGTTGGCCCGCTTTCTTATCGTTACGGACCAGAATATGTTATCTGACAGGCCATCCATCGTAAGATGACCTTGCTCTATCTATTAAGTACACATACCCGAAGCAAAATCTTCTTCCATGTGAATGTGGCCCTAGCGCAGTTGAACCTCATCGTCCCGTACGATCGGAGAATTAATGATAGGACCGGTAATCCTCGAAGCAGCCGCTAACGCACGTATATATTTATGTATACATAAGTGAACATATCATCTTGCCATATGTGTGCTAGTGTATGACTCGGTCTAGACTCGGTATGCGCCTAGGCCGCGATCCATGCAGGAACGACGCAGACAGTCCCGGACGGCAACGGGCATTACCGGGTAGAGAGGCGAGGGTCGATGACGGTGAGCCCCCGATAGGTGAACCGGACTAGATCTACACATATATGTAGGTAAGTATCTAGTTTGGGTACGTATATTCATGCACGGCTCCGTCGTGAATTCGCTCATATACCGTCTCGCGCTCGTCATGGTCCGCAGAGCCAGCGGTGAGACTTGATGTAAGTGACACATCACCGATAAGGAGTCGTAGATAATGTAGCATGTGTATTTCGGCGTCTTTTGGCAATGCCGGCCTAATTATATCTGAGTTATCATCAACTATCTCGTACGATGATAAAATGTGAATCGATTCCCAAAAACCAGCACTACTCCTAGGGCAGTCCTTCATCTCAACGCGTAAGACTCGTGAAATAGAGATATGAGGTATATGGGAATATTTGAGATTCTAAGTTATTATAGCCAATTTCTAATTCTATAAGGCCCGTCTTCGAAATAGAAACGCTAACTCTCAATGCGCGGTTTATAAACATAAACTCCAAGCACATCATTAAAAGACAAAAACCTATCGCCGAATTACATAGTCTGACATATGTCAATCCTCATGTCCCTGTATTATACCCATAGCATTAAATATCGTATCTCATTAAAGTCCGTAAGCCCATACCGCAATTCGTGGCGGTTTACATAACGAACGTCGGTGCCATCGACCGAAACAGTCGTTCTGACGGGATGGCGCATTGCAGAAAGCTATTACAGGGCTGGTAAACCGTGCCGGTACCTGGGAAGTAAACGGCTCCTAAAATATTAAGATATGTGAGTCAATGTTCTTCAATCTAAAAAAGTAGTGGATCTCCAACCAAGGGTGGTCGGGAGTGATATGAGCACGGCCAGGATCAGCCAATGCAGCTCGCGTTGGTTGGTTTCCATTTCGGGTTCGGTTCGGTCCACTGGGCCAACATTATTCCTTCGCACCGACGGAACATGCTCAACAGCTTTGTTGGTTGCGTCGCATCACGGTTTGATCCGCGAATGTGGCTCTCATGTCTCGTAGCCAGCCCATAGATGGACTGGCTATTGGGTTAAGGTTGATGGCAACCGAGTCCAGATGTTTTTTATCTTAGACTCTTAATGTTGAATGGCGCTGTAGCTCTTCACATGGATGCAATTACGACTGCTTTACCTGCATGAGTTTCTTCTTGAGTTTCAGATGACTCGAAGCTGAGAAGTAGCCAGTTTGCTCTTATAAGCAACTCTGCAATAATTTCGTAAGTTTATGAATGATTAAACATCGGTTTTTTAGATAAACATACCTTGGTACTCTAATGAATATGAAACCGAAGGCTCATCATATCGGCCGAAGAGGACGGGTGCTGGTATGCTCTCATCTTCAACGACTCGAAATCTTATGCCGACGGTCTTTGACGAATCGGTCCAGAGGATGGTCCGTTCATCTGAGCCCGAGCCCGCTTGCTGTTGCGTCCTTGCTGCTGCTTTTGCTGCCTCGTTCAACCAGTCACGCCATACACGAACCACGTTATCGGTAATGTTGGCAAAGCTGGAAAATAGGCCGCGTCTGGGTCCCACCTTAACCAGGTTGGTTATTGTGCATAGTTGGGAGAAGAGTTCGCCACAATCCAGGGAAATTTCGTGAGACGGCATCTGGACAATCTGTCCTGCTGCCTTTTCGGAGTCGAGGCAGGGGCGAAAGCGTGCGTATATGCTGTTGAGCTCTCCGAGGTCAGCAACTTCGCCGGCCTCGGCGAGTCCACGCATCCCTTGGAATTCGCAGTGCAGCGAAGGCGTACTAAGCTTCTCGCTTGGGTGAAAGCTTTCGAGAATCACTTCGTGATCCTCAAGCCTCGATGTTTCCACAAGACGTGCATAGTGCACTCGGCCAACGAGTCCATAGAACCGGCGGCAGACAGTAGCAAGGGGCAACAGCGAGCGAGTCGGGAAATTACTCAGAACATTGAGAATTATCTTTCAGGTGGATGTTAATATTTTCGAAAGTTGACTAAGTCATGTCAGATATAAGGGGTCTCATACCTCGTTCGGGAGAGAATCTATCGAGAGATGGGAGTGAGCCATGACGTGCGGTATGGGCAAGATCAAAGATACGTAGTAAGGGTCAACAGAAACACAAAAGCACGTCGTCGTAGCCTCAAAGGAAAACCAAGACACGTACTACTAGGACCGAAGGACTATTTATATCAAGCTGTTCGGGACCCTTAGCTGGGATATTCGGGACGTGAGTGGACCTAATGCGGCCACGATGGCCAATGTAAATGGCGAATCACGGCCTGGGCCAACGCGACAACAGTATACCCAGTCGAATTTGAGGCTCTGATAATGTCGGTCTGCGATCTTAGCGCAATCAGATGTTGTAGATCGACCGCGTTACCGAACGAAAGCCGACGATGTACGTAGAGGCTCAGCCGTTACATAACCACGCCAGATCAGGCGAGTTTGTCGCTTGACTCCTTAAGCGCGCCCGGTTTGCTCCGAGATAACTTTCCCCCTTGCGTGATATAGAAAATTTTGATAATACGATATGAGCTGAGTTTTTTATGGGGTTTCTTTTTTTTTTACTCTTTGATAAGTTTTTCAGCTGGTCTATGTATATTGAATATAATACTTTGGTGAGATAGTAACACCGAAGAACCGTTTGTTTAATATGTTTGGAACAATGATGACAATGGTTATGTTTTTGCCACATTTCCGAAGGCCGTTATCGTCGTTATCTTAATGGACACAGTAATTTGAGTGTTAATATTACTATAGGGACTGTACGGATTATAATCGTCGACCTATCCCCTTGGCTGGCATAAGACAGCAACTCCATAATTTTCAGTATCAATACATACGGATTGGCTAGAAAAGAAAGAAACGCTCGTGCGGTACTGAATCGACCAATAATATTTGTGGGTTGCGGTTTTAGAGACTAATCATAAGGCCTTTTCCTATTATGTTAATGAATGACGTTAAGTCTTATGTACTAATACTGAAAGTTATGGAGTTGCTGTCTTATGCCAGCCAAGGGGATACCTTAGAATCAAGGTATCATTCAGGGGCAAATCCTCTTTTTTGCATATTGCTTTGATGGTGCAATCATGTTATCTCCGAGATATAGAGATCGGCCATAGGTATATTTTAATTGGTTCGTATTCTTTTTTACCGACATATCTTTTCTTAAGTTATTTTTGTCCTATTACATAGGAGACAAGATAACCCGGAAATGCCAAGGCCCGAGTTGATACCTTCCAGGGCCGAATTTATTCCTTCTTTAAAGTCATCCAGTGATCCGCGAGCTTAATTAGACGTAGAAGCGCGTGCGATTTAATCAGTTTACATTGTACTACATACATATCCCTTTACCATGATGATCGTTTCAAATAACAAGTGCTATCTCGTAGGTTTGTTACCAAGTTAAGCTACCTTGAATGCCGCTTATCCACAGCAGGCTGAGTCCTAACATTTTAAATGCTTCAATGTAGACATGCAGTTCATCCCGATCAATAGAGAAGATAGGGGTAAGTGTTTTCAGCCACTTGCGATATCGTCAGTCTTCTAGGTTAATGTGTCGACCCTCTTAGTTACAAGTCTAAGTAAGAACACTCCGATATGTAGCGCTGCCAATATATTACAAAATTAGCCACGGCTCTTTACTAACTATCTAGTAGAAATCGATATAGGACATGATCGCCGTATTTTCCAATCCGATTTTCAAGCAAGATTTCAAGTGTGCATAAGTATGCCGCTGCCCTATTTAAGTACCTCCATGTATCAACGGAGCCTCATATGACCTCTAACATGACCAACCAATCTTCGACTTAGTAAATGCACCAATATCGCTGATCTCATGTAATAATCTGCACCAATGCCCGAGATCGCGGTAAAGCTTCCAGACGACTTTATATGCGGCAGCCTGCATCGTCTATAACTGCAGCATCGCCCTGCTTATACGACTTCTTCTCACATGCATTACCATGTCCGAGAAATATTAGCGTGCATTGTGGCGTTTGCCAAGGGCGGGAGACAAAGAGGGTCTCCCAAAAATAAGAACCCTAACTGGTGGATCTTAGTAACTTCATTGCTAGATTCCACTGTGGTGGATGGATCGTCTTCATCAATTTCCATATCATCGCTATAACTTGCCTCTTTTATATCTTTACAACATGGCAAATAGCCAGGCATCCCGACAAGGCCACATAATTACCTAGGCAGTCAAGGGCAAGCAGCATACTGAGCAACATGGCACAGCCTTAGTCAAGCCACCTAATAACCACGTTCTGCGGTGAAACTATCGAGACTTTTTAGCGTATAAGCTGCTCTGGTTCTACAGCATATTACACCAACCCCTAGATCTGGGCCTCCTTCCGATACTTTAGATTGGGGTTACGGGCGATATTAAGGCATAGAAAAGCGAAGGGATTTCGCCGTGGGTAAGATGAAGCGAGCGTTGGGCAGCAATTGTTGGAATATTTCGGCCGCTTGAAGTTAGGCCCGTCTCAAGGAGCTCGCTCCCTAACTTCCTCCCGTTTAAGCCTGATCAGCGGAGGAGAATTATAGTACGAGAATGAGCCGTTGTGAACTTAACAGTATACGCATCCGAATCACTTCAATTGGTTCGATCTGGGGGTGATAGATTTCGACACGCCATTCAATTTGCAGTTTTCAGGAGATGATCTAGTTATGGGATCTTCTTTAGAATTAACTAGAGATTGCCGGGAACTGGAGTTCTGATAACGAAAACCATATTTAGAAAGCATAGCCGAAAAAGATGTAGTGAGGCCAGAATTCCAACAAGGATAACAAGGCGTATTGGTTATTCGTTTGACTTATTCTTGATTTAACTAGTATATTATTGTTAATGGGCTAATAATGAGCTTATTTGTGGTGTTCCGGAACACAACTTATTGATAGTGGGGCAAACAAGCCTCGAAGAGTCTAGACAGAGATACATGCAAGTAAGGGGTTCAATTATATATGACCCCAAATGCGAGTTTCCTTGGCATAAAGTGGATATAATTAAATATAATGTTATACCTTTCTAAGCACTAATAACTACATTCTATAAGGCATATTGATATGTATGTATCATTGTCTATCACTTACATTGTTTCCAGTAACATGACCAAGTCCATTCTCGATCATAGTCTCATAGAAAAGAAGTATCGCACTTAACTATCGATACTATCAATGAAGACCCTTGGGCTTCACCACTTGGAGTTGATTCCCTAAACGAATTCCAATATAATGCGCCTATAACGCATCTCATTTTCTCTATAAAGATAGGCATATGCCCCTAGCACAAGTATACAAATGGGCTTACAGGTATCTATATGTCTATCTTAAGCGGGCGCGAGTCTTTGACTAAATTAACTGCTGTTCACGAGTAAAGGCCATACAGTTACGAATTTGCCGAACTGCTAAACATGTTTTCCAAATTCCAGAGATGATAGGGATTCGGTGTTGGTAGTTTATTTTAAGTATAGGAGTGATTCGGGCTTTATTTTGCGATGTTGTCCGAGAAGTAAGTCTAATATGCTATGTTTCCGGAGACAACGAAATAACAACTCGGGATGTTGGATTTAGTGTAGGGTATAGTTCCAACGCACCTTTTTGGGTAATAAATACCGAAACGACTACGTAAGGTATATTGGGTACGTTGACACCAATAGAGTGTTGCAGTTACTACATGAGACAATATTATGTTTAAGTCTTTCTGTAGTTGTTAGCTCTTCCCAATCAATAGCCTTCGATTAACTACCCTGCCACACTTATCAACAAGAAACCAAGCAATGAAATCAAGTTTTGTGAGGTGCCTGAGACCTACCGTGTGGCCTGGTCTAATTCTCCGACTATTACTGTGTTTAATCAATGTTATGCGATCGCAGAGACTAACTGTTTGTCAACGCGGCAAACACAGTAAGTCTTCTAACGAAATAAAACTACCCAGTCTCCCACGATCTCGATGTCTACACATAGTCTTGTTCATGAAACGATCATCGGCAGCAAGCGCTATTTATGGGCGATCTGAAATTAATTAGGTAATCTTGGTTATGTTACGCCCTATCAATGAATTTATTAGCCAACCAACTCCTCACCGGTAAGCTCGTTTTCCGGATAGGAACAGTGGTAATACGATAGATTTTGACAGATATTCCCACCGTCGCCTCGCAAAAAAAGCTATCAACCGAGTAATCCCGCATTGAGCTATTCCTTACTGCTACTATAACCCTCCTGATTTTTTCTGGCTCAAAAATGCGAGCCTAAAATCCTATAGCCCTTCACTTCGATGCACACTCATGCTCGGATCGTATGGTTTTGCCTTTGGTAGTTAGGCTATTTTACAACCCAACTAGTGCCAATGCTGCTTTCGTATCTCATGGTCAGTTTCGGTTTAGCTTTGGGCGCAGTTACATTGCTAGGTGTGGGATATGTGATGATTATTGAAAATCCGTGTTTCTTGGGGTTTTGAGTATCTCCTTCTTATTGCTCGGTTGAAGTTCGCTAGATGATGCATGTGATGGATATTCATGATATTAGACTGGCACGTGTCTAATTTGCCTCTTAAAACCTAACGGCATTTTATTGTAGTGAAATAAACTTCTCCTATTTAGGCACCTGAAGTAATAAGTTCTCCTATTATTGTTGCTAACTTCACCTAACAACATTGGCAGGGCATAGACAAGAGCAAAGCTAGGAAGGTAGGTAGTTTGGGTCTACGCTTGCTTCACCTAACAAGCTTTTAGGCGGTACCGTGTTGTATTACTATGATCTAAGTCAAAACGCCAGGTTTGGTCACCCTCGTCGTTTCTGATGTACGGCGGCGCCATCCGCGGCAGATTGCAGCCACTGTGCATAAACTACCTTGTACCTTGAGCAGAAGAGCTCATGCAGTGACCGACGATCGTATCTAGCATTAGTGATCAATATGGGCGATGAGATGCTTTTTCAATCACGATAGAACCACTGTCGTCACTTTGTTGGGGTTAATATCGTGTTTTATCTCCTTTTGGGGTCGAATAGATGCATCTGAATAGCTTCCCAAACCAGGTACCGAAATCTTGACACACCCTCCCGACGTGTCACTGCGGTAGTGCCGCAGTGGATGGCTGCTTACTGCATATCCCGATTCGCAATAGGACATAGAAGACGGTTTAAGCAGCCCACCCCCACACCAATAGCAAACACCGCAACTGGCAGACCCCGAGGCCGAGGCATGTCTTCCCCAGAAGCGGGTGTCGCATTGCAGGGACAAGAAGTGTAACTATCAGATCAGAGTGGAGAATTGTCCAGTGGATACGTGCTAGGAAGAGGCTCCATGTTCGCGGATAGTTGCCTCAGTTTTGACGACCTTGCAAGAGACTACACTATCTTATACAGCACCTTGCTTCTTCCGACCAGCCGAACTGCCTAGCAGCTGAAGCAGCACCGTTTCTCTAGCGAATGGGAAGCTTACCATCGGTCCCTGAATGTTCATTGATTGGTTTATGACACACATGGTCACATACGATATGAATTTGCAAAATTTGTAATAGCTGAAATAGCCGGATCCCGATCCAATGTTTTCAGCAGCGGACCGAATAGGTATCCAGCTTGCCGGTGTTAAAGGTGGGTGTGAGATGAGAAGGAGAAGGAGAGAGAGGAGGAGAGAAGACATCAATCGATGAGAGGGAAAAAAAGAGGGAAATGTACAAGCTATGTTATTTCCGAAATTCTGAGGTGAGGCTAGCTATAATTAAATAAGCTTGAAGAAAAATAGAATCACCCTAAGCCTTATTATGAATAGCTCTAATTGTTCGTATTGTAGAAGGGCAAATAATGTTAATAGTGTATGTTAGTTAGGTAATGTTAGTTAATATGTTGCTGGGACGTGAGACCTAGTTCCCCTTTTAACGAATCAGAGGCTCCTTAGCCACAACCTGAACACCGAGCCGCAATGGCGCGTTGTGCTGTTTCATTGAGGCGCATTACGTACCTGGAAGTCCAGTCTAGTACTACATATACGTACCATAATATGCTAACGTTAGGTTCAATGTATATGTACTGTCAGGGAACTAGGGTCTTAAAAGATTCAAGTACGATAGTGTCAATATATGTATATACAACGGGTGACGGCAAGGGAAGATACTTTGGAGTAACAATCCCCACTTGTGCAGTTGTGCTACCCAACCAGGTTTTTGGTCCTATACATGTAGTACATAATTAATACATACATACACTGTAATACACTAGGACTACCTGGGTAATGTTAACCTGGTTTAGCTCCTTAACTAATGACGAAAAGGCTCACCGCCTATAATTCTGCCTATCGAAGTTTCCGTTGATAGTGAATCGAATTGTTTAATGTTCCTATCGTTTGCCCAAGTTTTCTCTCCCCCCCCCCAATTATAACCCATTCAGCCCATTATACTCCCCCCCGCCACCCGTCTACATTTCTATCTCCGAACCTATCCAGTCAGTTTTCTTGGCGTACACAGACACGTATATGCAAGTGCAACTAAGAACAAGCTCTTCATTAATGGGGGTCTGGGTAGCTGCTGGGGGCCAAGGTATGTCGCCATGAGGGGCAGGAGAGAGGGATTTGGATCTCCTGCATCTGCTGAAGTACAGTCACGTCCAACACTTGTCACTTCTGAATCACTTCTGAATAAGGGGGGAGGTGTTCACCACCTGAATCCTGTCGACGCACGAGCTGGCCTCCACTACCGGCGTCTTAATCGTATATATAAAGGCTAGTGCGAAGTCTTGAGACATTCTTCTCGCTTGGTCTACCCGGTAGATTCCCTAGCCTTTAAGCATTTCATCCTCTTCATTGTTTCCTCGGGCCAACTGCATCTTCATAACATCCAACGCGCCCCTATCATACTTTTCCATTGACCTACCCTTTTACTTAATCGCCAACCCATTGCCCAATAATTTCGGGTTAAAAAAATAAAAACACCCCAAATAGCAAAATGGGTTCTGTGTACATCCCTCCGATCCGCCTCGCGATCCTTGAAGCCGACAACCCAGTTCCTGGAATCAAAGCTAAATACGGGTCGTACGGCGGGGTCTTCAAATATCTTTTTCAGAGGGCGTGTGCATCTCTAGAGCCACCCCAACCCCTCTCTGCCATACTCGAGCTCTCGTCTCACGACATTGTAAATCACCCTGACTCGTACCCGGATCCCGAGACGATCGACGCCATCCTCATCAGCGGCTCTAAGTACTCCGCATATGACAATGACGATTGGATCGTCCGCCTCACTCAGTATACGAGGCGGTGTCTCGAAGGCGGCCGCGTCCGAGTTATCGGCGTCTGCTTCGGTCACCAGATAGTTGGCCGTGCCCTTGGGGTTGAGGTCGGCAAAAATGTTCGCGGATGGGAGATAAGCGTCACAGACCACGACCTCACAGAAGAGGGTAAGAAGCTGTTCGGCGTACAGAAGCTGGTTCGTATACCTTGTCCTTTTCGTTCTTCATTTCCATACGCCTCCTTGTTTCCCCATATCCTACCTTAAGTAGTCAGTTGCTTATCTGCGCGCATCACAGGCAATCCACCAAATGCACCGTGATCAGGTGTTCTCGTTACCCCCAGGCGCCATCCAGCTGGCCCGCACAGACGTGTGCGATGTGCAGGCCATGTATATCCCGAAGCGATTTATCACGGTGCAGGGCCATCCCGAGTTCACCGACGATATGGTGCGTGAGATCCTCGAGATGCGCCGATATGGTGGCATTCTGGGCCCGGACATCTTCGAGGACGGCATGCGTCGTGTTAGTAATAAACACGATGGCATCGCTGTTGCTAGGGCTTTCCTGCGTTTCTTACGACAGTAAGAGATAGTAGAGAAGGACAAGGTAAAAGATAGGAGAGGAAATCGGAATTTATAGACATCCTCGAACAGCACCATGATAAGACGGGGCAGAAACGATCCGCAGGTGTTGGTTACACAAAATAGGATCGTGCTTTATTGACCGGTTATGAAGACCAATCGGCTAGCTGCCGGGGAATACCAGTTCCTCAGACACCATGAAGTCTTATGATGCGATACGTACCTTTGATGCAGAATAATCATATCTATTACCGACTTAATATCACATAACGGTTGAGTAAAATAAGAAGGTTGTCGATTATCCGTTTCTCCTATCTGAGTCTGTAGGTCTGCAGAGTTCTTCTATCACATATAGCAGACATTGTCTCAGATCGAGTATGAAGATCAATCAAATAAGAAAAAAAAAAAAAAAAAAAGAATCATCATCGCACAAGTGCCAACAGAGAAGTGATAAATGAGTGAGACAACATCACGTGTTGAATTATTCTGGATCCAATAACCTAACCATCCTTTTCTGTCAAGAATTATAATTCCATGGTATGGACCCTCAATGCCCAGATTTAGACTACTCGGATAGGTAGCCTTCCTCCTGTCGCATCGCCTGATGTAACTCCATGCTTATTACATATGTGTGAACGCCGCCCAATGCCCTCCCTTTTTTAGCAATGCTCCCCGCCTCCCGTAACGCTGATGGAATATACGCAGTAAATGTGTCAAGAGCAATTAGAAGGGTTTTTTTATCCAACCCCCACGCTCTTCTCTTCTCCAACCTAGGTATGTATACCATAGTACCGTTGTGTCCCCCAAAATGAAATCCGGGCACCGTGCCATGCATATATGCAAATGAATCTTATCATGACCGTCGTTGCCCTTCCCCATGTAAATGCTCTAGTCTGACCTGCATTCGATATTACGCCGATGTCGTTTCCCGGTCGTTACCCAATACATATTGGCGCCTAGCCCTCATATTCGTCATGCCGTTCGTAATTATTATGTTAAGATCCTGCTTGTATCTCGTGTGATTGGGGGCGGCTCGTCCCGGGGGAATCATCGTATTCCATGTCTAATACGTCCCACCATTCGCGGGGCGCCGTGTTCTGTCGCGTCCAGTGTACGGAAGGCCTTCCAGCGGCCGCAGCTCCGTTATTCAAGCTTTCAAGATTTTCCTCTTGCTCGCGGCGTACACGTGCCATCGTCGCGTCTACGAACCGTTCCTCGCGCGTACGACCCATACCCCTTTGCCGCCGTTGTGAGGGTTTGCGTATCCGCAACCGTGATGCTAAGCCTTCCCAAAATCCACCACGCAGGTGCAGCCAAGGCTTTTCCCAGGCACTGAAGAAACAGCAGTCGACGGCAGCGCCGATACACAAACTCGCGATGCTGATGACCTGCAGTGCAACAGGTTCCGACTTCTCTCCGGGCGAGGTGTAACTACCGTCATACCGGAGAATATGTGACACAAATGGTGCAACCCACGTTATTATATAAATTAATGGGTAAACGAATAGGAGTCGGAGTTGTCGCTGTTGCTTCTCCCGTGACCGCCTCATCGCTTCTTCGGTTTCTTCTTGAGGCAAGCAGACGGAACTTGATGATGTGCTTCGCCTTGAACCATTCGCTTGCGGTGACCCACGTCGCGGGATGCTAGCCGTATTAGAAACAGAAGCTGCTATGCTATTCGAGCCGAACGACATAGAATGCTTCCAGCGAGAATGGCCACGAGTGGATTGCGAGGACTTCGGCGGACTATAATGGACGAAATCGGGAGGGCGGATGGGGATTGTTGCTTCCGCGCGCGGCGATGAGGCAGCGGGACTACCAAAGGCTGTATGACTGCCGCGCCTCGCTCGTGGATCGAAATATCCGTCGGTGGCAAAATCTACGGGATTCCATCTAACTGAACATCGTAGAGAATGTTCGGGTCGCCGCAGAGAAGTGGGAGTGTCCCCGCCACAATTGAGACTGCTAAGTGTTGAGGCAACTGACTGTTGATGATCGATGGGATCATCCTCTTTCGCTAGGCTATCTCGTGCCGAATCTAGCAATCCGTGGTCAGTGAAAGGCGGTGTAGGTGGGACATCCCCACTGTTGTCACGGCGGTGATCGCGCTTATGATTCCGGTTAGGATCGTCGCCGTGTACTGTGCTGGCACGTCTTTGGTCTTTGCTGAAACTTCGAAATCGAAAAGCAACGTATATGTAGAGAAAAGTGTAAGTAACTACTATGACACCAACAATAATGTATCGTGGAATCCAGCTGAGTGCACTGAGATACCAATCAGGATGAGCAGGTAGATAGCACTGGGGACCGTTATCTTCGAAACGGCCACCAGTGATTGGTACAACTGCTGCTAGGATGATAGGAATGATGGCCCAACAGATGTAGGCTATGCGTCTATACGGATAGAGGCCGGCTGTGCCACTGGAATTCCGGGGCCTTAAAATAAACAAGGCCGTGTGAACTGCGATCAAGAGAACGGCAATATCCGAGGCTTCAACGCTCATAGTAAGGAGAAATCCCAGGACTTGACATGAGGTCGACTTCGAGTCGATCGGTTTCCTAGCGAAGAAAGCAAGCGGGCAGACCACGAGCCAGAGTGCCTTGGTCATATCGCTCTGAATCAAAAGCATAATTAAGCTGCAAAATTGTAAGTTTATCTAAAACTATCACATGAACAACAAAATTACCAAATTTAGTCAACTTACTCATGACGGAAGCTCCTCCTCATCCTAACAAACAAGTAAAAGGCGCATAAAGCCGCAAATACGCTGATGGCAGCTGTAATGAGCGAGATCGACATAAGGGCCACGATTTCCGGGTCGTTGAAATCCGAATCTCGAGTGGGGTTGCGTTTCGTGATGATATTATAGGATGCGAGGGATTCATCAAGGGATGCTATGCCTGGTGGCCATGCTACGGGAGCCATCTTTGTTGAGGTGGCCAAAACGGAGGCTCGGGGTGCAATTGAAGCAAGAGATAGTCTGTCATGCTTCCCAATGAATTTGCCTTAGTTCAATCGGATCTCGAGTATCATATTTGCTGGTGATCGTTATGAGGTGGAAATAATGAGTAGATGGGGTCGGAGGCCGCCGAAGTGTGAGAAAGCTGCTGGAAAGCCAATATGAAAGACACTCTTAATTCGAAATATATGAGCAAGGCAACAAATTTGCTCTTTCTATGCCTAAGAATAGGTCAAATAGGTTAGAATATTCCAAGTTAGGGGAGCCTCTAAGGAGAGGTTAAGAGGTATTTAGTATCTGAGAAGTATATGGGAAGAAGACAAGAGGGAGTAAAAGTGAATTAAGTTCACATCCACTCCACGAAGAAGCGCCGGGCTGTGGGAAAGCATATCCCCTAGGATGCAAGTCATGCATAGCGTACTTAAGAAGCCAACCTAAGCTTAGAGCATTATATTGCACATATTGTACGTTTGAAAGAGGTAAAATATGTCAATAATTGTTTCTGTATCCGGTAACGCGGTGGCAATCACAAGCCCAAGCCAGTATGAGAGCAGTATGAGAGCAGTGTAAGAGCTAAAACGTAGGAATGCAGTAATCAACTAGAGCAAATGCCGGCCTCTAAGCTGTGCGTACCTTACATACATGTAGTAATACATGTAAGGATAAGGTTTAAGAAGAGGTTAAAGGAACAAGGAAATAAAGGGGAGATGTAAGTAGAGAGAGATGTGACAGTCAAAGAAAATATGAAGGGATTACCTTAGGGTATATTCCGTACCATAATTTACCATTGGCGGTATGATTTTCTATGCTCGTGGCGGTGAGAGCAAAAAAAAAAAGAACGTTGGGATATGTGAAGGACTTCAGAACCAGGGAATGGTATGTGTATGTTATGTAATGTCATGTACTTAATGTATGTATGTGCAATAAATTTACAATAATTAAATATGTACAAAAGATGCACGGTACTGTACTCTCACGTAAAGGTGCGTTAGATGTGTAATGTGGGATGTGTAATGGTCAATGTGTAATGTGCAATGTGCAATGTATAATGTGTGTGCGATGTGCCAAATGTCCATACCTTGTGTGTAAGTAGGTTGTTGTACCTTGGTAGCTATCGGTGTAAGGGTCTAAACATCCCGTTAACTTTTAAGGGGGGCTTAACGTTTAAGGTATTACACATTCCTGGTCCTCCCAATAGGATCTCCAGCCCTAAAACTTTGACCAAGTGATGAAGCCCCAGTGACGCTACAGGCGTAACGGAACATATGCGGGGCTAACATCCATGAATTTTTAGCGCGCTACTCCCCATAAACACCCTCGTAACAATGACCCCTCTGCTTTCGTCATAACCTCAACCACGTAGCAGGCAAGCACACTTTGTTGCATGCAACCCAGATCTGGTGACCGTCGTCCCGGGACAAATCCCATGCCTGCTGACCCCCACAAAATACAACTTCACTTTTCTTATATTATTATTTTTACATTCTCATCTATATAAAACGAGAAGGGAAGCAAACATCCAATATAAATCTGCCATCATAGCTTACCATCATAGCTAAATTCTTATTAGTTGTATCTTTAAGTAGAAACCTAGGTACCTAACCTACTATTTACAACCGTTTTCATCTACCCGCTAAACACTTAGCGGAGAAGGCGGCCCGCATACTCTTCTCATAAGTCCAGTGCAGCACTTAATCCCAAAGGCGGAGCCTCAAGCCGTCATGTTATCCACAAATCCTTTGGGGGACTAGATGTAAGCTACTGCCAACTGACAAGTTCATATGAGATTGAATCAATATATCAGGATTGAGGTCGTGCTATACCAAATAAAGCCCCGGATCTGATTCGTACGAGAACTCTCACATCTCCGAAATGGTGCGTGGCACAAACCCATTAGAAAACCCGAGACAATCAACATAAATCTCATATGCCGATTCATTATTGATCTCGTATCTACACAATAGAGCATAATAGATTACCTATTGCAAAGTGTGCAACTCTTTATTTGATACATCCGAAATGTATTTTCTATTCCTTTACTATTATTTCTTAGTTTCAGCTACGAATCAATGGGATCCCCTCATTTTATTTTATAGCCAATAAGGGTAAGTTCATTCGAGAATACCTCGTAATAACGTGTCTCGGGTAAGACATATTGTTCCTTCTTTAACCACCTTCACCGAAGACACCAAGCTTATTATGTCGTAGTAATTTAGTGAGTGGGTATTGAAAGCGAAGGATTCGAGTTGGTAATTTTTTCTTTCTTTTCCTTGCGCGGCTGGGTACTTCTAGACCAATAAAACATGGAAAAGACAAAATGTGAAATCACAGCATTAGTGTTTTATGAAGGAATGTTCTTAGTCTCGCGATAGGCTATAAAGACTTGAAACTTGTTTTAATCGTTGGTAACATCTTCGGTTATTGTATCCAATCATACACGGGAGCTCATTAGCGGGCGGCTACGAGTATTTCAGTCAAAGGACTCCCCTTCCGCATTCTATTCCCCCACACATAAGTGCGTCTCCCATTGATGATCACAAATTACCTAGTCGCAAGATTAATCGTATGTCGAATCAAACTTGCCACCCTTGTCGTTAGCTACATCCTTGCGTGCTGTGCCGGTCTTTGATAAACCACACGTGCGCAGCAGTGTATAGATGACGAAAGACGTCGTAATCTAACGCCTTGTCCGATCTGATTAGACGATTATCTAGTATCGCCGCGGTGGTGAATCTTGGCAGTATGATCGGGCGAGTTTCTTAAGAAAGGAACCCAGTATCTATGGGAAGTCCGACCACAAGTTAGAATATAAATAACTTAGTTCACTTACAGCTACACGACAAGACGGAGGATTGGGGCTTTAGAACAAGGAGCTAGAGCACTTGATTCCTAACTTCATCAAAAGCTACCAGTGAGCTTCCTTAAGTTGGGAGTGAGACTAAAGGCTTTTGCCAATTCCAGTATTTTAACCAAGTTACACAACCGTCTCATCGAGTTTAACACTAGATCTTTGGATGCAGTAGCTAAACTGTTGTGTTTTAATATACACTCTTCCGAGGTTATCTATCTGACACCTTAGGATGAAGGCTCTTTACATGCGTGCAATGGTTGGTGCATCTATGAATTGAAACTATTACATAACTACCTATTGGTGATTAAGTAACTAGTTATTAATATGTAAGCGATACGGTTGGGTTGAGATATATTAGCAAAGTGCTGACAAGAATACCAGAATAGCATTACTTACTAACAAATATGGCTAATCTTGAGCCACTTCACTCTTACTTCTTAACTCACGTGAGTAACTGAAATTTACTATATGTATCTTGTTAGTAATTAGTATAACTCTAACTTAATAGAAGGACTTACTTCACCTCTAGTTTATGGATTATTATTGTCTTATACTGGAATCCCCCCCCCGGTGTAATATATAAAACTACCTTAATCATAATAATAATTTTCTACCACGGAAACTCACCGAAATTTCTATGTTTAACTACGGTTATATTTCGAATGTAAGTTCTAGCAATTTTATAACTTAGTATGTTTTACGATGCTTTATACTAGAAACCTTGAAGTTAGTCCCCAAGTCTGGGATATGGGATGGTAGGTAGCAACAATAAATTATTTTTCTTAAGAACTGATTTAATTTATTCATTTCGGTTACCATTTAGGAACCATGGTAGCTAAAGTAGTCTTTCGAAATTTGAATAATAGGGTACATAGCGGCCTTCAGTAAACACTGGCCTTCTACTTATTATCCTATTTCAAACTTCTTTTCATCAAAACACTCCCCTAAATTTCCATGCATCGACTGCATGCTAAACGAAATATTATACAGCAATATTATACAAGTATCATCTCTTCTAATTCATCATCATGCAGATTTATATCACCATTCATTGCCCCTTCACAATAAGCGTGAGCTACAATTCTGAACTCGTGAGACTTCGGCTGGAGTCGAAGGACAAGTGGATTGAGCGATTTGAGAAGAACTATATCATCACCGGCTTGGCAGTTATGGTACGCTGTACCGCAGTAGCCTGTGTCAAGGGTGAATATTACCCATTTTTCTCGAAGCTTACGCTTCTCCATAATAGCCTCAAAAGTAGTTTCTAATTATTCCTAGGGTTAGCAAAGAGAAACTTCATAGGACCTTAATCTTAACACTTACCATCATCTGGAGGCGATGTGTCACCTCCATGCGAAGCCCAGCGGTATAAAACACCTAGTTTGCTGTTGGGTACGTTGGCGTGATAAGGGCGAAGTAGCGCCTGTCCGATGATCTTCGGATCTTTTCCCGGTAAATATCTAGTAAGACTACTGACTGAATGGCGCCAGTCGAGGCAAGCCGAAATAACCTCTTGATATGCTTGGCTTCGACTGAGTGCCTGGTCTAAAACAAGGGGACAACGAATCCTCTTATTGATTTTCCCAATAGCCTTCCCCATTACGCCTAACTTGCCATCTCGGGTGTTATCAGTGAGTATAGGGGTGGTAGAATGATACTGTGCATCAAAGTCTGTTATTTTCCAAATCAACGCCGAGCCGTTGCGTCCCGGGGTCAACCAATCGGGGACCCAAGAAGGAGATCCGGAGCTTGGATCTGGAGGCAGTGTAATTGCGATAACATTGAGATTTTGACGGCTTCTGATATAAGCCAGCGTTGCTTCTTCAAAAACCTTTACTACATCCTTCCCGTAGTCAGGGCTCGGCAAGTTGATTCCCATGGCCTGGAATACCGAATATAGAGAATACACTTTGTCGTGCGCGATGGTTGCTTTCATATTCCGAATCTCGGACAAGAGCCCAAGTTCGAATCTTACTTGACCATCTCCTTCAAAGCGGGTCTGCGGGATAGCTTCGAGACTCGAGCCGCGCAGCGATAAGTACAACCTCCAGCGAGGGAGTACTAGGTCCCTAGATGAGCGGCTCGATCCTCGTAGTTTGGGTTCAGCCAGGTAGGCCCCGCAGAATGACTCCCAATCTACACTAGACTTGCCACATATGATAACGCACTTTCGTCCAAACGCAGCTTCTTGTATCGTCCAGACCCTTTCAAACCACGGGTTTTTGAGGATAGCGGCCATTGACTCTAGCAATCGAGAACGCTTGTGTTTAACCAGAAACCCTATTCCGAGCCGTGTAAGTGTAGTTTTTACTAGGCAGCAGCCTTAGGCATGAGAACCCAATCGTGGCTTACCGTAACTGATGTCAAAGTGTTGAGCAATTAACGTATACAAAGCATCTTCAAGCATCGGGTACTCATCCTGGATCCTATCCAAGAGGTTAAAAATCGGGAGGTAACGAAAGAGGACCGCGGTTGACGCGTCTCCCGGTCCAAGCCAGATCAAGACCAATTTCGCTCTGAGGTATACTTCTCCTATCATCTTCACTTGGCCATTTCGCTCCTTGATCGCCTCGTCATCAGTTCCTTGGTTGATGCAAATGGCATCAATCCACAGCACCCTCGACATGAACCTATGCCGCAAATTTACCATCGCTTCGTGGCAGTTCTTAGTAACTAGGAGCTTTGCGCCCCCGCAGTCTAGAGGCCATTGCCGAGCCGGTTCGCCCCATACGTATGAGAGGGCCTCATACGGTCGCGCTTTTGCGTGGTCAAGGCAGACGGCCTCAATGGTACATCTTAATGGATCTTCAGACCGATGCGCCGGTAACAGTTTAATTATTCGAATTGATCTTGCCGGCAAGAGTTGGTATTGAAACGTAATTGTGGATGTCATGGAATGGATGTTTGATTGGTGCGATGCGATGCTTTAATTACGCGTAAATTCTCCAACAAATAACTCGAGGGAGATGGCCATTAACAAAACAAAAATCGCCGAAGAGAGAAAGAGAGTTAGATGAATAAGTATCAGTGTCACGTGTTCGTAGCTATCAAGAAAGGCGGCTATTCTAAGATAGATTGTCGACGATCTAAGAAAAGCATACTTGCATAAAAAATAACTAGGTACCTAAGGTAGTCAATATCTTCAGATCTATGGGTTATATTACTAATTACTCCTATTTCTCGGATGATACAATTTCTTGTCGTCTAGCTAAGTCAGTCTATAGGTAGTTTTAACAGGTAGAGGTAGATGGTCTACCTAGGCCAGATTTGTTGGTAAATGAGCACCTCTTCTAAGAATTTTATCATATTGATTATTATACTTAAGAAATACAAAAGTTATACGTCGTGTTCCTATCCTATTAGTTCTTTCTCTGAAAATCTCTCTTCTAATAATGATTCTTCCTCCAAGAATGTTCTCGCAATATTTGTGCCCAGCAACTTGCAATCCTCCGCGTAATGCTGTCGTATCAAATCGGCAATGACAAAATGTTTTTCACTTTCTGCAGCTTGGATTGCTCCATCGTATCCTGTCCGTCCTCGATAACGACTGAGACCCCCGAGACTCAATAGAAACTGGACCATATCAAGCCTTCCGAATAAAGCAGCTATATCTAGCGCAGAACACTGTCCTCTATGCATCGTTTGTGAAAATATATTTATGTCTGCTCCCATTTGGATCAGTAGGAGCGCCATCTCCATGTCCCCCTCACGAGCTGCAATTTGCAAGGCCGTACCGGCGTGATAAAGATCCCCTATTCCCGCAGGGGCGTTCACGTCCGCTCCTTCCATTATCAAGAACTGTATGACTTTTATCATATTTTCCCTTTCTGTTGCTGACTTCGCATTAAGTCCACAAGCAGCTTGGAGTGCTGTCACACCCTCCCGTCTACCCCCGGGCGCATTGATGTTAGCACCCATACGTACCAATCGCTCAACCAAAGCCATATGACCTTGAGAGGCTGCGGCCTGGAGTGCCGTCATCCCACGGACCTCATATGCGGGCATGTTTATATTAGCTCCCATCTTTACTAACTGCTCGAACAAATCTCTATCACCTCGGTAGGCTGCGGCTTGGACAGGGGTATATTGAAATTCGATTATGTCCCCTGTATAATATCTGTCGATGTCCGTACATTCCTTTAGAAACTCTTGAATTAACCAGGGTAGGCTTCTATTGTATATTAAATATGCAAGTATATCGCCATTTGGCATTGGGGCACCATGAGAACGAAATAATTCAAACAAGGACGTCTTCAGCTGCTCTGCGGTGCTAAAGTCACCTATATTAGAAGGTAGAGTAGCACAATCATTCAATAGACACACTTCGAGGCTAGATAGGTCGTGATGATCCAATTTCGAAACAAAAAAGGTCATCTGATCAAGCAAAATTGTGTCGACAAAGTCGTGATTCCAGGCATAAATGAAAAGACGTCGTAGGAATTTAGCGGCGTTTAGATCGTGAGGGCCGGTTTTCAACTCTGCACCGTGATCGATCAAGTAATCGATCATTTCGAAACTTGCTGGATCAGTGTCTTGCATTCCATATATCCCTTCAGGCAACTGTTCAATGCGATGTGGCCTCCATGCGGCACTTGCTAATGCAATTACACTCCATGATTCATATCCGATATGCGGCGTACTGGACTCAATCATTGTCACAGCATTAATGTCTGCACCAACTTCCAATAGCCACGAAACCGCTTCGTAATTACCTAGACGAGCTGCTGTAGACAATGCCAATACACCATGTTTGCTCACATTAGCACCAGACTCGCGAAGGAATTTTAGGATGCCAACACCTTCTTCCTCAACTGCAGCCTCTAGGACGCCTGAATCTATGACTGCTCCTGACTGAACAAGTGCCTTAAAAATAGGGGCAAAGCGTTCATCGTAGCCGTCAGTGCTTGCATGTGTCACTATACGCCAAAGGAAATAGCCGCTACCCAGTTGCAGCGAAGTAAGATCTGGGCCAATTCCAAGCTCGAGAAGGCTTTTAACAATATCTATGTCGGTATCTCGATATCTGACTAAGAATTGCTCGGCAAATACTAACTCTAAGAGTTTAGTTCCGTTAGATCCGGGCTGAGCTGGCTGTGATGTCCAACACTTTCTGAGAAATTCATATCCTTGCTTTGCTGCGAGGCAAATATCTGGACGGAAGAAAAGCCGAGTTGTCTGAGTGCTATATGGAGCCAACTTATAAAACAATTTTATACTTATGTAATAGCTTTGTTCGAGGATCGTTGGTAAATATTCCTTAGGGCATTTTTCCCTTAAAATTTGATTCAGTAATATCCCATCCGATTCATATCTGTATGTTGTATCGACATTCGCACCACTTTGTAATAGCATATCTAGCGCTTGACTTTGTAGCTCATCCTCGAGACTGAACTGGACTAGGATAATATTGTTCTTCGTTTCCTTGAAATAATTCGGGGGATATGCATGGTCTCGTTTTAATGATGTTGAAATGTTTCCCCTAGCCAAGGCAGAGAAAAATTCGCCGAAAATAGATATTTGCTCCCCATCCCAAGTGCTCTCTCGAACTTCACAATTCACATCACATGTTGCTAACAGCAGCTCCATGCATTCTAAGTTACGAGTGGCAGCTGCTTCGACGATAGCGGGGTTTGGATAATACCCAATATTACCATCGGCACGAATCCCAGCCCCCGATAGACTTCGAATAACATCAAGAGCGTCCATCGACGCAGCGAATGAGAGGTACGATGCTCCATTAGGGACAACCCAGTCGCGGTGAAGAAGCCCAATTCTCATCAAGTAGATAAACGTATCTCGGTAGCCGTATTTACCAGCACAAGTTGTCAAGTATTGCCACGCAGCCCTGATTGTAGGTAGATCTTCCAGGAAGAGACTTTTTAAGCCTACTTGAGGAATCCGGTCGAGTATAAGTTGAATAACACTGGGGCATTCGGTAAATGGGGCACGAATATCTTCTAACTTATTGTTAGAAATCAGATAGAAAACTTTCGAGAGTAGATAAAGTATATCCATGTTTAATGTAGGTGCTGAGGATGAGGGCGTATGACTTGGTATAGCCAAGCTATGTAATGAGGATTCAATTCCCCATGTCTTAGGTGACGCTAGCTCGGATTCGGAATATATAGTAAATGGTAGAGATTCGAAGTTTAATGGATGGTCCAACACTCTACTATATGCACTTGGGCGGTATAAGGCAGTAGCTATCTCTAATGCTAATGTTAATCCAGATATTGAGATCGTAGTATAAAGTATCTTATATAGGTACTTACGACGTATAGAGTTACTAAATGTAACCCACGGGATACTGAATAATGCAGTGGCAGTGCTTCCCGAAGAAGTTTCTAACAACTTGGCAAGTTTACCCCCTTGAGCCTCGTAATTCATTGAAGAATCTACATGGCTTTGAGATGGCCAAGTTGTGTTTTGTGGGCTAGAGATAAAAACACCAGGCGATGATGGCACGGAGAGCATCGTCACTGAGGAGGCTAGAACCTGAGGAGAGAGGCTTTGCGGCTTCTCTTGTCGCGTTGATGATACATGAAGCACGTGGTGTCCGATAGGTGATGGTGTTCTCACAACTATGTCCCTTGGAAGTGGAATGTATTGACCTATGTAGATTAGGGTCAGCCTCTAATAGTGCAGCATATGGGCCGGTAGTAAAGTGCTTAGGCTTGGGCGAGGCTCCTTACTATTGTCTGCTGATCGAGCTCCTGATCTTCTAATCTCCTTCCACACTTTGTGCTGTGGGATTTCTGTCCCATTAAGATAGACCCCAGTGGGCTTGTCGCCTCTTTTTAGGCGATGATGGTGCACGGAAACCCAATCGGTTTTCTTGAGTTTTTTACGCAAGTGAAGCTCATCGCGGAGCTTTGTTTCGTAAGTCAACAAGCTGTTGATATTATTAGCAACGCAATTTGAAGCCGGTATCCGCTGACATACGAATTGACAGGAAATCCATGTTCGCTTTCCATGATCTCCTTTACTTCTTTGAGTGTTTTCCGCTCTGTTTGATAGAGCCTCAGGAAGGTAGGTCTGTGTTGTTCCCATACCCATTCATCAGGATCTGGATCAGGGCAGCGGCGTTTGGCAGGTGGCATAGTGACTGAGTTATCATGAAGAGGATGAATAGTTATTGTGAGTTTGATGGGGGTGGAACCTCTGGGACTACTTACCTATCATTCTGGTTTCGATGATGGGGAAGACGAAGATATATACAAATTTTTAGGGAGGGGGGGATCAGGCTGCGAGCGTTACATAACAGAAAGCTCTCCGAGTTATTTCGTATCAGAGGGTAATAGTTTTATGCATATCAGCTTTAACTGATTCGTTAAGTTGCGTCCAAAATCTGCCCTTTGTGATTGGACTGTCCAAAGTCTGCCCTCTTTCATTGCATTGTCCAAAATCTAACCTATTTGATTGGATTGCCCAAAATCTGCCTGCTTTGATTGGAACCAATATCGCCTCGCTGTAATGTCCAAAATCTTGTCCAAAATCTGAATATGCTTATCGGCCCAGTACTTACAGTTAGGTCTCGTACAGCCTCCTATTACTAGTAAGACGGCTTGAGTACTCGTTTCCGTGTCATTCATTCTCCTAGAAATAGCCCTTGATATCACTAATAAATCATGGATCTGCATCTAGAGATAACTATCCAGACTCCCCATTTACTTAATATATTCTCATCCCGAACTTAGGATGACAGTTTCAAATGAGACAATTATTGGGATAGTCACTTTGCTCATAATGTGCTTTCTTCCAAGTCTCCGTTTATTCATTCGAGTTATTCGTCGTCACAGGGTCCAGCCAATTCAGGAGAACGCATCTATTCCCATTGGTTTAATCTCTGGACTTGATGAGTTAGCTTCACTTGAGAGTGGAATGCTATATGCCACAGTAAGCACCGATTACCTGGTATATGAAAAGGCCCAAGTAGCTAATACATAGGACGCGAGCATAGAGGAACATTAGGGTTGACACACTCATAATCCGGTCACCTAATGCGCCGAGTCTACGCAGGAATTTTCATCGTGACGGTTCGGAACTCGACATTGCCTATGGATGAAAGCTCCGGGAGTATGATCTAATACTTAGGTATATATATGATAGTTATATGGAGAGGTATGATGGGGTTTGCTTAATGGTATCATAAACAAGTACGAATCGTTTTTATAGAAGAATTTTTTTTTGAAAAGTTATAGCAGATCGTGTTGATTCTATCAACATTATCTATCTATTAGAGGATTGCCCCCTATCGAACTAGAATTGTAACACGTGACTATTGTCACGTCATCAGTACTTTTTCTGTCTCAGTCCGAGCCAAAGACGCCTAGATCTAATCGTAGCTGGTAGCTAATAGCTAATCATCATCTCATATTGCTTTGGGTTAGCCAAGAGATATGCCATGTCGTAACCGTGGATCCGAACAAGAAGGTACTCTTGCTATCTCATCAATCATTCATCCTTCGTAATACTCATTAGAAAAGGAAATCAAGAAAATTCTGTTGTGTGAAGGAATCTCCTTCTGCTGGGGTAAGCTCCCGGGCTTCTGATAAATTGGTCTCCAAGCTGTCATTCTCCAAAATATGTGAAGTTCATGAAATTGCGAAAATCTGTGAGATGTCCCCTCCTCTGGTACATATGAGGGGGTGAAGGACTGTAGTCTCGCATAAAAAAAAATCAATAGCTGGGATATGCCTTAAATACGCATAATCCGGATAGCGTAAATATCATTCATCGTAAGGAAATCGTTAGGTCTGGTATAGTCGTATACAAAAAAAAAAAAGTGCGTGTTAGTGTTGTTGAAGTAAGTTAAGAACTTGATTGTTGAACTCATGAAGGGGGTGATTGAGAACGTCTGCGATCGCTGCCGCGGTTTCGTAATTCTCTTAGTCGTTGATCGAGATAAGCCAATCGAGACGCCAACGATGGTCTAGATGGCGATCGTGCTTCTGAACGTTCCCTGATTGGCTGCTGTACAGTCGCAAAAGGTCGGCGTAAAGCTGTTAAATTGAAATTAATTGGTGCTGATAGTCTATTAGGGAAACTGTAGCTAGAACCTGCGCCAGAGAATGGAGATCCTAGGCGACGTGGTTGCACAAATGGGTCTTGAGGCGCTGCAGCTGAGATGGTGTGCAAAACTGATGAAGTAGAAGGCTCTCCGCAATCGTCCTTTTCCGAAGCTTCTTTCCAAAAAGCGGCTGCCAGGCTCGGTCGCTTTCGCGGTAGGTCCTCAACGTCCTTAACTGACCTCCGCTTTTGTGTTCCCGAGCGCGACCTAGTTAAACGAACAGGTGACTTGAGAATCTTTCGAGAGCCTAGAGAATTTGATTGCCGTGGCGGGGTTATATCAGCAACAAAGGAGGATGATGAGCTTGGGCCATAGCTCTTAGCCATGACCGGAGATGGGAGACGGGGAAGTTCCGGAGACGGGAGTGCTTGTCTAACGATAGTCTCAGCATCCTTGGTGAATTCTGGAAAGGGTTCACTTTCGGAACCTGTGAGTTGAGCGAGAGGAGCATCAAGCTTCATAGTATCCGAAGTGCTGACTGCTAAAGAAAAGGCCATATCGCGAGCAGAAAATGCTGCAGATGACTGAGCTGGGACTGGTTTTCGGTTCCAGCGACGATGAGCCGTCTTGTGAAAGGGTGTAGGACTCCGGGACATGTATCGCCCTGGACTAGCCGTGGCCTTCATCCTACAAAGTTCACGTAGGTGAGCTCGGGTAGCTGCACACGTATGGGGCCATTCAATATATGGTTTGGCGGACTCTGCGGTAGGGGTGTTGCTTCCACTTTTCATATCCACTGTTAGATGTCCTTTAGAACCTTTCCAACTTCTTTTAGTCTCGCGTGCAACACGCAAACAGACCCCATTAGGAGGAATACGACTTCTACCTAAGCGTATCGGTGTTACTCGCGGGTCTTGTAGATATAACATGTAAGTCGACCATAGGTGCGAGTCCATAGCCTTGGTCCATGGGGCTTTTCGCGACCTTTCTTTGTGCGGTACATTTACATTAGTATCAGACTCAAGTTTAGGGAATTCTAGAGCCTTAAGCTCTGGGCTCATATAATTGCCATCCTCGGAAGCATGCGAGAATTGACTGAACAACGAAGAACTAGTTTGAGTGGAAAATGCTGTTGATGGCCTGCTAGACTCGTACTCAGGACTTGACTCGACATCCGAGTAGCTCCACTCGGACCCAACAGACCAGTCGGGAAACTTTGTTTCGGAAGGCGGCGCGAACTCTATTGCAGGCGTCTTCGGAGGCGAAAAAGTTGGCGCATTTAAGTGCTCGTATATTTCCATACTGTCGGGCTCCTCTACTTCGATACTTGGAACTGGCACATCCGCTGCCGCGACCGACGCCAAAAACTGCTGGGTTGGCGCGTTTAGGTGCTGAGATACATGTCGTCTCTTTAGTTTCAATCGTGGCCGTGGTGGTGATGGAAGTCTTAACTCGTCGCCAGGGGCTGAAGGTTCGGGTGTCTTCGGCCCCTGACTTAGACCACGACTACTGGAGTTGAATTGTAGCATTGTGGAATGTGAATGGCGCATCGGTGGTTCCTATACTATCCGCCGCGGTAATCCAGAATCAATCAGATAGACACATTCATGACCGTTCAAGAAATCCACCTCATTAATAACACCGGTAATTAAGACGTCGGGATCTAGGATATCATTGGCGCTAGTCACAGTTTCTCGAAGTACGAAGCCAGAAGAGTTTATGTTTATATCTGTTTTGTCGCACAATTGGGAAGATCGAAGGAGTATCTCGTAGGATCGCGATTAAGTTTTCTTGGTTGATTGATTTTGATAGCGCATAGTTAAATTCGACGGGAATGAAATGGACGAGCTCGTAGACGGGCGTTCGCAGGATTCACGTTAAGGGAATAACTAAGTGAAGTCGTAGAGAGTAAGTAGTATGCGATCGCGCGCGTGCTTCGTGCGTAGGTAGAATAGTGGCTACCACGAGGGGGGGGGATCGGTAGCCACCCTCCCAACCGAAAGATTAGGGGAGGAAAAGGAACGACAGATTAGGTATTGAAAAGAAATAGGAGGCAAAATGTAAAGAGGATGCGAAAGAGAGGATAGTTAAGGTGTGGGCTTGAGAGGGAATAGGTGGATGGGTAGTAGAATCACGTTGCGCTGCAGGTGCAACTGACAGGGGCCGATTAGGAAAGACTAGGACATGGAAGACTTTAGTTTAAACAGAACTAGGAACTAGGAACTTGTATCTCTTGTATCTATCGATCGTACATCGTAACTGCGTACTGATCCTTACACTGGCCCACTGGAATTGTACTTTGCCCAGAATCAGCAGGCGGGAGTGGCACTGGTGCGAACCCTGCGTGCTGATTCTGGCAGTTCTAGCGGCATGAAATATCGCGCTAAGCCATTTATAGACCTAAGGTTTACTAGAGACCCCACTATAAGGAGTGGGAAACTTCAAGCGGTCAGTTGGGGTTCCTTGCTCTAAACCAATGCACAAACCTCAAAGACTAGGGCTTAATGTGACTTTAGACCTTATTTTCTAGCAAGTGCATCTAACATTAACCAAGGTAGGTAAAATGCTATGTCTGTATGTGCTACTACTACATGTATACCTTATGTACTATCCAACTAAGTTATGTACCTACATACATGTAACAAGAAAATTTTGAACAAAGGGGGTAGAGAGAAAAGAACGAGAAACCGAGAGACACGGGGGGATACCTACATATCGGTACGATTGTACTGTAAAACAGGTCGCGGATATTTTAACAAGGTTGTAAATCGGTGGAGAAAAAAAAAAGTTGCTGAACCTTGAGAAGAGTAAAAGTGGTACTTGGGATATGTGGCCGAAAACTGTTAACTTCCTACTTAGTAACTTACTTGTCTTGACGCACTTCTGCTTGCGACTTGCGACGACTGGCGCCGCTGCTCATGCACTCCGGACAGCAGCTTTGGCCAGCGGAGGGACACGACAGGAGTGCATATGCAGTGATCGCCAAGTGGGAGGATAAGAGGATACCGATGATAGGCAGAGGGCACAGACGCTGAACAAGACCCCCTAGCCGCCAGCCTATATGGGGGGAATTGGATGGAGTTGGATGGAGTGGAATGGAGAGTTGGGGTTCCAGTTAGATCTAGAGGAACGTACCCGTGCGAATTGGTCGTATACTCACTGTACGCGTTTGACCAAAAGCGCGAAATCGAGTGGACGAGAATGTTTCATGCAACGCGTGAATTCACATTCTCTATTCTCTTATTCGTTCGACTTGGCCGATTTCGTTCGTTGGATTATGCAGTACCGCGTACTGGAGCTTCGTACATGCCACTGCGAACAACACATATTGCTTAGGCTTTCGAGTTCTAGAAGACCCCAAATATACCCAAACGTAAGTGAGGCAATGTTAACATACCTAAGGACCTAAGGTAATCGAAGCTGTGAGCTGTGATTGTGAGATCAAGTTAGGCAGATTTAGTGGCACCTAGCGCATCCCGGGTGTCTCCCGTATGTAGGTATTGTGTTTGGTTGTCGCCAGCCTATTCGTCCACTATCGACTATTAGTCGACTCGAAGTACATAGGATGCAAACACGTAGTAAAATGGGTATCAATACGAGTGGAGTTTAATCAGAGCACATAGCAAGCAGTTGATCGTTCATTTGTTCTGCCCAAGTTTTTCTATGATGGTAGCTATCTTACCCTAGGAATATAATTAGGAGAATGCGTTGGGATGGCGGTTAGAAGATCTGTGGTACGGGCGAGACCCGACCTTCAAGGTGAGACATCATAAAATGTGACGGCATGTGACGTGACGCGACCGTTCAATGTCTCGAGGTGAATATTGCGGCTATGGAAGTACATATCTATCAAGTACCTACCTACGTAGACTACAATAATTCCTCTAAATAGCATGCGATTTATAGCCGAAAAGAGACCCGTATAATAATAATGCTTAAGACTTGTCGGCTTCGAATTGTCGCAAAATTCTTTTGTTACAGATATTACGAAGACAGAAATTAAAGACCTGGAGAAACACTATAACATGCATAGAAGATAGGTAGTCTATAAAACTAACCCCAAGCTAATAAATTGCAAGAATATACAAGCTACACGTGGATTGCTCATAATAATAATTTCAATACCCACTAAATATAAGCGGCTATTGTAATATCGATGGTGTTGTTAGTAGCTAGAATTAAAGGTTCTCCCACCTAAAAAGTTAGAAATGTATAGAGTTGATTAAGACAACTTATACTTATATCTTAAAATACTTAAACAGTACTTTCGTCGTATTGTTCGCAACTTGAGTTAACCATTATTATATCATCTCATAAAGAAATTTGAAATTGTAGCCTCACTTTTAACCCCATTTACTAACGGGCTGCTTGACTGACGAATCGGAATGTTCCGTCGAAAGAAAACGACACGAAACTAACGCGAATCAACGCGTAGGCATGTCTGTACTCCATAGGAAGCATGAGAGGTTTCATTACTCTTACCCCACGTACATTCCACATGGTCAGGGAGGTTGGATTCGGTTCCTAATAAGTGTCAAGAATATATTCCATACGAGCATCTTTACGTTCATTGGATTATTTGGTTCGTGGATTTTTAAAGACCTTGTCTGACAACTTTCTATCAATATGCACTTACATACATGAAGTAAAGTGAGCATAAAAACTACCCACGCAATAATGATTGGCTGAGAGATAGGGTAAATCCCTATTACGTGAACATTGACGCCATTGAATAGTCTTACTATAAGATACGTTCCTTATGCATCCTCTCTAAGCGGAAGCCCAATCCATTATACTATAGAAGTACCTACATGATACCACGAGGGATTGGTCCTATTCCGAACAGCCCCGAGGATCAATATGGTCTGGCCTGCATGTACGCTTCCGTGAATCTCTAAGGAGGTCCTGTTTTCGGAGATCATTTATAGGCTGATGTTGTACGGCATAACACCGCACGGTCCAGCGGCCGTGTGCTCAATTCCCGGTGACGATCTTGCTGTTACAGAACATTATATTACCAGATCTTATTAAATCATCAGATTACTAAGGTTTCTTCTTCCACCAACTTAGGAACTTAATGTACTTATAGTAAGTAGGTTTTATAGAAACCGGATTGAGAATTTCTTCCCTAAATCCCACAACGAAGCTCCTTAGGGTATAGCAAAAACCTTGATGCTTCGGTCAATAATTGGCATGCACCATATACTACAAAAATGAATAATTATTGCTTTTAATTGCATCTTAATCATGTCCTAAGTTATAATTCTCGTCAATAGAAAGTTAGAAACATCATAAGATATAGTATTATTACCGCAAACTATTACTAAATAGCTAGTTAGGCAATTAGGTAAGTAAGAAATATATTACATAACTACCTAATACGAAACGTCTGAAAGCAACTAACGACCTACGGAGAATTATGTACAGATATGAGGTATATGTATGTCCGTTCGGTATGTAAGAGGTATGTATCTATTCCGAAGTTGGAGTGCAGGTATGTATTTGAAGGTATCCACTTCCATGGATATTCCCAATTAATGCCCGTTCAGTTCTATATACATTAGGTATGTACCTACCTAAGATACTTAATCGCTGGTAGATTATATAAGCGTCGTTATCTCACGTGCCTTTAAACGGCGCCAATTTGTCTGACAGCTGACATTATCTGTGGTACGAATGATGTCGATTAAAAAGCAATGTGGAGCTTCAGTTTGCTTTACACCAACTACCTCCATTCAACAACTCCCATAATTGGTCTTGGCTCAACGTCTCCTCTTCGGATATTATCTCATGTAGTTACATTCAATATGTCGTCCACTACTGATATTATCACACTTGATAACTTTGCATCTAATATGCCACGATGGGACCCCAACCTCTCCAACCACCTTTATGCCCTAGTTGATATGGGAAGGTTTGTCACATCATCACATCGTCACCCTGTCTATTTTGAGATTGCAGCCCTTCCCAAAACCTAGCCCAAGATACCTCGTATCCATCTATTTGAACTAGTGCTATCTCTTCTATTTACTTCTTAGTAACCTTGTGATAGCAATGGCATACGATTCTCTATCTCGGATCTATCGCCTCCGCGAAGTCGTCTTCTCAGATGTTTATATCGCGAGCGCGCTGCTATCTCTTTATTTGACGCTCTCCATACATCGGCTTCAAGTGGTCCTTTGGCATTTTCTTCAGATGTTATTACCCAAGTGTCTAAGACCCTAGCTCGATTCAAGTCTATCGCCGATGATTATGGCGTACCGACAGAGCATATCTCTGTATTCGCTACGGAAGCTATGCGGAAGGCCCAAAATACAGCTGCTATGCTAGATGCTGTCTTGGAGAGTTCAGGACTTGGCATTCATGTGCTAGCGCCAGAAGTCGAGACTCTGTTTGGCTCCATGGGTGCGAGAAGCGGCTTCGACACGGTGAACGGCCTGTTTCTTGATTTAGGAGGTGGTTCGGTGCAGATGACTTATTTGAATTCTTCTATCGATGGCTACGAAATTTCAGCTGCGCAAACCGGAAAGAGTCTACCATTTGGAGCTGCTAAGCTGATCAAAATCCTGGAGGGCGACGAGACAGAGGTTCGAGCTGCTGCTGTAAACAGTTTGCAAGAGGGCATGCGAGGTGCCTTCGCCCAGCTCCAGCAGAAGTTTTCGCCGTTACGGGAGACACAGATCAACCAAAATAGTAACGGTGTCGACGTCTTCCTGTGCGGCGGTGGATTTAGGGGTTATGGCAGCCTCCTAATGCACGTTGATCCTATCCAGCCATACCCAATTCCTGCGGTTGGGGCATACACTGTTGGAGGCTCGTTCTTTAGCCAGACTGAACATATGCGCAAGGTAAATGCCGAATACGAGAGCAAGATCTATGGCATGTCAAAACGGCGGCGCCAGCAATTTCCAGCTATCGCTACAGTCGTAGAGGCACTGATTTGTGCTATTCCTCGAATCCACACAGTAACATTTTGCAGTGGTGGCAATCGAGAGGGTGCTCTATTTATGAAGCTCCCCAAGGCTGTAAGAGAGAAAAGCCCCTTGCTACTTCTCCATCAAGTTAGTTGCAACGAACTTGAAATCTTGCAATCGGTGATCGATACTGTGCAATCATCTCTACCGAGCAATCTCGATTTCTCCAACATCCCAACAGTATTCACTTTAGGACTTGGTCCACTCTTCGCCAGCAATATCTGGACGCGCATTGGAGAACCAAGTGGCGCCAACGCAGCATTTGAATTGCACCAAGCCATTAACCGTGACCCTAGTGCACCTGGTTTCAGTCATTTAGCGCGAGCAGTCTTGGGTTTGACCCTTTGCTACAGATGGGGAGCCAGCCTCGGCGCCTTTGATAAACTGCTTCAAGCTAATCTGCAGAGACTTGTTAGCCAGTCAACCCCTGAGGCCAACTTCTGGGTGGAATATATCGGTGCAGTTGCCAACCTGCTTGCCGTGCTTTGTCCAGCGAGCCCAGATTCTGCGGATAGGCTGAAGAAGGTCATCAAGTAAGTAACTTGCAATGATGAATTATTTGCATATTAACAAGCGTATAGATTCAGCTCGTCAATGAAACTTACAAAGAAGAAGACTAAGATTCAACTAACAGTTTCATTGTCTCCAACAATTCTCCAAGCCTTGGATACGGAAGAACTGGTCAGTATTTTCAAGGGCGTTGGAAAGTATCAAGATGTCGCAGACACGACCGAGAGGAAGGTCGAGCTCACTATCCAGAGAGGAGCTTGAACTTTAGTCATTTCTTCTTAAATTATAACCCCGATATTTTGGGCACGGAAAGTGTACTCGCTCTAACTACAAGCTACTATTATAGCTGTCTAAGAGTATCGTACACCACTTTTCAGATATGGTGAGAACATGACTTATGCAAACACAACCGAAACGACGACCCTCGCAGTTTTTACTAGGGAATGTCAGTCATAACCCCCCGCGACGCTGATACCGGCAGCGAGTGTCGTCGAACAAGTAATATGCCTTTTGAAATGTTTCCTCCTTTCATCGCGAGGCATAATGCAAGCTCAAATGCGGTAAATGGGTATCAGCCTGTCGCTAAACTCCTTCGCTAAACCATCGATCACCCAACAGGCCAAAAATGAACTCATACCGAAACTCTGTTTACCAACCCCGAACCGAACCAGGTTTAAAAGACATAACAAGAAATAAAATTACCCAGAATCCTCGTGATACGACGACGCATCTATCGCCTGGCTCGCTTAGGCGCTCGGGCCCCAGCTCTTGTACCGCCTCTTTGTGCGCCGATCAACAGGACACAGAACAGACGGTCCAGCGTGGAAGAGTGTGGATAAGTAGTACAGTCTTGGAGGGTCTGGTCTAAAGTAAATGGTCAGTTCATTAAACACTTCAATTTCCGAGAACCTCCGTTGCAACATACAGAACTCGTCTCTGCGGATTTCCACCCTTCTGAAATCGGCATTCAATTGCCTCTTCGCTGCGCTCAGCATCGGGTTTCCGTCTTCATTCATAGGTTCCGGCTTCTTTTTGCCGAAACAGATCTCACACATTACGACTAAGTTGCTGAAGACGCTCGTGGTTATGGTTTGTATCTGTAGTGGATCCCCGCAAATGTCTATTGAGCAATGTGAGCTAGGTCCATGCGTTCTAAATTGGGGTGGCCTCGTTACCTTCCGATTGATTGAGCTCATATATATCCCGGTACATCATAATAAATTCCATCATACAAGCCCATAGGGGTAATCGCTCATGCGGTTTCAAGGCTGCGTCCAAGGTCTTCCAGAACTGCGCCAAGATATCGGACTCGAGAGTCTTCATCCTGAAAACTATGATCCGCTTCAAGTCTTGACATATCTGACTAGGAAGCTCCTCTAGACCGGATCCGGGATATTTTTGGCAGAAAAATTTCTTTTGCCGCCAGATTTTATACATGCACCTCATGTCATAAACTTTGCGAACAAGAGAGTGCTGGCGACATGTTAGTAGGTATACAACGTGAGGGGGTTAGTAACACTAGACTAACATATGGTAGAAATGAGTGTTCATCCTGGGCATATCTGCTAACTAGAACGTCTAGAGCCGATTGGAAGTCAGAACTTTCGTCTGTGAGCATTTGCCACGAAGCCCATTTAATAAGCACAACGTCTTCGGGCGCGCCATGAGGGTTCAAAACATATTGAGGAGCTGCCTGTCCTGGGTTGGCTTGCCACCTCTGCCATGTTTGACTATTATTGTGGTTGCTATCGTTACGCGTGACCGAAATTGCTAGGGGTTGTTGGGTCGCAAGACACGGCTTGAAGTATACGTCCCAACGCAATGATGGGTTACCTCTCTGCGACGTGACAGGGGGGTTTACTTTCATCTCTGCTACGGTCAGCTATTCAAAATTCCATTCGAACCTAAAGCTTAGGTGACAGTGATGATGGGATTAACATACTCCAGATCACATGAAAGACGAGGTCGCTGCTGGCGGAAAGACGGCGGAAACACATGTGCTCTGCTAGTTCGCCGTCATCATCGTTGCAGTACTTATTGGCGTCACTTTTGCAACGCGAGCAAGGGATCTGTTGGTCACACTTCTAGTTGATTAGGAAGGAAGCCGAGATACGACCATGGCTACTCACTGGGACCTTGCGCGTCTTACACCGGAAACAGGCGCCAATTTTGCGCATCTGGGCGACCTTATCTGGGTTATCTAGGGGGCGATGTCGCTTGCCACGGCTAAGTGGCAACTCGCCCGAAGAAGAGCTGTGATATGAGGACGGCGCAGTTCCGTTGGAAGAGGCTGGAGAGAGCGGGCTACTACTACCACCGAGTCCCTGGATTTCGGCTCCACTCGAACCTAGCGTACCGTCTATATCCATATGCCATGGGTATGGCTCCACGCCGTTAGGTCTGATCTCACGAGCTGGTACAGTGAAGCGATCATCGTGTTGCTTGATCTGTTCCACGGCTTCCTTGAAGTGGAAAGAGTCCTCAGTGGACCTGGGGGAGGATGCGCCGTCTTCCTCCGAGGGACCGGAGGTTAGCCCCGGGATAGAAGAGGCGTCAGAGCGGCTCCGCGAGTCGGCATCGGCGGCTGGGGATCCTTCGTAGAAACGTTTATAATCAAAGTACTGGTCGAATTCATCCGGTGGGGCAGGAACCTTGGGTTGTCTCCTCTTGGGGAGCCCGCCAATAAAGTCAGGGATCTCCGAGGTGATCTGGGATAGGTCACTGTTGCTCATGTTGGCAGTTGCGTGGCTCGTGTAAGTCGCCTGTATATGTAGGTACGTCTCTTTGTCAGACCGTGCACGAGACAAATCAGCACACGCCAGCGGGTCGCTTCGGTACCTGAAGTGGGGGAAAACGACGATAAGTGATGTTGAGGACCAAAGGGGCACAAGTGATGAACTGTCATGAATTCCTGCTAAGACATCGTCTCATGTCGAGGCCTTGACGACCCCAAGTCCGCATCTGCGAGTACCTCTGAGAGTGCGCATTGCGGCCGTCAACTCTCATTGGCTACACCCTAGGACCGGGCCACCACAGGGCCACCCCATTGACCTATAGATACCCCGGTCTCTACCGAACTGGGAGTCTTACGGCTTGCGGAAGATTGTGTCGCACCCAAGGCGCTGGGTCCTGAAATCATGTGACAGCATGCAGCCCATGACGGAATTTCTTCTGGGCTGAAGCACCGAATTTAGACATTTATTATTAGGGACTAGCCAATTACCTCCAAGCTATGTAGAGTTGAGAAATCGCAACTCCATAGTAAATTTGGGGTTTGGTGTATAGTCTAACTCAAGACAATTATAGATATCTTGGACTAAAAGGTCCCAAATACACTAGAAAAAAAGACTCCAAAATTCCAGTAATAGCTCTTCCGACAGAGAGTCGCTAACAAATACGGAAAATTTACTAGGGTCCAATCAAGGACCGTGCAGGCCTTGCTAGGTAACCCAGTCGCTCTGCACAATTCGCATAGTCGTTACTTTTTGAGTATTCTGTCACACGTACCAGGTGTGTATGTATTGGGGTGCCAGACGACTCCAACGCGCCTACATGAGTAGCTACCTGGGTAGGTAGGGTGTGCATTTCCATGTATGATGTAGCAGCGGGTATCGAATATTGCCAGGTCGTTTCCGTACCAGCATTTAGCTTACCCCTGATCCATGATCCTTCCCATCCAGATTTCCAGACTCCAGTCTCTCACCGAACTTGGGCAAGTGGTTGCATAATCGTATCGGCCTTCCGAGGGAATGCCCCCACGTTACTAATTAATGGAACGATAGAACGATGGGCTGGATGGGCTAGAGGTCTGGTATATAAGGCCTTGGTCCCCCGACCATCCGTTCTGCTAAACTCTTGACCTTTTCCTACATCCTCCCAATCCTCCTGCTGGTGTGTGCAGATATTTCCGAGTGGAAATTGGACTGGGGAAGCAGACCTAGCCCTTGAGTACTAGTAGTCGCCGACGAGCTCTGAGAGCGACGCACTGTGAGTGAGTAAGTACGGTCAACCATGACCATGTTCATCCATCTTGAAAGGATGGCATGATCAGTCCGGTAAGCGACTAGTTCTCGTCATCCGAAGGCATTGTCCTCGGAGCTGTATTTTCCCTTTTACTCGCGTGGAGATCTATTCCGACAATACCATCACACATGGTAGCTAGATTTTCAACCCTATTTTCATCCAGTCGAGAAAGGTTTGAGTATGATATTTGTCTCGACGCTGGGGAGCTCGAATAGTTTTCACGAATAGATATCGTAACATTACTGCCGCATCCAAGCCGATAAGAGTCTTATGGCTACTTAGATCTTATGCGAAGTAAGTATTCCTACTACGTCCGGGCTAAATTCTGCTGATAACTAATCCTAGAAATAGCTTGGTTTACTTGAGAAGATGAGCTTGACATGAACGTGTCCTGGTTTTTCTAGCGCACCCTAACACTGAGAAAGCATATGCAATCCAACGTAACTGGGGAGGCAACAGTCTCGATGCAGCGTCATTTCAAGTCAGCAAGGACCCGGAAAGTTTCTCGAACCAGATGCTACCTACTTACCTGTAGGCAGTACATTTATTGCTGTGGCCCGGTTCTGCGAGTACCCGATGACATGTGACGGAGTGAGCCATGACAGCTAATTTCGGGAAGAAACCGACCTAGCGCCACCTAAGTTATAACATGTTATCGTCCGGAAATCGATTTTTTAAACCTCATTCCAGGTTAGAAAACACTATCCACGACTTGTTGCTATATGATATCTACACGAGGAAGAGTCGACTTGGCACCGGCCAGGCCAAAATTCAATCGCTAAAACGGCATCCATTCTTATACCATTACTAACAACACGGGATCGATCTATTCACTAAGACTTCGGGTTTCGGGTTGTGGCTTTCTAGTTGGCCGAACACTGGAAGGTCATGTGTGAGGATGCGAGTAGTATGCAAGTGAGAACACAGCTAGCTATGCTTCAGTATAGGGAGCTACCTATCGACATAGCTCAAACCAAGCTCCTGATATAGTCAGAGACCCTTTATTATAAGTGTCTTGGTAATCCGGGGATCTAACAATAGCTTTGATTAACCAAGGTGTAGAGGTCCTTAGCAATATCCTCTTAGAGTCTGGAGACTCGAGTTATGTAAGTCAATTTCTACCCCGAAAGCCATAGAAATCTACTCTTCTATTTCGGAAATGTGTTGGCAATGTTTGCTCGGATGGTAGCATACGGATTTACGTGTCATATCTCGACGAGGTTTATACGGAATCAACTATTCACGAAGTATTGGTTTACCTTCAAGAATTAGGTAGTTGACTGGTGGTGACAGCTCAATTCTCATATTAGGTATGTGTCCGCTCGTAATTAAAATTTTATGTTTCTTAAACAAGCGATGCACATGTTTGCATAAGAAGCAGTCTAGAACAGACTGTTTACATATTGTTACGTCGAAGCTAGGATGACGTAGGTTTATTAGACAAACTATCAGTACATTAGGTATCAGAATTGAGATGCGACCGGCGGGGAGTTGTGGCTAGTAAGACATCCCTAATTGGCCCTAATTGGGCAATAAACTCCGTGTTCGAGCCACACTTGACCCGAACTAAATTTGTGGCTCGCATAGTAAGTCTTTCGGGGATATTCATATGTAGAAGACAAGAGTAAAATGTTGACCTAGGTTAATCTAATCGTGTACTTGTTTAAGCAACCACGGTAAAGAAGCGGTAAAAAGGAAAACGGCCAAGTTCGGCTCGTCTTGTGGATAATAGCCAACTGATTTTATTGTTTATTCATGGTCATTCTATAATTTATCTAACCCCTTTTTAACCCTCATCCCTTTCAATTTTGCCTTTTTTTCTTTTGTTTTTAATAAGGCTATCCCGCATGTTATTACCAAGAGTTGGCCAGCAAGTTTTTTCTTTAGAAAAAAGATTGCTCACTTATCATTATCCACGTTATCCACGTTATCCACACAAACGGTTACTACTTGAACGACTAGTAATACAACGAAATTATCAGGCCAATCACGTCATCCCTTCGACCAAGCTGGCGGTCCACTGCAGCAACACGTCTTCGACCCCTCCCCCTCCTTCTTCTGCCGCCTCTGACCACTTGCCCCTAACTAAAACTACTAAAACTACTAAATCTAACTTTCGCCATCTAAACCCAAATCCACATATCGAACTTTCTCCTATTTCTTCAACTCCTAAAAACCCAACCTCCAAGATTGCGTCTCGTCGTACTACTCAACTCGCCCAACACCTTAAGGGCTCTACTTCATCAACCGTCGGTCAGAACTCGGGTAATTCAGCATCTTCGTCTGCAATGGCTTCGTCTTATGGCGTCCGTAAGGTCGGTGCTCCCAATACCTTGGAGCACCGAGTTTACATCGAGAAGGATGGCGTTCCCGTCTCTCCTTTCCACGACATTCCTCTCTTTGCCAACGCGGAGCAGACCGTTCTGAATATGATCGTTGAGATTCCCCGATGGACCAATGCCAAGCTTGAGGTATGCACTATGCCAGAGTAGCTCCGGCATATTGGCGCAGCTAGTTTTACTAATTAGGGCCTTCCTTTTATTAGATTTCCAAGGACGAACTCCTGAACCCCATTAAGCAGGACATCAAGAAGGGCAAGCTACGATATGTCCGCAACTGCTTCCCCCACAAGGGATACCTCTGGAACTACGGTGCTTTCCCTCAGGTAATACATTCCACGTCGTTGTGTATCTCTTGCGTGTTTGCTTGATATACCTACTAAGACCGTGTGTACCTTACATAGACCTGGGAAGATCCCAACTCGATTCACCCGGAAACCAAGGCTAAGGGTGACAATGACCCACTCGACGTCTGCGAGATCGGCGAGCTGGTTGGCTACGTAGGTCAGGTCAAGCAGGTCAAGGTCCTCGGTGTTATGGCTCTGCTCGACGAGGAAGAGACCGACTGGAAGGTCATCGTTGTCGACATTAACGACCCCTTGGCTTCTAAGCTAAACGATGTCGAGGATGTTGAGCGACACCTCCCCGGCCTCCTCCGTGCTACCAATGAGTGGTTCCGTATCTACAAGATCCCCGATGGAAAGCCCGAGAACCAGTTCGCCTTCACCGGTGAATGCAAGAACAAGGCGTGAGTGTTACCCCTATTTTTATACCGGATTCACTGCTAACGAAACACGTAGTTACGCCCTAGATGTCATTCGCGAATGCGGTGAGGCTTGGGAACGATTGATCACCGGCAAGACGCAGCCCGGCGGCATCTCTACGACCAATCTGACCGTGTCCCACTCACCTAGCCGCGTCGGACCTGAGCAGCTACCTCCCCTACCCCCCAATGAGGAACTCGCGCCCGAAAAGATTGACAGCTCGATTGACAAGTGGTTTTTCATCAGCGGTGCTGCCGCGTAGGCTGGATATCCTTGGGTCCGGTAGAGAAAAGTTTGGCGTGCTGATGGGCTTGAATCTTAAAGGGGCTCCGTTTGGTAGCATATCTGTCTGACATGCTTCGACCTCATGTGCTGGCTTAAGATGAATAAATGGTCATTCGTAAAATGGGCATCGAATTTACCCAATCCGCTCTCGTTCGTTGCCCTGACATGTTTGCGATTTCATAGACGATAAATGCAGTGACATATTCTTGTGCAATGATATATACCCGTTCAATTAGGGGGGGTGCTCCGCGCTAATAATCCGAGCAAAACGAAAACGCCAGTCAATGCTTATAAAGTCGAGGGATAAATTATAAGAATAACTTTGTTCCATTAACCATCTGTTAAGTCTGACTGTTTTTGTAAGGCTCGCGAATGTCTATCGACTTCTTCGATTATGCCCTTGATACCCAACTGCTCGCCATCCAAGGTCATCTCCTTCCCATCCTCTTAAGGAAGTATTGTTAGCACAACCCGAATAATAAACGCCTAAAGCTGTCGTTGGAACTAGACGTACTGAATTTGACCTTTAGGGTAGCTGGTATAGTAGATGTTCGCGGTAAGATAGTTGTGTTTATCTGCATACCGTTCTGTCGCGCATTGGGAGGGAGGACGCTGAGGAATAGCCTCGTGGCCCGCGAGCGTATGGAGAAGGGGTTGAACTTGGTGTTCACCTCGGTGATGAAGCGCGTGATCATTGTGCCGGTTGTCTACTTTTACGTATTAGATATTTATTAGTATATATAACTATAGCTTAATCGTTGAAGTGTATTTAACTTGGATAGCTCACATGTGCATCGAATTGGCTCGTCCCTTCGGTACTAGTATAAGAGATTCACGACGTACGATAAAGCTTCCGAAGATTTTCTGGAGCCTGTAATTCAAGATGTGGCTGGTGCTGATAAGGTGGGATGAATGAGCGGGGATGACGGAAAGATGGACGGGATAGAATGCAGGGGATGTGGCCGTGCATCACTTATACTAGCCACATTTAAAGCTTCCAATTCAATGGAACCTGCAACGGAACCTGCAACGTCACCGTTAACAATAAATAATTCCGTATAAGTAAACCCTTACCTATTAACCTACAGGTCTCACAAATCCACACTTCGCCTTTATGAACAAGGCCACGAAAATACCCCTATAAAGAGCTGAGGCTCGGTTTATTCAACCAACAACAACATGTCTCACGAAGCTCTAGAGAAACGATTTACCGATCTACAAGACCGTCTTGCGCTCCTACAAGATGCGACTAACCAGCTCAAGGTGCTGATCGACCGACTAGCAAACTTCAAGTTTCAACCAGGTTCTGTGCCCCTCGGCGCAAACGACGACGACAATGTCGGGTCTGAACTCAGCTCCGAAATTAACCAGATACTACGCGAACAGGAGGAGGAGCTCGAGTTGCTGCACGAGGAAATAATAGATATCCACCCAGGAAAGCCAGGGAGCAGTTTACAACATGACAAAGATAGACTGAAAGACGGCGCAACACGGCTTGAGGAGGAGTTGCAAAAGTACGTAAGGGGAAATATATACAAGTTATATTTATGAAATTATCTAGGTACTTAATCTAACTCCTTTATAGCTGTCGAAAGGCTTTTAGGAAAGCCCAAGTCTCGGCGAAGCGCAACCTACAACTAGCCCAGCGCCAAGAGCGCGAGCTTCTCTACGCCTCCTTTTCGAGTCCACGATCCGGCGCCTCGTCCCCCCTACCCCCGGAATCAACTACGTTACTACCGCCCAGCCGACGGAAACCCCGCGCCCGCGCCGAGATGTCCAAAGAGGAACAGATGCTCAGCGCTAGCAGCGATGTGACGGAGTCGATGCGCAGGACCCACGATATGATGGCCGCCGAGCTATCCAAGAGCGACTTCGCACATAATGCACTGAAGGAGTCGACGGCCGCGCTGTCGCAGCTGTCCGAGAATTACTCGAGTCTGGATACCATGCTGTCGAATTCGAGAGCGCTACTTGGTACGCTGCTCAAGAGCCAGAAGACTGATACTTGGTATTTGCAGTCGGCTTTTTATATATTAGTAGTCACCATCGGGTGGTTAATATTCCGACGTCTGCTCTGGGGTCCGACATGGTGGCTCGTCTGGCTCCCCTTGAAGCTCATGTTTAAAGGCGCAGTTGGCGTGTCGAATACGGTCTCCCGGCGAAACGCACAAGTATCAAATCCCGACCTCGACGCGTCTACAACACAATCCAGGTCGCCGCAGGTATACATGAATAACGAGGAGGTCCAGACGGCGCAAGTCAGTTATCAATCGGAGCTGTCACGCGAGAGTACAGAAGCTATCATGGAGGAAGTCGATAGAATTATTAATAACGAAACGGTGGAGGCAGAAAAAGCCCCCGGAGCGGAAGCAGAAAATGATACACAGGAAGAAGGACAAGAAAAGGAAGAAACCGTGTTAAGGGAGCGCAACGATGACGAACCCCCTAATCCAAAGAAGCGCGTGATGGAAGTAGAAGTAGAAGTAGAAGAGCATACTGGCCCCCCATCCTCTAATAGCGAAGAAAGACCCAAGGATGAGCTGTAATATATTAGAAAACGAATAAACCACATCCCTTACCCTCATCCAAAAAATTCTTTATTGCCATCCCGCGCGGTATATAGTTCTGTCTGTTTCGACGGATATTAATCCCTTTCAAGGCCCCGCGGCCCTGCGGAAAGCTCCTGTAAGTTGAAGGCTAAAACATTCCTTTGTCCCCGCGCGGGAGACGGGGGGCTCGATCGTTTTATTATTGACTTGGGTTCTGTATTTCGCTTGCACAATGAAAAGGTGCGGCTAATGGAGGGGTGGACGATGTTAAATAGAGAGCCACGTAGATTCTCTTATTCATATATGTATGGGCGGGAACAAAAGAGATGAAGCGGAATGGCTTGATATATATGATCATCCATCCCTCTGTCCTATAAAACAAATTCTTGTCAACATACCGCTACACCACTAAAAGGTTATTTGGTAATAGATTTTATTCTATTACATTTTATATATGTCGGACAGATATTTATATCTGACAATTCTTAACTCCCGAAGAATATTCTCGTTTCTATTCCTAACTTCTAACTCAAGCAACGAAAACAATCACGGCTTAACTAAGTAGGTAGCTATCCTCACATAGGTTAGGTGCATTTATGCAGTAATTTATCATTTCATTCTACTAATCTGAATCCTCAAAGTCCATCCTCCTTACTCCAAACTACTAAAAAAGCACGCAGCCGTCTTGCAAAATCCCCCCCAAAAACAAATTCTGATGCGGCTTATTTCTGTCTGTCTGTATGTCTGTCTGTCTATCTGACTAACAAACTTAATCTGACTTGATGTTCATCCATTCTAGATCTCCGCACAACTTCCAGGCCACGGGTGGGAGGGAAAAGGGGGAGGGGGGTATCATCATCATCATCACCACCGCTTCTTCAGCCAAGCCGCCCAAGTCTATGTCCACGAAACGATGATGACGCCGCCAAACTACTGCTCTGAGCGCGGATGCCCCGACACACCGACACACACACATGTAACCAAACAGGCAAACAAACAACACGTAAACACAACACACACAAGCGTGTGGAGAAACGTACAAGTAAGCCAAGGCACAAAAAGCGCCGATGGGAAAAACAGGATGAGAGAGAGAGAAAAGAAAGAAGGTCAAATTTAAATACATAAAAGTGTGTGTCTACTCCCAACTCCGAACGCAAGATATTTCGCGTTCTAATTCCCGATCCTTTTGTTTGGTTTTACTTGTTTCTTACTCTATCTATCATCTCCGCCTTTAATCTTTACATCTGTTCGGGGAGATTAACTCCCAGGGCTTTCCGTCGTCCCCAGAATGCCGTCGATGTCGAAGTCGGTGCCCGCGGCTAGTGTCTCCCACTCGCCCTCTGCCAGCTTCGGTACGTCGTCGTGCCACGATGGTCGTTCCTCAGCCACAGTGTGGTTAGGATGATGGAAAGCCTGTTCGAACTGCTGATGGTGCTGCTCTTCGCTTACGTGTCCGCTCAGATTTCCCTGGTCTAGCGTGTAGTGAGGTTGGAGTCCCTCACCTTGGCTCCCTAGTCCGAGGATACCTAGCGCGTCGAAGTGCTCGCTACCTTGTTGGCCCATGAGTGACGGGTCTATAGGGTGCTCGCTCATGCGCTGGTGCGGATGAGGTGGTGGCGGGTACGCGGATCCCATCATATTTCCGTAGTGGTCAACAGGGGAGCTATGGTATGACCCCACGGGTGAGTTCGCCTTGTTCATGTAGACATTCTCTACAAAGGGAATTTGGTTGCCGTATGGCGACATATGATGTGGGTAAGTCGGGCGCATGTAGTCGCTCGTCTGCTGATAGTACTGGCCTGGTCCAAGCCCAATCCCGTACTCGATTGGCCGAGGCTTGCCCGGGTTCGAGTGATGAAACGAAGACGGGTGTGCTGGATGTGGCAGTCGTTGGTGATTCATGACTGGTGACTGATACGGCTGATACCTTGTTCTCGTTCCTGGTGGTTGGTATTCACCATCTGGATCGTATAGCGGTCTTGAGGAACTTCTCGACGGCGGAGCGGTATCCCAGTGGTAACCTTCCAGGTCAGATCCATCGTCTTCCGACTCATTGACGGTAGTACTTCTACTGCCGGATTTCCTGTTCTTAGCCTTAGCTGGCGCGAACTTATAATCAGGAAAAGCAATGCCATGATTTGCCCGTTCGATCTTGGAATAGGAGTCGAACTGCTCTTTCAGAGACGATGGCTCCATAGCCCAGCTCGCACCGCAGATCCGTGAGATAACCTGGTGGTTATCATGCTTTCTCCATTCCTTGGCTCGATTTTGGTAAGACTTCCGATAAAGCATAAATGCGTTCATCGGACGCTTCACCTTGCCATCTTTCGATTCCCTTACCTCCCTTTGCCGCACCTCCGCGCCTCGGTTTACGTAGTCTTCGATATTAGTGTCCTGCACTGTGGTAATATCTTTTACTAGTATACTCAGAGGCGCGTCCAGTACCACTGGTGGCTCATCTGACTGCCCCTTGGTCTTCTTCTTCTTCTTGGCGCCTGCGCCTGTGCCTTCTCCCCCAGACATTGGTGATTGCCTTTTGAGCCCTCGAGAATTCATCATCGGTGTCCCTTCTCGCGTCCGGTTTATAGCTCGGCCGCTTCTTGTTCTAATACTGTCTGTTTGTAAAGGTGTTGGTGGTGAAGTCGCAGGAGTGCTATAAGCATTGTGGGGTGTCTTTTATAGGAAGACATTAGTAAAGATTAATCTCTAACGAAGATGAACAATAAAGGACAAAAGGAAATCAAGTTGATTGTTCGTCTATTGAAGTTGTTCAATATCCTTTATTTCTAATAATAACATACCAACGACGAGCCTGTATCGGGCAATTGAGGATACGGGCTTGGCTCCATCTGATAATTCTGCTGCTGATATCCGCTACTGTACGTAGTGGCGTGGTCGTATATAGGCATGACCATCTGCTGCTGCTGCTGTGCTTGAGCCGGAACCGGGCTTGAATATCGTGAGGGTGGTTTTGAGTTTATCTGCTTGTGCACCTCAACAGACGCCGCTGTCGCATTATGCTGGATAAGTTGTTGGAATTGATTTTGTAGGACGTCGTCGGCGGTTGTAGAGGAAGGGGGATTGTTATTGTTTGAGGGTGCTGGCGATGACGGACCGGATTTCTCCATGTCATAGGTTGTTTTCTACTGCACTATTATGCGACAAGCGGGAGTAGGTCGTTGAAAATGGTCTGAGGCGGACAGGGAGAAACTGTAGTAAATATTGAGGGAAGACGGATAACCATAAAGATTGAAGATGAATAAGGAGGCCACTTTTAGAGAGCCGCCGGGTTTCCCCTGAGTAAGGACAGAGACAACGTACGCCTACGTGCAAAGGAAACTAGAGGATGTCTTCTTGTCAATAAGCTGCCGGTTCTATTCCTTCCTCTTAGCGAATAGCCAACAAGCGGCCAGACTCTCGCTTAACTATTACCAGATAAAAGGTTGGTGAGTAATGAATATTATATTCACCCACCAATACCCCAAGCCCCTCAACTTGGATGGAGTACTGATGATTACGGCGATTATCTTTTGGATATGAGTTGCGAACTAGATAGATCGATGAGATGAATGTAGGTACAAGGAGGTACTAGTACACAGCGTCTCCGTGCCTGTGTATGGTCTCCACCAGATCTACCGTGACGTAGATTGGCAGCCAGTCTCTAACTTGTCTATTCGGGTATGTCTCTGATAGTTGGTTCGTAGCTACCTGGGAACGCCTCAACTTAGAGCGCGGCGGGCGTGATAAGGCCGCGGATGAGATCAAATAGTGTGAGTATGGTCGAGAGAGACATATACAGCAAGGAGGCAAGGAAGAAGACGTCTCAAAAGTAGAAATCAGTATCTTATTGATTCAGATATCCTGGAAGAATATCGAAGATGTATCGGGCAACCGGTTCGGGTTACCACTTTTGAGGTTGTTCCAACTACAGAGGTGCCGGAGCTTTCATCTGGACTTTCTCGGTCTGTGAATGGGTGAGTAAGTCTTCAATTCTAGTCGCCCACATTGCCTTCCTGCTCCGCCACATATGGGCTATTAAGCTGTATCTTTTTTCTGCAACTGGAGAAGCAATGTGTGCGTCCAGACAACATAGGCTACCCGGCTTGGTGCCAGTGTAGCCTGCAGCCGCAGGCATAGATCTATCAGAAACCAGGTTTGTCTCTGGTCGTGACACTGCAAGGGAAGGGGGCATGCAGCCGCATTCGGTCATGTGAGCAGGAGAGGGGAGAAAGACGAAGCATAGAGACTTAGAAGAACGTACCTATTGCATGATATCTGCCTAATAGAATGTTGGTCTGTCTGTAATATCCTTGCTTTAGCAGCGCCGCGACGAGGCTTCTCTTTTCTCCCGATATTGCTTATATGTGCGTGCTTCCTCACTTTGTCTCGTTGTTAAATCTGGAAGACCGATGGTAGAAGCTGAACCAGAGTCTTGGGATAGAGAGATATGTGTAAGGCTTCTCTCCTCTCCGAGGGGTGAATTATGTGATTGATTGATGAGTTCACGCCCCTTTCTTAGTGGGTACAGTGCAATAGGTAGGCACAACGAGTTACTGATTGATGCAACCTCCCCGGCCTATGGTCCGCACGAGCTTCCTTTATTTCTTTGTTTCCACTCCCTCGCCAAAGGAATTTCAGCTACCCACGTGCCGCAGAAGTAACAGGAACTAGTATCTCCGTAAGGCTGGCTAACGATGTGACTGGTTCCTTGAGCCAGAAAAATCGATGGGGCGCGTGGAAATTGATCTGAGTATCGAATATGTGAAGTTATCAATTATTGTCGGCCGACTGTATAAGCATCCTTCCCTATCCCCATCAACCCAACAAGTTGTATAGTACGACAAGAAGCTGCTGCATGTATAGATGGATAGGTGAAAAGGACCAGATAGAGAACTACTGCTAGATGCCGCCTTTGTTGACCCAGCACGAACGACGAAAAGCAGCGATAGGTAACAAGCAACAACAAAAAGAAACATCTTTCTAAACTTCCCTTTCAAAGCCATATTCCTGGGGCTATAGTTATTTGTATGGCGGCTTTCTTCGGAAGGTAGAATGCGGCCGCAAGGTTGCGCATTACCGCTTTCGGAAAGCAAGAGGGAAAAATGCGAGGCATTGTACAACGTGTGCTGGCCTAGAAAATTACTCTAGATCACTTACGGAGCTATGATAGCCCTAGCCGTGTTCGGGGGCAAAAGGGAGAGAATCTAGGAACTGTACTTATGTTGGGCACCGAACATTCCGGGCCGGTAGAGAGCGAGAGAGTAAGCAACTGGTATTGTTAGTGTCATGATTTCTAGAGTAGATGAAATGTAGCCTATACCTAGTTCTCTCTCCCTTTCTCGCTTTCACGTATGCTCTTACACCTGTTAACGCCGATAGCGATGGACTCCCACTCAACTATTGCCCACTAGGGTAAGACATATGCAAAAAAAAAGAGATAGCATTTTGTACCCACATGATACCGATGGCCGCAGATCCTGGGCTAATAGACTACATGCAAGATTGCATGAGATGTGCTGCATGAGGGACCGGGGAGTTGAATGAACTTGATTCCCGAGCAACCTAGATTTTTTTTTTTTTGCCACATCTTCAATACGACCAGGGGGAAATATCATCTAGTTGCCCACTACAAGTTGCTTTTGGTAGTGTTTTAACAAGGATTTCTGAAGGGTCACCATCACTGGGTACCGTCGTAGCTACTCTTGGCCGATGTGAGGGACTGGAATGTTGGTTCCTGTATAGGTCCCGAAAACGTGTCTCCTACAGCTAAATTCTCCAGTGGCGCGGATACTCCAACATTCCTTTGAGAATTTGCTGAAGAAATTAACCCAATGCAGACAGACTGGAGCTGGATTCTTTCTTCCCCTCTTCACCCTTTTGCCTAGCCAGATCGCGGCGTACAAGCAGCCGGTCAAGATAACCATGACGCATTACTACTAACCACTAAATAGGTCTTAGTAGCTGCACTAGAGAGGGAGTAGAGTAAAGAGAATATCTCCGAGCTCTCAACATGTAGTGTCTTCATAGCTCTATAGGCCAACCCCTTTATCTTGGGGGTGGGCTAATCTCGGCATCAGCTCCGTAGCCAAGCAAGAAGAACCTACTGGCTGTTGATTAGACCCGTCAATCTGCAATATGGATGTTAACTGCAGTATTAATATGCTGCTAGTGCTGTCCTTCCCTAGTGATGAGCATGTATGGCTGTATGGCTGTATAGCTGTATGGCTGGCAGATCAGATCGTGCCTGGGCATTTTGTTTGCAGCCGCATCCCTGTACCGTACGACGGGTATTTACACTAGCTCTGCAGACTGTTTGAACCTCGACCCCAGTAGTGCTAAAAGGGGGAAAGCCCAACAACTAAAAATTGACGTACAATTATGTTGACGGATAGGAAGGTAAATTGTTTTAGTAAAAGCAGTGGTTTCAGTCGTATTGAGAGAATATTAAGAGAAAAGAAATACTCATGGCTTAAGGAGACATAATCATCTTTCTTCGAAGAGAAGTATGTAAGAAATGGATGGGCATCATGGTGGAAGGATGCTACTGTGCAGCATCGCGTATGCGTCCATACATATATACTAGCCAGCCACTTTCTTGAAAGACCGGCTTGTATTATCTTCTTTTCTTTCGTCTTTTTTGGACTCGGGGTCTGTCTTTGAGGTCATCACGCAGTTAGCTCTTCCCGGGTCTCTTTTTTTTCTCCCTTGCTATGTACTGTCTTGCTCATAACCCGGATGTGTAGAGTTATAACAATGAAACCGTTAGAAAGAACCTAGTTGACCTATCCCCTCACCTTCAACATCTTCATATTATAATACTTAATTTAATGCTGGTAATACTGGTATCAAGCGTATATGACTTCATCGTGTTGCGTTGTTCGTTCGCTTGCTTGCTTGACTAATGGCACTTGGAAGCATACAAATATGTGCGCACCATTCAACTAACTCGCTTTTGCATTGCTAATTGCATTTCTTCATGCACCGGTCTGCTCATATTCTGTCTCAGCGCTCTGACCAACAGTTCGTGCGAACATTCGGGACTTGTGTGACAGCTCAACTTCGACGGCATGGCGCATTACCCAATAATAGCTACCAGAAGTCTAAGGTTGATTAAGTTAGGCTTCCCCCTAAGCATTGACAGATGCAGGATAGGTCAGCTCATCCTAGGCTCTGGAAAATATGCCCTGTCCAGTAGGATGCCCAGACCCGCCCGGGCTGCGAACTGCTGTGCATCTATGTATGCAATCTGCAGCTTACCGAGGAGAGAAACGTGGAGTCGGTGTAGTTGTCTACCACTGGGAGAGCTTTGCTTTAGACATTAAGATGAGAAATGCTATGATAAAAGATGACAAGTAAGAAGTATATGGGGAGATGAAATAGAATGATACACTGAAGTGAAAGTGATATGTCTATTATTGGTATGATGAATGGTTCGTTTACCTTAGGTACCTAGTACCTTGCGTAGGAGATGTAAATATTGCAGCAGGATGTTAATTGATATGAATAGTGATAAATTTACATATTGTTTTATTAATATGACGATTTAGAAAAGGACCGACCCGTAAGAAGAAATTAGGTACTGCCCGTAGGGAAAGAGGCTTCCAATGAGCGGTAAGGCGTCGTGACCTAACCAGGTACCTAACCTACCTAACATACATGTAGGAAGTACATTACCTAAGAGGTACCTAAATAGATGCATGTACGCACGGCTGCTACCGACTACATGTATGTACATATGCATTTGCTAAGAATCTTTAAAATGGGTCCCTCATAATATAATATCTCACGGCCATTTTTGAATTATTGGATTCTGTACCTACCTATTCTCCTGAATGTTGCACTACAAAACCGCCGGCACCAGTTGTGCGTCAATGCATGCAAAAATAACGTATTATAACGTTTCCCTTCTAGTTTACATTTCAGGCTTGGTTTACCTGTCTCCTACGCCGTAAAATGCATCAACTATCTAAACCAATCGGAAATCCTTACTCCTACATGCTTCCAACGGGTTTGCGGATGCATCCCTTTCCCATTCCACGGGGAAGAGATTGACGTTACGGGAACACCTAAACTTATCCATCTTTACACCCGTATGCTAAAGAAAACTGCCTAATATCAATGCCATAATTAGGCGCATATATGAGATCTGTATCCCATCTCAATTAGGACGTAGTCGAACTTACAGTGCCAAAGAAATTGCGCTGAAAATATGACCAGTCTCTAGACTACATGACAGATTAGTCTACTCTCGGTGACCTGTAACAGTCTAGTTGGCTGCCCAACTAAGCCATTATCCCAAGGCGTTTCTGACTATTCATCCCTAGTGATCCCACCTGGCGTATGCGATGCCGGCCGTATAGGGTCGGAAGGTTTGACAGGAGGTGTCAGTATTTGCTGTGAAGGTGAAGGAGATAAGGCCGTCACTGGAGGGAGAATCGAATGTGCTGGGGTCGAAAATAAGCCATTGCCTGATTGCTGGTGTGGAGGCGGCGAGCGTTTTAGAGGCGAGATCCCATTTTGGATCGGTGGTAGACTAGGTGTTGCGTCAAGCCGTGCTCCTGCCTGGTCAAACTTCTTAAGCTGTGGAGTAGAAAGCACTGTCTGTTGAGCGTTGACATCACTGCTCGAAGGGCGTGCTAAAGCGGAAAATGATACAGATGGTGGCGAAAGAACTGGAAGGCTGCTGCTTGCGGCATCAAAAGGCTGCTTCAAAGGCGAATCAGATCTGGCGGCCACGGGAGGTATAGAGGCATCTGCATGAGGCGGGAGATTGTTCGACTGTGCGGATTGAGGTACGCCGTTAGCTTTTGGTGACACGCGGAACACACCCTTTTGTGGCACCCTTACATCCCCGGAACGGCTTCCAGAGGTTGGTGACGCATTGAACATGGTTGAATAGGCCCTTGCTTTATTAGGCGACTGCTCCGGAGGCGATAAATTTGGGTGCGGTGAAGAAAATGGATGAAGCCCATCACCATTAGTGAAGGGTGAAGATGGAGGAGGAGCATTAGGTTGACCTCCCTGCTTTATAGGGATCAGTGGCTGAGTGGTGAGCTGCGTATTATTAAGCCTTGCCGGTATCTCGACTGCAATGCCAGAGCGTTGGGTGAGTCGAGCACGGTCTGGAGTAGGCGAACCGTCCGACTTTGTGATAGGAGATGAAGATGAAGCATCTTGTTGATTAACCTTTAACTTGATGACCGTAGCAGACTTTGGCGTTGAACTCTTTCGGCGGCAGCTCTTGCAAATAAAATGAAAATCATCGCGATCGGCTTCTTCCTCGCTGATGCCAACGCATTTGCTATGCAGCCAAACATTGCATCTCTCGCATGCAATACTGTGTGTGCCATCATCGACCTGACCGTAGACGCCACAGACACAGTCAAAAATCCAGTCATCCTCTTCCTCCTCAAGCTCCTGCAGGGCTTGCCTGTTCTTCTCGATCTCCGCTTTCAACCGTCTCTCTGATAAACGACCGGTCCCAGCGCTTAGGTTTCTACTATCCTCAGACAGTTGTGCTAGTTCTTCTTCGTGCAGTCGCCGTCGGTCCTCCCGTTCTCGAAGTCGTTGCTCCCGAGACATCATGCGGTTATCGCGCTCTTTCTCCATTTTTATACGTTTTTGTTGCTCCTTTCGAGCCGTCATCTCTTCTGCCCGGCGTTTCTGTTCCTCTTCTTTAACCTGCTGCTCTAATCGTTGTTGTTCGGCCTTGTTGGCGAGGCGGCTTGAACGTTTGGCATGTGCCATCTTTTCGAGATTAAGTAGCTCCTTCTCCCTCTGCAGAGCTTTCCGCTTCCGAGATTCTTCTTGCTTCTCTAAAATAGGTAGAAGGTGGTTCTCAATAGTACTCCTTAGGACTTTTTCATTGTCGTCACGGGTCTTTCGAATAGTATTAAGGAATTCCTGTACTTCTGTGAGGCTCGCTGCAATGCACTCCCACTTCGCACCCCCCAGACCGTCATCCTCCGGTTCGACAGGTTGATCCGCGTCGGAAGCAGAGCCATCATCATCATCGCCGCCGTTTTGCGCTGCGGATCTTGATACGCGTCGTCGTTTGGCAGCTCTTGCTGCTGCTTTGGCCTTTTTAGTATTCTTCTTGGGTTTCCAGGGCGTAGGGGTCAGCGGGGCTTCTGTCATGCGGTATATTCGGTTATCGTCTAGGATATAATAAATGCGATCGTCGCTATCCCAGCCAGAGGGTTCAATTCTCTGATATAATATTAGCGCATATTCATCAGAAGATCTCGGGGGAGATCCGTACCCATTCTGTTTGATCGCTTGGCTTCTGTTCATCCATCTTTTCTCGGATTCTTTCGGGATGTAGCATCACCCATTGGGTAAGCTGCTGCAATATTTTGATCTGCAGTAGAAACTCTTAGTATTGTATGATTGTCTACTATGCGACCGACGAACCTTTGTGAGAGCATCGAAGTCATCGAACTTGGCGGGTGTGTCCGCGGTACCAAACGGATTTCGATCGGCGGCCTTAGCAACATATTGCCGCCGCGTATATTCGTCGAAGAGATCCGGTCTTGGAGACGAGTCAATAATACAACTTTTTGGAAACGTATACTGCGAAGGGACATACGTTAAGCCGCGATGCGACGATACAAACTTGAGTAGGGCAAGGCCAATGTTAATTAGAACGGTCGAACGGGGTTTCAGGAACTCGGTCTCTAGATCCTATCACGACAGAGTGTTAGCGCTACGGATCGATATTAAAGATCCTGATAGGAACTATCAGTTGAGATTAAGGATAGCAAGGAGCACATACATCTATCTCGAGATTATCGTCTATCTTCACGACCTTGCCAAATAAGTATATCCACTGGAACAGGTTGGCAAATTGCCAAGTATTTCTAATGCGATGAAGTAAAGATAGCTCCTTGGGGGGGCCTTGCGCCTCAGCTTCTGGTTCGGCATCGCGCAAGGCGCGCTTCCTTGATGAAACCATGACGATAAGTGTATCGTAGGTGATTTTTGATGGCCGAGATATATTCGGCTAACAAATGCGCAGGGAATTCAACGAAGGAAGTTTAAGCGGGCTTAGAAATAAATTGGAAGTTGGTCGGTGTGGTCGGTGTGGTCGATGTGGTCAGTGTCGTGGGCAGGCGAGAAGAGGGCAGATAGAATTAGGGTTAAGGGAAGTTAAACATAGGTACAGATAGAATGAGATATTTCATTGCTATGAGAAAAGTAGAGTTTAATTATGGCCAGTACCTAAAAATAAGTTGGGCAGGATACGTCGTAGGTATTGTTGACGTTTGGAAAAACGCACAGCTACATTCGGCAATTAATAGAGTGACGTGAGGTGAAGTTGATTATATGTACATAGCTTTGGTAGGCACGTAATTTGGGGGAATAAATTTCTAGGCGCGATTTGGGAGTTTGCACCTCAAGTCTATTTTACGCGACGCAACTGTACACCCAGAATTGATAACCTGCAAGCAGAATGGCATGTGGATCTCACTTACGCGCCGCAGCCCACCAAAAAAGAGGGGGCCAAGCCACAAGATTGAAAGAGTCTGGATGTACATTAGGTACGTACCTATATATGCATACCCAAATACCTATGCAGGTAACGAATGTATAAATACTAAAGAGGCACATGATACCTAATACTCTAAAGTTAAACTTTTCAATTTATGAAAACTTCTTATCTCTTATAATTTCTAAATATATTCGTAAATCTATGTTATACACTATGTACGTACCTATTAACAAAACTATATGATACGATATTCTGGAATTTTACTCGCGTCAAGTATCTAATGAAATAACATCAACATCTCCCCCCCAAGGTTCACTAATTACGGTCTCGGCCGATGATAGTTTAGGCATAACCACTATAGTCTTACGGATGCTAAATCTAAACAATAAGTCTCTAGTCCTATCAAAGTCTTTTGAAATCAAAATAAATAATATTAACCATTCTAATAGTAATTACAAGGATCGTCACTTTATACCTACCCAGGTAGGTTAGGTGACATCACGACAATGTAATGCGGGGACGGAGTAACATCACTTCCAATATTAAAAGTGTCAGAGAGATGTCTTCAAAACCCAGAACTCTAATAAGTTTAGTACTAATAAAATAAAAATTAATATCAAAACCTAAGAAGATGTTAGTTTATTTACCCACATGGATCATCTTTTTCTTATTAGAAGCTTTAACCGTGACCGGTAAACACCAACCTACCGAGCAGATCGTCATTTCTACATCTGAGCAGCATCAGCTGGATTCCGACGTATACAAGGTCCAGCATGAGTATGTGCATCTCAGCATACCAATAGCATTCAACGTAGGACCTAACTGACAGAGTAAATACCAGGTTGAAAAAGGCAGAGATCTTTCCAACAGGCAAGTCTCTACTTACAGATCTGATATATAGCTAACCAATGATAGTCATTGACAAATTCCTCCCTTCGTTTCTTCTTGACGCGGAATGGCCGTCGGGAGAACGTACGGAGCTAGGGAATACCGTGAAGGTGGATGATGTTCAAGACGAACCCACCATCACAATACGCCAGAGCCACTCCTCATCGTCGTCGGCTGAGCAGCGCTCCAGCGTGACCTACACAATCATCATTACTGATCCAGACGCTCCATCTCGCGATAACCCGGAGTGGTCTGAATTCTGTCACTTCATCGCCACGGGGGTGGATATCTCATCATCGAAGCCTGCTGCTCTCCGTTTATCTAGCTTAAAAGATGTTATACCGTACAAGCCTCCTGGCCCGCCACCCAAGACTGGAAAGCACAGATACGTGTTTCTATTATTCGCTCCCGCGAACGGCACTACAGACCCGCTTCATCTAACCAAACCGGATGACAGAAAGCACTGGGGCACAGGGAAAGCGAGACACGGCGTGAGGGATTGGGCAGGAAAGAACGGTCTCAAACCTGTTGGTGAGTATCTTAGCAGTCCGATCCTAAATCATCCTATGGAGACCAGAGATGCTGATGAGCGCGTAGCGGCGAATTTTATCTATGCTCAGAATGAGGAGCAATGATACTCGCCTCTCTTCGAAGCAAGTAGTATAATTATTTAGTGGTAGACTACCTCTTACAATAACTATATAAAAGGCATTGGCACGTGTGCTAGGCAAGGCGAACGCATCAGTTTCATTTTTTTCACATGCCTAGCTACCATCTCAATCGTTCAACTTTCTTATTCTTGAAAACTCTGTAGTGGCATAAAAATGAAGGCATATATATATATATTACAGGTTTCATAGTAGCACAACCTGCTAGTGGACTCAAGACAAATAATCCGAAGAGGATTAAGAAAGAAAACTCAACAGCATAAAAGAGAAATGGGAAGCAAAAGTTATGTGTCTAGAATTAGACCATAATAGCACAGCTAGCTTTATTCAAAAAGTTTTATAAACACAATATCTTTATTCATCGAACTATTATTTATGCGGATCGAAGCCAAGTAGACCTGAGGCCATATGTCGTTTGGAAAAGCAGTAGTATCAAGTCACTCGTTTCATCAAGTCTCTTAGGGTTGTCGATAGCCATAACCCCCTTATTGCGGATAATTAACCTAAGTTAAAATAGGGGGTTCTCTGCTATATGACAAATCACCTAGGGCTTTCTCAGTGTGTTTCTGGGTGACTACATATTGCTTTGTATTTTTCTTCGTATGTCTATCCCAAGTTCCCAAGCCTACAACTTTATTATTCCCTATGCTGTGTTATTCATAGGAATTGTGCCATTGCTGCTTTTTCGAACCCTTCCAATATTTAAAGGCTGGAAGATTCCCCTGGCCCAATACCACTTGTCAATCCATTCTATCATAGACCCCAAAGCGAAGCTTCGAGCTAGCATAGCATAAATTTTCGCCTTCGGGCATTTGGTCAATTTGAAACGATACAGTACGTACCCTTAATACTGCATTTCAGACCAACAATAATGCTAACGAGATTTTATAGGAGAAGATTAGCATGGCCCCTGCACTAAGGATGACACGCTTAATCAAAGTGAGCTTCAAATTTTTTTGCTAATTTTTTTGCCAATTTTTTTCCTACTCCACTGGCTTCACTTGCGGACTACTATTCCGTACCAGGGCAAGCACACAGCTCAATAAGTCAGACCTAAACTCTATTTTTTCCTAAGATATGTTTTTCATGGCAACCGAGCCGACAAGTTTCCAGCATGGGTACCAACGTGGAACACATTTCACAATATTCCCAGGAAACTGATATGCTTATACTGCTGAGCGGGTAGTAGGCCATATAAACAAGAGGTATCTAGATTATAGTCATACAACAGCTATCTGGCAGGTACAAGGCGTATAACCCCGCATAGAAAGAGGTGGTAAGGCTACATACCTACATAGGTAGGTAGTGTAGGTAGGCCTGGTAGATTTGGCTAAGTAAGGCGTAAGGCTAGGCTGGGGAGGGCCAAGGCTCAGGGGAAGGGGAGGCTACAGGATCATTTCTGGCTCGCGGTTTACTTAGCTAATATTTCACTAAATAATAGCATACTAAAAGGAACATTTACTTATTCAAGACATATTTAAGGGTTATTCGAAAAACTATTAAGTTTTTATAAATATTGTGGAATGATAGGTAAAGTGATGTTGTATTGTAAAGATTCTTCTATTCTAATTTCAATAGTGGGAATCTTATATATTCCCTCATTTCATTGCACCTTCCCACAGTACCTATCATCTTTTACAAGTTACAAATCCTAGAAATTTAGAACTTAAGGTTAAGCTGGGAATGTTTGGGTATAAAATAAGTGTTACGAGGTGGAACTAAACAGCATGGAAACAACTTCGTTGTTCCGTAAGGAACTCTAACTACCTAAAAGGTTCTATGTCTATATACTAAACATGTTCTTTGTTCTAGATGTCTCATCTAGAATCCTGACAATAAGTGCGGTGGGAATCCAACAAGATAGACGCAAACCTCAGGTTTTTGTACAATCCATAGAGTGATCTCCTGAATGGAAAGCAGTAAGAAGACTAGGCATTAATTGAGACTATAGAGATCCATCATCTCACCACTCCGTATCAGCGTCATAAATAACTTCACAACCCCGACCCTCATTACCACCATCCGTCCCTGTGCCGTTGGCACCATCTGCCCATATAGCATTGTCATCATCTCCCCATGTGTCGTTGTCACCATCTCCCGAGAGGGCGGTATCCACTCCGATCTTTTCAGGGGTCAGATGCACAATGCGATCTCGATCACGAAACTCCAACGCTATGCGAAGGGTTTCTCCCATGGAGGAACTTAGCGGCTGGAAGACAATCTTTAGTCTCGATCTAGGCCTTGTTATGATACGTAAAGTATCGCGAAATCCCTAGTATTATTGATTAGCTTAGATTCATATTCTACATATGAACATGATCTAAAAAGCTCACAAGGATTTCCTTGATCAAGGTAGCGACTACTTCATATTCATCAAGCACCTCCGCTTTGGTGAAGCTTCCTTGGGTAGAGTTCGGTAGTATTAGGAAAGTAGTTTGAATTGTTGGGGTACGAATATGCTTTATTTAAGTCTTATGTCGGTGTTGCTGGATGACTTCGTGGATGATTTGTTAGGAGGGTTGTATAATGTTGAAATGAATAGAGAATCCTGACCTTGAATTGAGAGAGAGACAGGTATTATTGCTTAACTTGGGTTGATAGAGTTAATTGCACTATTCTTAATGTGGTATGTTTGAATATTTTAGAGGTGTTGACATAATTGAGGACAGGAAGAAAAATATTGACGGGAGTGGCTCTGCTTAAATATTAACTAGTTACGATGTAATTAACTGTTACAGGGTTGTCACCAGTTGTTCTCTCCTTCCTAATCTCAGCTTGCACTGGCCCTCAAGAGGCCAGTGCGAAGGCTGTGATACATAGGTACCTAGGTACCTTTTTGCGAATGTTTGTGACAAGAGCTACAAAAAGGGCAGTCAGCCAAAGCTGCGCTTGCCTTTTAAACAGTGTTACCTTGGACTTCACTTCGCTGTCAGGGATCACCGAAAGAGTGTAACTTCACCAATCTTAAACATTTACAAGGTACCTATATACCCAGGTAAGTATATGTAACTAGCAAAAATAGGTACCTATATGGAAGCTATCTTATGCTCGGGAAGGTGAGTGGGCGTTATCGTATGGAGTATCTCAGCTCTCAGCTCTGCTAGGCATCTATTACCATACAAGTCTTATAAGCCAGGAAGTCCTCGAATTCCTCTAAGCATAGGTACCTACCTAACATTTTTAATAATTGGGGACGTGTTACTAGTACGCATGCGTGATCTAAATGACCACCTATCCACGACTGGTGAATGCGGTATGCGATTCTGCCGAAATCTACAAGTCTACAGCACGCCGAAGTATATCATGGCGTTTGATTTTACACGTATTTCCTCTACGAACTTAACAAATTTCGCATCTGCGCTTACTCTTAAGTTTACTACAATGACTACGATCAACTCTTGACACTTAGCGAATTATCTTTACGCTATATTATTCGCCCAAGCGGCCACCTGGTATATACTGTAGGGCGAGTGGAGGGTCGATTGAACTTGACCCATGGGACAATGCACCTTTGCTCTCCTGGGCAACTCGTTCTCGGGAGCAAGAGTGGCAGGTTTTACCTTGACCATACCGATTAAAAATCCTGTTTGCGGTTGAGGAGGATTTTGCAAGAAGATTGATATCTATTGATTAATTTTATATATAGAGTAATTGTCTAAAATAGGCAGACTAAGTATTATATTCTATTGATCTAGTAACGCCTGGACTTCTATCGTCTTGCGAGGCTTCTTATATAGTAGATAGATACCCCTACCTACTTATACCCTGACAAAAGATTGTACTTGCTTTTTACTCGGCCAACTTTCTACGAGATAACAGTGTAGGAGCTAAAAGGAGTGTTTATTTATTCGAGACATATTTGAGGTCCATTTAAGTATTACCAAGCTTTAGCAAGCTCAAAGTATCTCTCACGAGGTGTAAATACTAGAAAATTGAAACACACCTAAGATTAAACTGAGAATGGTAGGGTACAAGAGAAGTACAGCAACGTAGTAAGATAGGCGTAAACCCTAGGCCTTGTATAGGTAGTGGCCTTGTAGATAAAAAGTAGCAAGAAACTATGCGCTTATACTAGAAATGTCGTTCCTGAGGTGTTTATCATGAGAGTAGAGCTTCAATTAAGCATAAATAATCGAGTGAAAAACGTAAAGGTTTTTCTAATTGCTCACTAGCTAAGAGGTAGTTTTGTAGCAAATAAAGCACTGTCATCTATATTGATGATGATTACACTGCTATATCACAATATAGGAATTGTAAACTTAATTAAGACTACAAAAATCTCTTACACACCATCTCACCAATGCATATCATTGTTATTATCCCGAGAGGGTGGTATTTATTATAATCTCTTTAGATGCACAATGCGATCGCGATCGCGAAACCACTCCAGCGCCTGTCGAAGTGTCTTGCCCATGTATATAGTTTCTGCTCCATCTTCACCATATTCGGGATTGGTAGTTTTCTGCTTAGCGGATTCATACGGAGCATCTAAACTACCGCATATATCTTTGTCTCCCACAACCCAAAGTGCATCTCGATGTCTGCTGAAGGCTACACATTGGCGCTGGGCATCCTTGAGAAATCCCGGGTTGTTTGTACGAGTCATAACGAATACCGTGATGCTACTCTCACCACCTTGGAAGGAATCTGTGGTGGTGATGGGAATGGTCGAGAGTACGGGGTCCGACTTCCATTTCTCCTGCATATACTTCTTCATCGCATAATATGGAACAATGACGACGAAGCTGTCTGCAGTCGTGAATTTGCCTGCTATGGCGTCGGAAATGAGCTTGCCAGTATGTGCTGCTTGATCGGGATTGTATGATGATCCAAAACCATCGACATTACAAGAAGTATTCTCACAATGGAAGAACACAGGCCAGAGCTTGTCGAAGTTTGGTTTAAGACCAAATTTCTCAATCCAGTGCTCCATCAATATAGCAATCGGGTGCTTGTAAATGGCGCAGAGGTCTTGGTCGTATAAGAAATCGACAATGTCCTTGTAAAACAACTCGTGGACTAAATCAAATCCACCGACAACCATGCGACGTTGACGGTTGATGACAAGGCATGGCCAACCTACTAATTGAAGTTGCTCTAGAATAGAAATCTTGCCCATCTGTGCGAACATGTTCGCATATCTCCCGTCGATGCGCAATAGCGAAGTCCTGACCGTAGGGGAGAGCTGTCGAGGATCACCTGCCATCACAATAGGCCGGCCATCAATCCAGGGGATGCATGCCTCGGCAATACCTATGCCACCAGCCTCATCTAATGCAGTCATCTTAGCTACGCCGCGGTTGAATTTTTCCACGGGATTATCCCTACTTCCATGAGTTGTAGCAGCGACTATGTCTGATGCTAGGCAAACCTCCTCCATCAATTTCCTTACGAAGTCCTTCGGTGATAGTGGCTCGGGGGGTCGTGTAGCCTCAGGCTCCTCTCCGAACTCTTCCTCCCAGGCTTCCCTCTTCTCGTTTGAGTCCTCCATTAGTGCCTCCCATTTCGTCTCTCCTGCTACCCAAGAGAGGAACATGGTCCACTTATCATCCGCCTGAAGGCGCGAGCGGAGTTCATGTAGGGCTGCGCTATCATCACGGTCGAGAGCCCAGGTCTTGTAGCGGACTACCTTCAACGCCCAATCGCACAGCGAGTTCTCGTAGAACCATCGGCGAGTAGTGTCCGATTTCAAGGGTTCCCAAATAGAAGTGTCATCACTACCAGACCGAACCATGTTAATAAATGCTGTGTCATTCACATCTGGGTTGGTGGCATGGACAATGGTTGCGTAAGAACACCGAGAACCTCGCGAAAACTTGTTGTAACAGTCAACTGCTTCTGTATTCAGCCGTACTATACGCTCGACTAAATTGCCAACAGCAGCATGAGTCGGGGCACATGCCATGATTCTGTCATGTTCTGGGTCCTGCAAGCACATGTTTAGAATCGTAGCAAGCATATTTGTCTTGCTAGATCCCGGGAAGCCGATAATAGGCAATACGCTCAGCGGGACGTTGGAAAGGGCCTCCTTGAACTTAGGAAGATCCTCTCTGATGGGTCTAAGGATTATCTCCACCAGATCTGGATTCTTCCATTTCTCCTTATAAAAGGCACCCATGGCATTGAACGCAGGAGAAACTTCCTTGCCTTGACCAGGAGTACCGCGAGGCTGAAGAGAGAACCCGGGTAGGTGAGAATTATACTCAGAACCTTGTTGGAGGTCAGGACGTGCGAGAAGTTCATCCCAGCTAGACGGACCTAGAGTCTCCGTAGTATGCGAAAAGTCCGGCAAGAGCGAGGTAAGAGAGGCACCTTGAAGGATCTCGCCTTGGAGGCGTCGGCGAATCAACTTCTTCATCTCATCAGCTTTATGAATCTGGTTTCCGGGCCTTTCGGGCTTTTCGAGCACTTCAAGAAAAAGCTCTTCAAGTACTTCAGGTGCATCGTCAAAATATTTTAAGATTGCACCTAAAGACCCGCGTTTAGCCAACTCATTGACCGCATTAACTCGTCGTTTTGCCACAGCGATTGATGAATCAAAAAGCACCCAGATCTTCTCCTAGTTGATCCGGTCATCCCGATCCCAGATCTTAGATTCCTGTATGACATTCACAACCTGTTCATGCATCCTGTATTGTGGGTTTTCGGGATCGGTGGGACGACACGCGCGGAACGTGAGGCGGCCGTTTGTGAAATCCATTCCCTCTATGGTACCCTCCCAGAAGTTTTCATCTTCAATAACCTCACCATCGACAAGCTGAGGTGGCTGAAAGAAGATCTTCAAGGCGTGACCATGCCGTGTTAGGATGCGCAAGGCTTCTTTAAATGCCTATAGATTATTTATTAGCTCGAATATCAGTTGTGGTTAAATGGTATCATAGACTCACAAGGACTTCGGGAGTTAACTCGGCAATAACCTCGTACTCCTCTACTACCTCCGACTCCTCCATCACGTCTGACTTGGTGCCAGCTTCGTTTGAGGAAGACAGGTTCCGGGGAATCATGAAGCCAGCCTGCACTTCCATACCACAAATATTCCCTGCATACTCAAGCAAGGGGAAGACATCTTGAACAACGCTCTGAGTAAAGCAAGTAAGCGCATTGTTCAAAGAGGCATGCACATAAACCTTCTTCAACTGCTTCTCTGCGCGGAAGTTGGGGATGGTCTCGGCGTATCGCTCCATATCCCAATGAAATCTAGATTAAGACAGAAACATTAGCATAAAATATAAGGTAAAATATTGATTAGCCACTTACTTGCTTCCAAATGGATAGTAAAATTCAAAGTCCAAGACAGAATCACGAGCGGCGCTGATGTACTTCTCGTTTCCGGCCCCCTTCACGAGGAAGGACCAGGTCCGCAATTGTTGCATTTGCGAGAGGGTGATCGGCGCGCCATCAACGGGTCCGTGATGATGGAAGGCAGCGTCAGCAGCTTGGTCACGGCCCTCAAAAGGCCACGGCCAGCCTTCACAGATCAAATCAGCGTCGTCGTGAAGCTTCATGGTTATGTCGAGCCATGGTAGATCCACTTTACCTCGCAGCTCTTCGGGAAGGGCTTCCGAGTCGGGCGCGATTTCTGCGAAGACAAGGTCTACCTTTCCGGGATGAGCGCCGAAAAAGATGTTGTGAGCATCAGACGGTCTATCAGCACCTCGGGCATAGTACTGATACACGCCGTCGACGCGACGGGGGAAATGGATGGTGAAGCCGACGTAAGGGGGAGATTCCCGGCTAACGTTCCATACAAACCACGACTTATAGTGATCCTCAAGGCCATCAAGCATGCCACCACCACCGCAGAATACCTTAGCCTCTGGGGCCCACAAGATACAAGGTCTGCGGTCAGTTCGGGCTTTAGGAGGCATGGCTAAGAAAGCATCATTAGTTGCCTATTCTCGAATGCATGCGATATAAGAAGAATAATGTACTTACTCAGGACAATCAATAGCGTCGAAAGGAACCGAGGATAAGACCTCAATAACTTATAGAGGTAGCTATACTAATCAAATGTATGTTAGTTTAAATTATATACATATGTAAGTTACCTTGTCCGTAAGTGCCAGAAAGAAATAGTACAGTGTCCACTTGGTTATATGTGATTGGTTGAGATGTTTATACCACTCCTAAAGTGGTATGTTTTAAGTCTTTTCAAAGTCTTAATTTGTCAATACAAGTGGAACATGTACATGCGTCTTTCTGGTACTTGAGGACATAGTGCAAGAGAAAAGAGAAAAGAAAAAGAAAATAATAATTAAAAACTCACGTTAAGTCCGAGAAGATTGATGTCGGGTTTGCTCGGCGGCTATTTGCTGAGTAAAGCCACCTGCGATGAGTTAGTAACGCGAAGTGCAATGGAAATTCGCATTAGTAGGAACTCACTTGCTGAATGTACTAGCCTTGAAAAGGGATGGCGCTTAAGCGTCGCATCTATAGGTACCTCGCTCTTAAGGTAGAAACGATATAAGGTAAATGCGATGTTTTAATCGAGGCTATTTCGCAAGGGGAAATGGTGTAGGAGAGTTATAATGATAGAAAAGTTATAACTAATTAACTAGTTATAGTTACTAGTAGTTATAACTAGTTAGAAGTGTTATGGGAGAGTTATGTTATAGTGTAAAAGTTGTGGGTAATTGTGAGAGAAAGTTGCGGAGAAAGTTGTGGGAAAGTTGGGGAAAGGTTTGTGGGGAGTTGTGCAAATTGTGCAATTGAATATGTGCGACCGCCTTTTCTGCCGGTTGGGCGGTGAGATAAAGGCTCATGCACAGACCATACATAGCAAACACGAACCATACTACCTAAGGTAAAAAGGGCAATTACGGAAGTCCCTTCCAAAAGTGTTAGCTTTGGCCACAGCTGTTGAACAGCCGAACCCACCTGGCAATTTACAATGATACCTGAGTATATTAAAATCAGGTACTCTTTTCTATCCAGGTACTCTTTTCTATTCAGGTAATTACATGAATAAACATACGAGGAAAGTATCAAATGTTTAGAATGACTATCAATTTAAAAGCTTAAGTTTATTATAATGTAAAGTTTAATATAATAGCTTTTATATTTAAAGTAGTTATAGTAAATAACTACATTAGATGCAAGGCTATATATACATGAAAGAGACTCTTAACCGTGACAGGGAAGTACCTACAATTACCATTATGGCTAACAGTTGTGGCCAAGCTTTGCCAAGTTAACAAGGGTTGGCTTATGGACAAAATTTTTGGAAGGTACCTCTATACATATGCATGTCTTATGTAATGGAAGCTAGGTAGGTAAGACCTTTAAAAAAAACCTACGCAAAGTGTTCTTGCTAGACTCGAATGCTCTTTCCTTCGGATTGGTGCCCCACATTTTTAAACTTTAAACATTCGTCCTTACAGGAACTTAGCTAATTCAAAAATAAATGCGATCATACCAGATATTCAATCAGATATTACAATGCCAGTAGAGTAGGAAGAAAATTGGCAAAAAAATTAGCAAAAAAATTTGAAGCTCACTTTGATTAAGCGTGTCATCCTTAGTGCAGGGGCCATGCTAATCTTCTCCTATAAAATCTCGTTAGCATTGTTGTTGGTCTGAAATGCAGTATTAAGGGTACGTACTGTATCGTTTCAAATTGACCAAATGCCCGAAGGCAAGAGCTAAGGTCGTTCCTTCCCCTTATAAGTTCGGAATCCACGCCCCGCACCTATGCAGGTACCTTTTAATCTACGCTCTCCGATAACCTTATCGATATATTACATGATCGGAGCTAATGCACATTCAGTATACATGTACCTAAGTACTTACAGATTGAGCTCCATTGCTACCTACCTACATATGTATGTGCCATCTTGCAACATACATCAATTGTCTACCTATACCTAGGTACCTACCTAGGTAGGACTATGATGAGGCAACATACCTCAACTACATTTATGCTCCTTTCAATTAAACTCGCCTTATTTTATTCGTTTACGTAAATGTATACATACTTGGAATTCGGAAAACAGGAGTCTCCTGTCCCTCTTTTATCTAAGTATATGAAAAGATACCATTCTAAACGCTACCTAAGGGTACGTTCATGGCTAGCTATTATGCAAGGAATATTTTCGGTGCTAAAATGGTAGAGAAATAGATTATACTAGGGTTAGTAGATTAGGTATATGATAGTGACTGCGATATTGTATAATAACACTTTTCTTCCCTAGTTTGTTTATAACTACCTAAGAGAAGAAAAAGAAAAAGAAATAAATGACAAAGGAGGTAGAATCCTATTAGGGTATAAATAACTTACGGGTAGATTCAAGAGTAAATCTATTAGGAATGAGCGTATAAAATACGTGAAGTACCCGAGTAAAAGGGTGAAAGGTAGGCATTCATAGTTTAATATGTTCTGATATTTACCAAGGATATAATACTTGATAAATATCAGGGAGTTATGATGCGGTGTAAGCCTTAGGCTTTTGTGTTACCCGGGGGGGTAACCTTAAGTTATATTTCTATAGATAGTCGGCAAGACCCCAAGCTCTCTGAATAATATAGTAGTACGTGCTAGTCTATTATTTTGTTATGGTTTATACTCGCTACGTCAAAATGCGTATAATTCATCTCCTTATATAAATCTTAAATACGATATCATAAGAGTATTCGGATACACAGCTTAAAGCAATGATTAAATATACCTCTATACCCATCATATTGAGAAAAATAGACCAACAAATCTTTATAACCATCATACCCAACCAAATCCAAATCCAAAAGCCATATTCAGACCAACTACTCCAACCTAACCTAGGCGTGATAAAGACCCATCCCAAAAACAAAAGGAGGCAGAGGAATAACCGGCTCGTCTTTATTCATAATAATCCAAGCTCTCTGCTTCGCCCCTTCATACTGAGTACTCATGAATCCCACCAGCTTGTCCTCCTGCGGCTGCTGCTGCTTCTGCTGTTCCTCTTCCGCCCGCTCCGTATCAGTAGCCGTAGGTTTCTGATAATACCGCTGCCAGGAGTAGCTCTCGCCCAGCCGCTTCGCCACGTCGTTCGCCTCGTTAAGGCTGACGAGGCGGCGCTTGCCGTCGACCTTGGCGAGGTGCGCCTCGAGGACCCGCCAGGTATACTCTTTGCGGTTCTTGCCGACGGTGTCTTGCCTAGCACCTCTCTTCCGCACGTAGCGACTCAGCGTCTCGCGGTTGCCGCTCTTCAACGTGGCGACTATATTCTCGGCGTTTCGGCTAAGCTCGACGGACTCCTGCGATTCGACTTTGGAGTTGATGAAGAGGTCGTACGCGATCTCGCTGGGGGTGCGGCCGACTGCGTTCTCGCGGTACGCTAGGTTGGGGTCCTGGGCCAGGAGAACCTGCGTGTGTTCTGCTAGGTGGCGGAGCACTGCGGTGTGGAGGATGGTGTCGCCGGCGCCGTTGAGGATGCCGAGGTCTGCGCCGCCGGAAAACTCCAAGAGGAGGCGCAGGACGTCGATGTTCTGCAGGTCTTCGTCGTTGAGGAGCTGGTGAGCGGGCCAGCTTTGGTTCGTCCGAAAGTACGTGAGCCGGTTGGCGGTCTTGAGCCAGGAGTGAATAGGAGTGTCGCCGCCGCTGGCGAGGTTGTTTCGTTGCAGGAACAAGTGCGCTCTGAGATCTGGATCGAAGAGGTTGAGGAGGGCACGAAGATTATCGAGCTTGAGCTGCCCCGCTGCGGTCGGCAAGTTCGTCAGAGAAGCGTGGATGATGTTGTTTAGCTCCTTATCCTTCACCGACTGGTCGGCTCCGGCGTCGATCAGTATCTTTGCGAAGTCGACCCTGCCGAGGAGGCATGCTAGATATAGAGGGGTCCACCCTTGTTCGGACTTGGCCTCGAGCGACGCCGGGCACACCTTGATCAGATACTCGATGAGTTTGTTCGTCTTCTCTGTATACGCGCTCATCACGGCGCAGTGAATGACAAGGTCATCTGTAAACCATTAGCAAAAAGAATTAGGCAGATTCAGACTACGGTATTTCGACTTACTTTGAGCTCCGAGCCACTTTGCGATAGCTCTGTCGAATCCACCGGGTGCGTCGCTCAAGTGCTTGAGGCGAGGATCTTCCTTGGCGACCTTAGATTTACCAAACTCCGAGTAGAGCCGCATCGGCGCGTCGCTGACGAACCACTCCGTCGATTCCAAAGAACCTCGAAGAGCAGCGGTAAGCAACGGTGGTATTTTGCTTCCTGTAGTCTTGACGACGAGGTTGCGACCGGCTGTAGCCCAATCCGATCTCTTCTTTCCGTAAACGCTCAGACCCTGATAGTAGCGAGGTTTCACTTTCAGCTCGGCGCCGGTGTTGCTCACCAGGTCATCTATCGGGATTCCGGCCCCGGTTCGCTTGATGACGCTGGCGAGCATATCAGTTCGGCCGAGTCGCAAGGCATTTTCGAATAGGTCCTGCGGAAATTTGTAGAATCGGCTTGACTCGTCTTCGCCGACGGGCTCCTTGCTGGCGAAGTGAATATTCAGGTCGAGCAAGAAGTTAAAGGCTTTCGCATCGTTCTGGTCTATAGCCGTAAAAAGGGGAGTTTGTCTGTATATGCTTCCCGTGAGCGAGCCGTCGCGGAGTATGCGCGTTGGCGCCGCCCAGTTGAGAAGCGCGCTCGCGGTGGTCTGGCTCTTGACTTGCATAGAGACTTGGCCGATGTTTTCGATGGTGAACTGGTCGTCGATGATCTTTTCGTATATTTCGGGTTCGTCGTCGCTGTCGGACTCCGCCGAATCATCATCTTCGTCCTTGTTCATTGTGAATCGCTTCGTCTTCTCCTCGCTTGGTGCCCACTGGGCCTGGGCGATATCCAGAATCGCTTTCGCCACCTCGTAGTGCCCGCGTATGAACGCGAGAGAAAACGGATTGTTGAACTTCGCGTCGGACACTGCTATCTTAAGAGGCGGTTCCTGCTTCTCTGCGTCCCACGAAGCTAGGGTAAGCGACTTGATCGTAGGAAGGTCGCCGGCCCAAGCCGCCTCGAAACTTTGACAGGTTAGTATTATAGAAAAGTTATAGGTTCGGGGGCTGTGCTCACAGTTTGATATATGCGGCTTTTCTTGTCTCTGTGACGTCCGGGGCGTTGGTAAAGTTGAACTCCAGGGCGTATGCCGTCGGTTCTGGGGTCGTGTACGTATATCTTACGTGTTGCAGGGGTTCCCGAGCGTCAGGATATAGTTCCTTGAACGTTTTCGCACCTTTAGCCTCGAGAGCTTTCTCTAGGCTTTCAAGTTGCGAGATGACATCCTCGAGGACCTCAAGTTTCTCCTTTACGTCTTGTAGGTTGGCGCTCTTTTCCTTTTGCTCCTCGAAGAACTTCAGATCCATCTTATGACGGTCGAGTTTCGCGGTAGCATCCATAGAGACGATCCAATGCTGGTAAGTCCCTTCGCTAAATTTTGCCAGGAACTCTTCAATTCCGAAAGGTTCAGCTGGGCGCTTCTGAACATTGTTTGATACTGTGTTATAGAAACTTGATATCTCTCCAGATTGGGTTGTTTGGCTCGATTCGGCTAACATTCCCCTATATTCGCGAGCCTGTTCGAGTATATCACGAGTGAGATCCAATGAAGTTTCACCCTTGTTATAACTAGAGCCCTGACCCTTAGCGACGTTATGGCTTATTTTAGTCATCGTATTTGGATCGGCTCCTTTCTCCAGTAGCTCGACAGCATTAGCAGGGTTCCGAGACTTGATAGCCACGATTAGGGGCTGCTCGGTTTGATCCTTGAATGTCTGAAGGTTCCTCTCGTAGTTCTATCAACCTTTAGTTAGTACGTATTTACGTTTATGGAAGGCCGGATAAAATATGATGTTAGAATACGAGGCGTACTTACACCCAGTTGATCCCCGTAGGAGAGCTTGGCGCTCTTCAACCAGTCTTCGTAGTCGATTTCGACCTTTGCTCCGGCTTCGAGCAGCTTGGGCACGATCTCTCGGCTATCTACACCGAGAGCTGTGATCAGCGGGTTGGTCGTACTGCCGTTATAGCGGGTACCGTGAGCGGCTACGTGATTGATCGCATTTTGAAGGCCGATCTTGTCCTTCTCTAGTAGGCCCTCGATTAGTTCCGGCCTTCCGCTTCGGACGTATCGTTGGAATGCGGTGACCCCGTTTGTCTCGGCTTGCGAAGACGTGGCGCCTAAGCTCAACAGCATTTCTACCATAGGTATGGCCTTATCAGTCGGGAGAGCCAAAGCCAAGGTCAACGTCAGGATGGCAACATTGGGGTTCGAATATGACCCGTCGCCGAATTTAACGGGCATTAGCACATCGGCGCCGAATTCCTGGCACAGGAGCCTGACAACTTCGCAGTGACCCCCGAGGATGGCTAGATGCAGAGGACTGCATTTCGAGTCCCAAGCGACGGCGTCGATCTTGTAGAAATCTGGTTCGCTCTGATCGTCTTCGAGGACTACGACATCTTCGTCGTCGGCCTTTTTGTCTTTGCGGACCTTGACAAATGACCCGGTCGTTACGGACTGCGCGTCGTCACCATCTTCGGATTCTTCATCGCTTACCAGCTCGGGATCGGAGCCTTCATCGTCGGATTCGTGGTCGGGCTCCTCATCAGCTTCGCCAGGTTGGGTGTCTTTGCCCGTCGCATTACGATCCTTCCGACGCCGGTCGAGCTTATCTTCTTCTTCTTCCTCGTTAGCATTACTCTTCTCGAGGAGAATCTTTAATATTTCAATATCGCCTCGCGCCGCAGCCAGGTGAAGCGCGGTTCGACCATCCGCTAGGCGGGCAATAAGACGCGCTCCGTGATCAACTAGACACTGCACGATCTGAGGAGTCGAGCTGATGACGGCGAGGTGAAGTGGGGTTCGGCCTGTGTAATCTCTCTTGTTGGGGTCGGCGCCTTCTTGTGAGAGCCAATCTTCCACGTGCTCGAGGTCATCATTGACGATGGCCTGGCAGAGTCGAGCAGTATTGCCAACATATGCCATCTCGGTCCAGTCATCCTCGGTGAGCGGATTAAATGAACCGATTTGCTACGAAGTGTCAATTATACATATGTAACTGGAGATGGGCCTCGCTCACCTGTCTGCCTGGGTCATCAATACGAAAAGTCACTTTCCCAGACACGTAAATCTCGCTCTCCTTCTCGGCTACTTCGATTTCTTCAGGAGTCTCGGGCTTTGGGCAGGTACCACAACAGTCGCCAATCACCTTGAAATCGTTAGAAGCGTGTCGAAGCACCTAGAATTATATTACTTACATCTTGAACTCTTCCAAAGAAGGCGGGGTGTCGGTGAAGATAGACCTCCCTTTCTTTAGGTTGATTCCATTCGGCGTTCAAAACTAGGATTAGGTTAGACATAAAAGATTATAACTCTATAGTAGTAAAGGAGCCTCGACTTACGCAAGTCTTTAGTGTAGCAAAGTTTTTCAATCTTCTTGGCATGGAACTTCTCGCCGTAGGGAATGGTAAAAGTATGATAGTTAGCAACTTCGTCCTCGTCGACCCAATCTGCCACTTCATCTTCGTGGAAATCTTTGATATTTCCACGGAGACGGTGCTGGTAGCGAAAAGGTAGTTCCGGTCGGCCCCTTTCCTGTCTGCGTTTCTTCATATACTCATCTCTAGCGTTCGTGGTCGGTAGTCGTTCTAGAACGAGTAGACGGGCTAGTCCAAGGACCCTCTGGAAGCTGCGCTCGAAGATAGTTGGGTCGACCCGAGACCGGTCGAGTTCTGTCCAGTAAACCTCAAAGTTTCGGTGGCTGTACTTGGAAAGACGGTTCTCGTAGGAGGGACTCCTCCGGCTAAGATCGATGGGGTTTATCTGGGTGATATACGAGGCTAGAGCTCGTGGAGAGCAATAGACTTGTTCTCCGTCATAAGCAGCACAAGAACAGTCGATATCAAATCCGGTGAGAATCTCCGAGATAGACTTATACACTCGAAGAACAATCTAAGGGACATGTCAATAGCTGATAGGGTGTAAATTAAACCAAACATGAAACCATACCTGGATGTGGCGGGTAGGATATTGACTGCCTAATTATCGCAGAGTTAGATCGTAGCCATAAACCATATAGAAATGAGAACTCACAAATAGTGATAGCATTCTTAGTTCGCACGACCGTCACCTCCGAGAGGATTGCGTCGCGAATCCGGGCTTCGATGTTCTTAATCTTCTCGATAGCCTGCTGCTCATCGAGTCCGTACAAGAATAAGTCGACGTCAGAAGCCGGGCAGAACTTCTGGTGGTAATACTCGCGAAGAGCTCTCTTGGAATGATTATACCGATCGGGAACAGGTAGGAGACAGTTAACTACGGATGAACCGGCGGCGACGACGTTGCTCCAGTCCATCTCGGCGAGAGAGGACTCGGAAAAGATGCCGAAGTTGCGGCGAAACTCCTTGAGAGAAGTCACAACGGCGGGTGAGTCGTTTGGGCGCCGCTTGTTATCTGGGAGAGACATAATGTATTTCTCTTTCTCGCTAAGTGATTCTGCCTCAAGGTTACGAGCACGGGTCTTGATATTTGGTGTGTCCTTAGTGAAAAGGGGTAGAACATTGAGATAGGGGTCATCCAAGACTGGATTGTTGCGCTCCTGAGCGTATACTTCACGTAATTTGGCCTCGAATTTGCGGTAGGGCTCCATTATCTCCTTAATTGGAGTCTCATGGTGGTTGGCAATGTAGTTTACCAGGCCGTCGTGAGCGGCGGGCAACTTAGGAAGGTCTATAACTGCCATTGTTTTCGACTGAGCTCAGCTCAAAATCCAAGTGCTCAAGATAGTCAAAGTGAGGTGTGACTAGATACCTAGGTAAGAGAAATACAACAAGAACAAAGAAGTGAGATATATCAAGTTGGGCTACTGAAGATAAAACTACATTTGATTGAGATGGGACGGGATGGTATTAGATATTTTATACTAATGATCTATGTACAATAGGCACAGATCTCGATATAGACAATCGAACATAGGAATTAGGCAGACTCGCCAATTCTAAGGGTAATTCTATGTACATACTCTCGTATTGTTACCTTTTTTGGTAAGGATGGATGGGATGACGTTAAACCGAAGAAATTAACTTGAACTATCGTGGGGTAGCAGACGCGCCATTGAGGCGCCGAAGAAAATCTAGCGCGACTGAAGCCTAAAAAAAACAGGGGTATCCGGGTACAAAATTATGGGTCTATGATGGAACTACAGCAATTAAGGATCTGAACTTGTCGCGAAGTCTTGTGACTAGACGACTTTGCATTCTCTAAGGCAGCACACCCCTTATTTAATTTTACTCCAACTTCATCATGAGAATTGATTATGGTGATACCTCGGTTCTGAATCGTTGACCGCCTATGCTGCCTACTTACACGAGTGATGGAGGTTATGTTGCCTGCGCTACACGTCAGTTTTCAATAAATAGTAAGCAAGCAACATGCGACTTTTCTTACGGTTCCGATATACACTCGTGTTGCATTGATAGACTGCACATTGTACTACACAAAATCTTAACCGATTGGCAGATAGGTATTCTAGGTTCTGACCCGAATATCTTCTCATCTTCTCGTCTTCTGGTGGCTGGCTATCATGCCTATTTGATGACATCCATAATCGACGATGGGCTACTAATAGCCAATACCGAAGATGAATAGTTAACGCAGGTCAGACTTTATAATATCGTGAATAGGGGCTACTGTCTTAACCATAAGCTGGCCTATACCTATCACTAGGATTAAATATGAGTTTTATTACAACTGGGCCTTCGATTGGAAGACTTTTATACGTGCCTCCTTCTCGCCCACTGCGTCAGATACTCGCGTCCAGCCAACCGGTATGTGTCCTCTTCTACATACGTTCCACCTTGCGCCTCCGTCTGCAGAACCAGATTAAGACCTTCTTTACCTTCATCGTATCGCGGCCAGTGTGGTAATCCCTGGCCATTCGGATTACCCGTGTGCGCGAATCGTATCCACTGGCTACTTACTTGGTCGCTCAGCTTGTGATATTCTGGCCACGGGCCCAGCATCGTTGGATTAGCAAAGACGAAAGGTACTTCGCTAAAATGCTCCACGCCCTTATAAGCGGGTGCGAGCCCTCCGGTCCCGTTAAGGGGGTTACCAATCGCCGTGGTGTTCGTGAGTGTGCTTTCCCATGGTCGAGTATTGAATCTATACACGTACGTCGGCGAGAACGGAGCGTAGTTCTGCGTGTCGAAGCGTCGTGGCCCGTGGTAAAAGACGTCGCCTACGATAGCCGCAACTCGTTTATACTGCCATCCATAATCTGCAAAGCGTTCTGATCCCGTATTTAAAGGGATTCCCTGTGTCGGGTCGTCCGGATATAGCTCCAGGACATGATCAACCGTCGCATCTGGGAAGCCGAAACCCGTGCGATGGAGCAGGAAGTCCCGTAAGTCCTCATCCGTATTAATGCCGAAAGGGGCGTTGTCAGTGCCGTCATCTGATACCGTCCCATAGATATGTGGTACGTGTGCAAACCGGCCGGCACGCAAGAGTTCTGATGGGTAGTTGGGGAGCACATCACCATCTATTGGTAATCAAGATTAGCTGTTGCTACTACCTGTGCGCAAATTACTTTTTGCTATACTCACCAACAGTAGGGTAGAAACCCGGACCGGGGATAACTGATGAGTTCAGGAGAGGATAGAGGGTCTCGTAGTCGATGGTTCGTAAGCACTCAAGTGTATCTGGAACCAAGCTACAGTTGGCCTGGTCGACTACGTTATCATAAATAGGCTGATACCAGTCTGACCCGTTGCACCACGCTGTCGTCGCACTCCCGCTCTCCTGGATAGAACGATGGAAGAGACCATCCGTTCGTCCGCCGTAGCTCATTAAAAGTTGACCCTACTCGGTTTTACAGTGTTAGCTTCTTTACTTTCTCTAGGGCCCCTTTCCTCGAAATACTCATCTCGGACATACCACGGCGAATGATCCGGCGGATTGGCCCCATATTGTCACTGATGAAGCATCCCCTCCGAAGGCTTCAATGTTTTCTTGTATCCAAGCTAGCGCTTTACGCATGTCTCGCAGTGCTAGGTTAGTATTCCCCGATCCCTATACTCTTAATTAGCTCTTTGCAGGTCTCAAGTAGAGCGGCAGCCGTGTCTCACCTGAATTTCAACGGAGTACATGTTACCCCAACCGCCTTTTCTATAGTTAATGCTAGCTCCGATAACAGGCAAGCCGATTTCCACCGACTTCTGTACAAGGTATGTAAGGTTATACACGGATTGTCCGCTACCGCCGTATTGATAGGCACCTCCGTGGATCCATAGCATCACTGGGAGGGGCGAGGTGCTCCTACTACCGTTACTGCTACCACGGACCTCAGCCGGTCGCACAACGTTGATGCTGAGGCAATTCTCACTTATACCATGCAGTTCTTCAGCCGATAAGTAATAGTCCGGGCAAGCGTTACCGTAAGCCTTAGCCGTCCGTGTCCCGTTCCACGTCTCATTCAAGGACTGTGGAACGCGGAATCGATTCTGTCCACCGGTATCTTGGGCGTACGGCACGCCAAGAAAGACATCTTGCTCAAAGCCCGGAAGGTATAAGCCCTCATAACTACCATTCGTTAATGTCACCACGGGATCGGCTCTGGTCAGCCTTGCTGCTGTACTGCCGAATCCCGCCGCTAGCAGGCCCAATACGATTCCCGAAACCGCCATTGTGAGGGTAATCGTGCCTGTAGTTCCAAGAACTAAGCGGTCCAGAATGGATGGGGAGAGATTAATATATGTTATAATTATTAGTTATAAGTATGATTTGAGGGAGACTCGTGATATTCCATAAATGTCAAGTTTCTTTTAGAGATCCGGAATCCCACGAGTCCAGAAATCGTTACCGATGGTGGGGCCGATAACTTTTCCCTCCCATCTATATGAGGTATTGTAGACGGTGAAGGTATATGTCTCAATACCTAGGACAAATTGTATGATTCCCCTTGCATTCTTAGAAATTCTATTGTCCGCGTAAGTATAGGTAGTGAACCTTTTCAGGAAGGTCGTATTCTTAGCGATGTCGAAATGCAGCTGAGAAGAGACATACGGGAAAAGAAAGGTACCTCAAGCCTCTTTCGCAATCGGCTGCAGCCACCGTAGCACAGCATCAGGCCCAACCCCGCGCTGATCACCTCTGGGAAAGCTACACCGAGAAAGGACAAAGAACGGGCATACAGGTACCTTAGGTACGTAGGTAGGTACCCGTAAACCAGGGCGAATTTGCAGATGTGTCAAAGACTAGGCGTGTTTGCAATACAAACAGTAGATACCTAATTATAATTACTAATTTCATCATATTTCTATAATCTTTCCAATTTGTCTTGACTCTCTAGTCGTCAGGATATACAAGCAATACTAAGTTAGGGTTGCAAGTACATTATATTCCTATATAGATATGTCTCATGTTATATATAATACTAATTGAATATGATAAGAATACCACACCATTGTCATCTAATATTTCGGTTTAAATGGGATAGTCGACAGGAATTTCCCCACATCTCCTTGGATATCAAGCAGCTTAAAGATCCATTGCAGAATAATAGAGAAGGATTGCGGTTCGCCCATGTGTTTGACGCCCGGGACAAACCTAAAGCGGGAGATTAAATTAATTTCTTGACACCTAGAGGAATAGAAAAACGAATGTTAGTTTGGGTAGCTTACCGAGCTTCTTTCGGGCTGCCATGTTGTAAGCATAGATAATAGTCGTCAATTGGGAATATCTCGTCTTCGGTTCCGTTTACCAGAAGTAGACGTGCGCATGGCTTATCCAATATGCCAGTGGTTAGCAGAGAGAACTTATCTCGCGCCTCTTTCTTGAATCTTTCAAACTCTTGGCCTGCGTATCCGAACTTGTGGCTAAGTGTACGGGCGAGACTAAAGACACGTCATTAGTTAGAATTACTTTTTTTTTTACCTCGTTTACTCGAGGTTAGAGTCTAGAAATAAGGAAAGAATATTTCGGAAGGCCTACTCGAAAGGATACTCCAAGTCGTCAACCGCATCCAGCCATTCCGGATCAAACATATGGTGAACACCACCCCCAAGAGCCACCACTCCCTTCAACTTATCAGCGTGGGTATGCGCCACGCGTATCGAGTAGTACCCTCCCGTACTAAAGCCCCAGTTGACGATTCGGTTCTGATCGATGTCGTCCTGCTGCGCGATCCAGTCGAACAAACTGCTCCAGACCCGGTCAGGGCTAGAGGGATCAGACGGCGCTCCGGGGTTATCACCGGTGCCTGGGATCTCGACGACGAGTGTGGCACAGCCTACTTCCGCCCAGCCGTTCTTCCAGACCGATAATTCTGTCCGGTAGCCGTCCAGACCTGTGAATATAATAATTAGGGGACAAGTTGGCGACTTGGACAACGCGGTTGGGTGATGGTAGTAAGCATAAAGGACCGGCCCGTCTCCATTCGCTGCGTGGATGTGTGGGATCTCAATCTCCACCATGGGATGCTGCGATAATTCTAACCCCTTGAGAGCAGCCTCTTTACCTTTTGTCCAAGCGTACCGCTGTTTCTCAGAGCGCGGTGCTGGAAACCGGGCGATACGGTAGAGCGCCGACCCGCGCCTAAAATAAAGGTCAGCTTACAGAATAATGTGGCAGTTATCATTCGATGCGGGTTATAACGCACAAGTATAATTCCGAGGCTTTAGCCCGTTCCCCTTCGTTATTAGCAGCGTCTGCGCGGGCCACAAGCTCCTCTGCTTTAGGAAAGAAGCATTGGGCGTATTCGTCCCAGTCATAAGGTCTCTTTAGCCCTTTCTCGATAATCTCGTCGACTACAGGCTGGAAGTCTTGTGTAGTCCCAAACATGAATGGGTATACGCCCATCTCACACTAGCCTAACTGATTAGTGTTATGTGCTGACTGAATTGTCAACCAAGTCGGGAGACATACCGGCCGCTTCCACTTCGTCTCCCATAAGGCCTGGAAGCTCTCGTGGTGTGGCGCTGTCTGGTTGAGCTTCTCTTGGATAAAGAACTTATTCCCGGGAGCGGCCATGGTGATGTGATATGAGGAGTGAGATATCTAATTGTACAAGTATATTTTAGTTAAATGCTGTAGATAGTTCAGACGATCGACGAACAGGCCAATGACTATGTTAGATGTATAACTACAGGTTATCCTAGGTTAGAACTATCAAAGTATTAAAAGCCAAGTGTTGTGTTATATTGTTATTACTAGATCAGACAAAACGGAAGGGTGAGGAGCCGGACGGCCGGGTGTGGGGATTCCCGCGTCTTCGCGCTTCCGACTTTCATATTCATTCCGCTCTAACATACAATGATTTCGCATAAGACACGATATTATCTCGGTGCCGAAAGGTCTTAAACCCCACGTAAGACCCTTGTAGATCTTATGCCGTTGTTCTACAAGTCTTCCTAACGACCCCGCAACGCGCGGGTTTACGGATATCTTTGCAGATTCGTAGACGGTCAAAAATATGAATGTCTCTGCACTGTTTGAATTACTTTTAGAAACTAGAGCTGAGTAAGGAGTTGGTTAATGTACATGGGGAGATCCTCGAGTAAGACGTGTGATACGCTAGATAATCTCCTGCACTGAACCTCGCAGAGCCTATCCGAACTCCATCCCTTCCCTAGGATCACGACAATCGGGTATCCTATTAAGTCGGCATCTCGCATCTTCCATGGCAACGACTCCGAGCGATCATCGAGTAGCAAGTCTAAGGATCGGGAGGCTTGGGAGTTCGCTAGATATTCGGAGACAATAACACTATCTTTCTCTAAGCCACGGCCTGGGACGACAACTACCTCGAAAGGCGCGATAGCACGCGGCCAATTTAACCCCTTACTATCGGCCAGATGGTCTGCGACAGCGCCGATAATGCGAGACACTCCTATACCATGACAACCCATCTGTATAGGTACAGTTGTCATACTTCCAGCTTTGGTGGTTGCGGTATCACCTTCTATCAAGTGCGTAGGCACTTGTACACAAGCTTCAAGGGGTTCCGAGTATCGTGTCCCGAGATGAAATGTATGCCCGAGCTCGATCGCTTTTTGTACCTTGAGCTTCCCGGCTTCGCATCGAGGGCAGTCATCGCCATCACGAATGCGAAGAACATTGAGGGGGTCTCCATTTGCCGACGCGGTTATGTAGTCGCTCGTGATAATAGAAAGGTCGAGGTCGGCGCCTTGGGGTAGTAAAAAGTTGGGACTTGGATTAGTTTTAAGTGCGGTAGTGAAAGGAGAACCAAGCCTGCAATCGATAATATTCACTAACCGTAGACCTTGTCTAGTTTCGGAAGGTGTAGAAGACCAGAATGGTGTCGAGTCATTGAGACTCGAATCTAATTCAGGCAGGACGGATTTGATGGCATATGTGTTAATGTCGTCGTCCGAGAAGGAAGCAGGGTACCAGACATTAATAAGAGTTGTCCTATCTTTAGAAACACCACGCCAGACGCCAGCAGTAAGCACATCCCCAGATTCGGTTGGGGGTATGTCTTCTGAGGGGCTAATCCGTGTAGTAACGAGCTCCTCGTTAGCGACGTAGTCGCAACTATTGCAATTAATCACGTTATCCTCCCCAATCGAAGTTGGAAGATGGTACTCGTGGCTTAGATCGCCTCCAATATCACCAGAGCTAGCCTCCGCAACTAGATATGGAAGCTTTAACTCATCAAAGAGTCTGGAATAAGCGGCGCATACTTGTCCATACGTTGAGAGTGCTGACTGGACAGAATAGTCGAAGGTATAGAGATCCTTCATGAGAAACTCTCTTGACCGTAGCACTCCATGCCGTGGCCGGATTTCGTCGCGGTATTTACGACCTGACAAAATAAGACTAAAGATTTAGATATTTACCTACAGAAACTTACCAATCTGATAGAGCCTCAAGGGGAGATTCTTGTATGACTTGATTGTTTTCGAGACAAGTGTTGTGATCTCTTCTTCATGAGTTGGCGTAAGTAGATATGGGACATCTTTTCTATCGGCAAATCGGAATAGCTAAAAAAAAAAAAAAGGTATCAAATAAGTATATCAAATCTGAGTTTAAGAGCATTCTTTCTTCAACTTACCTCTTGTCCGTAGCCTTCCAGTCGATTTGTTTGCTGCCACAGTGCTTGCGATGAGATAGATGACAATGATACCTTAGAAGCACCTTAATGTAGATAAGCATTGTGAGAATATAATTGGGAAAAGGGGATATATAGTTCTTACCAAGTTGTGACATATATTTATCTATTAGTCTTTCTAATTTCTCTTGAACCTTTTGGCCTAGTGGGAGCATGTGGAATATCCCTGCATGAGACTTTGAAATGGTTTGTTAGGAAAGACTCGAAAGAAAATAAGACAACTCATGATATGATCACTCACTTGACGAAGGTATCCAGCCCGAATTAACTTGCTATGAGCGTCTAGATATATGTCAGGATGGTCATAATTAAATTGTTTTTAAAACATAAACTGCGTACCTTCATTTTCGGTAGCAGTTATTCCTCCCGTAGGTATCCAAAACTTGGACAGGCGAGTAAAACTGTCTTGTATATTGGATTCAGGCTAAGGATACATTAACTTGTATGTCATGATATGCTAATAAGGGTCATTGTCCAAACCGGTAGATCGTTTGATGATGCTAAGGTACTCGAAGGTCGTATAGTGTAAATCCTCAAGCGCTGGAACGCCAATACATATTTTCTCCTTGGAGTACGTGATAGGAACATCATCTTGGCTGTAGCATGGTTAATTGTTTCACACGCTCAGTGAATTTATTACACTCTTAAAATAATATTTAGTAACGTATGAGAATCCACCTGGATATTATTATAATCAAGTGTAATTGAATCTTGGTGTTTGTGAGTTTAAACATGCGATTTCACTTCTAAAAGATACTTAGGTACTTATGTTAGATAAGATCTATGAGTGGGTTTTAGAGCTCCAGGGGTCTTCAGCCTTGCATAATAGCTTAGTATCGAGGCCTATCGATTGGCTAATTCGCATAGTGGAACCATCTGCCTCGCCCCTCTCAACTTTTTTTCCCTTCCAGTTTTTGAATTTTCTTTTACTCGTCGCAACCGGATAACGCCTCCCCATAATCTAGGGCCTGATAAATACCGGGCATAGGCAATCCCGACAACGTAAATATACATACTTCAGTAGTAACCCTACTAACTCAGTTCGTCCGGGTATCTTATATATAAATGGCGACTTTCGACGATACAGCGCTGTCGAAATTGACAGCCAAAATCGACAGCAAGCTCGCCGAGTCTAAGAAAACCCCAGAAAAGAAGGACCAGGGCAAGAGGAAACGGGACCAAATAGGAGATGCTGTCCAATCGCCACCCAATAAGAAGAAAAATATATCAAAGCCCAGCGATAACAAGAATAACCGTATCCCAAAGAAGACTCAAAAACCAGCCAGTACTTCTGAGAAAGCCAACTCTAGTACCCTTCTAGATGAAATTAGAGCTCTTGGAGGCGACGAGGAGGACCTAAAGTTAGTAGAGGATATAAATTCCGAGGATGAGGAACCTAGCAATTTCAAAAGCAAGAAGAGTGCAGACAAGGGTCTTCGAGCTGAATTAGCTAAATTTGCTGCTGGTCTCGGTTTCGACGATGTGAAACCGGAACCCGACGCCGAAGAAGTCGAAGGTGTCGAAGAAGACGAAAGCGAAGGTGAGGATGGCAATGATGATGATGAGACCGAAGAAAAATCTCCACAGGATCCGAAAAGAAAGACGGTTAGTAAGCATATCTATAAATGTAGGAGCCGCTGTATAAGCTGAACTGACTGGCCTCTAAGATTTTTGAACTTCGTCCTGACTGGCATGCTGTTAGTTTAAAATCACTGCCGACTCCAGCGTCTGATGATGTAGCCGCCTACGCACCAGCAATAGCCGAGTTAAAGGTTTATGCCAAAACTGTCTTAGACGAGGATAGTACGACGTACAATAAGACCTTGTCTAAATCGTCATCTCACAAGTTCATGTCTACTATTATGTCTTCGGGTACGATGTCAGATAAGGTATCCGCCTTAACTCTGGCTATCCAGGAATCCCCCATACATAATATTAAAGCCCTTGAGAACCTGATAGGGCTTTCTGCGAAAAGGAGTCGTGGGCAGGCCCTCTCTGCTCTCGCTGCTCTGGTGGACTTATTTGGACCCGGTATGATTTTACCATCGGATAGACGGCTACGTCTTTTTTCTTCGCAGTTGGGTCTCGTCGGAACTCTCCAAAAGTATGGCGTGAAAAGATGGTCTGCTGGTCAAAAGTTACCAGGAAAAATCACCAAGGAGCACCTCATATCGTGGATATTTGAGGACTGGCTAAAGGAGGCCTATTTCAAGATTATCCAAAACCTCGAAGTATGGTGCGATGATGAGGTTGAATATGCTCGAACCAAGGCCGTCGACTTAGCGTTCGCATTGTTGCGAGACAAGCCTGAACAGGAATCCAATCTCCTACGACTTCTCGTAAATAAGCTTGGCGATCGCGAGCGTAAGATTTCCTCGAGAGCTTCCTATCTACTCCTACAACTCTTAAATACCCATCCCGGAATGAAGCAAATAGTCATTCGCAGCATCGAACAAGATATCCTGTTTCGACCCGGACAGCAAATCCGCGCCAAGTACTACGCCATCAATACATTGAATCAGACTATTCTAAGCACCAAAGAACCCCAAGTCGCAGATTCTCTTCTGAACATATACTTTGGTCTGTTTGTTGCCCTACTCAAGAGTGGTGAACTTAGTCAGCATGATGGAAACCCTGATACCTCCAAGAGGGATAAACGCAAGCAGAAGAAGAACCCAAAGCAAACAAAGAAGGCTGAGGATAAGGCTCAGGCTAGCCCGGGTGATCGAGAAGCCGCCGAAAAGCTTGTCTCTGCAATACTTACCGGAGTGAATCGAGCAGTGCCGTTTTCACAGGCCGAACAGTCCACGTATGTCCTACCATCTAAAGTATATCATTTTGTGCGACGATACTAACTTGTCCCAGACTCGAGTCACACTTAGACACGCTTTTCCGTATTACACATTCCTCTAACTTCAACACTAGTATTCAAGCTCTTCTACTTGTTCAGCAACTATCATCTACCCGACATATTGCCACCGAAAGATTCTATCGGACTCTGTACGAGTCGCTACTAGACCCGCGTCTAAGTACCTCTTCTAAACAGGCCTTATACCTGAACCTCCTGTATAGAAGTTTAAAATCTGACGTGGATGTCCGCCGTGTGAAAGCATTTGTCAAGAGGATGTTACAGGTCTTGAATTTGCACCAGCCTTCCTTCGTTTGTGGTATCATTTATCTTATAATCGATCTTTGCACAACGTTTCCAGACTTAAAAACGCTTATAAATGAACCAGAGGAGCATGATGAAGCTGAAGCGGTCCCAGGGGTGGCATCAGATGCCCCGACGGAAGCAGCAGTTATCGATGGGCCGGGAGCCCAGTCGAAGAAGGTCGAGGATGTTTATGATGGGCGAAAGCGAGACCCCGAATATAGCAACGCGCACCGCAGTTGTCTATGGGAATTACTACCGTTCATACGGCATTTTCACCCTTCTGTGGATGTCTATGCATCATGTCTGATAAACGGACAGGAGATTGCTCAGAAGCCCGATTTGGCTAACCACACGCTCATAGCATTCTTAGACAAATTCGTCTACCGCAATGCAAAGGCTGCCGACACGAGCAAGGGTGTATCTATTATGCAACCTGTCGCTGCAAGCGGTCAAGGAAGCATCTTGCTGTCGAGCAGACCTTCGGCCAAGGGAGCGGGAAGCACATTGAACTCGGCGGAATTCTGGAACAAGAAGAGTGAGGATGTTGCTGTGGAGGATGTCTTCTTCCATGAATACTTTACGCGGATAGGCAAGTCCGAACAGGCTGAGCGCAAGAAATCGAAGGCAGACAAGAAAGAAGGAGAGGGCGAAGATGATGAAGAGGAACAAGAAGACGAAATCTGGGACGCGCTCGTGGCATCTCGACCAGAAGTGGAAGGCGACTCAGAGAGCGACGCCAGCTTTGACGATCTAATGAGCCTCGACGAGTCTGACGAGGAGTTTAAGAAGGAGATGGCAGAGATGGATGAGGGAGAAGGTTCAGAAGACGAAGACGGAGCCGAGTTCTGGGACGACTCGGAGGATGATGACGAGGAAGGAGAGTCGGAGCTACAACAGGCGCCTGTAGCCGAGGAGGACGAGGAGAAACAAGAGTCGGACCGCAAGAAGAGGAAGAAGGCTCTCAAAAATTTGCCTACCTTCGCGTCAGCCGATGATTATGCGGAATTGCTTGCTCAAGATGACGATGATTTGTAAACTGGCAAATAGATAGTTTTAATGGTGTCAGACGGTCAACGATATTTTTACTCTGGCTGGACATAGACCGTTCAAAATTCAAGATACCCGATTTGGTACTGAAATTTCAAAATAATACAAATTTCATAAGTGATTGTTAATTTATTATTCGTGATCTTCATCTGCTCATTTCGTTACAATCAATAACCCTTTCCACCCCATCAACCCGCCATAACTAACCCCCTTTTCAAGTGTCAAACCACTCGAGCGGATCTTCCTTGGTAAAGATGGCGCGGTACCTATGGCCGCCGTCGGGCTCCTCAAAATCCTCGGTATGGATGCTGTGGAGGGTGGCGATGCCGGGTTCGTTGTGGCCGTCGCCGCCGACGAAGGCGCGGAAGTGGATGTACGCGGGGCCCGAGTCGGGCATGGCGGGGAGCCGCTGCTTGCCGAATAGGTGTAGGCCGTAGGCGGATATGCCGACGCGGACTTGTTCTAGGTCCGAGGAGGAGAAGGATGTTAGGTCGGAGTCGCTGAGGGATTGGACTGGGGCGAAGTATTCAGGTTCGTGCTCTGGAGGGGCGTGTTAGCAGAGTTGAAAGTGCTATGTTTTTGGGTTCTTGGATTGGGGGAGGGAAGGGGGGGGGTGGGGGGGGGGGGGGGGGGGGGGGGGGGGGGAGAGTCGGAGAGTGAGAAGTGAGAATAGGTATATACTTCGGTATGTATGCTTCATGTGAAGAAGCGTCTTCTTCAGCTCGGATTCGATCTCGCTGAAGAGTTTGAGGGATTCCTCTTTGGGGGGATGGGGTGGTCCCAGGTCAACTGTTTCGGCGGAGGCCTATGAAGTCATTTTGTTTAGCCATTTATATTTTTGGATGTCAGGCATGTGTATAGAGATGTTGCTTACCATGATATTGGTGTATATAATTGGCCTTAAGTATGTAAGGTTGTTATAGTGTTTTGTGATAATTTCTATAATGTAGGAGGATGATAGATATATATGAGTGACGTATCTTAATTGAGTGACAAGCTTCAAAGTAAAGTGCTTAGTTCAGACGCCTTATTATTATACTCAGCATCAGATCGCGGGGATCACTCAAATGTGGTGTGACAGACTGGGGTAATCTACATATGTACATGAATTTTCTAGATTCTAGATTGCTAGGCAGCCCATAATCATGGACACGAACGTCATAAGTCTTGTTGCTCGTTTGCGTTAGAGGGAAGGCTGATGCTACTAAATGATAGGACACTTACGTATGTAGTTACGGATCATATTGTGTAACGGATGGGGATTGGATGTGTCTTAGTACATAGTAGAATGAATTATTGAATTTGGCATTTGGATTGGGTAAAACCTGTCCGGCCACTAATACGGAGACGGCCGGAATTGTGCACTACGGAGGCGGATATAGCGGCAACTGGCTCTAGCCTGTATGTTTTAATACGAACATATTAAAGCAAGTATTTTTCTATACTACATACATATCCCTAGTACTCATGCAGATATGTCATGTTCCAACAGACGTCATAGTTGAGGTACAGAAAATACTCTGAAACGGATTTCTTAATTGATCCATTTAAAGAGGGACCCTTATAATGGCGGTGGGTTTCATGTTCCTTGCAGATCTTAGATGTGTTCCCCCCCCTCATGCCGACGCTAACTTCTAGCATCATTTTTTCAGACGTCAAGTCTTCTAGAATGTATTTAGATGTACTGCTTATCAGACAAATCTTTAACCCGGCTTACCTAATATAACAAAACTTACCTCGGTATTTTCCTTGTCGGGCAAAAAGTGGTCCCTAAAGTTAGCGGCTGACGGACAACTGGAGCGACTTGGAGCGAAATCCGTTGGGAATTTGCATCCGCAAGAGTCCAGCCAGAAGTCCAGCCAGCAAGCCAAGCAACCTGGTGAAGTTTCTCAACAACAGCCCGCCTTTTTTTCAAATTATGCTGTTATGTCGATGAGGAATATTCTAGTTTAGGATCTGATTTAATTGGTTAGGAGATATATTCCGCTGGTTCGGGAGTCCCCACCCGGTGGTTAATCCCTATAATAACCTAACCATGCTGGTTGCGCGAATGCGAGTCGGCGCCCTTATTATTAAGGGTCGCCGCCAGAAATATACCGTATATCCGACTATAAATCAGATCCTGCATCCGAGTCCGTCTTTATCTAGTCGCTTTGTCAGCACACTCCCAGCCGCAGGTAGGATTCCTCTAACCGGACATCGACGCCGTAGTAATACCCCAAGCTGACAATATATGTATAAGACTCGTCCTTATCACCCAAACCTTCCCTCTTACGTCGTGCCGCCTCCGTTATAGCTATCGGTCTATTCTTCACCTCCCTCGGCATCGCAATGGCAGCAGCACCCGCAGCGCCGATCGTCAATGATCTCCTCAACCCGCCTACGGACGAGGATACCTTGACCATGTTCGAGCCGGAAACGGACCACGAGCGTGAGGTCGAGGAGTTCATCAACAATCACCCGCTCACTAAAGAGATGCGGTCCAAAGAAGAATTCTACGAGTCGAGACCACATCTCAAGATCCCAGCCCCCTACCGGGTCTACAACCTGACAGGTGGTACGCTTATGGGGCCGGGCAGGGTGGTCGTACCGCCGGTAGCCTTCGTCGAGGCGGGCGGCAAGTCCATAGTCTCAATATCGTACCTGGGCCACGAGCTATGCGGCCACCCGGGCATAGTGCACGGCGGGCTCCTCGCGACCATGCTCGACGAGGGTCTGGCGCGGTGCTGTTTTGCCGCATTGCCGCATAAGGTGGGCTTGACTGCCAACCTAAACATAAACTACCGTGCTCCAGCACACGCGGATTCGTACATTGTGCTTAGAGCCACGACGACGAAGGTAGAAGGACGTAAGGCGTGGGTCGAAGGCCGCATCGAAACCCTGGTGGGTGAAGGCGAGACTCCGGTGGTCCTCGCGGAGGCAACAGCTTTGTTCGTGTCTCCTAAACATGCAGCGGTTTGTATATACCAAAGACTCATCTTTAAGACAAAATTAGCTAACGTGTATTTTTTAGATGATGATGAACTTGTACCCAACGGCATAAGGGTAGACGATGGCATTGTGATGAATAGACTTTTAGATCGGGATAGACAAGACTTTACGCCTGGCATGGAGTTGGAATGAGAGCTGGTAATGCTTGATATTTGTTCATTTTCGAGGTATTCTACTCGAACCTTATAGGGATCGGAGACGGAATGGATCGGACCGTCTGAACACTTGTCCGGGAATTGGTTAATACCCTATACATCAAACCCCTCATAGATGCAAGCCTATATTATAGTTTGCGTTGGTTTGCTATGTCTTTATCGAACATTATTAGTACGTGGTATGGAAGACGTATTTATCATCCGAACAACTACAGACGAAGAGATGTCCCGACATAACTTTTTCGAAGCAAATAAATATTGTTATATGAGGTTTATATAAAGTCTTACTTTGCTTTAGTGGACGGTATCTCATAAGCTAAAGTAAAGATCGGGAATACGTTAAGCATACGACATTACAAGACAGGATGGCCACGCCGGTTTAGTATAGCGTGCTCTTTACGCGTTACGCAGCTAGATGACGAAATATTTCATTAAGCACACCTTCTATTATACATTAGCTATATGTAAAACATAGTTGGCATCGTAGAACTCCTTCATAAATCATATTTGGTAAATATTATTTTCCCGTAGTTTAAAAAATACCTATTAGCCTATCCTGCATCACTTATACAACTTGATAGGAAGCAGTTCAGACAATTGCCCAGTTGAGCGAGGGCCCGCGAATCGGAGGCGGATGGAAGCACGTCATCCGACCACCGATATCCTAAACGGTAACTGATACCCGCTGCGGCTAAGGCACGTCAGTAAGTCGAGCTTAGGTGCAGCACCTATCGACATAGTCCAGAACCTTGAATTGCGAAATCGAGCTGAGACGGGAACTTCCATAATTACTTTTTATGAGGGTTTGAGTATTATTATTATTATCCTAGATTTATCTATCTTATTATATTTTGTGTATATTTTCTTTTATACCTCACCTGAGAATTTTCAGCTTCCGTTACTAAAAATCAAGATAAAAATGGCGACGTGAGTTTTTCTTTTCTTTTTTTGCTCGTATAACTCTTCAGAGTTTTTTCTTACCCCTCCCCCGCTATCCCTCAGTTTTATACTCTTCTCAACCTCCTTTCTATACCCACTACAAATTGGATATCCTGTAATCGAACCAATGGACATGGCGAATATAATTGGATGATGAATAAAATAGATGTTTCTTTCCTGATAATAGGAGGGAATAAATCGAAAAGAAGAAAAAGACAAATAGCTACATAAATATGTAACTCATTAATTAACTAACTCGCCCCTCCAGCAACATAACCTGGCACCCCTCCCTCTCGCGCAGCGAGCGCATCGCCCTCCGCGGTCAGCGCGGCTTCACGCTGTGGTTCACCGGGCTCAGCGCCTCTGGCAAATCGACCGTCGCCACCGCGCTAGAGCAACACCTCCTACACCTGAACATCGCCGCGTACCGGCTGGACGGGGACAACGTGCGCTTCGGGCTGAACAAGAACCTAGGCTTCAGCGACGCCGACCGCCAGGAGAACATCCGGCGCATCGGCGAGGTGGCTAAGCTGTTCGCTGACAGCGCCCAAGTCGCCATTACCTCCTTTATCTCGCCGTTCCGGGCTGACCGCCAGCTTGCGCGCGACCTGCACGCCGTCACCGCCGACGGCGAGGTCCCCATCCCCTTCGTCGAGGTCTACGTCGACGTCCCGATTGCGGTTGCCGAGCAGCGCGATCCGAAGGGTCTGTATAAGAAGGCGCGCGCCGGCGAGATCAAGGAGTTTACGGGCATTAGCAGCCCTTACGAAGCTCCCGAGAATCCCGAGATTACTATCCGCACGCATGAGAACTCCGTCGAGGAGTGTGTTGCGCAGATTGTCAAGTGGCTTGAGGAAAAGGATTTGATTCCTACAAAGACTGCTACCACTACGGCTGCCGATGCCGCGGGAAATTCTGGCGTTGCTGCTCTCGCTTCGTGAGAGGTGCTGGTTAGTATAAAATAGGAGAAGGGGTGTTTGATCTGAAGCTGGCATGGATGTAAACTACAATCTATCACGAAGTGAGAAGTAAATCGCTATTTAGAAGCGAGGCGAAACACGTAGAGTTGAGCAATGGATATCAACCCTTCCGAAGAAATATACAGAAAAGTCACATTGCTACGATGTGACAACCAAAGTCCCTTATTCGGGGAGATGCTAGCCATGACATTGGTCCGCCCGCGAAAACGCCAACCTGATAAATTAGCTGCTTGCATGCTGTCTATACTTCGAATTCGTAATATACGTATGCCGTATACTCGTTGCCTTCCCCTGCGTGCCCCAAGCCGGCCGCTGCCATTTCTGATGTTAACGCCGCGTCGTCTTTTGTGATCCTCCCTCGCTTGTCTCGTCCGAACGCATTTCCACCCAGGTACGAATACGACGAGTCCAGCGCTGTCTTCACCTTCTTTACCGACTTCGCGGTCGTCTATCATTATTGAATTAGTACAGGATCAAATTGCCTAGGTGAAATCAAGTATTGCACTTACCAGTACGAGAGCTGACACGAATTCTAGCGGTAAGCCGTAGCGCAACACCGACTCTACAAAGACGCGGAGGGCCATGATGTGCGCCCATATCATGACACTCTCACTCCATCCCGTGCGGGTTAATCGTAGAGCCTCGCCCCAGACCTTCTTTTCTTCCCGAGTGACGCGATCTATTTCTCTTTGCTCTTCTTCTTTACCGCCCTCGACGTATTTATACTGGCGGGGCGTCCACTTCTGCTCTCGGCACTTCTGTTGGAACTCGGCACTGTGCTTCTTAAACGTGGTGACAGCGAACAGGATAAATTCATCGTCTTGCGCAACCTGTACAGACGACCGGGGCACTACCATGGGTGACACGGTCTCGTAGCTCTTAAGATACTCCTTTTTCAGGTTGGAGGGGACAGCGACGAGGTGAGTTTCGAGATATTCGGAGTCTTGCACCAGTAGAGATGGGTTGACAATCGGTGTGAGAGACTTGGTCGCGAGGTTGCCCCTGAATTCAACGAGTAAGGTTAGTATCTTCTCCGGGAACTAAAATTCGAGGGCGCATTACGTTTGTTTTCTTTGCAGAGTTGCGAGGTTGGTCTTGACTTGGTTGTATTGGTTGAATTTGCCCTTGACATCATTGTCGATCGTAGCCAATTCCTAGCGGCGCAAAGAGTATCTGTTAGTATAACTCCCGTCTGGAACTGGACAGAGTTATGTTTAAGGAGGAGTACCTTTTGGAGGATATCAACGATTTCGCCTACAGGCCTGTCGGCTCGGTAGCGGACTTTGTTCCAAGTAAAGGTGCGAAGATACTGATCCGTCGGCTCTAAAGTCTTATATTAATATCTTAACATGTTAAATTTTGTAAAAAGGGGTACGCACTGTCGTTTACCATCTTTTGTTCAGAAGCCTTATCATCGTTGCCTTCGTATAAGGATCGCAAGGCGTCGCCAACTTTGCTGACCACTCCCTCGCAGGCCGTATTAAGCTTTGCTAGGTCGTCGGCTTGCTGAACCAAGGCGTCTAGAGTTCCTATCTTAAAGTTGGGGACAGGGAAGGGCAACACGGTTCCATTATCGGACGTGATGGTGGTCTTGACGGAGTCGAGAGCTTCTTGCTGGTCGCCTGTGTCGAAGGTGCTCAGGGGTAGCGACAAGAGAACATATTTCGCCGGAGTCGGGGCCATGGCGGCGATCTGGGACTAAACAATTGTGTTCGTGCTTGCGTGGTATGCCCGTCGATGAATGCAACTTTAGCTATGGTCGAGAGGAGCTGGAAAGATGAGCTCTCGAAGGTGGAGTCGGAGTATATTGTTTAGTTTTAAACAATATGGAGCTGAGCTAGCTAGGGAAGTATATATCGTATAACTAGGAAGAAACACCGATAATAAATAAGTATGACTTCCTCGCATGAAAAGTAGCCACGATGTTTGTGGCTCGGGTTGTGAATTATGGTAAGTATATGTATGGAGGTGAGGTCGAGAGGGAGCTGCGCTATAGAAAGATGAAGTAAGGCTGTTTTGGAATTTGGAGCAGCTGCAAGTACCGTACCGCTGTAGATTCAACGTCAGTGCTTCTTCTAGCTCAGCCTTAAGTGGGGTACTTCAATTGTGTGTAAGTGCACTGCTATAGTCTTACGGCTTACAAAAGCACCTATGGGATCTACCTTAAGTTAGGTAGCTAGCTAACACATATAGCTACCTAGGTACCTATATAATAACTTATTTAGGTAGACTTTTAGATAGCATCGAGGATAACTCTTCTACTGAAATAGAGCTTATATTGTGGCAGATACTCGGTTGATGCTATAAAGTGGCACTTACAAATATAAAATAACTAACTTAATACAATTGCATTAAGACTTGTAAACTATTGCAATTGTCATAATTGTAGTCTACTTTTGCATATTATTACCTGTCTTGTTAATCGTAAATTGCTTATGGGCCTTCAAACGCCATAGTCCATTCAGCTTACACGAGTTTACACGAGTTTACCGTTATTAGAGCCAATCAAATAAACATCATAAAGATACACGCAGTTCGGGCTAGAGGGTGATAAAGGTACATGTACCTAGGTTAGTTGATAAGATAACGTCTTTACTTGCCAACTTGCTGCAGGTTAACTGTTTCTGCTGCGGGACACGGCATGCACGGACCATTAAACCACCCGTAGTCGATCCTGTTTATTGATTGCCCATGGCAGCCATGGCAGCCATGGAAGGCGATAATGGATCCCCCATCCTTACCAAACTATCAAACTACCAAACTACCAGAACAGCTTCGCGACTCCGCTATCTAATCCACTAATCCCGTCTTGACTGAGGTACAACCCCAAATCTTGGAGAGTCGACGTGTAAATCCAATAGCCGCCGACGAAGGAGCACGAGAACTAAATCGTCCGAACCACTTACTACCAAAACACCATTTTTTTTTAAACAATCTTACCTTTTTTTCTCTTTTCCCCCACCCCCTTTGGTTCTTGGTCTTGAATAACCATAACCTGCATCGTCCTAGTCGTCCTAATCATCCGTTACACCAACCTTTAGCGGTCAGCCAGTCCTATGAAGCCCAACCACCTGTCGCCATCAACCACATTTAACTTTGATTTGTCCTGTCCCCTCGCCGACGGGCTGAACATCTGAACATCAGCATCCAAAACTTAATCTGCACCGTATTCGCCGCCCCGATTTCCCACCTTTATTAGTGTAGCCAGCATCTACTACAACACCATTAGAAGTATTATTAGTATTATCATTACTGCTGTTACTTTTATTTCTATCGCTTGGTAGTCTCGATATAAAACTTTTCGGCGCATTCGACCCATTGACCCTTTTCATTACCCCCGGCTGATCGCGGTGTCGCATCGACTACTCGCAATGACGCGCTGGTAGTTCCTATATATCCGTCTGCGGTCGATGAGCATGGAATCCCGCCAACCGGTCCATACTCAGCTGTCAGTGATAAGTTCGATTTTTGTGGTGTAGCCAACAAGACAAGAATTCGGATAGTAATTCTCTCCTTGTCATGGTTGGTACTGCTCCAACCAAATGGCTACCACATCCAGTATGCCACTTTCCCCTCCCTCTCATGTCTCTACCTAACTCCATGTCATAGGCCAACAACCAGCCAATTTGGCAAACAATTCATCTTCCATTGCTGCTAGAGCTTCGAGTACCAATATCCAACCGCACTCTGAATCTCCTACGCCCGGTCTAACCGCACCGTCGCCATCTCTGGCCGCTCCTACTATTAATGGCAGTACCAATGGCCTTCTGTCTTCTACGCTATCGAATGATGGCTCTATGCATGCAGACTTAAGACAATATCCTCGAGACGGACGCGTTAGGAATCCGGTCCCGAGCAAACTGAAAGATGTTACGGAACAGATGAAGGGGAATTTCAGTGTAATGCACATGGATGTTGCTAGTCATCGCGCTAGCGAAGGTCGTGATGCCGCTGCGAAGCGCACGAGCGAAAGCACGGCTCTGCAGGCCAAATTGGCTCAGACCGACAGCTACGTATCCCACCAACGACGAGCGAACTATCCCAGACCGCCTGGGTTAAAACAATTCACATCCCCGAAGAAGTCTGCTTCTATAGAGCCGGTCACTGAAATAGTACCAGTACCAGTGCCAGTGCCAGCGCCAGCGCCAGCGCCAGTACCTGAGACAGCTAGCCCTCTCACTATCACCGAAACAAAAACTGAACAGGCTCGATTATTGACGCTTTTAAGAACTCTTCCCCCTCATACAGTAGTCGACCAATTATGTAAGGCACTGGCATTCTTTGGCGGCATCCCCGAGGCTCCCCCTCCTGCTGATGGCAAGTTCCCCGAAAGCGCAGAATCAAATGGATCCGGCTCTTTATTTGTAGGGTGGATTGCTGAGATATTTCCTAATCTAAAAGAACCTCGGAGGCGGGCATCATTCCCATCCACGCAGTCTATACATCAGCGACGGCCTAGGGGGCGTCCGAAGGGCAGCAAAGCCAGCAAGTCTCGGAGTGACAAGGGTATCAAGAAGGGTACTAAGGGAACCACAAACCGATCCCAAGAAGCTCAAGATGACAGCTGGGTGGATGTAGAGGATAGTGTCCTGGAATTGAACGGAGACGACGATCTAGTCGAGGTTGAGGGGCCATCGGAGAATGCTCCGAATACACCCCCGCAACTTCAGGGCGGAGGCCAGTTCAACAATACCCCGATCATGGGTTCGACTGGTGGGTTTAAGTCTATCAACGATGCGACTGCGATGCTTGCGCCTGGATCTAATACAAAACGACGTGGACGGCCAAAGGGCTCAAAAAACCGACCCAAGGACATGCCTGGTGTGCAGCAAGCTGGTCAACTGGCTGATCCTACGCCTGCAAACTCGAATGCTCACCCTATCCAGGCCGATCATGTATCGACGCTCCCAATACCACCAAAGGTGACCCCTGTACCAGTACCAATACCCATGCTCGGTGAGCAACCTAGAAAGAAAACAAATTCTGGACGGCCAAAGGGTTCTAAGAATCGCCCTAAGGCCGCCGGCGAGTCCATAGGTCAAGATGGTACTATATCACAGCAGCAGCAGACGGCTGACTTATCGAACCAGCAAATTAGCCAGCATGCTGTTGCTGGCCCCTCGTTTACAGGTGGTACTGCTACATCCTCTATCACGGATGGTATTACTTCTCAGAACGATCAGCGAGCCCAGCTATTACCTCCGCCTGCTATAACTAACAGCCAGGTGCCAACCCCGCAAGTTAAGGAGTCGACTATAGTTGGTAAGAAGCGGAAGCGTCAGTCTGCCCCCACTGGTACTGTCAACCCTCAAACTGACGGAGCCTCCGATGGTGTTGTCGGAAGTAATGTAATTCCCCAACAAGCACAGTCTAGCCTTTCCCAGGCAACTTCAGCTTCGATTTCTCAAACGCAACCGTCAGCCGTTCAGTCTATTCAGCAGACCTCTGCGAATGCTAATACTACACCGTCTACAAAGCGACCGCGTAAGTCCCAGGAGTCGGGATCGCTACAAACAGCGAAACGCTCAACTCCGAATAATATAGGGAATAAGAATCCTGCGTCGTCTGCAACGGTAAACCTGGATCAAACCCGGCAAGCCGGCCAGGTCACTGCTCCTTCCCAAAGCCATACACAGGCCGAAGGTCTCGAAGCTCATTACGAACGGATAGCTGCGCTACAGAATCGCAGTGACCAAGTACAGAGCAACACTAATCGCCCCCAGAAACAACAGCAGCATCAGGCAACGGCATCAATTGGTAACACAGCCTCTCCGACCCCTGCGGAAGGGTTGGAAGCTCACTACGAACGTTTCACGGCCCTCCAAAATCGCCAGGATAACGCAAGACAGCAGACTGCCAATCGTCAACAGATGCAGCAACAGAATACCCAAACGGCTTCCCCTATTTCTTCGCAGACTTCGAAGGCTCCACAGATGCCATCTACATTAGCTTCCCACCAGCAGACCAGACCGTCCCAAAATTATTACCAAACACAGACTCTTAGCTCGTCCTACAACACACAAACGCCCACGTACTCTACGAGCCAACGTCAGCCTCAGCATATGGCTACAGGATCTCCTGGAACAGGTCTTGTACAGCATATGACTAATTCTCCTCAGTTTGGCGCACAGTCCAACTCACCGCTCATGCAAGGGGACACTAATTATAGGGGGTCACCGTCACTTGTTCACAGCAGTACTGGATATCCGCCGCGTCGAACACCCTCAGCATCACCCCTTGATAGCAACTATCGTGCAGGAGGTACCACAAGCCACGGTGTTTCAAACCACTCGCCCCATTTCGGCGCACGTCAGACCCCAACAACTACTCATAGTACATCACATCCTGCGATGCCCTCAACTTTTGCACCTTCTTTTGACTCGAGCTTCCTAGAACTCCAGAGCTTAGATTCTAGCAATAATCATGGTGGGTTAGGACTTAGTACCGGTTCGTACGGTCTAGGCAGCGGCGTGCCTTCGCAACAGCGAACAACCGGCTCAAGCGCAGCATCTCTCTATTCTTCAGCTACGGGGATGAATAATAGTTATTTGCCCTCTTCGAATGTCGGCCGCGCCACTCAGAATAGGTGGCCGTCATGAGCTATCTCGTTTGACCCCCGGGGGCCGTGAAGCACGGAAGGTTCAATATGCACATGATATATGACGGGACGCGGCGTTATAGGGAATGGTCCAAAAAAAATATAAAGTGGCGTTTGTATCTGGATCTCAGGGGTAGAGAGGGCACAGCTCAAACTGCTCTCCGCCATTATGTTTGTTTGTTCTATTTTCGCTGCATGGTTTTTACGATGGAACGTCTTAAATGGAAAGGGATTCAGGAAAGGAAATGGCATAAGGGCCACTTGTTATTCTTCTTCGTTTCTTCATAGTGAAATGATCCCCCCTCCGACCGGCGCCAGCACACTCGGGCGGGTTTTTTCGGTTCTCGAGAGGGGTTTGATTTGAATATTATTTTGTAGCACAGACTCTTTTTTTCACAGATTACTTTCTCCCTTCTTCCTTCCTCACTTTGTTATTCATGGGCATCGGTCCTCATATCAGGAAAGCAAAGCGTCGGGAGCGCGGGTTCTGTTACACCATGCTTTACGGAATTTTTCGAGTGTCTGTTTCAAATATACCATTTGTGTCGCCGGGTTCGTTCTATTACTGCTACGACTTTGCACTTTTTGTTGAGTGTGTGCTGGATATGAGGTTGGATGGTATGGCATGGTATGATGCAGATGAAGAGGTGGTCATTAAAGGAAGGAAAGGGGATAAGGATAAGTGTGAGGAAATAGGGGGGGGCTAGACGGGTGACTTTATGTAGGCGCGACATGTGAAACGGAATGAAATAAAATAAGATGGGCTCGAGAACATCATCGATTGATATATGGGATATATATCTACTTCGCTTGGTTCCTCCCCGTCCATATTCTTATAGAAGACGCGTACGTCTTTTCGCTCACTTCTCATGTGTGCGACCAGTGATATCCGCATAAAAACCCAATCCACCAACCAATCTCACATGTCCTTTCTTTCTCCCTTATCCAAAGATATCCATCCTGCTATACACCACACACCCTTTTGCCCCCTAGCACATGTTGGGGGCGGTAGCTCAGAAAATTCACTTGCTTGCTTGTGTAATTTCGAAATAAAATAATGCCGCAAGAAACATAAAAAAAATAAGATGGACTTACGCCCCATTTCGGTTTATGGCCTATAGCGATAGGAAAAGGCAACAGCGACATAAAGGAAAAAAAGCTGAACACCAAGTAGGTTTGGTATTGGTACGATAGATATGATATGATATGGTATGATATATGTCTTGGCCCCAAGTTGAGCCAAGAAAGCAAGCAAGCAAGCAGTAAAAAGTGTGCTCCTCGGATGATTCGAACTCCTATAGATTCGCCCAAGCTCCCTGCCTTTTCTTCCCATCCCCGCCTACCCATGAGGTGAGGGATATATAAGAAGAAATATTGTACTTCCCGTCTTCGGGAGAAACGACAAGAAAAAATTTCAGACCAAAGAGATTAAGTTCCCGCCCTTGTTATAAACGCCCTGTAAATGCTGATGACATGGCTAGACGACGGCTGGCCCCCCGCGGATATCTTCTAAGCGCTTATGCTAGGTATCAATCAACTAACCCAACAACCCCCGTCCCCTTTCCCCTTTGATAAATAAATAGATGGGTAGATAGTGTAATTATTCGATGGGATCTTCTTCGATCGCTTCGAGAGGTGGCCGGACCGACTCCGGTGCTGTCCGTCCATACCACCATTCGTCTTCCTCAGCAGCACCGTCCTCCCGAATCAGCTCCAGCATGACCTGGGCGTTGCGCTTAATATCCTGAGGGCGCTCCACGATCCCTCGGTCTAGTATAAGAGCTTCGGCTGTTGGGAGCCATATGTCTTGTAAGTTCGGTAGGTCGGGAAGCAATATCTTCAGTTGTTCGCGCGATAATTCACCCATCGGCATTCCCTCAGCTAGACTCGTATTAAAGACCAAATTCTCCCACGTAATCATCGATGCATCACTGCCACGTCGGCCCACGTCCGACCCTTGCCGTCCGCGGCCGTTTACGCAGGGTTCTCCAGATCTCGTAAAATCGGCCTCGCTCGCGCTCGACTTTTTTCGGGTAAGGCCCCTAAATCCTCGCCGCGTTTTCAACGCTACCTCCATAGGCTCCCTCAAGACCGAACTATACCACGAATCGACGGCCCCTCTCCTTGAATTATACCCTTTAATCTCCCAGAATCGCTCCACTTGTCGAAGTCCACCAACACACATCGCAGTCACGTAAACTTCGTCGGGAGGCCGGTCCTTCAAGTAACCTCGGAGAGAACGTTCTAGCCGACCCACGTAGGACGGTGGTCGAAGACGTCGACAGAAAGAAGACACTACCAAGGGGAACACCTGATGAACGCGTAATAATGTCTGATCGTCGTACATGCTCATGATCTTTAACTCGATAGGGTTCAGGGTATATGGCTCCTGTGACAAGCCATGCCCATGTTCCTTGATGTATTCGATATGTAATGTTCGGTACGTTTCGAAGAAATGAAATACTGTAAAGAGTAGAGGTATTAATCGGCGGCGCATCCTTTCGTATTGCGGCTCGAATTCAAGGCGCTGAGCCTCGGTAGTCCTCAGAAATATCTCTTTCGTTACCCTCTCACATATTAAGTAAGAAAGTTTAGCAGCAACATGCAGTCGGTGCCATATTCCACAGAGATAATGGAGCCGTATCGCGGTGGGGTCGGGCACTGGATATAATCGCTTCGCATAAGCCGGGACGTGATGTTCCAGGTGGTATCGAGCAATCGGGAATTCGTTCACTGTAATCATCGCATGCCATGACCGCGAAGCTAATCGGAGGCTCAGTACGTCAGATAAAGGCAGAGAGGCAATGATCTGGATCTTCAGCTCATTGGGGAGGGCTAGAAATAATTGATCGAAAGGCGTGCTCTTCCTCTTCGTAGAATCGACAGACAGTCGTCGGGAGTCGTGATCAACAGAATTGCGCGACGGTAAAATCTTGAAACCGATGAAATTGCCACGGCGCTTTTCCGCCCGGTGGGTGTCGTGCGAGACTTGGTCGACTGCCTTCGGTCTTCTGATAGGTAGTATGAATGTCGAGGATTCGGCCACGATAGGGCCGTCTTGCGCTTGAGCAATAGCATCGTGAGGTTGATCTTTAGACTCGCTTAGCTGCTTGAGCTTATCGAAATACCGCTGCGAGGCGAATTCGGTGAGATGTGGAGGATCCATTATAAATGACTTTTAGACAATTGTACCGGCACGCCTGGATCGAATGGGACAGATAGCGAGTGCTTGTAATGCACGCTTGTCCTTTATCATACAGGAAAGGCGACGGCGACGGACTCGATAATATTGAAAATGGCCGAACGCAAATCAAACATGTTGAGGCATCGAATATATCGAGTGAATTAGAGAGTAGGCTGGATAATCCGTTCACGGATTCGGAGTGAAGGATGACGGTTCGCAGGTCGAGTCGAGGGCGAAGGAGACTGAAAAAAGGACAGACTAGAACTACAGCAATGAGATGAAGCGAGCGACGTCAGATGTATAGACACAATACGACAGCCAAAGCGCTCTGCGCCTCCTCTCTCGCTCAAAGCAAACTCTGGTTGGCTAAGTTTCGGCCGTAGGGGTGGAATTGGAATGTTGAGTCTCAAGACCGATATGGTGACCGAAGATTAGGTAGCTGTCGCAGACCCTGAGGATTCGATATCGTCACGAACGCGATTCGAGTTGGCGGGAAGACGAATATCACGGCGGAAAGAAAAAAAAGTGTCGACTAGGAAAGCACAGGTGTTGTATCTGGTAGGTATTAGGAAGCCAAGAGACGAGGCGCAATGTTCCTGGACCAAGGTTCGGGAAGCGGGAGAGATGGTCTCGAAATGGTGTTGAACAGAGAGAAACAACTGAGACAAGGCAACGGAGAGAAGGGCAACGTTGACAGAAGTGACCAGATAGGGCAAGATGCCGTATGGCCAATACTAGGAACAGAATAGACCCATAGAGTTTACCACTGGAATAAAGGAAGTGGATAAGGTTTGAGAGCGTGGGAAAAATGAGGCCGAGAACTTGAAGATGGTAGAACCCAAGTGGGAACTAGTCCGCGAGTTAGAAGCTTGGGGGGGGGATTGGAAAAGGACGGGAATGGACGGGGGGGGAGTGTACGGGAGTGGATTGGGAGTGGCTCAGGGAAAAACAGCGGGAAAATCCAGACGAGGGTCATTAGTAACTTTACCAAAAAAAATACTGCAAGAAGGACTGGTACATGTAAGTTAGACTGGGTACATTGTAAGGTAGGTGTGGAGAACGGGCGATTGTACTTGAGCAAGAAGCCCATGGGGGTGTGCTGGCCTGGCTTGTCTGGGGCGTGGGTGGCACTGGGGGAAAGGAAAATCCACTAAAACTCGTCAAGTCTATTCGGTGTTATGGTGGTATGAGCTATAAAATAGGGTGCCCGAGGGGGTGTCTTCTTGCTGCTTACGGCGATTTGGCCGGCCAAATAGTGGAGTGCTGGAAGGTGCTGCCGACCTATCGCCAGCGAGTGATATGTCGCTATGCGCCTTATCGTTTAAATCGTCGCAAAAAAAAAGATACATCGAGCCTGACTTTTACTACTATTACCACTATTACCATTATTACCACTATTAGTCCCTGACTCTTTTGCACCGAGAAACCACTTAATTTTTTTCCCCCTCTTCTTTTTTTTCCACACCTTGAACCAATTCCCACGATCCACACTTTACATCGATGTTCTTATCACTACGCAATTGTCCGAATCGTTTGCCGTCTTGCTCATATATGCAAAAGAAAAAAAAACACTGTGATAAAACTCATCAGAGTCATTTACTCACGGCTTAGGGTCTATCCTGATTAATGAACACCTCAAACACATTGAGGGTGTATTATTATTAAACATTAAGCCCCGGCATCAGCTTATTTATTGCTAATACCAGCTAAAACCAATTCAACCGTACCTGAACCCGGGGAAGGTTATTACCGTATCCTAGCTCCTAGTGAAGTCAGACAAATTCCGTGAGTGTTCCATAGTACGGCCTTGACCGATAGCCTTCCTCATACGGCATTGGTATTGTATCATCTCCCATCAGCATCCGACTTGCACCGCATTCGATATGACGAGCCTAGACCTACCAGCAGCCGGTCCTCTTCGGAGTCACTACCTATCGGGCCGCGGACACCTTCATAGATATATCGGCCGTCCGCAAATAATTTCTATCAAATCCTAGCTAGCTTCCCTCCTTCGGCCTTTTATCAAAATTCAGCTTTCATGATATCTCACCTAGCTCTCTTTCCCTTGCTAGCTCTATCTACGTGTTATCTTTTGTCTCCCGTTAGACATATCACCATCAACATATAGTCTCACGTTAGGACCCCCTCCAATTGGGCGTCTGGCCGGATCTGACTATGGGGTTTTATGGGGTTGGCTGATAGCTGGGAAAGCATCGCAACCAAGCTTTTCCCATTTAGCCTATTTCCAGCTCGGTTATAGCTTGCAGCTCCACGATTGCTCCACGATTGTACCTCGCGGAGCCTCGTGGGCTTCCGTTCATAGTCTCGTGAAATTATAATACTTGTCGTGGTCAGTGCCGAGAGTAGTACCGACTTTTCTGCTTGACGTCGTCGAAGATGCTTGTAAACTCGGTTACGATATTCTGGCCTCCCTCGCTCATCATGAGCGCGGTCGTGATAACACTTGGCATATGCGGGATCCGACCCAAATATCTAAACTTAATATCCCCTGCCTACAGACCGAGAGCCAGACGCAAGCTTCCAGGAGAAACAATAGATGATAAGGCTTGATCTCATGCAGCCAGTGGCTTCACTTAAGGGCCGTATCAAGCCAACTTACCAGGGAGAGCGAGGTCTTTGATCACGATTTACGATTCACGATTCACGATTCACCAGCGCTGGTGATGCAATTACCGTTTGGGAAAGATCTGCATTTGATTTCGGCACTTCTGGGGTTGCTTTTCTCATTTCGGTCTCGCAGTGTAACATGCCACCTAGACAGAGAGACCACCCTTTTTCCCAATGGGATCGAGACCCCTTTTTCAATCTCTACTTCTGCGAGACATTGCACATGACCATTCTAAGCCGTCAAGTTTCATTAATGAAAATCAAGAACCAAAGGGGCCTTGCATCATGATACAATGGCTATGCATATAGAAGCCTACATAGGTATTCCTTTATTACTTGCGTCTCGGCACAATTAACTCCCACAGCGTCCCAAATGTGGTGCCTGTCAGCACAAGTATTTTATCCGGAGTATGTACATACATATCTCTTCATCCCGTGTACTTCACAATCTACGACTACATAGACGCGAAGATGGGGAAGCTAGATGAACGGTGATAACCTTGGACATTCTGATGCAAAGGTAACATGATATGCCAAGTGCGTTGATCGTATCGCATCATTACTTCTTTATACTACAATGTACATAAGAAGGACACCTTCCTACATGATGCCTACCAGATGTGACCGTGCCCCGTCAGAAACAAGGGCTTGAGAATTCCCCGCGATAGAGCCGCCGGGTCCGTCTTGCTGGTTGAAAAGGAAAAGGGACCGTCCGCCCATGTGGATCGGACGGCCTTACTACGGCCTTTTCTAACCCTCCCAGTATCCGACATAATTTCGCCCTCATTGGCTAGCAGCCCTCAATTTCATCTTCAGATTCAACTCTATCCAAGACGCGAATTATGCCTTTTCTTTACATATCTATAACTCACGACTTCTTAACCTGCTCACTATTAAATCGAGACTAGAGAAGACTATATTTCTATGTAACCACTATAGTAATATCACACAGGAATGTTTATATCGATGGATTTGAGCCAGCCTGACTCATGCACGTACTTTGGAGTACGACGTCGTTGTGGATAATTTCCCAGAGCCGTGTAGATGCGGTCAGAAATCACCTGGCTGCCCGCAGCAGAAATGAGAGTCGTGCCAGCTGTAGGGATCTTATAAACGCCACTGTCCTCCGCGGGTGCAACGTGATCTTTATAAGAATAAATATTGAAGTCGAAAGAATGAAACATTGCTACTAACTACCTAAGGTACTCATGATCTAAACCAGACCTATTCATTATATGACGCAAATTGATGGTCTACTCATCAATTCTACGGCTTTCATATCATATTTAATACATTAGCACATGTTGAGGTCTCTTTGAAATGATCAATACCCGATAACTATTCGCCGTCTCGACCTTCCTCGAGATGATACATCTGTTGCAATGGCTTTGCTAATCAAATCGAACTAATTCTAGTAGATGTTTCCGATGAGATGTCATAACTCGGAAGCTATACGTCTTTGGTTAAATCTAGGACGATCGCACGTAGCGAGCTATTGGATACTACAAAATATGGCCTGGGGAAACGTCATCGGGGCCACTTCCGATGCTCCAAGACTCCATGTATCCATGACCATTTAATACCTTAGCTCTACCCGCCATGCGGTGACGATCAACACTAACCTCCACGATGGAGGCAGAATACACAAGGTTGGTGAAATAAAAAGCAGTTATTGACAAACCATATCCAGCGACTATGTTCAGCTAGCCTTATTCTGGCCATCATAGCCGTGGTTCTTCGTCTGTTTCGCGCAGAAGACTTCTCCCGAGCTCGGTCTTAGATATCATCTATGCAACAACGTGGCTCTTATTCTCCGTTGCAGTACTCTTAGTCTAGGCTTGTCCTTTAGAAGCCGGCTATCTCTTCCCGCTACCATAAGACGATGTTTAGTGTATTTCGGTGATTTCGGTGTGGCATTATTGCTCATGTGAACATGTTCTATCATGCGTTTCATTTACTTGTTTCGCCAGCTGAGGCACAGCGATAAACATTCCAGTGATGAGCTTATACTTGATATTCAAGATGAAACCAAGCGAACCAATCCTCGAGAGAAAGAATGGGCACACAACAGGAGACAGTATCCATGACGCGAGCTAGCCTACAGCTCGTATCATTCCCTGAGGTTATGGTGTAAAGCGGCAGTCGTTTCCAGCTTCACTGTCTCTCCTTAATCGACATTGGCAAGTTGCTCTTCTGTGTCTCCCGCCACTAATAGCGGCCCGCCTCCGTCCTTTAAAAGCAACTCCCTTAAAGCAACTGTACCCCAACCACATAAATCTCGTTGAATCACATTTGTGTAGAAAAAGACCACCAATTAGCAAGCGACGTAGAAAAGAAAATGGTGTTAGGAAATCAGCCCTATTAAGAAGCTTGTTCGACTTGCCGATTCGGAGTTGATCTAACCCGAATCTCTACGTTCCCAAACACGGGGGGACGCGTGCGCGTACAGGCGTCTAGAATGATTCTAGATAAGGCTTCTATGGGTTCTTTTCTACATAGTATGTATGAGAAGCACGAGGAGCCAAGCTGCTGGAATTCCCAAAGATGGGATTCTGCATCCTAGCTTCACCTGAAGAACAGATCAGGAAGTTCGTTGTCGAAGGAATATGGGGACAGGCTTACATAGTAAACGACCCCCATGCCCATTAACATAATTCGCGAGTCTCACCTAAAAAACTGCTTCCCCCAATTTCCGATTTCTCCTTAGTACGCAGCCGAAATCAACGACCGACTAGCCCCGAACCAACGGGTTGGCTGCGCTGCGCTGCGTTGCGTGGGACCGTGGGTGTCGTCTATTTTTAGAAAGCCACATGTATGCGTGGATTGGCACGACTTTTTATTCACTGAGTCGCTTTCGCTCATGGCATGGCGTTCCTAACCCCCCCGCTGTCACTGACGTCCCCTTACTATAGGTACTTGGGAGTTACATGGATGCCATTCCAAAATGGCGGAATGGGCTGTTAAAAACACCGCTCAACATAGCGAGCCTCGCTCACCCTACGTGTTCCTCTCTCGTACTATACATCATCGCCGCCAAGACGTCGAGCATTCCCTTTTCTGCCACGAGAGTCGTCACTTGGGGAAAAAAAAGAACCATTCGATCTCTCTCTTTCTATCTCGTTCCTCTCCCCGCCTACTACTCCTCACCTTCTAGGCTCATACCCGCCCGCATACGTATAGTAGCCTCATTTCAAACTACACGAGTGAGGTTAGGTACCTAGTTAGTAGTCGCGTCTAGAAGAGCCAAAGGGAACTTCTACACTTTATTATCATCGAAGGCTCTAATTTACACACCTAAGTAGCCTCTTTTTCAACTACCCTTTACCCATACCCTTGTTACTAGGCCTACGCTGTTGTTGAAGCCTTAAGGCATAACAATTCAGCTTTCGCTTCGTCTTCGTCTTCGCTTGCGACTTGAAAACTGATCTGCCCTCCTCTTCCCTATCGCCATCTCTCAACTGCCGATGTCTACGTTGCATGAGGAGTAGTGGCAGTAGCCAAGAAGGGAGCCTACATCGCCTTACTGGCCCTGCCGCTGCCGCTTGATATTACCCAGTAGATTCATCCGCTGCTAGACAATATTCCCGAGACAACTTGACAGATTATTCCCCCCGCTTCGCGGCTGCGCGAGTAAGTTTTGTGCGTGTGTGCGGCGCGTGTGTTCAGGGAACATTGGTCCGTCGTCCATCCTCTTGCGCCAGACGCGCGCTCCTTTCCTTCCCCCCCCTTCGAGAGACCGTCTATTCAGCCATCTCCATTGGCTTTCGATGCGCTCCTAGCGGCGGTCCTCTACCCTACTTACACACCTCGGGAGGTAACCTCACACTCGTTCTCACCCAAAGCGGGCTACCGGGCTTGCGCACACACAATTACACAGATGGCTATGGATCCTACACCGAGTCAGCCGACCTCGTCCGGGTCCGGTCCCCTCCGGATACCCGAATCAGCTGCCCCGTCATCTTTTGCCCCCTCGGAACCGGGCGTAGTAGATTCGCCGGTATCTCCCGCCTCGCCAAACGCCTTCGCGCGGTTTGAATTCGAGGCCTGCCGCGGAAACGAGGGATCCAAGATTCTTATGGTGGAATGGGATCCGACACCGTCTGGGGAGGACGGCTGGGTCGTGACGTGGGAAACTAAGACGACGACATTTCCAGTCGTCGAGAGAGTAGAAGACGAGGAAGAGGACATTGAGAAGAGAGGACAGCGCCGGCAACGTGTCTACTTCCTATTACCTTCGGATGCCGTAATACCCCCTATAGTAACTATATCTCACGCCACCTCGGGCCGAACGTTAATGGCTAAGGCAATGCCGGCTATCTTCGCGCCGGGACTCTGGATCGGGTCCCGTGATGCGGGCCGCCGCGGCGTTTTGCACACGGTATGGGCGCGGCTGCGAGCCGAACAGCTCCAAGATGAGATTCGTGCGGAGCTCCGCGATAATAGCGAGAGCGTGGGGCTCGAGATGGCTGTTCAGGAACGCCTCTGGATTATCGACCACTTCGGTCTCGATGATCTCCCCGTTCCTGATGCCACTTTCAACACCGCTGGTACCGACTCTATATCTCAGGCACCTCCGCAAAGCCCGCGTTCCCCGATAGGTGGCCGTCTAGGCGAGAAGTTGAAGGGGCTAAAGCTGGCGACTTCGCCGTCGGACTTGGCGAATCATTCAGGTAATCATTCTTTTTCCTTGTTCTCTATACCTTCTCTGTATTGGTTACAGGGGTTCTGAAAATTCTACCTACCTAATCCCTAGACGCGTTACTATTCTCACGTTACAGACAAACTTACCTTTTCTCTAGGTACTCACTACTCGCATCAATATAACCAATATATTCCAAAGCGTGATCCGCCTCCTCCGGGTAGGAAAGAGACAACAGCGTTGAGAACGGGTGCAGATACCAGTAACGTGGCATCCCTAGATGCCGTTCTCGGCGGGAACCAGCAAGCAGTCGCTCCACCACCACCCGCGACCCAGACTAAAGAGACGGAAGACGAGCTATTTGCGCTGCCGATGAGCCCGCGCAGCCCCGACATGAAGGCCATGAGCCCGTTCAGCCTTCTAAAGTAAGACAAGCGAGGAAATGGAGTCGGTAGATATCTCGTCTGAGATAAATTATAGCGAGGCATGTGGAACTTGAGTTGGACTTTAATACTATACTAGAGAATTCATATAACTGATAGATGCTCGGGTTCGCTTGAGACAGCAGACGCGACGACGTAGACAAGGGGAAGATACGGCCTGCTCAGTAGGATCGAAAGTTGAGAGTAATAATATGAAATCAAGTAAAATACAGGTAGCGAAGTGGTGTGAACGAGTAAAAGGGGATAAGAGTCGGGAATGGAAATAGAACTTAGTGGTCGAAAAAAAAACAATCAAAAATCCCATAGGATAATACCTATATCCCTTGCCTAAGGGCGTACCGTACGTACGTATGTATGATGTATGCACGGTACATATAGCTTAGAGCAGAGCCAAAGAGTCGGGAGTGCCGGGAAAGGGGTAAGGACCCACGTGGCTGTCATGGCCAGACTGCCGGAATCCTTACCCAGCCACTCGGCTTCCGCGCGGATGCGTGTCATAGCGGATAGGGATAGAGATAGGGATGGGGGTCTGGATATGCTACCGTACGTTAGGTTAGGTACACTACCTAACCTACCTAAGACAATCAAATAAATATACTTGGTGCTGGTCGGAATAGCCCGCATGCATGATGCGTGTATGTATGTATGTCTACCCGGTATGTACTTGATAAACCAGGTAGATGTAGTCGGTAGAGACAGAACAAACTGAAGCCGAGACCATATGCTCTCTCCTTAGAGCAACAAACAAACCTGCCGTGATGGGACGGGAGGGAAGAGTATAACATATTATAGTATAAGAAGTATACCAATGCCCGATATAATAACAGTCCCGTCACTACACCACCCTAACTAACACGACTCCTTCAACCAAGAAGCCAAAAGTCGGAAATATGTAGTAACTAAGAAAACAACCGGGTTTGTTGAGTTTGGTTCAAACAACAAAATATATTATTATTATTATTATTATGTATGTATGTATAGCCCTACCGCGTAATGTTGAAGATCGCCCTTACATCCATCTACGCCGCGCCGCGCCAACGCATCGCTAGCTAGCTACCTACCTACATAAGGTAACTGGATATGCAGAAAGACTACGCGCGTTAATTATTAGGTGAAGTCCATCCGTACGACACGAAATGATAGTCTTTCCTATCACTACTATCATCCCAGCACTTTGAGCGATTATATAGGTATTATAGATACTTCATCCGTTTAGTCTGGGTTCATCACATGTATATATTATACTATACATAAGACTATCTATATAATCCAATCCAATCCAATCCGCAATCAACAATCACTGCTCAGAACTTGCTGCTGCACGTGTGTTCGTGGTTGTCACATGCTGTAACCCGTATACGTGCGTCGGTCCGAATAGGAGGCCCCTCACGACCATCAACGCAACGACCACTCGCGACGCATTAGTATGTGCTTCCATACCCGCTGTGATTCGTCGCAGCTCCGCCCTGCTATACGTATCTATGTCCGCCTGCCCTACCCGTCTCCGACCCGCCTGCGATTTGCTCGTCCTGAAACGACCGCCCACCACCACCTCCTTCAGGTCAGGTCCACTAACCGGTGAGCAACCTCACAACTCGTAGGGTAGAGTAGACTGCCATTATCCCATTGTAGAAGGTCTCACAGCCTAGTCGGTGGTGGGATTAAAAACCGTGAAGCCCTGAGCAATGCCCCTTCCGACGTATGGCTCGGTAGAAGCTAGGCGCGCGACCATCTCGCATGTTCTCCCATCCTACTAGCCGCCGCGCTTCATCCTGTCTGTCCATACTCCCCCACAACTCACAAACTACTAGTCGGACCGTTCCCCTCAACCCCTAATAAACAGTTCGCTCACGATTTCGCGCTTAAGAGAAACCCCAGAACCAGATCGGCTCTAGACCACGAATAATTCTCGTAGCACGTGCGTCTAGGTACACCCCCGAGTAGAAGAGTAAATTGAAATTAAAACGCGGTGGGATGGGTATCAACGCAGGAAAAGAAGATTGACCCCTCCTCGAGGTCGTTTATGACGGCTGGGGTAAATTATCCCAATTCAGCAGTAAACATGCTGGCCAATATCGGCTTAAATGTAATCGTCGTGTATATCGTTCGAGGGTCGATGAGGCCAGAATCATGCCAGTCGTATCGCGGGCGCGGAGGCCAAGTAACTCAACTCGCCAAAGGACTATTCTTCTCGGCGCTGCTTCTATTAGTGTTGTAGTATCAAAGCACGCGAGACCCGTCTCTTAGAATTCGAACAAAACACCCCTTCATCGCCAACCTCCAACGCGGTGCTCATTCCACCTCTCCCGTCGCTCATGGCGGAGATAAAACAGCTTCTTAGCCTCGCGATACCGTCTCACCCAATCCAGCGTCTCCCTCTCCGTCGCCAACTCCTCGCCTCCAGTCCCTTCGCTCCCCCCTCCTTCTAGAAAGCTCTCCTCTAGCGCGCGGCACACGGCCTCCTGCTCTGCTAGGCTCTGGCCTAGCCTCGCGTACAGAGCTGCGGGCGCGAACGGCGCGAGCGCGGTATCCATCTCGGCTTGCTTCTGGCGCCACTGGCGCTCGAGGGCGTGCGTTGAGAGGAGCTGTGCTTGTGCTTGTGCGCGCTGCTGGGAGAGGTGGAGCTCGAGCTCTGTGAGGTGGTTTGCGAGGGCTACGTTATCGTCTAGCGCGGCGAGGAGCGCATCGCGGGTTGAGGTCAGGGACGGGTGAGCTGTTGAAGGTGCGTGTGTAAGAGCGTCGAGGGCGGCTGGGTTGGAGAGGATTTCGGCAAGGTCTTGTTTCCTATGTAGGTGTTAGATATATACTATGAATATATAATATATACCTATTCATTATGTTAAATTGGTATAAGAATCAATACTCACGATTTATCCTCAAGGGCCTTCGGCAGCCACTGATCACCGGGATCCGGTATGATCTCTCGCTCTGTCCCTCTGGTCATAGATGCCGAGGCTGGGATCAAACCTGACGCATCCATAGTAGCCGGTGAATTGTCTCTCCCCTCTATAGACCTCAAGAATGTATCATCCGGAATCGGGGCCGGTGGTCGAGGAGAGCTAGTGGTGGCGGGAGTACCTAGACGGCTGGCGTCGTGGCTGCTCGGCTTCGGGGGTGGTACAGGAGGTGGGGGAGTCGGGCTGTACATGGTAATTTATTTTTAATTATTTTTATTTTTAGGTATTATTAGATAATGTCAGTACCCGTGCTATAATTTAACTATGATGTGACTTTGAGATAATAGAAGAGACAATAGAAGAGCTCTAGTAGCGCTTGCAAACGATAGATTATTACCTAAAGTTAGGATGGAAAGGTCAAGCTATCAAGCTGTTGGACGAAGTGGGTGAGTTACGAAGTACATGTGCCTAACGTCACCCGCTTATCTTATCATTTATAAAGTACCCAATACCCCTTTCCACTTCGTCCATCTGTACCTAATGTATTAAATTTGATCAACATCTTCAACCTTAGCTTAATATCTGTTAAGGAACAGAAACAAATTAAGAAATGATTTAATCACCCTCTGAAATGTATACATTGTGCATGACACTTGGATAATTATGGGTTGATTGTGTAGACTACGGACATTCTCATATGCCCCAATGAACGCCTTCACTTTTGATAGTCATCTCTTATCCTTATGAATCATCAACGCCGGCAAGCCATAGCCACTCCGAATTTCAAAGGTAGAAGAAGCATTACAAGCATTAGTACCTATCCACCCAATGTAGATCTTTACGGGCCTTCATCAGTTTTTGACTGACCATAATTCCCGAGTCCATCCATGTTCTCGCATCATCCTCTTGCTGCTAATACCACCCGCTCCTTTCTTGTCGCTGCTGCTGATAGCTAGCGCCTTGCTACAGTTTGCGAAGCCCTCCACGAGCTCCTTCATTCGTCCGGCTTTCATAATAACCGCTGCCACGTCCGCATCCTTTTTGGCGATCACAGAGGCAAGCTCCATGCATTCTAACAGGTTGTCACGGGTTAGAGTTGTACCTGCGAAATGTAACACGCTGACGTATCCAATAATCATCTCGGGCAGATACGCATCTCGAAGATACGTGAAATCTTCGTCTTCTGATCACTCTAGTTAGATGTATTCCCTCCTTGAGTTGCTTATAACTAACCTTCAATAGTTTCCATAAGCCAATTACTCAATATATGGCGCATAAAGCTCTTGATGTTCTTTACTTCGCGTCCAACGTTGGACCAGAAGTCCCGGCTTACTTTCTCCGCAGGGCTGTGTTGAAAGTTAGCTTCGTATTGCACAATAGAACTGTAGTTGTCATGGCAGGTACTCACTCTTGGGCTAATAGTTCACTTGATGCGATAGTCTCCATCGAATCCAAGGCTCGGACTAGGCACTCCATCTCGAAAAAGTTTTGCGCTACTGCGATGTCTTCAACCCCAAGGCTGTTTTCATCTAATGAGCCAGCCGCAGCGCTCGCTCGAACCTCGTCGAACCACGACACGTCCGAATCGTCAGAGTAGACAATGCCTGCTTTCCGCTTGAAAATTTCGCCGCAACGAACTCGTTCAGACAAGGCACGAGCCGCATGGAGATTGAATTGCTCTAGTGTAACATTAGCACTGAAAGTTCTGTCTTAGGTGTACCGTGAAAGTGACTACTTACTAAGAAAGCGCTTGTAGATAGCAGTACCGTATTGGAAGACCTCGTCCCAAAGGCCATCGACAAGAAGGAACCATTCTAATGACTGGATAAGATGCTCGTCGACAGGGTCTAGACTCTCTGGGGGTTCCCCAAGGAAATCAGGCTTCAAAGGACGTCCGTACTTAAGTGTAGGTGGATCGTTGGAGAAGACGGTAAATCTACCAAATGGAGGAGGATGTTCCTCAGGTTCGGGGTGCTCCTGAAGTAGAGAACGAGGCTGGAATTGGACAAATTCGGCAACGTCCATACCGAGCTTCTCCATGAGTCTTAGTAGTATCTCTCGTTCATGCTGGTCAGTTACGCTAGTAACATTCCTGCTCAGGGTGAAAAAAGCCCTATCCCCTTGCATTTGATTACAGTACAGCGGCATCATATCCGTTAAGCCCGTTAATCGTAAAGTGCTAACATAGGCGGAGACTACGTTCTCTCGCGCCCTGTGGCGTTCGGAAAGCTCCATGTGCAAACCACCTTGTAGTTCTTCGAGACTTGATATGATCAGATACACGTGGACCAAAATTCGTAAACCGTTATGATCCCTTAGTTGGACGAACTTGCCATCGTCTATATCTTCATTGGAGGCACCGAAACTCGGTATCAAAGCAGAAATATCCCCTGAATTGGCCGCCTTTCCAAGTGCGAGACCGAGCTCGTAGGTGTACTGCTCTATATTATTGGAAATGATCGCCGCCTGGAGAGTTTTCATCGGCGTCTTTGCTTCCGCCGAAGTCTTGATATTCGTCTCCAGTGATTTTACCAGACGTTCTCCGACCGAAGCAGCGTCACCATGAAACTGTACGGCGTTGAAGGTAGAGAATGATTGTGTTATAGCTGCCGTCGCATCTGGTGAAGATCGCTTCATTAGGTAAGCATCGAACTGGGTTCGAAGCAAAGCGTTGTAATGAGCGTAGACAAAATCATCCCAGTCTTCACAAATCTTCTCAACGCTTGGAATATCACCAGAAAGGATACCGTATACAGCACGCTCAAAGTCATCGGTACCTCCTTGTCTCGCTAAGGCAAAACAGGTACGACGCCACAGAAGCATCGAAAGAGGGTCACAGTTAAACCGGCTCTCACCTTCGTCCTTTGATAATGGCATAGCTGACATACTAACAGCTCGCCAAACTTCGGTCCTTTCAACACACCAATCTCGAATTTCAGCAATGCTTCGCCCTCTTCGCAGTAATTCGTAACAGCCAAGCCAGATAGCCCTCTCGAAGTACTCATCCTGCGGTTGAAGCTTCCGGTTCTGCCTTGTTGCTACGTCAGGATCAAGTTGGGTTACCATAGGATTTGATCCGTTCCGGAGTTTCTGTACAACATCGGTAGCATTAGGGTCTAGTGCTCCAGACCAACCGTTTAGATTTTTTTGCATCTTGAGTGCAGATCGCGTATGAAGCCATCCATAAGCAATTATATCGCCTCTTTCCGCTCGCTGCTGATAGTCTCGGACTAATTCATCTATATCTACCCGCGATTCGTCTGCGCTAGTCTGCAGGCATTCTAGAATCGCTTTGCGTTCCTGGGCGGTAGGGTCTGTCTGGAGGAATTCGTCCCAGAGTTGCGCACATGATTGGAATCTTGACACGTCGTGGCGGGCAGGCTTAAGAGAGGTCTTGTTCGGGTATCGTAGAGGTAAGAGGCGACGCAACATATCCCACGTCTGTGCTTCTAGCTCCCAGTTCTTAAGCATTTCGGACGAGGCTGGTGATTTTACCAAATCATCTCCGTCATCAAGGTCCATAGAGTCCTGGCTAGAAATCTCGTACGAATGGCGGGGGTCAGCCCCAGATAGTTGTCCTTGCAATTTGCGCAAGGCGCGAACTTTTTTAGACGCATATTGGTAATAAGTATCGACGAGTCTGAATATGTCCGCTCGTTTCTCGGCGTTGGGCTTCTGCACTATCGAGAGAGAGTCGAGGCCTTTAGCAAATTCCTCGGCATCTTGTGCGAATTCATTTTCTGCATCGTCGTATATGGGCGACGCTATTATCATGTCATTGTTAGCCTCTAACCACTCGTCTGGTTCAATTGATTGTAGTGGTGCTGTACTTTGCTCATCAGGGTCGGGGGATGGCGACGGCCCACCAAACGGTATGCCGTACGTACGCTGAGCTCTTTGAGACAGCATCGTGGATATAAGGAAGATGACCGAGAGTGGGTTGTTGGTATATTTAGGCGAGGAGCTGGTTGCTAGCCAGCATCCTCCGAATTGTCTGCGGTTACAATAAAAGGCAGGCCACAGTATTATCGACTATGAAGGTAGGTAAGGTGATAATTTGTTCTACTTATTGGTCCGGTTCAAAGAATGGGGAAATGCGATACTTGGTGTCGTCAGGAATGGAGCTGTCAAGCACTTGCACTAAAAAAGAATCAACGCGACTCAGATCCTATGTATGCGTGTCGGTAGCAGCTACCCACTCAGAGATGTCGATGGAGCAGTGATAAGATTGGATAAGGTTGGCAGGTTAGCAGATTGGCTGGAAAGCCGCCTGTAGCAAACACACTAGCCTCATTCGATTAGCCTCAGTGGCTGCAAGGGAGTACAAAAAAGAATTTCTCTGCCGAAATTTTTATTCTTTTTTCTTTTCTTCTACAATAATGTCATCGGCATTCATATTAGAGTCTCGGGATAAGCCATTATTTCCTTCAATGCTTATCCAGGTCCCATGCGGATCTCTCGCGCGCTCAATGATCGCCTAGAAGGATTTCTACTCTCCGTAAATGTTGCCTGGTTTCTTTATTCGGGTTGACGCAAAGAAGGAGATGTAGAACATACCACACTCGTCTCCGTACCGGGTAGAAGATCTTTCCAGATCTATTCTAATGTTGATATGTATGTTTATGTAAATGGTAAATTTCACTTGCTATGCTCGTCTTGTCGCTGCTTCATTTTTAAACGTAAAAGGTTTGCTTTCGGGCAGCTGGGACTTGTTGCACCGTCTCCATGTTTTTTATAGAAAGCGTCGCAGCATTCGTACAAGGCATCGATATAGCGAGAACATTTGGCTTCGTTATAACCATTCTTTCCCAAACAATCTGTACCGGCATTAGAACCAAACGACAGTCTAGGTGTCCAAATTCCATACCTTGAATAGCACACTAAATGGGTGAATGTTAGTTACGTACATATTCAATCTCAGCCCACCAGACTTAGTATAATATATTGGGTACTCACAGCGCGAGGATGGCAAGGTGGTTTTGACTCGAGATCTTCTTTCAATCCCTATGTCATAGTTAGTCTAGATACGCCCCCAATGCGTTAATAAGACAGACCATATTCTATTGTTATATGCCGGATCGCTCTTTCAGGGTTGTGGGGTAAATGGATGATATTAAGATTATTGACATGAATACCGAATAACCTTTAACATAATACTATCTAAGAGTTTGGAATTGATCTAACTATGAGATTACCTACCTTTACATATGCCACTAATTGATCAATTATGACGTAGACAGATTATCAAAGCTAACCTCATTGGGCTTATTATAAGGCGGATAAGGAGACCCCAAACCCTACCCAATAAATGATAATCAGCTTTGATAATCACAGCATGTACCTACCTATTAAGCTATCATCTCGCCTTATATGAAGTCTACAGTGTGGTGTTTCCTATTTAAAAATATTGACTTCAATCACGAGGTTCTAGTTTACGACATAATCTGATTTTCTATTGAGTTTTATAGGTATCACTTCTGCTTGTAAGACGTAATTGCTATAATATAAGAAGCCCCTAGCTTGATCTCTGGCTATATAAAAGTCGAGCAAAATAGCCAAAGACTATGGAGTAAAAAGAGAGAAAGCCAATGGGAAAATTCTTCACATTATTAAGGAATTTCACGTATCGACTTCTTGCATATTACTATACCAAAGCCACTCTATAAGAGCACATATGCTCTCAATTGATATGCTCAACTGGTAAACTCGCCATAGATAGGCCCGGCCGCTCTTACACCAAAAGTTGTATATTAGTTAGTCGTCGTACGGATCTAATGAAATATGATTAATGTTAGAATATGATATTTACTCACCAGCTTTGTCCCTTTATTTTTTAAGTCGACCTTTCAACATGTTTTCCTTATAACACTGTTATAAGATCATAATTATGGTAGGAGATTCGAATTGGATTTCTATTTTTAACGTATCTTGACCACCTTCAGCCATAGGGGATTATTACCAGTTAGGCAGCAAAGTGCATACACGGTATTCGAATAAGATGCATCAGAGTGTGTAGGCTAAAATCCTAAGCTAGATGATTGACTTATCAAATCTACCTGCATGTCTTACCTCGCAAAGCAACAGGTTCGGTTTTGACGAATCGGAGATAAAGACTAGGCCTCCAATGAACCAGGACTTCCTGCTTTCCGACCTCCGAATCGAAATGAGAAAATTGCCTAAGAATCACACAGGTTTCTTATGGTAAGCTAATGATAATCCACGCGTCTAGGGCGTGTATCATAAAGTTTTAGGTCAGATAACGTATAATAAATGTAATATGAAAATGTACGTTAAAGAGGTGCGAGTGACACTGTGAGGGGTATTTTACATAGATCGGCTCACCGAAAGAATAAGCTTCAGCTGGAGTTAGACCCTCCCCTCCAGAGACAGTATACGCTGTATCTACTATGTATAATTCGTCCTTTAGGTGAGTCTAGCCTGAAATCAAAGACTGTAAGAGGTACATAACCCACGGAAAAGGCCTAGATATGTACCTCTATAGGGAAAGTATGACCTGCAGAAGGTACTCCTTGCTAGCGTATTTACGCTTGAAGTAACTGCCCCGCATCTAGCGTGGTTAACGGTCCTTGTTTCCACCTAGAAGGCGCCTCACGTAGCCTTCGCGTTGATTCCAAACTTCACCACCGCAATCGCATACTTCTCAAACTTCACTTCTCTTCTTTTGGCCACTGCGTTTTTTCAATCCTTTTCCTCTACCACTCGTAAAAATCAATACTAATCGCGTTGAGCGTAGCAAGCCTCTACACTCGAGTTTCCTTACTGCCATACCTCGCTCTCGATCGATTAGTACACTATCTACACTACCCGTAAGTCTCACATCTTTCCCGGTGTGCGTGAAAACCACAAATCTTTTTAGCCATTTTCCTAAAAAGCAACGCACAACCCCCACTCTTCCTTTAGCTGACTAGTAAAAGATTAGAGAGTCGATATCTCTCAAACGGACGACATACTAGACTTAGATTATCCTCTGATATTTCCACAAGCACCGCCTATTACGCCCACGATGTCCGGAGAGAACGACAGCGGAAGCCCTGCCGCGGAACGACAGGACGCACCTGCCGGCGGCAGCGAACACCTTAACATCAAGGTGACAGACAACAATAACGAGGTTTTCTTCAAAATCAAGCGCTCTACTAAGCTCGAGAAGTTGATGACGGCCTTTTGTGAGCGTCAAGGCAAGGTTGTCGATTCCGTGCGCTTTCTGTTCGAAGGGCAGCGGGTTCAAAAGAGCGATACACCCGATTCGGTAAGTTGCCAATTAGGCCCTTAACCCTCTTTAAATTTGCTATGATCATTCCCTCTCCATTTTGGCATGATATCGCTATCATCTTAAGAGTTCGCTCTTCACGCATTACTATTTGAGTATACTTTACGTAAGCTAACCATCTTATTCACTCCGTAGCTGGAGATGGCCGACGGTGACACCTTGGAAGTTCACCAGGAACAGGTGGGAGGTGCCTGTCGCCGCTGATATTGCCAATATTCCCATGATTAGCAGATCGATCTCGCCGTTGGCATGATATATGGATGGAATATGGATTTGGAATGGGAGGGTTCAAAGGGTTCGCCGTATCCTTGATTTAAGTCAGGTGACAGTAGAAGCAACAGGGACGACTATGAACGAGGTCTCTCGCCCCCAAGGGTTCTTTGCGTGTCCTCGGTACCCCCTTCGCTCTGCTCTAAGTTGGAGAGTATCTATCATGTAGATTCTTGCTTTATGAGTCTTTCAGAGGTACTGTCTTCTATTAATCGAGGTGGCGGCTGATCTCAGATTAGAGCTGCGTTTGTTCTTCCTATATTTTCGTCTCTATATCCAACTATTTTCGGAATTATCTATCCTTTGCTGCTCGCCTTTTGCTGTCTTATACATGTTCAGACTGTTAAGCAGGCGTAACAAATGGAGGGGAACAAATCTACCATTTCCAACCCTATCTCTTAACTTTGTAATTGATGGTTTCTACGTTTTCGAGAGCAAGAACAACACGACTACACAAATCGGTAGGAAGTCAATGGGAAGCGGGGGATCCTATCTTCTCAGATAATTGATCGAGTAGGAGAGATAGTAAGAAGACGAGGGTGAAATGAAAAATAAAAGTACAAAAGAAATACGTCATGGCATTATCACATCACAAAACCACATAACATCGTAATTAGGTAGTTAAAAGAGAAACCAAGCAAGCCTTTTTGTATTTCCGAACTGCTATTTGCTGCTATTGCTCAACTCCAATACTAAATAATAATAATAAAAACGCCGCCAATTACCACCAGCAAAGCAATTCCCCTAGGTTAAACCAACCCGAATCAAATCAAATTAAACCAATGTCAGACTCGAGTCGCACATACGCCTTGCCCTTGGATGAATCAAGTATTACTGTAAGGTAAGCACAAAGTCAAAAGCGCACAAAACGCAAAACCGTACAACACGAAAACCAGACTCGGGAAAAGGCAAATAACAACACCCACCAGCCAGCCCATCTCTCACTCCGCAAACTCGCACTCGCCGCTCAATTTGACTCTTAAGGCACCAAGATGTCACAAGAGGAGAGGATGACAAGGTGAAGGGAGGAGGAGGAAGGCATAAGAGGAGGCAAAAACAAACAAACTGCCAAAGTACTCCGTCGCAAAAACCAACACAATCGCAAACTATGCCGTTCGTCGGTTAGTTAATATCTAATAATTATCTTATCTTATCGTATCGTATCGTCGTTCGTAATTCATTTGCGTACGTATCACGTCACATCTTGAGTTCCGCGGCGCGACACCTCGTGCACAGCACGACGCCCTCGCCGCGCTCGGGCATGGGGAAGATCTGACCGTCGTCGAAGCCGCCGCCGCACGACGCGCACCGGAAACACTCGTCGTGCCACTCGCCTCCCAAAGCGCGCACGTACGAACCGATGACGGCACGCCGACACGCACGGCACTTGGGCGCTCGTCGCTCCGTCCGCTTCGTCTGGCAACTTACGCACCACGCGTACCCGTCCTTCTCAATGTGCGTCGCTTTCTGGTCGAACGGGTCGCCGCACTCAGCGCAGAAGAAGTGTCCGTAGTGCCAGTGTGCGCCTAGTGCTACCATGTGCTCGCCTAAGATGGGCGTCTTACAGTGTTTGCAGCGCGGCGCGAAGAGTTCGTGCCAGTCTAGATGGCAGTAGAAGCGCAGTCGCGCATCCCCGTCTTCTGCCATCGTCTTCCCCGGTTCCTCGTCGAGGATTTCGCCTGCGGCTCTGCGTCGGATTCGGTCGAGTCGTTCGCCCCGGAAATTATCCGGCTCAGGGCTGATTTCGAGCGCTTCGAGAGCTGTGCCGCAGCAGTAGCACCGGAAGCATTGCGGGTGGAACCGTTCCGAGGCTCCGGCCAAGGCTACGAAGCGGCCTTCGATGGGAAATCCGCACTCATGACAGATCGCCGTCGCGCGACGGCCGGTCACTCCTGGTGCCGGAGACCAATGGCTTCGGCGGCGATCTTGCGTGTTATTGAGTGCTTTGGGGTTTGGTAAGGGTCTAGCGGAAGGCTTTCTACCGCTATCAGGGGCAACTATAGTTGGTACATTGGGGGCTTTGTTATTATAGTCATCGTCATCTCCTGGTAGTACGATAGTTGGGACGGCCGGGCCGTCATCTGAGACAGAGATCATCGGTACCTGTGGACCGTCGTCCGCCCCGCCTATCTGGATACTTGGGATGGCCGGCGTGTTACCGGATGGCCGCGACGCTGACGACGGCTTCGGAACTTCAGTATCCGGCAAAACTGAGATAGTAGGGACAGGTGGCTGCGGATTTTGGCCCGGACGCTCTTTACCGACGACCCCGAAAGATCGGTGGCTGCTGGGCTTGGACTCTTCTAATTTTGAATCAGTCGCCTCTTCCTCTGGGGGCTTCCAGTTTTTATCAAAGCTTACGATTGGACGCCCGGGGCTGTCGCTGACGGCCGACGGCGTGGGGAGCTTCGCACTGCGGTCCTTGAGCCGCATAGTGGTTGCCAATCTAATATCATCGCCCCGAATCTCCATACCATGCTTCGTCTGAATTTCCTGAGGCTTCGGTGGCGACTCTAACGGCGTATTTGTGGTGTAGGCCGGGTTGCGAGATTGTGATGGAGGATTCTTGTGGATTTCGAATCTTGACACAGGCTTGGCGGGCACTGACGATGGAGTATCGTCTGGATCGTCCTCAACCGAGGCGGGCGCGAATTGAACCCTGTTGGGAATGCCTCTTGACTTAAGTCCTAGGGGTTGTGACTTCTGTGGTGACTTCTGTGGCGATTTCTGTGGCGATTTGTCTGACGGTTGAGTTCGTTTTGGGGACCGTTCAGGCGTAATGGTTTCTGGCTCTTCCCATATTTGGTCGCCTGAGAAGGGTTTCTCAATCTCCCCGCTTATATTGCGCTTCAAGCTGCTAAGACGTCGGCCACCAGAACTCGAACGTGCCGCACTACCCATACTGCCGTACGATTTCGATTTCGACTTGGTCGATCCGATGGAATAGGTACGTTGCTGGTCCATACTTGTGCGTCCACTCACTGGCGAGTGCGCCCTGTCGCTACCTGACGAACTACCAGAGAATGACCGAATGGAGTCCCTCGCGAGCCCAGTAGGACTGATCTCATTACCATACCGTCCGGCACTAGCGGCACGAGCATGAGCGTAACTATCCTTTCGCAGGTGGGATTTATATCGGTACGGAGCACCTGGTTCAGGGGGCTTTATTCCGTGTTGATGCTGCCAGACCAATTCCGCCGCCTCATCGAGAGCCGCATTGTAGAGTCGAGATTCATCGTCGTCCTGTTGCTCTCCATCTCCTTGCTTATCCTTGTCCCCATCCTTCACATTCATGGCATCCATAGCATCCATTGCCTCACGAAGTGAGACAGCCTCTTCCTTCTCCATCCATCGCTGCCCGCGCTCGATATATGTGGCACTGGGAACAAATTCTCCTGGTTTCAAAGGCGCAACAGTAGGGTTCTCGGGGTAATAATCCTTTCCAATGGAGGTCATGGTAGAATAGCGAGAGGCTACGCTTGGAGCAGCACTAGGGCGGCTACCGCGTGGTCTTGGCAGATCGGACAGCGGCCTCTGGTGATTGCTAGGGGCTTCGGACAAGACAGACGGGGCGGCGGGGGACGGGCGGCCGGTGGCGAGTCGTTCTGTAGAATCCCGGTGCAGTGGCTTTGACGAAGGAGGGAGGGGCCGTGCGCCTCCTGGGCGGCTCACGCGACTATCTCGGAGATTTGCCAGATATGTAGCTATAGAAAGTGTCCGGGTTAGTGCTATACTGATATCACATGTTTTTTTTTTTCAGATGTTTACGAACCGAATTGCTCATTGTTCATATAACTTGGCGAAGGCGGTGTGACTTTTCTGTTAGAGGACCTCTCTTTCGACCTGCCTCGCAACATGGCTGCGCAGGTAGAGTAAGTATGTTATAACAATGTTGCAATGTTTTTATCGTGAATAAATCGGTGGTGGTTTGTTGACAATGGGGTAAACTGGTAGGATGCAGGTTAAATATGTGATTAATAGCTGCTTTCTATGGCGGTTTATTGATGAATAATTCTGTTTACTAGAACAACTTCTTAACTACCGAATGTTGCTAGGGACAGAGAGAGTTTTTATTTATGTATTGAGAAATATGTTTCACAGAAAACTTATAACGCATGATGAGGTGTCCACCCAGCTTCCTTTATTCGGTCGGGCTGGGTAAAGCGAGGAATGGGGAGAATTTGGCTGTTCATGCTGTCCAATGTTTTGCTGGTACTACCGTCCAAGCGTTGCCGGGGCAGCCGCTTAGGTAGGGTCGATACCGCCTAGGCTTGCTAGAGATGGGCAGGATGGGGGGCAGCTTTCAGCGTAGGACAACTGGCAGTTGGAGTCCGTTGTTCTTACAAGGTTCCCCACTCCGACAGTTGGCGACGCAGCGACGATGCCCAAAGGTCGGAAGCTGCCAAGGATTTTTAAAGGTTAATTCAGGCAGTTCAGCCAGACTTTACCCTGCTATTACTAGGCAGATAAGGCCTGGAATTTACCTGGAATCTTCGATCAGGGTCCACCCTAACCACTTATTACCACTATGTAATTCCGCCCCTTGTTATTCACCATACCTATCTCAGATATTGGCAGGTACTACGCAGTAAAAGATGACTCAAAGAACCAATCCTATTTCATCAACAACATTGCTAAATGTTGTTTTTCTGGTTCATCTTAATTCATCTATTAAAACTAGCCTACCAGCACAGTCTTTATTATAATCACAATCCACTCTACGAGTGTAGTACCGGGTTTAAATGCGCTTTTGCTGTCGGTATTTTCTGCATGCAGATGTCATTTACCACGTGCTATTAATTGCGGCTCTTTTATTAGGCGTCGATCCTGCAGAACGAAAACCATACTCGGATGTCGCTCTTGTGTTGGTTCTGTGGTTTTAGCGTAGTAATATGGGAAGACGAAAGTTATCTATATCGAGATTATCAAACGTCAGCCTTCAACGAGGTAGTATTATGACATATATTATCCAGTGGACGAACGATGGTCCTTCTAAGGTTAGTAACTCGGTTTTCCTAATCCGGGACCGTCGAATCTAATACGCGGGACAAATGCTTCTTGAATCGACTACTTGTACGAGTCGAGCTTTGATCCACTATCGATATCGGCCATCCATATCATAAACAAAAAACCGAGACTGGTGAAGTTTTTCCCCGATTAATTAGTGATATATATTTATGATTACTGGTTATGCCCAATGCAACCTTGTTTCTTCTTATCGCTTATGAGTACTATAGGTGGAGATGCCTCGCCGGACACGGAGATGATAGTAACACAGAAGATGTTGACGCCCAAAGGTTGATACCAACTGCGCCGTAACCCCGTGGGGCGGATAACTCGGGAGTCGGACCGGGGTGGGCACCGGCTTAATTATTAGATCCAAGTACGGCTCAGCAAAAATGACTAAATCTTTGTTATTCCCGACCAACTCTTACCTAATAGAGGGTATAGATGTAGACTTTTCGAAATATATAATACGTCTAGGTATGAACCTTCATTGGAGTCCTGACAATACAAACTACCCAATTATAAACAACAACTTAGTTATCCCTATCAAGATTTATTTGCTATTGTTTTGTAATTTATAACTTACCATATTTCTAACTACCATGGCTGTATCCGACAAGGATCCAGATAATAGCCAGGATAGTAATGACTCAGTCAACACACACCTTGAATCTCAAGATCCTCAACCGCAAGAAGAATTCAAGGAGGGTGGTTATGGTTGGTTAGTTTATCGAAAATCTCAAACATCTCCATGAGAGCACTACGATACTAACTACTCTCTTTTCTCTAGGGTCGTTATTTTTGGTGTATTCTTACTCAACGCTCATACTTGGGGTCTCAACTCTGTAAGCGTGTTCAAGATGTTCAAGATATTATCTTCCCAGCTTGCTAACCATCTCTTATCACCACTAGAGTTTTGCCGTCTTCCTCGCTTATTACCTTAGATCTGGCACGTTTGGTGCAAGTCAACGTGGGTATGCCTTCGTAGGCGGCCTATCTATCTCGATTGGTACGTGAGCTATACATATTACCGAGATTTTAACTAACAGAGGCATAGCTCTCTTAGCTTCTCCTCTAGCAACTACTTTGGTTGGTTGGAAACGGTGCGGGACACGACTAACTATATTTCTCGGGGCTATATTTGAGACGTAGGCTCGCCCGATTTTCACGGAGATAATCCAGATACTAAACTCTCATAGGATTGGCTTCATCGGCTCATCGTTTGCCTCGGAGTTATGGCACTTGATTCTGAGTCAAGGCGTATCCTTCGGCCTTGGTATGGGTCTCTGCTTCGTCGCCTCTGCTGCCGTTCCCCCTCAATGGTTTGTAAAACGCCGATCCTTTGCTAATTCGATCGCCGCTTCGGGGTCGGGCTTCGGGGGTCTATGCTACTCATTGGCGACTAATGCTATGATCACCAATATCGGTCTACCCTGGGCTTTCCGCGTCATAGCTATTGTATGCTTCGTAGTGAATACTGTCGCAAGCTATCTCATTCGCGACCGCAACCATGCTATCGGATCAGTTCATATAGCCTTTAACTGGAAGCTCTTCAAGAGGCCACCGTTCCTTTTGTTCCAAGCCTGGATGGTCCTCTCTATTCTTGGATATGTCATCCTCATTTTCAGTATCGTTGACTACTGCCAGACTGTTGGCTTAACGGCTTCTCAGGCTTCTTTAGTTGGCGCGTTGTTTAGCCGTGAGTTTCTCGTTTGGATTGTGCCTTTGGTCTAATAGTGCTAACTAAAAATATAGTGTCCCAAGGACTTGGGCGGCCTGCGATAGGGTTATCAAGCGACTCAGTTGGGCGTCTAAATATCGCCAACCTGTCTACGCTATTATGCGGTCTTCTTTGCATGTTCTTTTGGATATTCGGAGCTAAAAGCCTAGCTACTTGCATAGTGTTTGCTCTCCTCGCCGGCGGTGTTGCCGGGGTAATGTGGGCTACGGTTGCCCCTATATGTGCCGAAGTTGTCGGACTTGCTCTCATACCTTCAGGTTAGCTAATGACCTCCGTCATCACCCTACGTTGGCTCAACTTGTTAACGCAACGCAACCCCTATTAACACATGCTTCCACCGACTACGATGTACTAACTTCTAAGTAGCGTTATCAATGACTTGGCTCGTGCTGGTTCTACCGGCGACGTTCGCCGAAGTCATCGGTGTGAGCCTCAGACGGTCTGGGCCAGGGGGTTATCTCCACGTCCAGCTCTTCACCGCGTTTTGTTATATTGGCGCCTTTATATTCGGTAAGTCACACCGCCAAGGTAGACCCTCTTTTAATCAATTGAATTCTGAGAGTAGCCTCGTATTTTCTCATTTGACATTTGATTCGCTAACTATCAATAATATAGGCTGGGCCCTTAGAGCGTGGAAAGTCTGGGAGTTGAAACAGGTACGACTCGATAAGGAGCAGCGAGAACTTGCTATTCGTGACGAAGGCCTACTATCCTCTGCAATAGAGCGCCAGTCTCAAAACAACGATCAGGCCACTCCTCCTAGACGGCGATTATCTATTCTTGAGGGACTATGGGCTATAGAACGGGTATAGCGTAGGGGCTGAGGCTTATGGTCATCCAGAACGTAGTGTACGTCGACCATAGGATAGCCATGAAAATAAGACAAGATATATAAAAGACTTACCACAGAACCCATATAGCAGCGTTGAAACACATATAAACGGGCTGAATGATATAGTTAATATCTATGACAGGTAGTTTAAAAATATGCTCTATAAACACTTCTCCGCCTAAAGTTCCTTATTTGCCAACTCAATAGCCTTCGCAGCCGCCTCGTCAAAGTCATCAAAGGCAAATAGCGGCAATCCACTCTCAGCAATAATCTTCTGTCCTTCCTTCTCATTCGTCCCGCGGATGCGCACTACCACGGGCACCGCCATCTGCAGATCGCGGAAGGCCAGAATCACGCCCTCGGCGATCATATCACCGCGGGTCAGACCGCCGAATATATTTACGAATATGCACTATAACGCGGGAGCGGGATGTGGGTTAGCTGCCATATGTATTTGATAGGTTGTTTAGGAGATAATGATGTGGGGGATAGTAACACCCAGACAGAGACGAAGAAGAAAGGGGGGCGGATAAGAGAGGAAGGGATGAAAGGGGAAGAGAAAGGGAAAAAGAAAGGGGAGGCAAACCTTGACCCTTGGATCCGTCAAAATCACCTCAAAACTCCTCTTCACCGTCTCGCTAGTCGCCTTACCCCCCGTATCCAGAAAATTAGCAGCGCGGCCCCCCGCATCCGCCAGCGCATCCACCGTATTCATCGCCAGCCCGGCGCCGTTAACCAGCGTGCCGATGTTCCCTGTCCCCTCTATCTTGATATACACGATCCCGTACCTCGCAGCTTCGGCCTCCGCCGCGTCCTCGCCGCGCGGCAACGCGTGGATGTCGGCTTGTCGGCCGCAGCTGCGGAAGGCGGCGGCGTCGAAGCCGAGGTGTGCGGCGCATACGTGGATGGTGCGGTGGGGAGCGGTGGTGGTGATGTGGGTTGCGAGGAGGAAGGCTTCTTTGGAGGTGAAGAGTGTGGTTAGTGCGGTGAGGAGGGCTTGGAGGGAAGTGGTTGATTCGGGGTCGAGGTTGAGGTGTTGTGATATGGCGGGCGTGGAGGTAAGTGTGAGATCGAATTTGGCTGCTTGGGAGGCTGAGATGGTTGGGGAGGCGATGATACAGGGGGTTTTGGTAGACCGGTCGATGGATATTGCGAGGAGTTTCTGGGGCCCGGCGGACGGGTCTTTGGAGATGGGGATGCCGTGTTGGTGGAGGAGGTCGAGGGCGGTATTTGGGGGGAGGTAGATGCTACGTGTTTGGCCTCTAGGAGGGTGATATATGGCCTGCTGGGGCGGAATAGGACGGCGGGCTATGGTATGTATTCCCCTCCGTTGTGAGGTATTGGTTGGGGAGGTGACACCCGAACCTGTGGGCGTCACACCGTCTAGCATAGATTTTAACACCGGCCCAAATCTAGAGGGATGATTGACGATAGCTGCTCCTGCTGCTTTCAGGGCTTCGATCTTGTCTAGTGCAGACGGCTCGCCGGGTAGGGCGAACGCTCCGGCATGACCCATGATCCGACCTGGAACTGCGTTCACGCCGGCGACAAGAGCAGCGATCGGTCTATAGGTACCGGTCAACTATGCTGTTCCCAGCTTTCTAGCTCCAGTAAAAAGTAGGAACTTGACTCACTTTGGGTTTTTTGTCGTAGCTCGGTACTCTCTAATCCAATCCGCTGCTTCGATCTCGGCTTCTCCTCCAATTTCCCCTACTAATGCAATACCGTCCGTGTCCCCATCCTCGATGAGGATCTGGAGACCTTCTTTTAGACTCGTACCCGGGAGGATATCCCCGCCGACACCTATGCACATGCTTTGACCTAGACCGGATCTGAGTGTAGAAGCAGCGGCTAGGGGAGGGGAGAGTATTATTAGAATCGGGGATACGCCCCGTGGGATGAATAGCGGACTTACTTTCGTAGCTTAATGTTCCTGACCTTGCCACGATCCCTATCCGGCCAGGTTCAAAGCAGGGGAGTGGTTGGAAACCTATGGGTGATGATGGCTATAAGTTAATATCGTCAAAAAGAAATACACCAGCACACTAACCAATTCTACATTTTCCTACCGCCGATATGATACCGGGCGAGTTTGCGCCGACTAGTCTACACTTGGACTGCGTTTTCAATATAGAATGAATCTAAATTTCGTCATTAGTTGGATTTCATAGCTATTATAGGTAAACTGGTATTAACTGCTCACACGAAGGATGTCGTGAAGCGGAATGTGCTCCGCCACGGCGACAATAAGCGGCACTTCGGCTTCGATGGCCTCCTCGATCGCGCCGGTAGCTTGGTGTGCAGCTACGTAGATACCCGTCGCGTCTGGCTTGAGGGCTTCCACGGCCTAGAGGGAACGGAATTCGTTAACTTTTCCTTCCCGTTCCTAATTAGGTACATCTTTCCCTTCCGTGTCCCACTATCGTAGAACAAAATCCTTAGGGATGTGTGACGGTACCTTGTGAACCGTAGGAAATACGGGCAAGCCTAAGTGCTCGCCCTCCCGGCCGGGGGTCACGCCTCCTAAGATATTGGTACCCCATTCTAAAGATTCACGAGCGTTGGCTGTGGCTTGTTTCCCTGTACTTCGTGTGTAAGCAGGAGGGTAGGCTAAGGAGTAGGTAGATGAGTAAGTTGGGGAGATAAACCTGTAAACCCCTGAAATATAACCCTTGTATGACTACCAATTTTGAGATTCTTGAGCGTTAAGTCGTACTTTGAGTTAGAACCTAAGTAGCGATAGTTCTGTAGTATTACTCTTGACAGACCGAGGTTTCGGGAGATGAAAGAGGTGTGCCTCAAGGACCTAGTTCTCAGGACGTTACAGAACATGTTATTGAAATGTCTTGTTGGGTTGAGATAAACTATTCATCGTATTACATGTATAAGATAAGTAACTAAATGAAATATTGCTGGATAAGCTGGTCTTGGTCTTTATATATGATGTTCAATATTCGGAAGCAACTAGCCCGGCACCGGACCCGATGTCTTTCATCAACTTTAACAAATCCTGGGAATAAGTCGGATATGCTTAATTACCGACAACTACGAGAGAATCGGAAGTGATGCATTAATAAATAATGCGCTAACTAGAATGTATTCAAAAGAGATATAAGCCGTAAGATATAAGCAATGTGAGTAGTTATAAGTTGGATGTAATTTGCATTGTAGACTTGTGTATGTACATGGGTTTGGTTATAAGAACATTCGATCCGGAGGTTGGGTATGTTCGGATATACTTAATGGTTTACAATATGAACCGCAGTTCCGTTCATTTTCATTTGAAAATTCAACATACCTCCTAATATATAATACAATACGGCCCCGAGTTAAATTATATAATTTAGGACCTATACTTCTTAGTAGTAGAGAGTGAGGTCACTACCGACTAGGCATTCCGTCGGTAAAGAAACTCGCAGGTGGTAGCAGAAGGGAGTCAAATTCCGTAATTAGACTGGCAAAATTTGGATAATTCTTCTCGAATCCCGACGAGCAGGTTCTGTTGTAAGTTATTGCCATACTACCGTCGTCCCTGTGCTTCCGAACTAGAGGGCGTATCCGTCTCCGAGGCAAAACCCAAGTTTTTGAAGTCGTCCTTCGCCATAAGGTTCCTGAACAGTGAGAAAGAGGCTGGATGATCTTAGAGAATGGTTAGAAGCTTACCGGTCCATACGACAGGATAAATATGTTTTAGCGAGGTTGCGGCACTCCTCGTCATTGACGCCTTTGACTTTTTTGATACATGAGAGATACTTGGTCATGACGGCCTTGCATTCGCCTAGGGATGCACGGTTAATAAATGAAGAAATACTTCTAGGATAAGATTTGCTAACCATCATGATCTAAAGGGAAGCTTCCACGTTGAGGTCTATAAACGAAGGAATGACCAAAGTCAGCATGCGCTCTCTTTTAAGAATAGAGGTGATATCTAGAAGACGTACGGGGTAGGCTTCCCGGTATATGGACCCGCGCCTGGGCTGCCGAAGGAACTCATAGGAATAATTATCTGACCCTCTTTAACTCGTGAATTGAAGTTAATATTAGTTACGAGAGATTAAATCGGAGGTTTGTCTATTTGCTAATCTTAATGTAATGATATGTTGATTTGTGTTGATATGTTGTTTGATTTCAACTTATGATTCGATAATGGATGTCGAATGTAAGTGTTGAAATTTTGGAGAGCGACAGTGTTAGAAATTGCTATTCACACTATGCTAAGTTAGGTACTAAAGTACATGGGTACATGGTACTTTACGGATGACCCCTCCCCCCACATCGGTCAAAGATCTCCGGGGTCGATCAGGGAAGTCTTTCCAAGGTTGTTAGGTGGGTAGGTGGGCTGTGTTTGGTTGCTGGGCGAACAACGGGCTGCCGAATCAATTTTGACATCACCTCAATATCCAGTTTAGCTAACACATGTACTGCTCTGCTGTTTGCACATGTTGTACTTGAATAACTCTTATCTGCTTCAATAGCCGACTTTCTCCTATTTGAAACATGAGTTTATAATTTGAAGCGAGTCTTGTGTATTTCCGTCTTAAATATACCACCTCATCTTGACTTATAATAAATCGCATTAACCACTTACATACTTACACACTTACACTTACACTTACACACCTTATACGCACCTAGGTATACATTCATACTTAAAACTCGCATACCTGAAAATCGGTGAAGACCAGTAGCGCACTGCCACCCAGCGACTCTCCCCACCTCGTGTCTGCAGCGTCGTCAGCTGTGAATTGGAATACCACATACCCAATCCAGATACATATACTCAATACCTGCTCTATCTAATTGTTCCTCGTATCGAAATCCTCGCTCTTATAAGCCCGCGCGACCGCCTGGTACGGAGGTGACCGTCCAACTTGATGCTCGCGGAAATTCTAGATAGAAGATGCGGTTGACGTTCTGCCGACATGTCGCGCTCCTTTCGATAACTGCGACCACACTTGCGCTCGCTGATTCTATCGTCAATCCGCTCGAGTACGGGACCTTCGAAGACTTCTCCCCCGTTCATAAGAGGGCGATCGATTGCCCCGATAATTTTTTCAGTTGCGAGGATCGGGGTCCCGTCTTCGAAGGAACTTGTTGTCAAAATGGACAGCTATGTGCTTTAGATGCCTATAGTTCAGCGGCCTGTTGCCCTACTACGTAAGTAATCCTACGGAGAGTACCTGTATCCTAGGATACGATTCGTTGCTCGAAGCTTACATATTCGATTCAATTATAGAGCAACGTGTACAGGAGTGGCACCAACCGGTCCAACGCCCTCTGTGTCCTACGTGAGCAATACGTACTTCTCTTTTCCGTATATACCGACGTCGTTTGCGAATTCAGTGGCATGTACATCAGCTCTCAACCAGTGCTCGAGGAATTACGCATCGTGTGTTTCGGGTTTAGGTGGAAGTAGCGCGGCTTATGGCGTGACCATCGTGGTTCCGGGAGGCGGTGGGACGACAATTGCTGCCACGCAAGCCACCGGACTTCCCGCACCGTCGGCAACATCTGTTTGCTCAAGCCTATCATCTGAGGCTTGTTACAACTTGCAAAGTGCCCAATGCACGCAAGCCGGTACGACCGGAGGTTTCATCATCGGCACCGGAAATGCCGCCGCACGACCTACCGCTGCTCCTATAGTTGCCGTCATCGCCAGCATCGGATTAAGTCTCATTGGAGGTTATATATGAGCACTCGTCGAACGACTTTCATAGCCAGATGATTTGAATCTTGAACTAACCTGCCGATGTGCTTCGGATCCCCGGGATCTAAATACTGATCGAATGACGTCACGAATTGTTATGGCCCTTTTCTAAATGTGTATATTTGGTTGGCGTATCTAGATATGTGCCTATAATATGGGAACTGGGGACTTTGCACATAGAAACGGAACAAATGAAGGAACGTTTTCCTTGGACATCGGGGGTTCGGAATGGGGATAGGATGTTATTTACATAGTGGGTTATCAAAATGAATGAAACAATTCGACGAATTATCGAAACGAATTCTCAACTTGCATCATGCTAAGCTTCATTTGCTTGAGTTCCTATTATGAATTACTTGTGAAGAGTACAATAGGAGTATATTAATGAACTTAATGAACATCTCTTTCGTCATAATACAACAGAAGTGTCTCAGCCCGAAGGTCGCTTTTGTATCAAACAATGCCTTTCTTAATAGCTTAATGAAACTAGACAATGAGGATTGTTAGTTAAATGTTCTTTCGAACATAACCTATAGCTTACTCTTTCAAACATTTACAGAACAATCGACGTGATACATTTATAAGAACTTGTTCTGAATTTAATATATTCTACTCGCTCATTGCAACTGAGAGTTTTTCTATTAATAACTCAGCGAGTACGTTTGTATTTTTTTTATAACAGTATCATCAAGTCAACCCAGCCGACATCATGCCAGCCAACCAACAAGACCAAGCCCCCCTATACTCGAGTGAGGTGAAAGTCGTGGCGCCGAAGCCTATACGGCCACTTCCCTCCTCCTACCTTCTCATTCCCGCGCTAGAGGTTGCGGCGCCGTCTCTAACGCCGGCATTGCCGGACCTATCGAGCATTAAGCTCGAGGAGGTGCAGCCCGATGAGTTGAACCAGAGCCGCTTCCGGTCATTTCTACGGCTGAGTAGCGTGGAACCGCCTACTCTGCTAAGAAGACGAGTGTCTACGGGTCTCATCCGTCGCTGGGGTAAAGGCCAATGTGATACTGAAAAAATTACCTATGAGGAGAATTTGAATAAGACGCAACAGCAACGACACGTCTCTGTTGAAGCTTGATGGATTATGCTAAGACTGGACTGCTGATATATGGTATATAGTTAGGAGCCCTCTGTCCTAAGTACCTAACCTATTTCAGTCGTCTAGGGATTTTAGCATTACTATTAGTTAAGTGATATATTAAGTATAAACTAGTAGCTATAGAGCTTAAAAATCGGTGTATAATTGCATTGTGATAAATAGAATACATGTTCCATGTTAAATAGACTTTGCTAAATAAATTATTGTATATAATAGTAAATTGGATCGTTAAGTGTTATTGGATGTGATTCTAGAATTAAAATCGTTTACCAACGAGATAGTTGATTTAGATTAGGTACCTATTACCTGCCCGGGTGGCTATCGATAATACATGTAGCTACTCTAATTAAGTGGAGTCGATTACCTTATAATTGATCTTAAAGTGCATCTATTCAGTACCTTACATATCAGAAGAATCTAATACTTACAAATACTTACATGAATAATTTCAAAAGTACCTAACTTTACTCGCATTGGTATTTGTTACAACCTGATGGATGTGGCTACTAGTAACCTTCTATGTGAGAAAACAGATACTCATTTGTTAATGTAGAAGAAGTATCATTCAAATCCAATTCTACCTGTCAGATGAAGTTTGCACAGGCGACGCCACGGACCAGCTGAAATGGTCTTCGGGAGACCGCAGCGTACATGCGTACCTCATACCCTTCGGGCTTGGGGAAATAACGATTGCATCTAAGACTTGTGTCGCCATCCGTAACACCAGACTTTAAAAACCATGGCGTCCCCTATACTTCCAAACACTTCCAACTTCTTAGGCGTGGCCTTAGTTGTCAACCGCTTACGCGATGGGCCCTTGTTTGTCTTCCACTATCCGCCTCAGATCCAGGGGCCGTACGCTTCGCCTTCTAGCGATAGTGCTCCTAGAGATGAGCTGGACGACGATGATGAACTGTTAAATCAGATGTCCCATCCCCCTTTTGAGGCGCCTTCTGGTTCACTACCCAAGTCATTCGATTTGCAGAACTGGAACCACGACGACCATTTAGAGACCGATAGCGGTTCCCAGATAGTACCCTGGGAGCACGTAGCCGGTTATCCTACTAGGGATCTCGAAAGTCTTCTCACCCCTAACCGCGCTTTTCATAAGAAGCTCTTTCACGTTTCGTTGGAGCAGCTTTGCTTCGCATCGTATCCCATATACGTTCCGGAAAACGGGATATGGCGGAAGAAGAAGAAGCAGCCAAAGTACCAGCCCCCCAAATCGCCCGAGAATACGGAGTCGGCAAGTAAATATGGCGAGTCCTCTGCTCTTGCAAGTGACGTGCCACAAATAGAAACTAGGGACATGGCTGAGGAAGCTATTGCTGGTAACCTACCGGACGAGGCTGACGAAAAGAAGAGCGGGATGACTATGTTTAATCTTGTCTTTATCCTGAGCCCTAAAAAGCACGAGGCGAAGGAATTGGCAGAGAATCTCTATCTTCACATAATCAAGAAGGTCAACAAGGCCTACAAGTACAGCCAACAGAAGAGTGATTTTGTCTGGAAAGAATCGAAGCGGATCCTAGCTTTAAAGGATAAGGGGCGAGAATCAAGTACGTGCTTAAGGTAGTCTCCATCGTATATACGAATTGGTAAGCTGACAAAGTATACGCAGGGACTAAGATGAGCTCTTTATGGAGAGAAATCCTGGAGATATCTTCCCTTGCAGCATCTATGCAGGATGTATATGAGGCCGTCTCCCATAATAGGATCGCTGCCTTACAGCTAGATACGGCCGAAGGTGCCGTGACACATTCGGTCCAGATCCCCGTGACCTTCTACCTCCCTGATCTTCCACCCGACGACGAGGGCGGCTCTAAAGGTTTGTGGATCACCACCGCAAACAACTTTGTAGAGGAAGATAGCCTTAATGATCCCGCCTTCCTCGACAAGAACTTTGCGCTGCTTCTCATGAGCGATGAGAAAAAAATCATTGCGGAGCTCCAGGCCGACCCAGATGAGACGACAGCGGCAATGATCGAATTCGTCAGGCTCTCAAAGCCGACAATGTCGTAAGTGAAGATGGCTAATGCTGATTTTCTATATTTCAAATCTCAGTTTTATACGGACAGACCTATTCACACTTACATCAAACAGATTCTACCAGATCGGTCAAGGTACGGCCCTCTCTCCAGCTCAAGTGCGCAAATACGCACAACACTTCATCTTCTGGCGGCGGGCGATCGCAATCCCACCCTTACATGCGCGGGACATTTACATCCTATCGCCAAACAGCGACATGAGCCGGCTACCAAGAGCCAGCCAAACGTGGGCGCGCGTATTCCCCCTCGCACCCCCTCTCCCCGAGTTCCTCGCAGCTCTATCAGCCGCGCCGCGCTCCTATAAGTTGTTTGCGCCTAGCAAGAACCATCGCCCAACCTACCTATCCATGCTGGCCTGGCTCATGCGCGGCGGTTGGGTTACCCAGCTGTGCACATTCGCGTACGTCGTCGTTTGGCCCGAGATCCTGTATGAAGTTGACTACGAGATTGAAGCCGAGGAACTTCTCCAAGAAGCCCGCTCCGTCGCAACCGACATTTCCGCCGAGTCCTCTTCTCACGCATCATCTTCACCCCCTAACTCCTCACCCGACGACGCACACTCCCCGTCCCCCCCTCTCTCAACATCCGCCGACGACCACGTAGGCAACATCAGCCCGACAGCGGTGTCGTCGCCACCACCACCAGGCATCTTGTCAATGACATCCTCCACCGCGACAATCAGATCACCAATAATGACTACGACTGGCGAACAAGCCGCCGAGCAAGCCCGCCTCGATCGCCTAGCCACCCGCGCACACCTCGCCGCCGCCGAAAAAGCTGCTGCTCACGCCCGCCGTCCCCCGCCCCGACAGACTGACCACCCGTCTACTAACGACGCCTCGTACCTCGCGCATCTAACCCCGTATATTATCGCCGACGCCGGCCGTGTCGGCGACCGGGATTCCCGGTACTTACTTGCCATTGCCCGGAGATTGCCGGAGAGGATCACACATTCTACTACTACCAGCAGTGGTCACAAAGGAAAAGAGGGGATAGGGGCAGGGGCAGGGTCGTCAAGTCTAAATCCTCGCGCCAAGTGGCCCGATTTCTGGAAATATTTCAACGGCCGCTACGCCCTGGAGCGTGTCGCCCTGCACGAGGACCTGAAGCGCCGCGACGCGTGGAACTTGCTTAATTCTATGAGCGAATATCTGTTGTGCGTGAGACATTGGTAGTGTTATCTATAGAACTATCTAAGCACCTAACCTACCTGCCTGCCTACCTACCAACGTACATGTAGTGTAATATATGTAGATAGCGTATAGGGTGTCAGTAGGAACTTTACATAATATCTCGGACGAAAGGGGACGGGGACGTCGTACGGCAGACCGAAGAAAATAAAAGCCGGGTTGCTACCTCGGGTCCTACCTACATAATTGCCAGGGATAAGACATTTTAGGGATGAGACATGTTAGGGCTGCCGGCTTGGATAGCATTCCAAATAACATATAGAGATTCACCAATACAAGTTGAAAAGTTCACATCAAAGCAAATACATGGACGTCATTGTGCAAGTAAACGTATTGGAATATTAGGATAGCCCGGGATATGTTAGCGGCGTATATATGGACCTTTCAGCCTTCCGAATGTCTTCTCTCTCTCTCCAAATCGGGTTCCCATTTCGGGGGTCAACGAATACACAAGTTAAACGATACCGAGACCACGCCCTTGGGCGGGTTGCAACGGCTTACATGTGGGAACCTAAAGAAGAAAAAATAAAGTTGAACTCCCCGATCAGCAATGTGACGATGCAAATGCGAAAAAAAAATAAGAAAATAAGGAACGCAATATCGGAAATATGGTCCCTCCCTCCCCCAACTCCGCAGCCCTCGAGGTATCATTTAAGAAAAATCAGACCCAGCCCGCAGATGAATGATGCCCGGGGGACATAGAAAAAAGAGACAAGATGATGTGAAACGACATGGGAAAATGTGTAAGAAACAAGCGAAAGAGCCCTCCATTGTTCCGGATGTCTCGGACACAACCCCCATGAAAATGATAGACCACCCCTGGCCGCTCCGAGCCGGTTTCCCACCGTCTCGTGGAGTATGTAAGATAGAACGCCAGTCCATTCCACCCAAAACGGCCGCCATATGCAGTAGTGAATCCTTTCCCTGACTAAAATGCCTGGAACGATGGAAAAAAATGCCTGAAGACCCGAACTCAAATGTGATGATGACGGCAATGATGCTCAATGACCAAACGAGTAAAAATCAAATGAGCAATCAAAGGCTTGGCTAACACCAGAAAATGCTGTGATGATGCGAGGGGTATGAAATGCCCAAAGATCACTAATCGTGTGAGAGATCCATCCCAAATTCATCCTCTTCCTTGAAGTTAATCGACGCGGGACCGCTGTCGTCATCATCCGGATCATTCCAGAACTGGCCGGCGTCACCCATATCCGCTGCAAGGTCTACGCCATTCCGGCCGTCAGGGCTCACAGAAGTGGCGGCGATCGCACTCTCTGACCCGTTCAAAGAGTCCCCTCTGTAGTCAGTGTGCTGAGGCACTCGTAGACCCGATCCAGCAAAGCGAGAGTATGAAAAGGTATGCGGACCATTCTTGGCCATTGCTTCCATCAACTCTGTTTGCATTCGCTTCTCGTCATCCGTGAGTCCAAGTGGAACATTACCACCGAGTTCTACGATGGTGTTGATAAGTTCTTCTTGTTGCTGAAGCTTAAGGTGCAACATCCACATCAAGTCTCTCGTCCAGCTGACCGCCCCGTTGAGAATATCCCCCTTGTTGGGGCCCTTGTCCTTCTCTTCGAGAGGAAGGCCGGTGGTAATGTTGCCCACCCCAGTGGCTCGCTTTGCGCCCGGACCGGCTAATCCCGAGGTGGCCTGCGCTGGGTGAGACATTCCGGTTAGGCTAGGAGATAATGGCGTGCCGTTTTGTATGAGTTTCCTGATTTTCTCGTCTTCTAATCGATGCGTTGGGACGAGCTTGCTTAGATCTTGGATTCGCTCGTTGATGTTGTCCCGGCGTCGTCGCTCAACAAGGTTATGTGATTCGCGGCGTCGCTTCCTCTTCATCTCTTGTGACGAAACTGCATTTGGTGGCGTATTTAATTTGGTAGGCATAGAAGTACCGCCCTTTAGTAGCACATCCGCAATCTGCGGGTTTTGCATACCGTGTTGCATAGGTGAGGAGAAACCTGATCCGGGGAAGGAAGAAAGGCTGTTGGGAGTGTGCATCCATTGGCCCGAAGGTGACTTCTCGTGATGGCCGTTAGTAGTTCGAATTGGCTGGGCACCGAATCCTGATTGTTCCCGAGAGTTCACGGATAAGGTGGACATGGCAGCAGTCTTAGGTGTAAGCGGGCTTCGGGTACTCGATGGTTTGCGCTGCATGTTAGAGAGCTGAGGGCGGGACTTGGCGTTTAGGTAACTGGGATCACCACCTTCGTTGTTCGGATCGGAACCGGCCAAGGGAGAGCCAGAATAGGATATGGGCGATTGAAGGGAGTTTCCAAATGGTTGTTGATGTTGCTGCTGCATCTGATGGAATTGCGCCTGGTTAAAACTATGGACGAATGGACTCTGGATTGGGTCCCCATCCGGCGTATTGGAATAACCGTTCATATGGTTTTGCTCCATGGGTATGCCGTGGCTTCCTTGATGTGATGGATATATGCCATGCGAAAAGCCCATGTTCATCTCGTTCATGCCACCGAAATCCTGGCCTTGGTTGTGCATGCCGGGCTGGTTGGACATAGGATCCGTCGGGCTACCGAGGGTGTCGAGCAATTCGTCATCGCCGAAGAAATTGGAGGAATTGTTATTTCCATTGAAATTGTTCGAGTATGAGGCTGCGTATGTTCCGGACATTGCCAGGTCGTTCGGGTCGACACTGCTGCTGGCACCGCCAGCGTTCTGGCCGCCACCAAACTGGTTGAAGGCGTGTTGTGCCATTGCGTCCGGCGTCGGGTTGGACAGATATCAAAAAGGTTAAGGAAGAAAATAACGACAATAGCAATAATAGTGTGTAGTTGGTCAGTTATGTATAGCCCTTCAAGCTATTGTCGGACTATAGCAGTGGCAGTAAATATGAGGCTGTTGTACCCTGTCGAGTATGGTCGGCAATTGGGAGTCTGGTATAATTATTCTGTCGAGGACAGAGTCAGCCCCGCATCTACATATAGTTGGCGAGTGGGTATGGAAGGAAGAAGGAAGTGAAGAGTAGTGGGAGTAGTGGGATGTGTGTGGGGCAAAGGAAGCATCAAGGTACACCATGGGTTGATACACTTGATACACCGAGGAGACTCAGCTCACTGGATGTACCTAACTAATATTAATAGAAGGCAGCCGCCAATGTTGTAGGGCGTTTATGTAACAAGGATACAAAAGGAAATATCTTATCTACCTCGGGTAAAAGATGCACGAAGTCGTGTAAGCGTCTTTCTTAACGTTGGCCACAGATTACGTAGCCATGCAGGATAAATAACAGACAACGTTGCGCGAATGTGTCGCCTAGATAAAATATCTTGTGGGATCCGAGCTATATAGATGGGGGGTGCGGGTGCGGGACGTAAAATGGCGTTGAGGTATATCTATTGCATCTCTAATTAGAATGAACTAAGTCAAGTTGAATTAGGAAAAAATGCGCATAGATTCTTCTTTTTTCTTTTCGCATTCCTTTTTTTGCTGCTTTTGTCCCTTGTCCTGTTGAGTCGGACGCGAGTTGTCCGAGGTGCGGAGAGGAATGAATGAATAAGTAGAGATATACGTACAGGTTAATGAATGCGCATGGCCAACAATGGACGTTGGTGTAGTTTATTGGTCGGCTTGAGTAAGCGCTTTACTGTGTGGGAAAAGAAAAAGGAAGAGGGAAAAAAAAGAAGTAAAGTTTGGCTTCCTCGGGGATAGGTGGTGAAGAGATATTTTGCGCCTCGTCGGATTTGAAAGGCGGTATCGCTATAATCCCTACACCAGTAAGATGTGAAAGACGACCGAGGCAATGCCGGTAAACCTCGATGACGGCGATTCTGACCTCAGAAGAGTGATGAACTGCAGGGTACGGAAGGTAACACCTAAGTAGCGTACGAAGAGGTTAAAAATGACGAGACTTGTCAGACCGTAAGCACGGAGGTGACGCCGGGATTAGTCGGCTCTTATTAAGTATGACTAGTTGCACGAGAGGTGATAAATCGTATATCAGATCAAAATACTAGTCCGAAGCGCAAAGCAACTGACTAGCAGATCGTATAGATCAAAGAATAGGTAGAGGGAAACTCGGTTGGATGTGTGCGAAAGGTAGGGGTTGGGAATGTCCCTCCTATATGTGTAAGAGGAAGAGGACCCTAGGATTCTTAGGAATCGAGGCGGTAAAGGCCGAAGGTACAAACGTGTGTGTGTTCAAGTCCTTGAACTAGAGGGAAGATGTAGGTAGCCTAGCCTGGGTTGGGTGAACTCGGTTGGCGAGAATAGTAAGGTTATTGGTTTATTTAGTAGCAAAGAGCTCGTTGGTAGGGCAATTCCTGTCAGCTCTCTCTCCCGTCTACATATGTACTTCCAGACGAAGCGGGCGTAGCTAGTAGCTGATAACTGATAGCTGTGGGCGAAGCTTCGAGCCGAAAAGCGCCGGGGTTAAAGTCCTATACGAGGAGGAACTACCAAGAGGTGCTGATAGGTTCGACTAGACGAGGGTGGCCGCACAGAATTGTTTGTAGTACAGATGGATTTAATAGATCGTGGACCTACAAATCCAGTTGCCTAACTTATGATTGGGAAAATGCGAGCTAGAAGGAATCGCACGGTGAGTTTTGGAACTTGCAGGAGGCGGTCTCGAGTAAGAACGAGTTGTAAGTAGCTGCTCGATCTGATATTGGACAAGGTGGGAAAGAACTTGGGATAGCGCAAGGTGAACAGGGTAATACAAGCCAATGCAAGTGCACCGTTTATGTGCCTTCCCTGTCACTCTCGGGCAATTGATTGGTTGCCTATAAAGGCTTAGAGACCCTTGAGCGGACACCTGGTAACTTTTGGGTAACTTTTAGGTGCGTACTTATGTAGGGGGTTGCGCAGTGGTGCTGCAACTTCCTAGGAAGTTGCTAGGGGGAGGGTGTAGGGTGTAAGATAGCTCTCGATGCTAGCGAGTGATAGTGCTAGACCCTAGCGTGTGCCCTTAACCAGTTATGTATGAAGGCACATGCAGCACTTAGTGACTCCGGCTTCCGATCGACTTATACTGAAGGACCCAAAAGACCCAAACTTAACCACTTTTCCCGAATGAGGGTCAGATGTCGTATGGTTGACGAGAGCAGCCGGCAGAGTGAGATCGTATCTTGTCGGAGCTTTTGTACCGTTCCAAGATATCCTTTAGATACTACCGACCAGATCTCCGGCCTTCCGCTTTGCCCTTGTTGCCGTACTGATCGTTCCGTATTATTGAGTGTATATTGCTGTGGTCCGGATGAAGGAGTTGAGATAGTCCAGTATAAACAGGCAATATCTTCCATGTAAACCAAACAGTGTCGGAATTTGTTGTGTATTTATCTAGCCAGGTTCCGCGGGGTGTCTGTCGAATCCCTGATCAGATCTCCTGCAAGGTCGATCGCGTTTATGCCGATGCCGTAATTTCGAATAGTCCTACTAGAGGAAGAGTCCAAAACAATAGCCTTAGGTCGTCCAAATTTCGTTGCTTGCTTGCTTTCTGTTTCTATTATCCTCTCGATAGTTGATAGAGTGTTGTTTCTTCGATAGATGTCTTTCAGCTTATATCCGGGAGTAATCCACTGTATATAATATTCTCAATATCCTCTGTTGGTAGGAAGGCGTTCCATAAATTAGGCGTATCAGTCCTGTTGATTAACTACAATCGTTGAGATGACAGAAACATTCGTTCATTGGGTTATGGACGTGGGGTGCATAGCTTTTATATTCGAATGTCTATGTAAATGTTTATGTACGTCTAAAAATACCCCCCGGTGAGATGACAAACCCCCCAAACCACATCTCATTCTACCTCATTTTATTCAAACAGGTATTCATGCGTCTTATGACTTGGTATAACTTGGAATCGCCCCGTTTGAATTAATAATGGTGTGTAGGAGGGCAGCGGGAAGGAGGTGTCTCTCCCAACTCTCACCGGACTCATACGAAGTTACCTCACTATGTACATCTTAAACCGCGAACCGCGCAACTAAGCTTTATCTTATCGTCAGAATACTATAATGAAGAGGGACCCCTGTCCGCGAAAGACAAAAGGGGAAGGGTGGGCGGCACTTAGACTCGTGACCCGGCCGAAGTCAGCCAACCCACCCACCTAGGTGAGACACGGTGCCCTCCTTATTTTGGCCTAAGGATAGAACGAGGATCTATCGGAAAGTGTGGTCGAAGACATGGGATTTTAGGAAATATGGACGACAGAAACCTTAGAAATTGTCAGCATGATCCTTATTGTGAGTCATAGTCATTGAGGCCATGCCCTGAATTAGTTAGTAGGCTGACTGAAGACTGCGAGATCTGGCTCTTTGCGTAAGGCACCCGCTTTGGAAACTCGTTTAGGAACTCGCGTTCGAGTGTCTTTCTATTTTACAACTAGGTAGTTACATGTAATCTACATGTAATCAGTGATGGCGGGGTGCAGCATTTGCGCAAACGGTACTTTCTAAGCTTAGTTAGGTAGTCTATTACCAGTTTCCCGCGCAGGGGTAGTCATGCGAGCCGCGTGGTGTGTAGACGGATCCATACCTGTTTATAACAGGATGAATGAATAACTACCTAACTACCTACATACCTAGAAAAACCTAGGTAGCTTTGAAACATTTAATTTTATAGAGTCCTGCGCGGCAGCAGCGTTTCTATAATATCTTCATGTTAATACGAAGATATGAGGTCATAGCGGTTGGTAGGATAGAGTCTCTTTGCATACAACGTAGTATGATCTGTTGACGATGGAGGGGTAGATCTTGGAACATACATGCTCTATAGAATGGCAGCAGGTTGATGTGAACGGAAGCTATGGTGAGTGGAGTATAGAAGTAAGTCTTGGCCTCTGCCGGCCGACGACCGCTCCGATGTAACTTAAGGCTGCAGGTTCCCAAATGTCGCCGGCCTCTTCCCCATGGCGATCCGCGGCTTCTGCATCGGTGCATCCCCAGCATTAACAGTGGGAGCCAATCATTTTCGTAGCGCATCCAGCACCGTGGGCAGTTGTTAATAAAGTTTGGATAGCGTCCGTTCGGCACGGTGCGTGATTGGCAATCTTAGCTGGCTAACAATAACGGGACCTAGCTGATGCTTCAAATGGACCGGTAAGGCTTGTCTTAAGAAACGTCGAACTCTGAAAACTTTAAAAACTTGGACAAAAATAAATAAATAAATTCGAGGATGTTAGTTATGTGAGACCTAAATCTATACTAGCAAATATTCCCCCTAGACTAATATTTTACAAACTGCGTAGCCGCGCTCTCCGCCGCTCTAAGAAGTTAACCAATCTTGCAACCATCAGGAGAGGTAACTATATCCCAAGTTTAGATGACTGAAGTGCTTTCTACCAATAGGATGCGTCGCTTCCGACACACCTTAATGATAAGAAAGGTAGGTAGATTTCTATGTATGTTTATGTATATAGATATATAGATATGGTATCTATATGCAAGCAAGTAATCGTCGAATCTACGCAACCACTAGAACCTGCGTGTAAATTGCATTACATCAACATCGTACTATGTCGACAACTTGGAATATCTGCCTGATAGGGGGGCATTGCATACATCCACCTGCGGAGTAGACGGATGCTTAGATTTACGAAGGGTGGGAAGCAGATTAGCGAGTTGCGTTAACAAACCACGTACCTAAACTCGCCAATATCTAGGCTACAAGATATATTCGCAAATTACGTGTTTATGCTCACTCTCTAAAAACGAAATTAGAAATTCTTATAGTATAACGACCAGGATAATCTTCTAAAAGATGCCTGAGTATAGCAACACCTTCACTTGTATAAAACCAAGAAATAATTTATACTAAACATCTACCTTGTACCGGGTATGCAAGCGTGCAGTACCTAGGTAGTATGGTATCTTGAGACAAGGTATACCTAAGGTATAAGTAGGACAAGGTTGAGCGGGTCCCATTTTAGCGGGATCAATTTGAAGCCACATGCAGATTAGTGAACCAATGACGTACATCTGAATGTCATGCTAGCGGTCCCACTCGCACAGACCACCAACCGTATTTGTACTTGTGTGGCTCATGGCTCTGGCTAATGCATTTTACTTACGCACTTTGTACGCACTCTCCACCACACTTCATTTTTAGTGCTTCTTTAAACGCGACATCAATTAGACGCATCAACGCATCTACGCATCTACGCATCTCATCTCCCATCAACCCACAGCCTCCTCCCTTAGCACCATCCAGCTCCAACGCGAGAGGAGAGGGGTCATTTGACGCATAGTAACATCCACTACGAAGTAGCATCTCCCGCACGATCCGCCCCGTATATCTCCAAGCCATATCTAAAAACCATACGCACACCTACCGATACCGAAGTCGCCCTCCTTTGCGATCCCGGAACCCGATATTATCGAGCCGACTTGAATTCCAACGAGCGAGAGATATCATATACGATGGCGTCTGCATCCTTTAGGGAATCCATGAACTCTTTAGGGTGGTCGCGCCGTGAACCAGACCGAGAATTTACAGCGAATACGTCACAACGGTCCGGACTACTATCATCGATAAAGTCGTTGAACCCCTTTGGAGATCGCGGATATGTACAACTACCTACTACAGAAGGCGCTGGCGCCCCATTGCCGGCTAGCAACCGTCGCGAAGAGGAGGAAGGATGGTTCGTCCGTGAGTCGTCCTCGTTCTTGTTTTTAGTCCTATAATTTCCCCTGCAGCAGACCTTTAAGCGGACCTTTAATGGTTGACACCACGTGCGTCTTCCGCGCGGCGCGCATCTTGTCTTACCTTTGCACATGGACGTAACAACCCACCGTAGCTATTCCTCAAGACTAACTTGAAATCTCGATTCTTCTACCTAGTGAGCCGGTGGGACCGCTTGTTAATATTCGGTGCCTGTAACCTGGCTGCTTTCATCTGCTTTCTGCTCTGCTTCGTTCTGTGGCCGGTCTTCGTGACCAAGCCTAGCAAATTCGTCATTTTGTAAGGCCAAGACTCTCCTAGCTTCTCAGTTTCTACTACCCCTGCTATTTTGTCCTCGTGGTCAAAGATAGCACCCATAAGACTCTAGATAAGATGAAGATCTCTGCAAGCAGCCGCTGCTGCATATATATCAATCTTGCATAACGACACGGGTGATCAGCCTGGTAGATCCAACCTTCTTTCTACGACGTTTTCTGCGCCTTGTTCAGGTTTCGCGTAAACGATGTGCAACTCGAGGATAACATGCTAACAGTATCTTGTCTCCTAGATGGACCTTTGGCTCCATATTATTTCTCTGTTCCTTCGCAGCCATGATGGGCCCTATGGCGTACCTTCAACATCTAGCATCAGGAACGCGCTTGCCCTTCACGGCAGCCTACTTCGGATCCATTGCACTGACTATCTACTTCTCCATGGGTGTAAGTCATTGATCACTTACTCTAAGGCAAGATCGAGGCAGCTAATCTAGTACAGCTCCACAATGGTCTTCTTACTCTAATAGCTGCGGTCATCCAGATTGTATGCCTTCTCTGGTACCTTGTCAGTTACTTTCCGATGGGCTCAAGTGGTCTTCGACTAGCTACCAGCTTTGGGGCGCGGAGGGCGGCTACATGGATGACTGGCTAGATCCTATTTATTGTATATTATTAGGTTTCGCTTGTATTGCGATTAGAAGTTTATTGGTCCCAGTTACAGGTTACGATGATTGGAATTCATTTACCATGGAGAACAGTTACAAGACTAATAGAAGTGAAGGTAAAGCGTTAGCATTGTCTATATCTCACCGTGTTGATTTGCGCTTTGAAGTCTTAAACTCTATATTCGTAAGTGGCTAATTGTTGATATATGCCTACATATATACAAGGCAATGAATCAATTATTTTATTGGAGTATAAATAGTCCTAACTATAGGAAAACGTAATTTACTAACTTGCAAAGTCATAATCAACAAATCAGCCTAGAACGGTCTATGAAGCTTCATCTTGAGAGCTCGACCCAATGTAAACAGGCCGCATTATATTACTTACCTAATGCATTTATTATAGATGTTAAACTTGGAAATGTTTAAAGGGCGGCATGAATAAGGCCTAGCTGCTCATTTGGGACCACTGGTTGGGGTTGAGCGTGCCTTGGCCTTGGCCCTCGGAACCTGCATCCCGTTTTGCCTGGAGATAATCCATGCTTTTAGAAACTCCGATCTTAAAGCTCGTTCGCAAACACCTAGTTAGCATGAAATCAAAGAGCCGGGCAGGTAAAGAAAAAAAAAACTCATAGCGGCGGGAGACAAGTTTCAAGCCTCGAATAAAACACAAATAATACTCACTCGCAACAATATATAGTTGTCTAACTTATTACTCACATTCCATTAAGACAAATTCTAGGTAATGTATTACAAGCGACCAAAAAACCCCTCCAAGAAAACCTTCAAGGTGGTCGGAAGAAACGGAGCGAGTCCAGGGACGAGGTAAGTACATATACAATAAGATATATACAGTGGATGATCGAATGGAGAAAGCGGAGCAAGATGATGGCCGTTGTGGTTGGTCCTCAGTGTGACACAGGCAGACCAGGTAGCATGGAAATCAATGATGACTTTAAGAGATAGTTGCGGTACTACGTAGATATATATGGTAAGGGGATCTAGAATCCGACATAGACGTCGCGTAGCGATATCAAAAAGAGTTTACCGGAAGGTAAGAGTACAATTCACATGCTTTATTGTTCTAAAAATGGAATTTATATTTACGCGGGGCAGAATGAGGGATGGTTTGGTCAAAGTAGAAAGAAAAAGACAATCTAGTTATTTACCTAAATTAAAGATTTCATCAAACCCCCCACGCGGAGAAAGATAAATAATAAATGAGTCATTTAAGCATAGAAGACCCTAAACTCAAGATGATAGAAAGTTATCAAGTCCGCTCGCCCTACGAGGGATATATATATACATACCTACCTCATATACGGGACGGACGGAAGACATTAAAGAAGGGATCTGGTTGGCGTACCCCTCTTCAGCCTAACCAGAAGCTTCTTTATGTGGAATAATACGCATGTCTACTCAGACATACATGCCTTATTTGGGTAAGTATTGCGCATTTAGATACAAGTTTGAGAGATGGGAAACTAAAGGTATGGCCGATCCATTAGTTTTGTTTGTAGAAAGTCGTAAGCAAGTCGTGTACGATGAACTCGTCGCAATCCGGACAGGCACCTAAATATAATTTTAATTGAGTGTAACTTTACTTTGTAACACGCCTAGATAGAAAAGAAAAAAAAAGAAAAACGTATACTCTTAGGTAGTTAGTCATAGTGATGGTTATGGTCTGGTTGCAGGCTTGCTATGCGCAACCGTGCCCCTCACTTATAAGCCATGGCTGATTATCTTTTTTTTTTATGGTTCCGTGCGGCAAGGAATTACATAGACCTCTTCATTCGGATAAGCTACTACAGATAATTTATACGTCGAGTTTATCATCTGATTATGTAGACCGGTCAAGTTGTCACTGTATATGTAAACATGTATATTATGTATAGGTATACCTATACAAATGCGACGCAGCACAAGACAGCACATCTGTATTCCCACAGTCTTGATTGTGCTCGTCTTCGACTTCATCTTCATCTTCGAAGTCTGAAGATTCTTACACCATCACCCACCTCGTAATGGGTCCGCCGCGAATTACATATGTATGCAGTCTATGTACGCGCCCACGAATTATCTTTAATAATGTGGGCTATTTAGTGCCTCTAAGCGTCATGCTTTATCTCTTAGTTTAAAATTCACTTACAGGTATTATCTCAGGTATTACCCCCAAAGCTACGTCAAACTTAGGAGATGCCATGTTCGTGCCGAGCAACAGCCGTGGAATAATACCTGGTATGTAACCTTGTTTCCGCCTAGACCTCTAGGTTACCTTAGGTAACTACGTAGGTACCTAAGGTTAGGTGCTTACCTTACCACATGTATTGGATTAGGTATCTGACCTCAAGTCGTAACTACCTCCTTAATAGGTAGGTACCTATGTACCTACATAATATTTGCATTGCTACGCGTCAGGCACCTGCCATACATTGCCCTTAGCTTCCAGAGGTGGAAGTTCAAGTAATATCATTGCGGTTATTATAATAGACGGAAATAGGTTAAAAATGAGTAAGAAAATAAGGTACCCAGGTCCCAAAGAGGTAATACAATGTACATAAAAGCGAACGTGCAAAAAGGTTAAATAAATTTACAGTAGGTACTGTATGTACCTAACATACTAAATGTGGAGGGTTGTCCCTGTACGGAGCAAGCACCATCCATCAGTAGCTGCGAGTTTCCAACTAAATGACCAAGGCGTACCTTTTTGTAGGTAACAAAGTTCAAAATTCAACCCGTACAACCACCGGCTACCCGATCTTAGCTAGAATTTTTTTTTTCCTTAGGTCGTTTAGCAAGGGACCAGAAGAAGAGGGAAAAAAAAATTATTTTTTTCCATTGCACACAAAATAAACCCATTTACACACACCCGTACTCTTACAACATTGCAAACACACACTTCCTCATTTATTACCCTGCAATTTGTTAAAACCCTACTTCTCAACCCTGCATACAAGTTACTCTTAAGAAAAGGAAGACAATCCACGTCCAAGAAGCATCACAGGCTTCACTTCGCTTCCGCGAATCTGTAAACCCTGCTTCTACCAGGTACTTTACGCTTTGTCTTCCTTTACATTTACTTTTACTTCTACATTTATTCACTCTCTATCCCCTTCCATCATCACCAACTCAAGTACGTTTTACACCTGCCTACTCCTACTGGTACCACAACAAATCTGTCCCGCACCCTCACGTACGCAAACTGTGGGCAACCATTACGGTCCGAACCGCTTCTCTATTTCGCCCATCCAAGATCAACATCCAGTTACTAACACGAACTAGGACGAAATCCATGGGATTTCTAACTTAAGCAGGTTGAATTTGGTCAGGCCACATCGGGTTCGGTTCCTAAACTAAAATCCGCTGCAGCCCCAAGCACAGTCATCTCGGATAACTGTCACGTTTTCTCTCATTAATTTTTTTTCCCCTCTTCAAATCCTCCCAAACCTAAACGACACCACTTTGTTGGTCACCCACGTAACTAGTCAACGGTTATTTCAGAAGTTGCAGTTTCTTCTACCTGGCCCCAAAGCCCCCTTCCTCGAGATCACACATACTCACTTTTACTTATTCTTCTGTCCTCAGTCGAATTACACCTAGGAGGTTTGTTGATCGCACCCCGCATTCACTTTCGAAAATCGATAAACCAATTACCATTGGTCCATTTTTATAAGTAGAAGAAAAAAAATTCTTCTTGCCGGTACTCCATCCTCTCAGCCATCACCAGTTTCGCGAATATATTCGACGCGAAATTCTACTATTGGTGTGATAGATTTTTCGCATTACCAATTTTATATCTACTACCACGCTGATTGATCTATCTGTGAGCTTCAACTCGAGTTCCATTTACCCTTGGAAGCTTGATCAACCTGAATCTATACTTGTGGAGGGCCACCCTTGGTTGGTGAGGTGCTTCCAGGGCTGGTTGAGCGCCTGGCGTGTCGGTGGACGTGGGCAGATTATTTACCCCTCGTCTATTTAAGGTGCGCGACAGACCAGTAGCTTGTCGCTACCTTGTTGCATAACCAGATCAACTGCAGGACTTGCATACGAATATCATCAGTTCGAGTCGCAGCGCTATGTCCAGTTCGGGAACATTTTCATACGCTCAGGCCGCTAAAGGCCAACCTACTACAATGCAGTCTACTACTGCGTCCCAGTCGAGTTCGGAGAGTCAAGCGCTATCAACGACAAGCACACAAAGTCGCGATGTTGTCCCTACGCCTAGTACGCGGGCCCCATCCGTCGCAATCTCAACAACATCGAATGAATTAGATGGCTCGCAAAATACCAGGAGCTCCTCTGTCAAGGCCGAATCTGTTAGCTTAAATAGCGCCGATTCAGATATCGCCTCCACCAGCGATAAAGCAGCGGAGCTATCGAGTCTACCGAGCCAGGGCGAGAAGGTGTTAGGTGAGGTTGTACCCCAAAGCGCCGGGAGGCGAGGGCGTGGTCAGACCCTTACCTCGCAGACAACGGATAGTGGAGATGGTAAGAGAGGTCGAAAGGGCAAGAAGAGCAGAGCAACCGAAAAGGAGTCTAGTCAAGATCAGGACCAAGAGAAGAAGGAGAATCTACCTCCTAAGCCAGAGCTGTCTGAAGCACCGGTGCCGGCAGTTAACGTATGGACACAGAGGCAGGAAGCCAGAGCTGCAAAGATTAAGACCATCTCCCCCACAACTACACAACCGCGTAGTTCTAGCAGCGCGACAGCAAACCAACCTGACGGACTGTCCAATGCAACAACACAGGATCAAAAGCAGAAGTCACCCCAGAATGAGGGTGTCGAGGTAAACGCGGCCCACAGCAGGCCGTCGTCGGGTAACATGAAGCCTAAGAAGGAGTTCGATCAATTCCGAAGCAATGGCAATCAAACCACCCGTAGAGCGGCGCCAAGGGGCGCTAGGCTAAACAACGGCGAAGAAAGAGCCAGTCTTGAGACTCTAAGCCCGGCCGCAAATAACACTTCATCCTGGCCAACGCCTGAAACAGCAGCAAGCGGATTGAAGACTCAAGCTCAGACTGGAAAGTCCGAAAAAGAGCAGAAGGATGATTCTGCTCCGAGCAAGCCTCGGAGCAAGAAGGAGTGGCAACCCATAGAGTTCGTACCTAGTGTGTCATTCAACACGCCTATACCTTCGAGAGGCGGCTCGCGGGGCGGTCGTGGTGGTCTCAGAGGTGGACGGGATGCTGCGGCAAGGGGCAATCACGCTGCTACTGCCTCACTTGGTAATTTACCAGACTTCTCTACAGCTTGCCGACCCGCTAACTATTATCCAGATCGAACTCAGTACAATGGCACGGCTACGGGATCGGCCACGATTGCAGCATCAGCGTCCAAGCGTGCATCTATTGACATGTCCACGGCTCGCGACAGCCGAAAGCTGCAGGCACAAGCAGCCTCGGGGAAGACGTCGGGAGAATCACAATTCGTAAGTCAAGAACTTGTCTCAGCAAATCAGGTAAGTCATGCAATCATGAACTAATCTTGACTCTAGGTTGGCTCAAAGGCGGATGCGTCAAAGCAAAACTCGCCTGATCCTGCAATTAATGGAGCTGCGGGACAGCATGCTCCTGCACGTATCGCGAGCTCGAATCAGCGAGCTGATGAGACGCAAAAATCATCACCGCCCGTAAGAGATGGTGTTAAGGATTCCAGCTTCCAGAGCCAAAATCCTGTGAGCCGTAATGAGCGCATGAGAGGTGGCGCCCGCGGCCGTGGAGGTCATTCTGCCGTGAACGGAGCTGGCCATTCGCAATCTCAATTTAACCAGGGCTCCAACGGATACTACCCGAGTAATGGAAATGTACGACAACCCAGTCATCCGTACACTAACGGCTACGTGCAAATGCCATACGGGGGTGCATATCCAGCCCAGGCAACCGGAAGCCAACACCGTAGTCGGCCCAGCTCGGGAAGCAATCGCGCACAGCACGCTAGACACCCATCTTCGAGAGCCTCTTCTTACCCAGCAGTCGGCATGCCGTACGAACCCCCGGCGTATCCGCAAAGTAACGGTCCGTACGGTGGATATGGAGACCCTAGTCACCTATTAAGTGGAGTATTATCACAAGTTGAGTACTACTTCTCTATCGACAACCTCTGCAAGGATACATACCTTCGAAAGTGGATGGATTCTCAAGGATTTGTACCCCTGCCCATCATAGCTGCCTTCAAGCGAATGCAAGAGATAGCCGAGTATCCGATCATTCGCATAGCCTGTGACACTTCTCCCCTTATCGAGTTTGTCGTAACGGAAGACGGGCAAGACAAGGTACGACGCCGTGAGAACTGGGAGCAGTGGGTCCTAGAAATAGGAACGCGATTCCCACAAGCCCAAAATGACGGACCAACGAGTTACCGTCCCTTCAACAGCCAGTTGATGTATTGGCCCCAGATGAATTCATATGTGGGCGAAGCACCTCACATGTTCTCACCAACTAATGCAGATGCTCATTTCACACCTTACCTTTATGGAAATGGCGTGGCCTCCCCGACGAGCAACGGGATCAATGGCAATACTCATCCCTCGGATTCCCAGCTTTCTGCAGCAGTCCCAGAGTTCTCCCCAATCGGTAATCCCACCATGGGCATGACGAGCCAGGAAGGCGAAGCCGTGCCGGCGTTCTCTAGCAATGGTCTGGTGTCAAACAACGCCGACCGAAAGACTACGACTTTGCCTTTTGGTGAACAAGTCGGTTCGCTCCCTAATGGCTCTCACAGCTCCGGAAGGGAAGAGCAGGCTAGCATAAGCGACGAAACGATCACAAATGGTACCGGTGCCGGTCCTGAGCGCGAGGCGTAATAAGCTAGTCTTTTGGACTAACTATAAAGATGATCCATAAGGCTTAGATTCCTAAGCCATATTACGTTCCTAAAACAGGCGCCGACCTTACTAGATTCTAACGTTATGATGAGTCACCAAATGATGAAGTTTATGCGGCGCTTCGGCATCTCACGGGTCTTGTACAACGTTGCCAGCTTATAGACTGGTAAATCATGTTTCTTGACCTGGACCATTTGAATTTTTATTTTCCTTCTAGTTTCGGCTCCGGCTTATGGAGCTAAAACGGCAGCATTCTACGATTTCGGTGGAATTTCTTGGTGCGGTTAGTGGACGGATACCCATTTACCAATGATGATCGATTACTTTCAATGAAACCTCCTGGATACGTCTGAATAAGATGCGCTGTGAGTCCTACCAATTCATGGACTTATGGCCGATGGGACTTACCACGTTGGCGATTACGAACGATTAGTATGCAGCACATGATGGATGTCCAACTCCCAGGAAGCTCTTATACCTCCAAAATAAAAAGATTACGAAGCCATATATCTTTACGGCCTATTGATGTGGGTTATCACATAAACGAGAAGAGATTGATTCCACCTCGTTTATAGTTCGAGCCAACCATCTCGGTCACAGTAGACTCGGCATCGCAATTACTTTTTTCTCTTACGTTTGTTTACTACAAAGCAACCTACCCGCCACGAATAATAGTGGGCTTTGCATCGGGGGATTACCACTACGAGCCTGTCCTCTTGGTGGCACAGAATACGGACTCTACTAAGAACCAGATCTAGGTGGTGATTGTGATCAATGCGATTCTTTTAGTCCTTCCTTCGGTTACTCGTCTCTGCGGATTCGTTTACCCTTAGACACCTCTGCGCTCCAGAGGTTAGCATCTCACTGCTAGACAAAAGTATTAAGCACTGAATTTTTTTTTTCTTTCTTCTTTTTCTCGCAATTGCATTCGCGGCGTGGATTGTTCGCATAAGGGGAAGGCCTCACGGAAAGGGGAATTTTTGCAAATAGACTTCGACGTCATAAAAGGAGAAACAAAAAGGTCTTTCTCTCTTGTTATGGAGTTTATATTATGTATGAGTAGGAAAGTACAAAACAAAAACAGAACGCAACGGAACTTTGAGATATCTGAGTGCTGCATCTAGGTGCTCGGAAACATCTTCGTCCCGCGTCAATTTCATCGCCTATCGCCATTTATATCGTTCCCTCGTCCTATTTCGTCATCGCTACTTTAAAAAATATACCTAGAGAACTACGATGAAGTGAAGATAAGCTTTACCCTGAAGGAACTATACTAATCCTCAGGAACCTCGACTCTGTGAGCACAGTACCTTATATTCTGATTTCTTTGTTTCTTGCGGATAGCTGGTGTGTGCCTATTTCTATCTATTGATGCGGATTGACGACAAACACCGCCTTATCACCACTACTTTGTGGTTTATTGTTCGGGAATACCAACCATGTATATATTGCACTACGCGCGTACATACTAAATAGGATTATTATATACGCCTATTTACCTGTTCTCTGCCCCCCCGGTAAATAAGGCTATTTGTTATTCACTATAATTAGAATATTTGAAACATGGTAGCGGAACCTTATCAATAACTGGGACGTCATGAAAAATTAAACCGCGTTGATGTTTTAGACATGTTACAGGGCTGTCGTCTGGGCGCCGTTGAGGTTAAACTACGCTCGGGTTTGGTTGAGGCAGGTATACGTATTAATATAAAAAAAGATTTCCTACTACCCCTCGGACGGAGAATCTGTTCTGATGCCTCCCTTGTTGCCTAGCTTTCATCTACAATCTTCCAGACGTCTAATGTAACCGACAGCTGTCTCGTTTACTTTAGTTGCTACTTCAAGCTTTACTTACAAACTCAAACCTGGCGAGCACGACGATGTTTGATGTTTAATTCTAGGTAGAGAGCTTAGGTACTTAGTTGACGGAAATAGGTCAATGTGTATAGGTACTTGGAAGTATAAGTTCTTCGTGGGCTCTGGTGGTCATCCCTTGAAACCTGGTATAGACGTGATATGACCGGGCGGAAAGGAAGAGCATAATCGTGTTGTTGGCGGTGTCATGTCTTCGTAGACTATACACTATGGTTTATTGAGTTATCAGGTCGTAACTCCTGCCCCCCCTTTTTTTTTCCCTCACCCCCCAGCCATCTCCCCCAAGTACATCATATACACTAGATTTATTCATGCCAATACATGGAATAGATTGATAGGGTTAAGTAACTGGGTTCTTAGGTCTCGGTTCAGGGCAGAAGTCATTACGTCTATAACTAAGCGCAAGTGTCTGGTCTGATTATGAAACGAGACGATGGAAACAGGTACTTTATATAATTATCGTACTATCCTAGGATTGCTTCAACAATCATTTTTCATAGTGGCGTTTGAGCTCGTTAGTAGCTTACGCGAGTATATCCTATCGTATTTGTGGGCTCTCCCCATACACCTAATCATATACGCAGATTCCTAGGGGTTATTACTATGCGAAGATTCTAGTCAATGAGGATATGAAATTATAAGATGGTTATTCTAATCGGTTTACCATATAATTCCGTCCTTTGGTACCCCAAGACCGTAGCCTCCAAGACTTCATCGAGTGCTCTCCACGCAAGTGTAGTATTATCCCAATCAACACATAAAAGGGCATGAATAGCCGCAATTTAGACGATGACCGAATAGCCTAGCTTAGTACTGTTGGATATCAGAAATGAAGTCATCGAGACGAAGCTTTCTGGTCTTATGCATACGCAATATGCCTATGCTATAAATTACGACCTATCGCAAATTGTTTTAATGATGTGTTATAAAGTCATCTAATAAGATCAGACAGACTCCCATTACTCACTTTGAGATTTTTTAAAATTGCCAAAAACGAGGCTTCCTTCAATTTTGCCTCTAGCTAGTAACTATTATACTAAACATGGTCATAAACCTGTCCATATATTGTAACATTACTCCTATACCCCCCCCCCCCCGGTGGGACGAGCCGTTCGTAAAACCCTACAAACCCTTCAACACCCAATTACCTAAAACGGGTAACCCGTATTAATCGCCTCAGCCACCCGGCCCGAAATAATTACCAAAATTCCATTTTATCGTGTCTTATACATAGTCACAGGAAAGAAGCTATAAGACAATGATACCATGTGCATCTTACCAAAAAACCTATGTTGCGGACCGAATATCCTATACCGATCCAACTAACAACAATCCTAGGCCAGAAAAATAAAAACTCGATAGCATCCGGCCGCCTCACGCAATCGGACTTGTAAGAAAACAGCAAGTCATAAGTATCGGATTGCGGCGCTGCGACCGTTCAAAGAGAGGCTAATGCGTGGCTAAAGCCGGCAAAGTCAGGCCATATGTAGACGTCATGGGACGATCATGCCATGCAAGGTAATATGCACATGTTCTGTAAGCCCGGGGAACGTCGTAGCGGGGAAAACAAAGAGCCAAGCCAGTGGACAGTTACTACATAGTATAGTTATTCAGCAGAAGGAACTTCGTATCTGCTGTACACTGTTAGAAGGCGACAGCGACAACTGGAAATACATAAAAAGAGGACCATCGTAACACTTTTGTTAACGAGATTGCAACCGTTACAATTACTTCCCTTACTTACATCGGGACCTTACTCATACCAACTTATACCCACCAATTGGGTACTTACTAAGAGTTACTATCGTATCTAGCGAACGTTTCTCATAGGTTCCTGAATATTAATATTCAGTAAGAGAAGCATTGTACTACAGAATCCAGAAATACCTCCAGGGAAAAAAAGGGGTGGAGAAATTATGACCAAGGTTATCCTCTCCATTAACGCGGGGTCGAGCTCCGTCAAGATCTCCGTGTACACGGCTAAGCACCGCGAGCCCCCGAAGCAGCTTGCCGAAGCCCAGATTAGCGGGTTGACGGCACCACCGGCGCAACTCTCGTACTTGCGGGGCGATGTACAGGTTCTTGACCACCAAGAGGTAAAAGAGAATGTCGAAACCCAGGATGACGCTTTCAAAGTTTTGCTCGATACCTTCACCGGCGACCAGGAACTGCCCGAATTATCTTCTAAAGGCGACATATCGGTTGCTTGTCACCGAGTTGTCCACGGAGGCGACTACACAACTTCCAAGATTATCACGCAAGAGACTTACCACCACCTAGAGCTGCTAACAGATCTGGCACCGCTTCACAACGCCAACTCGCTTCGCATCATCAAATCATGTATGGACGAACTGCCCAGCGCCCTCAATGTCGCCTACTTCGACTCACAGTTCCACTCAACACTACCCGCGCACGTCTGCACCTATCCGATCGACCAGGAGATCGCTAAGAACAACCAGCTGCGCAAATACGGCTTCCATGGCATCAGCTACTCCTTCATCACTCACTCCGTCGCCAAGTACCTCGGCAAGGACCCGGCGGACCTCAACATCATCGCCCTGCACCTGGGTAGCGGCGCCAGCGCGTGCGCCATCAAGGGCGGCCGCAGCTGGGACACGAGCATGGGCTTAACGCCGCTGGCGGGGCTTCCGGGAGCGACGCGCAGCGGCAGCGTAGACCCGAGCCTGGTGTTCCACTACGCAAGCGACGTGGGTAAAATGTCGCCGTCATCGACTAAGGAGCTGCACATCTCGGTGGCCGAGGAAATTCTCAACAAGCAGAGCGGGTGGAAGGCCTTGACGGGCACCACCAATTTCGGCAAGATCGCGACCTCGGACCGGCCCGAGTGCCGACTGGCCTTTGACCTGTTCGCGGACCGCGTGAGCGCTTTTGTCGGCTCATATTACGTATCCCTAGCCGGCAAGGTAGACGCGCTGGTCTTCGCGGGCGGTATCGGTGAGAAGAGCGATAAGCTGCGCGCGGCCGTCGCAGGGCAGGCCGCGTGCCTTGGTTTCGGGATCGACCCTGTGCTCAACGCGGCCAAGATCTCAAATGTTGTGCAGGACGTAGGCGCTAAGAACGCCAGGCACCGGACTCTCGTGTGCCGCACAGACGAGCAGTACGAGATGGCAAGGGGGTGCGCCGACAACGACGAGCTGTGGTGAGACACGCGATAGCTAGCTATCTATTTTCATACACAGACATTACATGCATTGCATATTAGGGAGCCATACGAGGGATGAATTTGGGAATAATCTGGGGTAATGTAATATGGAAATAGCATGTCAACTTAGAGGGAAGGGGTATATCCATCCATAGAAATGATCGATGCATCTTTATGCCGTTTTCTTTCACCTTGCTATTGACCTGCGACGACTATAGCACGAAACACCCTGTACTCCATCCGGGCTCGCAATCCGAACCCGGGCGTGTTTTAGGGCCCGCCTATGTAGTCAGCGACCGGGGCCAGGGGGGAAAAGAACAAGGGTCGAAACGCGAGCGAGGCGAGGCGGGATGTGAAGCTATTCCCGCAAGAGCGACGAATAATTTGCTCAAAGCTCGGGATCACCGGCAAGTCCACTTCCAAGAAAAGAAAGAAAGAAAAAAATAATTCCCGCCTAAATAAAGAATAGACCCGATGATCGACAGGCACCGGGGGGGGTTGACAAGCGATGGACCCCCGCCTGTCAGCACCGATGATCATCGTTCGTAGCAGATCGTTGGGAAAAGTGACTTGTGACGAGACAGCAGGCGGTGGGGAGTTTCGGGTCTCTAGTGCAGTCCACAATAGGACGTACTGCGAGCAAGCGGACTAAAAACTAGAACTACCGCCTGTATGGGGGGTGTCATCTGGTGATTGGACCGGGAGACGTTCGAAGGAACTTTTTTTTGTTTTCAATGTGAAATATCCAAGGGCAGGCCAGGAATTGGACGGGAGGAGAGACTACCCTAAAAAAAAAGAATGGCTCGATGGGGAAAGAGGTAGGGTCTAGGGTAAGGGTCTGGGGGGGTATTTGGACGATGACGTACCGATGCAAGATGACGTCGATTTGGGGGGGGAGAAAAGGGGGGGAAAGGGTCCCCCGGGAGCGTAATAATAGTGCGCTTCCTTCCCACTTCCCAAGTTGCGGCCCCCCCCTTTCTCCCCCTTGCGGACGGCGCTACTCCGTAGCCTACGTACGGGACCGCTCATGCACTCAAACCAAACCAAACCGACCCTTCTTTCGCTTGCTCGCCTATCGTTTACTTCAACCACACGCGAGCTTTGGAGGTGGTTACTAAATTAGCTGGGATGCTTGACGCTACTGTATGTAATAGTCCCGTTCGAGGAACACCTCTTTACATACCTTCCATTCTACCTACCTACCTACCTTATACACCACTTCCACGGAACGGCTAAACGGTCACTTGCTCAACGGCCGCCCCGTCCAGATGGTACCGAAATATCGCTGCAACACTCTACCCTAACCCGCAAATCGGCCGGTAGCCCGGCGCACCACCCACGTACCCCTTTAATTTGTATGTATGTATGTAGGTATCACCCTCCCCGCCGATACGCATATTGTACCTGCTCGGCAAGGCAAAGGAGAAGAAGAAGAAGAAGATGATGATGATGATGATGTTGGATGGATGGATCATCAGGGTCCATGCCAAGATCAGGGACTGGTTGGTACATACTCCTCAACCGAGGCTAGGGCTCACTTTAGTTTAATTTTCTCTTGTTCTGTTTTGTTTGGTACGGTAGAACCCTGGAGATCATCCCGACCCTAATGTGTTGTCAGCGGAAAATAATGACGTTAATAACTTACTAGTCGTATCCCATAATGAGTAGAGTCCGGTCCGTTTGCCGGATCGGCGACAGGGACACTTGGTTATTACATACAAATTCATCACCGTAGCAGATCTCAAGACTAAAACACTTTCAAGTAGGCAATTCGTAACGAGTAAAGGAGATTTAAGTTTTATCATTAAATATTGCGTTTCATTTTCGTATGCCATCCGCCCCTACTCTGATCCGGGCGGACGTTGGTATCTAATGCCTAACTCCAACGTCATTTATATATAGTAGACAAAATGCCGCCCGACGAAGTATGTGGACCCTTTACGGCGGGTCTCCGGCGCATTTCCGTGTGCGCCTGCTAATTAGCTCCCATGTGTAATATGCAAGAGCACACGTATTCGCCCTCGCTAATGTTTATACAACTGCTCCATCATCCTTTTCCAATCAAGTAAAAAAACCGGGGGCGACAAGCCAATTGGCCCGGGTTATCGTGTTGTGAGCAGAGAAAAGCGTGAGAAGCACTCCATGCTGCTCGAATGCTTTTCCCAGCCGTCTGTCAAAGATGCAAAGTAAAAAAGGTGCGCCCATCGTATGCGTGCCACCGTGGTATCAATAATGCCGTCGTGAACTGTTTCCAAATATACCTAAACGCCGTATTATATCGTATCTCCCACCATACCGGTCCCTGTCTTACACAGATAGGGACAAAACAATCCCATTACCCTTTCATTACTAGATGTTGGTCTTAAGTCGGTTTGTAAAAATAAGAAAGTTTGTGTTGGAGATGTCTTAAGCACCCTCTTGGCAAGCGATTGCTGCCAGTGCGTCCAGTCCGCTACTGGTTCTGGCTGCGCCGGGCCGGCCTATAAGTGGGAGGTTGAGACCACGCATATCCCAAGCCCCACCGGGGGAAGGAAGTGAAGCATCGGGACCGTATTGGTCCGAATCCCACATTTGAATTTCGTGAGACGGCGCGCTGCTGTGAGAGCATGATGATTTAGAAGACACCGAGCCACGCTTGGAGGATGAAGATAGGGATGTACTCTTAGACTTGGAAGACCCAGAAGATCTTGACTTGTCCTTAAAGTGGGTTTCAAGGTGCTGCTTCATGTTATCTGCGCGGGTGAACTTCTTGTGGCAGCCAGGGTATGTGCACTGAACGGCCTTCTCGGCAGTGTGGATCTTAGAATGGCGCGAGGCGTGTCCCGAAGTAGTGAAAGTCTTCTCACAACCGTGACTATCACGATACCGGCAGGGATATCGCTTGCCGGCCTTCTCGGGTGCAGCTGAGCTAGCAGAGCTATCATCTTCGTATGAATTGGAACGACTAGTCGCAACATAGACAGGGCGTTTCATGCCGACTTGCTGGTCAGGAAGGTAGTCATCGTAGAGCTGTCGTGACGAATAGTCGTATAGACTAGGTGTTAGCGGCGAGTAGGCATCGTAACTGGCGTTGGAGTCGTATGAATCCGAACGGAGGAGTTCTGGTGTGTGGGGCGGCGGCGATTGGTCGCCGGTGGATTGATAGTGGATAGCCGTGTGGTATGACTGGTGGCTGGCGTATGGGTCATCGTTTAAAAGAGAGACCTGACGGCCGGTGGCGTCTCGGGCGTGCATTTTGTCCGTAGGTGTGGGGATAGGGCGCTGAAAGCGGGATAAAGATTCAATTGCAATTGACTGCTTGAACCGTGCTTGTGTTCAAGCGTTGCCTTGCGTCGTTCGGTCTTTTACTATGTAAATGTATGTAAAGCTCAAACCCTTGTAGTAGGGTAAGGCACAGCCGAGAAAATTGTAATGTGAGCAGACAAAAAAAGTCTTCAATGAATTGTGGTTAATCGAGCACACTCTGAACACATAGAAGGTTTCTTGCGGGTGGTAGCTAAAATTGACACGAGTCGAAAAGACGACGAGACGATTTGAGGTGGGGATGGTTTATAGTCTTTGAAGAGAGGTATGGTTCGGCAGGTTGTGTGTGTACGGTTAAGCTTAAGCTAGGTTGGACTGGTTTATTCTCTTCCGAAGTATAAAGGTGAAGACAATTGTGATGAATAGCTGCTAGACGGAAGTATGGTTGACTAGTGCTGTAGCTATTTTTGAGGGAGGTTTTCGAGAATAAAGGTTGGAAGGTGAGGCAAGATCAGAGGAGCTTTTTTCGTGCGAGATACGACGGGAAGTGAGTTGGTTAAAAAGAAACATGGGAAAGGCATGAATCCCATCGAGTTCCCAGCTTCCTCCACATTTCCAGCCAAAAAAGAAGAGACTAAAAGGTACAAGGAGTACCTTGGTACATTGCACAAAGATTACAGGGATCAGGGGTTCCGCTACATGCTAGCAAGTGGTTCCAAAAAAGCAGAAGGAAGCGGGGGGCGGTTGCAGACACATGGGACTGAGGCATTGTACCTGACCGAGTCTTGCGAGTATCACAAATGTACCCTTTGCGCATTGGCGTGCTACATATTAGATGTAGTGCCGAAGAACACAACCAAAAAAAAAAAGATCGTCGTCACCGCTTATTTCCTTACTTCGTTACTTACATGTACCTATTTAGTTACATTCATTTCTTCCCAGTCCCGTCTGCTACCTGCAGTACCGACCAGTACCGAGTTACATTGTAAGGCTCTGCTTGTTCAGATACCTACCTATGTTCAGATATTTACAGGTATCTTGCATGAAAAGCCATTTATCGCGATGGTAAGCCGTGATTCATCATTCTAGAAATATATGCGTATGCAGGTTGTCCTTATCCAAGACCGTTCCGAAGAATAATTTCTCGTATTACCTATTACTAACTACATATGTGCATTAGGTATGTACCTAGGCATGTATGAATATTACGCAGTTAGACTTATACGCAGAATAGAACTTTACCAGGACGCACCGCAACCTTGACGTGAGGCATTTGAGGAGATACTTTTTCCCTTGTTGCCGAATCCAACTTAATTTTCTTGGTCAAGAACGAAGATGAGCAGTAATATTTCTGCAAACGCTATTCTAGGCATTTTACATATCGTCGTTATGTCGTTGCGTCGTTGCGTCGTTGCTATGCAGGAAGATTTCTCGTTGATCCGTTCTAGGAAGTGAAGCTTCGACAAAGCCGATCTCGTGGAGTATGATACGTACCTCTTCCATGCAAGGATAGGTGAAGAAAGGTATTTGACGAATTGGACGCCACAGACGAGACGGGTACACTGCGGTGGCTCACCTTGCGTCGCGCTGCCAGGCTGCGTACAGATGATCAGCAGGCACGTCTAGATGTTGCATTGCTCGGGTCTTTGCTAGCATATTTCGCTTCACCTAGTGTCTATTTCAGGATGCCAGCACCACCAGACCGGTCACCCGGGTCCCTGATTTACATTCCAGTCTGAGAGCAACTCGTGCTCCCAGTCTCCATCCAACGCCCACACGCAAGGAGAAACAATGTCCCATAAGGCGGGCCTACGCTATCGTCAAGACCGTCTAATTTTGATGATGACGGTGACGTAGGAGGCTATCGAAGATACCTAAGCTGACCTAGCTCTTACAGTTTTCCACGTCCACCTCTTATATTACTATTTACTGACTATAGTATAGAAGGACATTTGGGTACATGCTTAAAGGGTCTTATGTTAAGTAGGAACAGGTAGTTAAGATATATTAGGAGCTGGTAGTGTTCGTCTGTTACTATACGTTCTGTACGTATAAACGCGGTATGGACTAAGGTAAGCTTATGATACTATTACTATGTTTGTGGGTACAATGAAAAAAAAATTTCGTTGTCTTTATTCTCACCTTACTACGCATGTAAAGAATGAGGCCCGTGACTTAACAGTTCTTTATCTCGTTCTTCGATGATATCTACTAACACACGATCTACTAGGCTAGGCATAATAATATACTTAAGATCCGGAGCAAATGATCCAGAGAGAATAATAATTAAACGGAAGCCGTCGCTATCCATCGACTTAGCCAGAGACGGTAAAGTTTCAGGGTTCTTAGAATACCAGGCTACCCTTGATGCATCAAGTTCTGATGCATGTAAGTTGTGGCATCGTCGACGCCCTCGACGCCTCAATTTCTTGGTTACATACTATATGTAAGTAGAAATATAGATCGAAGATTATTTGTCGAATCTGCCAAGACATATGGCGTCAAAGGGAGACAAGGGGGAAGCTCGGGGTACATGGAACAAGTAGAGAAGGTACATGTCGGAAACCTTGTACGACAGAGATCATCTAAACTATCTAAACTATCTAATCCATGGTGACAAGAATACATCTAGTTAAGTTACAATAAGTTACATGTGCTCCAACGAAGTCCACTAACCCTCGCATGCGTCTCCATCACGGATGACAACTGTAATATGCGGAATAAATAACTTTGAAAGAATAAGATACCATCGTTACTTACCATATAAATCATTGGATCATTTAGATTTTCATTTGAATGATTTTTGATAACGAGAGGAGCTCTAGAACTTTAACACCTGATAGGTAGAGTCGGAACATCTAAGGTTACTTTGAATACTTTGTCATCCGCTTTCCCTTCATGGCATTCTTCTTTTCCGTTGCTGTTTTTTTCAGAATTCGATGCTTTCCCTCGAGTCTCCACTCACACCCCACTCCCCTCCATCTCGATCCCTCCTACCCATCCACTCCATTCACTCCATCATTTTTTCTCTCGTGTGGACACAAAGCAAGATAGTGTACATTAGCCACATCTACCTTTTGGTCTCACAAGGCGCCAACTCGGCAAGTCTACCCATGCGACATATATTTGATGTGTTGCAGTCCGCTGACTTGTTATTAAGGGGTCCTGACGAGGAGGGAGTAATAAACCCTTAGCCCTTCTTTGCGCCGTATGCCGCATGCGGAGGAGATCAAGACCGGAGCATAATGACTTTTTATCATTTATTTATCGGGCTTCCGAATAGTATCCTGGACGTAGTAATGCCGGCAAGGAAATCGGAAGAAATGAGAGGAAAATAATGATGTCATGAATAAACGCCCCGGAGTCGAGGTAAGCACAGAGCGGGTCGATGCCAAATGGCGAAGGAGAGAGTGTCCGTGTGCGGTTGTTTCGATAGCCAGCAAATTCTAACGATGGGACCCGAGGAAATTTAAGAGCGATCTCGATTTTGGAGGGAGATCGGTCTCCGCCTGATGGAGGGCCGCAGAACTTTAGCAAGGGACTGAATGAAAGCGGATATTCAAGCCCCACATGGAACTTGAGCGGATGGGGGGGGGGGTTCTTTTTTTTCTCAATGTTCTATGCCCTGTCTGGGTCTGGTAGGCTTGCCCATGCTAATTATGGGGTTGCTATTACGGTCTCTCTCCCGTTGCCAAGTCCCTGAATATGATACCCTGAGAAATGGACACTACGCAGGTTACGGTACCTGGGTATTAAGGGATGAAAGCTACGTGCAACGTCCAAAGTTCCAAAGGAGGCTCAGCGTGGCTTGCTTCGCAGCTTCGGTACCCCGATAACATGGACATAGGTATGCATATTACCAGATCATACACATAGATCACGGCATTGTCCATTAAACCCTATATGGTACCTCACTGCAAGAAGCCTTGCAGGAGTAGGGGTTTAATACACTACGTACTAGCAAACTGGGCACCTATCCAACTCTTGGAACTGATCACAAAAGTCAGGGTTCATCGAGTATGCGCTAACTATGTTTGAGTCCTTCTTACACAACACAGCCTACCCCTCTCTACCCTCCCTATGTAGGTATGCATGTACTCGCTCAGTCGTTGACCTCGTCGAGTCTTGAGTGGTGAGTGGTGAATAGGTACCCATGTATATCAAAGGGAAGCGCATCGGCACGATTAGGACAAGGACGATGCGGATGATAATTAATAAGAGTACTACCTACCGGAATAGAATGAGTGGAATGGAAGACGGCCAGCAATTCCTTCAACCCGCCCTTGAAGCATGCCGGCCTGCAAGCGTAGCAACAAATCTTCTAGGGGTTGAGGGTTGAGTAAACTGGCTCCGCGCATCAGCAACACAGAGATCGAAACAATGTTGGGCAATCGTCGATTGCTAGCAAGATCGCCGGCGAGGTCCACATTACAGGAACACACCTTTTAAAATTCTTGGCACGAACTTCGTGTTTCTCATAGGGCCAACTTATCGTTTGACAGCCAGGGTCCCGGACACGCATACAGGGCATACAGGGCATACAGGGCATACATATTACATAGTACCTAATGTACATAGATTATATGTATGTAGGTACATACGTTGTGCTCCCCTGGATTTGTTAATTGTCCGTCGCGGGCCTCGAAATTCTCAAAGCTTCTGGCGGTCTAATAATACTACATTTTCATTAAACCAAGCCCTGTCAGCCTACATACTGAGCAGAGCCGGCTCATGTACATCTGCCTGTGGTACGATGGTGGTCCCTGGAATTCTGAATGCGGTTTGTTTTAATACCCTGTCCATGCGCGCCAACCAGAGTACAAGCCATTTTGGTTAGACGGAAACGGACAACTCTTATCAAGTCTATCTCATACATAGGATTTTCAGATCTTTGGATATACATACTCTTCCAACAAGTTTTATAATTACATAGGATGGAAGAATATTTGTGGAATATCTATAACTATGTTATTTGTACGTTCTCGAGTGTCGCCGAGACATAAGAGCGACATCGTTTAAAAGCGGTATATTATAGATTATCTATAAGCTTATCTAACGATAGCGCCGATAGTAGATTATCACAGTTTTTTGTTATTGTATATATTTATTATTCCGTATAACATTTTGAATCATTCGAAATTTCTATTTCCGGTAAACTTCACTTAATTAACTTTTGTACATCCGAACTACTATTCCATATTTGTGTCTACAAGAACATTGTATATTCTTATCTTTTCTTTTTCTATATCGTATCGATGACGGGTCTATTACTTACTTAGCTCTACCTATTCAATACATTCGTTCGCATCGAGGTACATAGTAAAAAAAAATATGGATATAGCGATTGTCACAATGACGCAAATGAAGCTTTGACTTCAAAAATTTAATGTTCACACGGGGCGCTCGTTTCGGAGCTTTAGGTCCAGTTAGTAGGGCGACCCGGCCGTGGCTTCCGAGGGGACATCGCTTCAACCTTCGATATACTTCCACGTCCGTGGATGCCTTGTTTCCGGCTCGGCATCTTGGTCGGTACCCGTCCCAAGAAACTTTCAAGGGCCTCGTAGGGCTTGGAAAAGGCTTGGAAGTTCGGGATTTCCTCGTGTTTATTCGGTTTACTCAATTTATTCAATTTACTCAGCTTATACAAAATTTTATCCATCTGCATCTATTTACATATTTGTTACTTAGCTGTTCTAACAAGGTCTGGACCCCGTCCCGGGATGAGATGTCAACTGTTTCGGGACGCAAAAGTCAGTTATTCTATTGGATGGATGGATGCCCGGATGGAACCCCGTACCCAGTAGCGCAAGCCCCAGGACCTTGACCCCTGCTGAGATAATGTGCAAAACTACTACAAAACTACTACATCTATAGGTGTGTGGTGTGTGTAGTTTAGGTCTAGATGGCATAAGAATGGCCCACACAAGCAAATGCCAACATCCGAGCATCAGTTCATGAGCTGATAAAGAGTCGTCAAAAATTCATGGCATGTTATAATGGCCTTTTGAATCCCTATTTGTCATTTGCATTGCTTACCATGCATATAGGCCGACCGAGCCGCAGCCCCCAAGAGCTCTTCCATAGACCCGACTTTACTTGCCGGTATGCGAATCTCGCGATAAGATCAAAGCAAACCGTAGATACATATAGTAGATTCAAATGGGCATTTGCATACTCATTACGCATGCACTATATCTGAGGATCTGGCCAGACCCCATTCTTCCTCTACTCGATACTACATACTTACATACGTAGGTATCTTATACGTATACGCAAACAAATATGCTAAAATATCGCCAACAAGGTGCATTTTAATCTGGGGCCGAGCTTAAAGATTATTCGGTACGAAACTTAGCATATTCACGCCATATGTACAGCTTAGGTAGATAACGCAGCAGACTAACCTAACTCATTACAGTAAATAAAACATACGTACCTCCATACCGAGGATAATGTAAGGATCCCGACGAGAAATATAGCGACAAGCAACGAGACCAATAGGAATCATGCCATCGATGATAGCTACTCTGTAAGGTAGGGCGTAAGCGCTGCCACGAGCCACAGGGGCAGAAGTTACCTTGATGGTTACGATAACATGTTTACGGTAACATACTACACTCGCACGAACATATGTAAACATGTGTATGCCATAGCTAGATATAGGATAGACCACTTTCTTATATAAAATGGCGAGACGCTCGCCTGAATATCGACCCAGACCGGTATAAAGCGGTATGCTATTCCGGGACACGCCGTTAAAAGTGTCGCTCGACCCGGGGCTCCGCGACCACGACAAGCCGAGACGACCACCGGCCGTTCGGTATATGCAACAAATAGGCTTACGCACGATCGTGGGCCCTTGGGGTTCTTGGGGTTCTTGGGGGTCCTTTCTACATACATACATACCTACATACATATCGACCCGGCCCCCAGGATACGTCTCGTGTTCGCTAGCGAAGGCACAGCCTTACGATTGACGATCTTTTTCAGCAAAGTTCTGGTATATTGATAGATAGTCGCTATTACGTGCGTTGTGAAATCGCACTAGGTATTCTAGTCTATGTCCGGAACCGAGATTCCGTAGGTTCCCCTAGTCAATACACACAGACGTAAAGATAAACACACGGACACACACCTACGTGGTGTATGTATAATACCTCTTTCTACATAGTTGGATACGTCCCCGCTATCCAAAAGCTGGGCATTTTCTATATCGATATTAGCCAACGCCAACGACAACGCCAACTGCACGAACCTGACTCGCAACCTCTATGGCGTACATACATATCTTATACATATTTCATACATATACATAGAACACGTATACATTGACATTGAAGACATATACGTAGATACTTACACTACAGATTTTGGTAGCCTGGGTATTGGCGTATTGGCGTATTGGCGTATTGGCGTATTGGCGTATTGGCGTATTGGCGCAGTACAACCGGTACCGAAGATACCCTCCACAATACATACATACATACCTACATACATAATACGCACAACAGGACAGACAAGGATGTGATTTTCCTCGTCCTCCTCACGTCTCCTCACATGTGCGTCCGTGTGGTACTCTGCTAAACTAAGGTACCAGTTTTTTATTTTATTTTACCCCGCGCTGTGGGCTGTGAGCTGTGAGCTGTTACCTCGCATGGCGATGCAGACCTTGTCTATACATACTACAGTAGAGAGATATGTCACCGTGATCAGTCATGACGAAATCCGGTTTTCAGCATTGTTGATCTTCAACTGATCGGCGCTCAGCAGTTCGACCCAACCTACGGGAGCAGATATATACCTACATACATAACCTATCTCATACGTATTGAACGGACGCATGTACATACTCTCCCGGCCGAGTCCCTGCAGATTTCCAAGTAGATAAATATGTAGGCAGGTAGAGAAGAAAAAGAAGAAAAAAGAAGAGACAGAAAAAAAATTTAACAAGAACATCAATGCTAGAATATCGTCGAAAATGTAACTATTCGGAACGTCTCTGTCCCCATTTCCCATCTCACCCCACCAATTGCACCGCAGCTACGACATAATCAACCGGCAAGGTATGATGGATGGCGCGGTGTGCAGTATCTATCTAGTAGTACCTTGGGTAGATGTGCGTAGTATATGTATGTATGTATATAAGTATGTACGAAGTAAACAAGAAATGGGCATTAATTATCCAGGGCATTCGCGCGGGATGCGAATGTTGGGAAATCGCCATGTCAGCCAGAATCCAGAAATCCGAATCAGAATCAGAAAAAATCCCATATCCGGGATCTGCGAGTTTCACCAGAATGCCATCTTTTTCTTTTCCCTTTTTCGCATTTTCCCCTTTTCCCGCTCCTCGCGTTCCCTCACACCCCCCTTAACACCTCCCCCTCCACAACACAAACACACACACACACACACACACATACACAAACACTACACTACTTTACGACCTCTCATCTCGCCCCTCGCCTTCACGTGCGACAACGGTCGTACGCCCATGCGAGTCTGAGTCTTATATATGCCATACATGTCTGAACTTGACTTCGATCTGACCTACCGGCAGTAGCAGTACCGAACTCGCTCTGCGTACGGCAACACGCGAATGCCATACCTACCTACATACATATACAATATACCTACTTATCTACGTAAGAGGCTGCAACACTACAGCGGACATTGAATCTGGGGGACCACGTATCGTGTAACCCACGCGCGCCGCGCCATCATACCTACCTACCTACCACCTCCTACCAACATATCATACCACGGCAGCTCCCTCGCTCCAGTCCAGTCCAGCCCAAGGACCTTTTTTTCCCGCCCGACGATCGAGATCTGTGCGAGCCTCCTCTTCTCCTTCTCCTCTTCCTCCTCCAAGGTCCCTGTTGTTCGAAATGTCGTGACACTTTCTTCCCTTCCTCCCTTCCCTTCCCCTAGACCGTGGCCGTTACGCGCGCCTGCGTCAAAACGTGGAGTATGTATGTTATGTACCTTAGGTACCTACCTAACCTAGAGGCAAAAAAAAAAAGGAAAAAGGAAATATAGAAAAAAGTCTCACTTCTTCCCTACCTACATGCATGCATATGCTATATGTAGGTAGGGACTAGGTCAGATAGATACTTTATAAAAGAAAGAAACATCTCGTAACGCCGCAGCGGCGAAGGCTATATCCCTTAGCTAAAGTCAATGTACGAGCGGCGACGGAGCCGGAGCCGGCTCCATGTCACATACATAGGCAAGCAGAACACGGTAGGGATAGAGTTGGACAAACGAGGCGCGGGCGGCGGGGGGATCCATTCAATTCATATTTCAGACGGCGCGCGGCCTTGGAGAATTAAGTTTAAGTTTGTAGAAAAACGAGTGCTGTAAGAAACGCACACATCGCATGACAAGAGTTAACTATCAGAACTAAGCCGATTTGGCTTCCTCTTCCGTAGTCTAGTAGCCGATAGCCCCCCTTCCAAGAACGCCGTAACCATGCGACCGACCCCATGCTGCGAAAAAAAAAAAAAAAAACCAACGAGTGGCCCCACCATTCCTCTTGACGCCATGCCTTACTTACTTTCTTACATTTGTCTGTCTGCGTACATATACTATACGTTGTACAAAACCCCCTTACTTCGCGCGATCCTATAGCAGTGCAGTACCTTGCTTGCTCTATTTCTTAGCGGGTACCGCCGGCGGGCCCATCTTACCAGCACCGGTATCGACTTTCTTATTGGGGTGTTCAGGGACCTTGAAGCTACCGTTGGCGCTACTAGCTGTCCCGCCTCCGGCCACTTGGGTAAAGGTACCGCCCTTAAACCAGCGGTCCTCCTCCGCCTTTCGCTTGCGATTAAGCTCAGCTTGAACCTTGGGGTCTACAAGCTCTAGTCCCTGAACTGGTGTGAATGCTAGAGATGAGGCTGTCCCTGCACCTCCGATAGTGGATCCTACCCCTGAAGTTCGTAGACCCTTACCACGAAGGTCAATGTTGCCTGATTGGCCAAATCCGCGCAATGATGAAGCTGAGCCGCCAATAGGCGTAGCTCCTCCCCAGCCTTTATGCTTTTGACTAAGCTTTGCTCGTGTCCGGTTATCAATCTGCACTCCACGAATTCGTCCATCGTTTGTCTGGCCGATCATTCCCATGCCCGTAGTAGAGTCTCCAATTCCGTAGTCCGTTTCTTTCTCTTCCTTGCCGAAAACCATGCGGTTTTGAGCTTTGCGAAGGTCAGTCATTGCAGTTGCCTCCTTGGCCTTACGGGCCCGTCGACCACCCCGTTTTCGGGAAGGTTTGTCATCCGGGGCCGGTAGCGCTCGTTGACCCTTGTTCGGTGGCGGTTCCGTTAGTTTGTCTAACCTCTCTAGACATTGGCCCCTGAGTTCTTCGCCATATGACCCATCAGGGGTTGAGTGACCGGTATCCGCCCGTGCAGCTAGGACGAGCTTCGCCGCCACCGCCTTCATAGCCTTCTTCTTTAGATCCGTTGGGATGCCACGGATGATTGGTGAATGGTACAAGTAACCTTGCTGTTTCACGCCCACATTAGTGGCGAATGCCGTATTCCCTGATCTTTTCGAGCCCCAAGCTGCAAGATTGCAGGCGGGCGCCCGGGAAAGATTAGTTAACCCCCCTGCCGTATTAATTAATTGCGCAGCAGTCAAGGATCCAACTAGGGCTGTGAGGTTAGGAGCAAATATATTCATTCGCGACTGGACGTAGTCTGTAAGTGTTTTCTTGGCCTTGTCCATCTTGATCATCATATGACAAGCTTTCAGAATGCGTTCAAGCTCCTCCTGACTTATTTCACGACCTTTCGTTGTAGTGGCTTCGACGGTGACAATCATCAGCGATGGTCCATCTAGAACTGACTTGAGCGATTCGCCCAGAGGATTGTCAGCTGAGCCTTGAAGCGCTCTGATGCTATCCGAATCCATAGGTCCATTTCCCAGAATGGCTACAACCTTAGCATACTCGATCGGGTTCTGAACAAGCGTTTCAAGTTCGGGGAATCGAGCGGAGTAATGATCTCTGATGAACTTATGGACCTTCATGATCTCGCCATCGATCTGAGTGGAGAGAGTGTTGGATTCAGTGAGGATCTTGTACTCGGGGTTGTCCTCAATGTTACCTATATTGATAGTGTGTAGCGTGAGAGGTTTCGATTGATAGTGTGCGATATCCTATAAGGTCGTAACCAGTCGGTCAGGTCTAGCTCAAGATAAGAGATGTAAACATTTCATCACTGTTCGTAGTGTGAAGTGAGGGAGTAGAGGGTAAACTAACCTTAAGCAGAGGGTCCAGTCTGTCCATAACAGTTGTAACCTTACGAATATCTTTAACTCCGCCTAGCTGCATCTTCTCGACCTTGGCCTTGGTGGCTTCTTCGTCTTCCGCGGGTTCGGCGGCGCTCACGCCACCCATTTCTTCGTCCTCATCGGGCTCTTCTTCATCGCCGTCTAGCACCATGTCGTTATCATCGTGGCTTGCCGGCGGACCAATAGCTGGCCCATCGAGGTCAAGTCCGGTGTCATTTTGCTCCTCCCCATTTTCGGACCCTGAGTCCTCAAAGTCCTGCAGCAATTCCTCCGCTAGAGTCGACATGGCGTCGAACGGTAATATATCGTCAGACGATCACGTAATTCGATGAGATAAATTATTAACTTAAAAGTAGATGGATATGTAGTTCATATGTTTATACGACAGGTGAGGAGAACCCCGGAAAATGTCGATGGTTCTTTGTGTATTGAAGGTGAACAAATTCCAATTGCGACAAGGCAAATCAAAAAAGATGTACTATGTAGAAATTGGTCGTAGCCTTCTTAATCGCGACTATAATTTAATGTGGGACCTTAAGCTTCATATCCAATCATAACTCGTCTTAAGTAAAGCCAACGGACGGTAAAACTAATTCTTCCGTGAATTTACCAGGATTGGGTCCACTTTAATAATTGAACTTGATCTCGTCGCGTTTTGTTATCTCTTAATCGAGACTCTTCTTAATCAGCCTCGCCAACCTCTTATAACATACAACTTGCCCTTGGCTCAAAACCAAACGCTTTGGTTGGCAAAGCCATACCACACTATACCTTCACAATCATCCTTCATTTTCACTCTTCACATATATCACCCTACCGATACTATTCACTAAAGTCAATATGGAGTCCTCACGCGGCCCTCCAAGGGTCAAGAACAAGGCCGCCGCGCCTATTCAAATCTCTGCCGAGCAGCTGCTCCGAGAAGCAGTAGACCGACAGGAGACGTCCCTACAAGCACCTACCCAGCGCTTTGGTGATCTAGAAGAGCTCCATGAGTTCCAGGGTCGGAAGCGAAGGGAGTTTGAGAGCTTCGTTCGCCGAAATACGATTAATATGAATAATTGGATGCGCTATGCTGCATGGGAACTTGAGCAGAAAGAGTTTAAGCGCGCGCGATCTATCTTCGAGAGAGCCCTCGATGTCGATCCGACGTCTGTCGTGTTATGGATTCGCTATATCGAGGCCGAGATGAAGAACAGGAATATCAATCATGCGAGAAACTTACTTGATCGTGCCATCACTATCCTACCTAGGATTGACAAATTATGGTACAAATATGTCTATATGGAAGAGATGTTGGGTAATATTCCTGGTACGAGACAGGTATTTGAGAGATGGATGGCCTGGGAGCCGGACGAGGCAGCATGGAGCGCGTACATTAAGCTCGAGAAACGTTACGGCGAATTCCAACGTGCCCGGGATATCTTCGAGCGCTTCACGATAGTACACCCGGAACCGCGTAACTGGATTAAATGGGCCAAATTCGAAGAAGAGTTTGGGACTAGTGATCTTGTTAGGGAGGTTTTCGGCGCTGCAGTCGAGGCCTTGGGCGACGAATTTGTTGATGAGAGGCTTTTTATTGCTTACGCCAGATTCGAGGCGAAGCTCAAGGAGTACGAGCGAGCTAGGGCCATTTACAAATACGCTCTAGACCGCCTCCCTCGCTCAAAGTCTATGGGTTTGCACAAGGCGTACACGACTTTCGAGAAGCAGTACGGTGACAGGGATGGCGTAGAGGACGTAATATTATCAAAGAGAAGGAGACACTACGAAGACCAAATCAAGGAGAATCCGAAGAACTACGATATATGGTTCGACTACGCTCGATTAGAAGAGACCTCAGGTGACCTGGATCGGGTGAGAGATGTATACGAGCGAGCTGTAGCCCAAATCCCGCCGACACAAGAAAAGAGGCATTGGCGCCGATACATTTACTTATGGATCTTTTACGCTATCTGGGAGGAGATGGAAGCCAAGGATGTTGATCGAGCGCGCCAGATTTATAAACTATGCCTCGACCTGATACCTCACAAGAAATTCACATTTGCTAAGGTCTGGTTGTTGAGGGCGCAGTTTGAAATTCGGCAGGGTGAGCTTACAACCGCACGAAAAACGCTAGGGCAAGCAATCGGGATGTGTCCGAAGGACAAGCTGTTTAAGGGTTATATCGAGTTGGAATTAAAGCTATTTGAGTTTGTGCGGTGTCGAACCCTTTACGAAAAGCACATCGAGTGGAATCCAGCCAACTGCCAGACGTGGATCAAATTTGCCGAGCTCGAAAGAGGATTGGACGACCTCGACAGGACAAGAGCTATTTTCGAGCTCGCTATTAACCAACCCGTGCTCGATATGCCGGAACTATTGTGGAAGGCATACATCGACTTCGAGGAAGAGGAAGGCGAGTACGACAAGACACGCGACCTGTACGAGAGACTTCTGGAGAAGACAGATCATGTCAAGGTCTGGATCAGCTATGCGCACTTCGAGATCAACATCCCAGAAGAAGACGAGGAAGAAACGGGCGAAGAGGAGGAGCGGCCTGTCAGCGAGGAGGCCAAGACCAGAGCCCGCAATGTGTTCGAGCGTGCTCACAAGCGCATGAAGGAGAAGGAGCTCAAGGAAGAGAGGGTTTCTCTCCTCAATGCTTGGCTATCGTTCGAGCGTACGCATGGATCGGCAGAGGACATCGAGAAAGTCCAGAAGCAGATGCCAAGGAGGACGAAGCGCAGGCGCAGACTGGAAGACGACACGTTCGAAGAGTATATCGACTACGTATTCCCCGCAGACGACGAACAGAAGCAAGATCTATCGAAGCTGCTTGCCATGGCTCAGGCTTGGAAGCAAGGGGGTGGTGCAGTCAGCTAATCGAGATGAGTGCGCGCATTATGTTCTTCGTGTATCAGATGGAAATACCATACAAATCGACGGTTCGATATAGTACATAATAGGCTTTTTTACATATTTAGAGCAAAAAAAAGCTAGTCTAATAGGACCTCCGCGAACTGGTCGAATATTAAATTACCAGTACGAAACCGAGCCTCATCTTGAGAAACCTCGTTCACGTCTATGTTCCTCTCTCCAACTTCTATAGAACCATAAATTGTATGTATTCTGAACGAGCCATGCCAAGAAGGCTGGTGGGGAGGATAGCTATGCGGCTCAGCTCCCTCCATGTTGCCAAGCTATCGACAGAGCTTGAAGGAACTACATCCTAGAGTCTCGAGACGCGTTTGTAGTTTACACAACTTTCTAGTTTCTCCCACCTAATAATCCCTCACTCCCGAATAGCACTATACAATCCGGAGCGATACAGACGTAACACAGGGCTGACTGGCTTGACTACCTCCATGCTACACCACCTGTCTGACAAGCTACTTGTACACGTGCGTAACCGAAGGGGATCGTTAGCTGCCAGAGGCGCATGACAGGGTCCTAGAATTGGGGAATCCGGCTCCCAAGTCTCCAACTCCAAGTTTACCCACTTCCTGCCTACGTACACTTTACTTACCCCAAGGAGCAGTCCTCCGCGCGCCCACGTTTTTTTGTCTGTTTCTGTTCTTTCGATCCGACTAACCACGGGGAGGAAGATGCAGGAAACAAATCAAATCGCATCGTGGGGGGTCCTAGGCGGGAGGCGGGAGGCGGTCAGCACGATGATGTCATGAGTTTTGCTGGCAAGGACGGGAGATATGAGGCACGTATGTACGCATGTACGCATGTATGTAGCGCCGTATACTTGTATTACTATACCAAGGTACATAGTGTGTAGAGGCATGTAAGCTCGTAGGTAAAAGAGAAAGAGAGGTTAGTTATTTTACTACATATGCTATGCTATGCTAGGTAGTAAACACTATCTCCGATCCGTACTGCTTCTCCCGATCTCAAGTTAGTATGTATGTTAGCATCTAATAACTAGAATAAAATAAACCACCAGTACCTAATATATCATACGAATGTCAAAGTATTCCAACACGGAGCAAATGTTCCTAGAATGTACCCCATTCCCACCGGTATACCTGAAAGAACCCGAGTGCCTGTGTATCTATTCCCGACATATGCAAACAAGGGAGCACGTATGCATGTGCGTATGTACGCCGATGTAAACAGGGGACTTTACTGCAATCATATGTGGCCCAAATACAGTCCTCATGACAAGTTATATTCTAGTTGCTTGATAGGCTATACTTGTGCCCAATGATCCCTCATCAGGTATCAGTACTATGTATGCAGAGTAAACGCATTATATACCTAAGAATGCAGATATAGCAATGTCAAAATAAACAAAAGCATAAAAGCCCTTAATTTTAATTTGTAATAGACTATAAACGAAAAAAAAGATATAAATGATAAATGTTTATTTTAAATAAAAAAAGGGAAAAAGACTTTCGTCACATCGTCCAATCGGAAATAGTCTCAAGGTCGTCATCGTCGTCATCAAACATGTGGTGATAGTATAATACCCCCGGAAATACCCAAAGATCTTGAAACCCTGCAGCTTCCCTCATCCCCCAATTTCCCCTCTTCCTCTCCATTTATACACACCGTCCCCCCGGGTACGTGTACCTATAGTAGTATCCTTAGATCCCGTCCGCGATTCCCAATCGAATCTTCTATCAAATCCCATCCACGCGTGCGTTAATCTGTACCACTTTTCCCTTCCCACTTGTCGGAACCGTTGTCATCTGGATCCTACCGAGTCCCGATAAAAAAAAACCTTGCAGATCCTGTTACTATCCCCGTGTGCATCCTCATTACGACCGTTGACTGGTTCCGAACCCCCAAATCGAATTTTGTGATGGCAGAGACGCAAATCCGTGGCATCCGGTTAGCGAGAGAACGTCCACTGGTGGACGCCCCTGTTCCGCGCTTGTGCTGCAAGAGGACTGGTGCTCCTTTAACGCCTGGACCCGTTTTCGGTAACGCAGGTAAGAATCAGGTAGCACAAGATACCCCTTGCTGCATTACAGCGGGATATATACATTAGTCGTCGCGATGGTGGTGGTGGCGGCGATGACGCCCATCTGTCACACATTAATCAGGATCAGCGAAGGTGCTCAGTTTATATATCATAGTAAAATTTCGCGTATCATTAGAGATTCAGAAGAGATAAAAGAAATTAATGTGACGAGCGAGATTTCGTTTTTATTTCAAAACAGCCGGGGTTAGTTCAGCAACGACGCGAGGCAAGCAGCTTTCTTCTTATTCCCAACGCCCTCTACACACCAATCTTGTATATTTTTCCCAAAATCATCAAGAGCAGTAAATCGTCAAGTCGTCAAAAGGTACAGTGCAGGTATTATGCTCTGCAAACCGTCATATGTAGTTGGCGCAGAAAGGAGTAGGGTCTATGCAGGTCAATGCATAGTGGTGGATAACCCTACCCTATCACCTCCTGTCGTATCCCTCCGGAGGTGCAGGTAAGGCAGAATAAGGGTTCCCGTCAGTGTAATGGGGGCCATCGTCATACCGATTCTCCCGCGGAGGAGCTGAAGAACGCCAATTGTCAGTCCTTGACCTGCTACTAGAGCTGGAATTTCCCTGCCTAATTCGCTCCAACCGCTTCTCATGACGCTTTTGCTTCTCTTCTTTCCATTCCCTAACTGCTTTGGCCTGTTCTCGTGCCTCCTTGAGCTCCGAGAGGGCGCCCTTGACGCCCAGTGCCGCGATGCCAACCGAGGCCGCATCTTGCAAAAGTGCCTTAGTTTTTAACTTCCTAGCCTCCTCCGGGCTCAGTTTACCTTCTTTAACTGCTCTGTGCCTTGCGTCGCGCTGCCCCATGCTACCATATACATTATTAGCAGCATGGATGGTGGCAACAGCTGCTAACCCCGTCGTAATGAGTTGCTTACGTCGCATCTTCGACGTCATCTTCTTATCTTCGTCTGAATCTCCAAGATCACTACTAGAAGCAGAACTGGACCTACCTCCTCGTGAACGGGACGAACTACGCGGTCGTCCGCTACCAATAGAACGTTCCTCCTCATCATAATCATCATAACCGTCGTTAGCAGGGCCTCGGCCTCCTCTCATATAGGCGCGAGACTTGTGATCATCATCATAGCGGTCATCTGACGGGCTTCTATGACGACTCCGGCGAGAAGACCGGTCGTCATAGTAGTCATCGTCGTCTTTGTCATCAGGGTCATTGCCTAGGCCAATTTTAGCTAGACTGCGTCGTGTCTTGTCGACGATACTGCGGCTGCGACTGCGGCGCTTCGGGGGCGAGCGGCTTCGGCTATCGTATGAGTCGATACTATCCCGACGAGGGCGAGACCGAGACCGACTCCGGCTACTGATAAGCTTTTTAGCGCCCAAAGCTCCCAAGCCTGCCGTAGCTAGCGCCGCAAGACCGGGTCCTCCACCACCCTCGGAACGTGCACGAGAGCGGGAGCGTGCATGAGAGCGGGACCTGCTCCGACCTGTCCTCCTATCTTCCTCAATGTCCTTTCTGGAGCCATTGAGCATTCGGTTACCAAGAAGGCCACCGATAACGGATTCCACAAGGTGGCGTTTGCTATCCTTGGAGGGATCATGAGCGGCATCGATAGTTGCTGCACCGGCAGCCGCGGTAAGAACTCGCTTCATCTTCTCTCCCTTCCATCCGCCAGGCTCCTTTGCAACACGGAAAGCCTCCGCAGCGCCTGCGACGAGCGATGCCTTGGCGGCCTTTTGCATTCTAGCCGCAGGAGTATCTTTTGAGCTCTTTGTGCTACCTCGCGAACGGTACGAGTCTGGGCTACCGCGGCGACTTCTTGAATCCCTCTCAGAACCGCCACCGGTCAAGGCTTTAATAGCTCCTCCCAGACCAGCTGCGGCCAGGGCGTTTTCAAGAAAAGACTTGTTGCCTTTTTGATGCCTGGAATCGTCATCGTCATCGTCGGAATAGTACTCGACAACTTTACCATCTCGTCCCTTGTGAACAATGTAGGTCGACTTTTTGTCATCTTTACCAGCATGTTTACTATAATAGTCCACTCCTTGGTAGCCGGCAAGTGCACCGGCAGCGCCGAGAGCAGCAGAGGCGGCTATGTTGCGATGAACTTCGGCGCCTTCCTTCTCTGCCTCATGGCGATCCCATAGCTCTTTAGCGCCGGCAGCGAGGAGACCACCGGCGACAGCGGCAATGATCTTTTCTTGCTTAGATAGAACGCGCTTGCGGGCTCTCTCCTCCTCCTCGTAATAAACACTAGCGGGCTTCTTACGAGAGTGGTGATCCCGTGCGCCGTCGTGGCGGCGGGAGTCGTAGTAGTAATCATCGTAACCAGGATCGGCGGATTTGGCTCTACGGATATCTCGGGAGTAACCTGGAGGAGGAAAGTCTCTACTAACTTCCTCGACAGAAAGCTGGTCACTATCTTCCCTCGTTCGAGGCACAAGTGCGGTGCGGCTCGTTGGATTTACTCTGTAGTATGTTTCCTGAGTCTCGGTGTACCGGGGACTTGCCCTCTCACGACGATCATCATGGTAAACCCGACGGGAATACTCGCGCGGGGGAGGGTCATAAGGGTCGTACGCGGACATTGTTGGCGCGTGTTAGTGAGTAATAAGTGTGATAAGTCTGTATAAGTGTGAGAGTATAAAATTGTTGGTTTTGTGTAGTTGGAAAACGGATCAAACTCTAAACTGATTCAAGTTGTCGAAGTTGGGAAGTTATGAGTAATGAACGGCAGAGCGGCAGAACAGTAGCACAATAATTCACAGCGGCGGGGGGAAGGGGGGCAAGGGCGAGTATTAGGCGCATATGATGCAGTTGCCAGTGATGGTGGTGTTGCTAGTGCGTTACAATTGGAGCGGGGCAATTTATTATCTGCTGCTCTACTGCTCCGGGCGAAAACAAGCTTGAAGCTCCGTGTAACCTGACGTCAACCCCTGTAACTACATACATAGCCGAGACCTTTTAAAAGCGATATATTATTCGTAGTCGTTTAGTCACTGAGACATGTCAGGTATTATTGACAAGATATTATAAAAACTATTCAATTTTAATATATTTTATTTTATTTTATTTATTACAGCAAAGACTTAAGATGCGTAGGTACGGTACGTATATCGAGAAAATACCCAACCGTAAGCTATTACCGAGACTGGACAAATTCTTCCAAAGGAGTCCTAAACTGCGCCTCGCGGTGAGAGCGATGCAGTTAAGTGGCTCCTTCATGTATGTGCTAACTGAATTTGCCTAACCTACAAAACTAACGTCATCAAGTTTTTTGCTGAAGCAACTCGGTTTTACGAGGCACATAATCCTAGTATTTAGCAGGGTAGCCCCTACGAAGTCTTCATAATATTGTAACCGTAACTGCTGAGGATAGAATCTGGTGGAATAGCTGAATATCTGAATAGCTAAGTACGCCGTATCACGACAGGCATCGTATCTGGCTACCCAACTTTGAACAAATTAAGTTGCTGTTGGGCGTTGTGTTCATTACACAATCAGAACCCAGACGATATCTTAGTGTCTTGTCCATGTCTCAGTATAACGTCACTTGTTCTATTCGTAGCCTATGAATAGTTTATGGTGTATAAGAAACAACTGTTTTTTTATTAAAGATCAGATTCACCTTCGACATAGTTCGCCATCGCTGCAAGGCATATCTACCCAACCGTAGATCATATTTTTCGCGAGTAGTACATAAAAACCCCCCTTATAGGAAAATCTAGAACCTAGCGGCTTTCACTGCCAATGCTGCCAATGATGCTATGTAAGGGTACTCGCACTAGGCGTATGCTAGTTCGGCTATCTTCCTTCGTATAGCGAACGTGACAGCTCAGCCTTCGCCCGAAGTTGATGGTTGATTATATCCCTGTGAATACATGGCGACTATTAATGTAGATGTAAGACGGAACATTCAAAGTCCTATGCGCCGAATAGTTCACCGCGTAGGAATGCGGCTTGAGAGTCAGGTGGGAGCTATTTCTGCCAAAATCCACTAAGCCCTACGCTCATTTGCCTTGTGTGGATTTTAGGAAATAGATCAGCTAATAAGTGCCGGTGTTCTCGAAGGTTGATGCATATAATTCTCCTCTGCCGTTGAAAAACTCAGAAGAAGCTAACCGCTGTGGCCCCCATTTGGCACATACCCACTTTGTGGGACACTTCCCACCAAAACACTACCTTTTCAACCTTGAATAATATCATATATATTGGTGATAAAAAACCTAAGACTTATACTAATTGGTAAAGAATTGATTTGTGTTTATAATTATATATATAATATTGGAATTGGAGTGATTATTATTGGGAGATTGGTACTTTAGTATACTGTATAAAATATCACATACAAATTAGGTGTAAAAAGACGTTACAATAACTTACTTTTAAACATTCCATATTTAAAGATACTAGGCTTAAAAGGTTAATACAGTTAATCTTACGCTATATACGAAGTTTTATGGCTGTAATTAAATTAGGTGGCATATTACATAAATTGAAAGTTTTGCCCATACAAATATAATAATATTTACTATAAGGCTATTTTCGAATTTTAATATTTTAATAATAAAAGGTACAATGTTTATAAGACATATATACCATATATAAAAAGACATGGGCATTCTATTACATCTTTTAGATTTAAGATATAAGACGTTATTGTTACAATATTCCAATATTTCATATTATTAAAAATACTTAATTTCGTACCTAATTTGTATGTGGGGCCATGTACCTTTATATTAAGCAATACCCATAGCAATTGTGCCACAACTAAATTTTTCGATTTTATTAAAAGTATATTTTTAGTAATGCGGCCTTATAAGGTATCAAATAAATTCAGTTTTAAATTTATATCATCAATATACATGATTTTATTCAAGGTTAAAAAGGTAGTAGTTTTGGTGTAAACCTGTGCCACAAAGTGGGTATGTGCCAAATGGGATCGCTAGCGGTTACCCCTTAAGCGTCATAACTACTATAACAACTGGACCGCATATTATCAATAAGACATAGCAATTCAACGATCTGTATATACCTATGTATCGACGCTATAAAGAATGTGCAATAGCAGCAAACAAACCCTCTATGCACACTTTTCCAGGTCCACCTACCCACCCCATCCCCAGCTTGATGTATGTATGTATGTATGCGCTGAACATGACCATGCAATATGTACGACCTACTAGTATCTAACGATTGTCTGGCTCCCAAAACGGGGATGGTCCAGACCACTCCAACTCCGATCCCCTGTTACCCTTTTCGAAGCACTCTGAAGGAGCTCGGTCCTGAAAACGGGAAGGGGGAGAAAAAAGAAGAAGAGAAAAAAGAATCCTAGGCGGGTTACCTGGTCCTGTTGTGTATGGTATGATATAACTTAGTATGTACCGTATATACTCCTCGAATCCGATAACAACCTCTCGTATTTATGCGCGTATGTAAGTACCTAATATGTATGTAGAAGAGGATGTAGCGACGACGATATATCCCATTATTATATTACGATCCGAAGTGATCGCCGTGGGGTTGACGGCTATTAAGGAAGAGGTCCAAGGTCTCGATATAGAGCTCCTTCTGGCTAGTCGTAGCCTGAACATGTGGGTTTTGTTCGAGGGCCTCAGTCCACTGTTGCCAACGTGTTCCCGGCACGGGATCGCCCCAGTTACGGAGCTCTCGGAGTATGCGGGACATCCGAAGGACGAAGGGAGCAAAATGGATGTCTACAAGGCATAGATCTTCTCCGAGGAAGTATGGCCCCTGGGTGGCGGATTAGAGATGTTTTGAAGGGGAAAGTACGGGATGGAAAACCTACCCTGTCGTTAGCAGCTTGAACAAGGGCTGTTATCTCACTCCGGAGCCTCTCAGCGTATTCCGACTGCTTTGTGAAATCGGTAGCCCTCGCGAGAGCGAAGAAAGCCGGAACTATCCTTGCATTGATCTAGATCGGCCAGTCAGACTCTCTGTGTCCTTTACACGGTGGATATTCACTAGTGGAACTCACATGGTCGATCCATAGTCTACAGTTTGCCTTTAATCTGGGGTCTGTGGGAGAGAGGGGTACCGTTTGGTTATGATCCTCAAGCTAGCAAGTTAGACGGTCAGCGATTGAGGGAGCCATCTATAATCGCCCCACAACTCTGATAACTTACGTATTCTAAGATGATGGCACTCTCACCGCTGGCCCAGTCGCCTTCACGAATAGCTGGAACTAGGCCTCGTGGATTTGCTTCTAGCAGCTGGGTTGGGCGTTTGAATGGGTCTGTCTCGCAATATTGATATTGCATACCCTTCGCTTCCAGAGCAATCCATACTCTCTGTGAAAAGGGGCTGATAAGGAGGCTCGTTAGCTTATAAGTCGCCTTATGTTCTAGGAGGATAGCTTACCAAAAGCAAGCAGCATAGAGTTTCAATTCGTGCTCCTTCAAGTGCTTTTTCGCGGTTGCAAGTGCAGCTCCTGACATCCTCCTAGGTAAAGGCTTCTATAGGAGCAAGTTAGTGTGAGCAATTATAGCTAGCTTTTAGAACTACCAGATGTGAATAGAAGATAATAGGAGCCGAGAAGGACTGTCCCCCCTCCCTATTCTAATAACAATTGCTTTCCTCCCTCCACTGTGCTAAAGGGAGATGCTACCGTTCTAGATCACTTGTATCTTAACAGAAGTTTTCCATATATAAAACCGGGTATAAAGGTAATCACAACTATGATACAAGGAACAACCCACCTGAATCTTCTTTGCTTCTTTTTCTTGCGAGGTAATATATCTCTGTACGGTTGACTTCTTGATCTCATCGCTCTTCTCTAGGCTATGCTTGTGAGGACCAGCGACGCCGTCGCCCTTACCGTTCCCGCCATTGCCATTGACTCTTTGTATTGTCCAAAATTTCTCTCCGTTGAGATGAGCATCCATAGGCTGTGGTAGACCGTCGTTAAACATTGGCTGTTGTGGAGATTGGTAAACACTCGGCGCAGCTAAATTGAGGCTCGAGTCTCCGTCACCGGGTAGGATCGTCGCTCCCGGAAAGTATTCGGTAATCTTGATTTTAACATCGCATAGATCCCTCTCGCGCGCGCTCCGCTTGCGCTTCTTCTTGGAAGGGTCATCTGATTTGGGCGTTCCCGGTGGTCGTCCCTTCATTCGGCAATCCCAGTAGTGCGATATAAAGGGCTTGCGCTTGTACTTTTGGGTGGAACGATGTGAGTAAACATTATCGATATGGGGGAAGTACGTCTCGAATCTAGTTGGTAATTAGTACAACGACTTAGTTCCAATAGGAATCTTGTTTCCTACTGGTCATTGGTTAAGATAATCGTATCGTCGACGTTAAATAGCTTCTCGCGCCAAGCTTGAAGATCAGGTGGGTCAACGACTATCCTATTGACCAATTGGCCATGGGGTCTCGGCTCAGAGGATTCGGCTGCTGAGGAATTGACTTGCGCCGATTGGATGAACATGTCCTCATCTTGTTGAAGCTGGGGAATAGCAGTTGGAGACATGCCATTGTGCGTTAGGATGCCGAATTGACTAGAGGCAGGCGGCGCCGAGTGCGACGATGGAGGGAGAGAGGCATGGTGTTGATGTGGAGTTCGGTGGATGTCGGAAGTCGTTTCGTTATGGGAGCGCTGGAGCATATGAGCCGCATTTGGCTCATTATCGAAACTATCTTGGACATGCGAAGTATAGTCACCTGGGACGACGGGGATAGCGGGTACGACTTGTAGACGTTGGAGGTGTTGTTGGAAAACGGGATCGGTAGGATCGAGAGTGGATAGATCGAGGTTCGTATGCGATGAAAGGGTTGGGACACGAAAGTGATGCGATTGCTGAGAGTGATGGTTATGATGGTGAAGTTCATGCGACAGCGGAGTCCCTGTTCCTGGAGGAGGTGGTTGTGATGTTGGCTGCTGGTGCTGCTGCTGATGTGGTGGCGGCGGCGGCGGCGGCGGCGGCGGCGGTTGTGGAAAAGATACGGAGGCGGGGTCCATCGTGGTTTATGCCTTTTGTATATAAGTCTGTCTGCTGCTTGGTGACGATGCTGCTTAGTGCCTCAGAACAAACTCGGCGCAGCCACCAAGCATGTTTTTACCCCATTCTCAAGTCGGATGTCGTAGGCGAAGTGTCTTCGCCGTCATGATTTGACTTCTACTAGTTGGAAGAATTTGGCTTATCCAAGGTAGGCCAAGGTAAAGTAACGGAAAGTCAACAAATTGGGTTAATGGAATCGGAATCGGACGATGCCGGCAAGGCGGAAAAGAGTCTAGAAGTTACCTAGAACGTACAAAGGTAAAAAATTAAAAATAAATTATAAAAATATAAAAAATATAAAAAAAGTAAGATCAGATGGGAAATGCTAAAATGCCAAAAATGCCAAAAGCGCCGATAGAAGCTGAAAAGTGCAGCTCACGAAATTGCCCCGCCTTGCGGGTCCTTTGCCCCATTCAAGGCACCTAAGTACATAGGTACATAGCAGTTTCCAGTCCCAGGGCGGCCAGACCTACTTCCCTGGGAAACTTAGTCTAGTCCTAAAGTGGCAAACGAACACCTTGTCTGTACCTTATCATCCCATTATAATTATAATTCTCATCAATTCCCATACCTTAGGTACCTATAGGGCCCCACATGCCGATGAACGGCCTAACTTACACTAATCCTGCACTACATAGTATTAATCTGCACTATAAATCACACTATAATCTGCACTAGTATAAAGATACCGGCGGCACTACCTAATACAAAGGACGATAAACCCCCGTACGCAGGGTACATTAGGTTAGTAGTTACATTAATATATTCCATTCATGTAAGAGCTGATGTATGTATGTTATAGGTGTGTTATAGGTATGTATTGATGTAAGTGTAATGGTAATACCTACATGTAATATACTTGAGCCAATAATCGTTACCTATAGTGGGAATTGGACCCTGACGATCTAATAAGATCTCATCCATTCCATTATCCATTATCCATTATCTTTATACTCGCAGACTTCGTAGTATTGCCCCTCACCCCTCACCCCCCTACCCCCTTCGCTCTTCATTCCCGAAGACACACACATACCAAGCTGAAAAAATGCTCCAAAGTCTGGTTCCCTTTCTACGAATCAACCTCTCATCACGAGCCACGTTGAATTATCCCTCGTGAGAATGACCCTCTTTCTGGTAATTATGGCGTCGTGATACGAAGAAGCTTACGTGCCCGCATCTGCATCCTTTCTAACTTGGGTACGTGATAGCCATCGAGTCGCCAATCCTGAGCTGTTCCCGCGATATTTGACAGATAAGGGGGTTATTAGATAATAGAAAATATATTTTCCACTCATCGTGTTAATAGATTGCGTGATGCAATACTATATCCAACTTTCAACTCCAACTGGATACCTATCTTTGTAAAAATACGCATTTCTTTGGGTATCTGCCTACATCGTAGGATTTCGTCATTTATTTGTCTATGTGAATATGAATGGAGTATATGGATAAGTGAGGTAAGGGTTCCTTTCGCCTTCCGTTACCGACGTATTAGAAAATCCAACCCCGTGCGTCATGTCATGGCAGTCTACTATACAGTTCCAAAATGGACGTAACCTCCGTGTCGATATTGCGTGTGCAACACTTAGAACGCCCCAATATGTCCCAAGTCGTAATAAAAGTGCCCAGCCTGACGATCAACCCTGTACATATCCAATCCTGCCTTACTCCTATTCAGCTTATATCGAGAGAATGATCATGCTTCGGTTAGTTAATGACCCTCGTGATAGCTTTATGTGTTAGAGTCCCATCCCAAATCCATTCGTACATCCAATAGATTTTGAAGAACCCCCTCGGCTACTGGCGTCATATCATTTTGCCCAGCCCAATTATTTGGAAGTGTGAAGCCTTGATCTGAACTCATGCCTGTACCACCACCCCCCATTTGAAAGAAAGCGGCTGTAGTAGCGTCTATCTCGGCTTGCGGCCCTAGACTCTGGTGGGATCCGATAGGACTAGTATCAAAAGATCTCCTGCTGCTCGAGTTTGCCATCTGACCAGGCCCTGTCGCGCTCTGGCGATTATCTGAAGCCGTACTCGAGTTTGGCGTCGGTCTATTTGATGGCCCGTCGGTATTTGATGATGCTGATATATCGTTTGAATCGCTTCCAGTCCCTTCTACGAACCCTGGGAACATTATGGGCGGGATTGTTGCATGGTTGCAATTATTATTACTACCACTTTGGTCGCGAGTAGCTGAGTTTTGTTCTCTCGCGAGCCAATTTTGGCCCGCGAACTCATCCACCAGTTGTCTACCGTTAATCGGGTGGCGATTTTCAGATTGATGATTATTAGAAGCATTTGGCGGATTATCGCTTCCCACGTTTGCATGGCGATAAGCAAGAAGGCCACCACCTCCTGACTCGTGATCCGTTGTGCAGTTACCCTCTCCAGCACCATTTTTTCGATAAGTCATCTTTGGGAGTTTGACACCGGAGCCAGGCTTGAAGCTGTCAGTCTAGGACATTCATCATGAATTATTTAGGATAAAACTTACGCTATCCGCACTCCTTGGGAAGGCAGATTTGAGCTTAGGTATTCGCGTTCCTAATGCTTCTAGGTCGACATCTAATTGTACCAAGAATGATTCAGTTAAGGGGTTCTTCCTCTTCAATGCATTCATAGCAGCAAGGAGAAACCGTAGCGAATCTGCTGTCTGGCTGTCGTCCGGCCTGCTCTTTAGGTATTGAACAAATACTCGTGCAGCAACGTATAAACAGAAAGATATGAACGGATTCATCTATAATGATGTTAGATGCGGGACTCGTTCTCGTCTAGGATTTTTCAATAGGTACTTACAGCACACAAGTCTAAGTGTGATACCATTCTCATGATGCTAGCGATCTCATTCGCTGCCGTGATGCATCGTACTTTGCTTTCCGCACTAACAGACGGTGGGAGTTTATTCCGGTCTGCCTTAAAGATAGCCGCTTGGTGAAGACATATCGTCGAAGTATGGATGTTCATGTTAGTAAATACGATATTGGGATTAGAAAGCCCGGAAGGAAGTTTTAGGTGGTCTGGTAGACAGAGGGACGTATTTAGCAAAATGTTGTCCATGTTTCTATGGCGCTTCCAGAACTCCCCGTTAAGATCGTGGTCGCGATCGTCGGCATCTGGCCGATGAAGATGGACGAGATTGCGGCCAAACAAACAGGCCATCAATACTATACCTCCAAAGGATGAAAGCTTGGCGGCTCCAGCTGGGCACATTGAGTCCGCAAGCGATTGCGTCTGTTCCGCTCGACTCATTTCGAACGCTTCCTCTGAAGATGGCAAATTGGTCATGATATCTCGCTCATCGACCGTCATGGGCCATCCGGTACCGATACTAGCATACCGATCCTGCGAGAAGGCCATCCAAAAGGTCCTTCGCCTCTCTTCACGCTCCGTCCAGTCGCGAGGAGGCGGAAGACATTGCTTCACATCAAGGCCCGTTCCGTCAAGTCTGTGCAGTCCAATCCTAAAGGTCGTGAGCATAAAGTCATCCAAGCTAGTTTTAGTTCGATACTTACATCTGGCATAGGCGCACAGCAGCGCCTGTGCTCATCCATGCTCTTGGGAAGTACATCATCTTGAATTCATATGAGGCAAGCAGCACATGCGTTTGAGCATGAGCTACTGAAATCATGTGCTCACCATAGCCTTTGACGTAATCCGCCTCAATATACTTACGAGCACGTTGGTAAAAGAGGTCTTTTAAATCCGCGTATTTGTCTGCTACCGCACAGGCCTGGGTCCAGATCGCATATCGCAGTGCAACGGGAGGTCGTTGGTTAGGAGCCCTAATCCGTGAATAAGTATGAAGGCCAACATGAACATAGTCCGGAAAGTTAAGGGTAGGTACATGGTAAAAATGCAAAGGGTATATCATACAAGTTCATTGCTGCTAGGTACCGGAATTTATGAATCATAGGCAATGATGAATGGATCTTATCGAAGTATATTTGATGCCTGCGAGTTTTTGTTAGTCGAGATGGTGTGCATAATAAGGTAAGGGACTCTAACAGTTCGTCGATCGTCTCCTGCGGCGGGAGAGGTTCCTCCAATCCAAGACCAATCATCTCCCACGTAAAACTGCTGTCCATACCGCCCATGTTCAAGTTCCCGCCAAAATTAAAATCATCTAAGCCGGCGGTGGGTTGTGGTGACTCGGCATTGAAATTCCATTGGTCCATATCACGATCCCTTGAGATGTTTATTTGAGGATTTGGGATATTGAAATTTGGCGTAGGAGCGGTTCGTTGGTTGCGATTCGGCTGTTCGAAGGTGGCGTTTGGCGTTTTGCCCGTATCAACCCCGACGGTAAAAGACGGCTCTTGGGTTTTATTTAGGAGCGTTTCGACTTGTTCTAAATGAGAGCAAGATCCCTTAGTTCATATTCGCTTATTCTAATAGGTGTCTTGTTGAATTGACACTTACTCAGTCTCTCTTCTAAAGCCTTCACATATCCCCTTTTAGGACCACTCTTTCGTCTCACTTCATCGTAAGCGCAAGCGTGTCCTAACCTCGTGCATGTGCTACAACTCGGCTTTACGCCGTCGCATCTGAGTTTGCGTTTTCGACATATCATACACGCGAGCCGCTTCGGCCTGGGAACGTTGCCATTATTCTGATTTTGAGGTGCGGCCGGCGGGCTCGTATCGGCAGTTGGACTATTGTCGGTACCTCCCTGAGACCCAGAGTCGTTGGCTGCGGCGCCAGGGGCTTCGCCAGTCGAAGTCGACATAATCTAAGACAAGATTAGATGGTGCAAATACGGGAAATCAGCTACGACTCCGTAGTGCGCCGATAGAAGACCCCGAATAGGAGAGCCGTATGTATTTCGGAATGCGCTTCGGCCTCAAGCCACGATAGCGACTCGAGCACGCGCACCAGTTCGAGGACCACTGTCCAAACGAGATATCGGCGATAAAAACAATTTAATCCAACTCCTTCTAAGATCTTTTTCTCCTCTTTTAAAATATTTCCTACTTTCCGACACTCTGTCTCGATGCTTTAATCTTTAATATGTGTCGTTGAGCCCGAGCGGTATAAGCCCTAAATCTTACGGCGGGAAATCGAGTCGATAAGCATTGGCAAGTAGATGGGGAAAATGTATGGAGGTTATGAAGAGGATCTTAGGGAGAGGGGATCCCGGGTCTAATAATGTGGGGAATGATCTTAATAGAATCTCTTTTCTATAAGTGGAATTGCAATGGTATTATTGCTTGGGACCGAGTAGTTGAAGAACATTCAGGGCTGAAGAGCGACCCCAACTTCAAGATGGGATTAACAGTAACCACGCGCCGCCATGTAAGAAAATAGTGTATGTCTCTACCTATACGAAATCCTGAGGCGGTAGACAAGTATATACCTAAGCTATTAAGGCCATAGGCAACAGGAAGAATGACTATTCTCTCTCAATACACTTATGCAAAATTAGAGGGATATAGGAATGAATCCCGGCCACTATGTCGCTATGTCCTGCCAATCACAAATAAAAAGTCGAGCCAACATGAATTACTAATGTAAAAGGGACTCGTCTCGGCTGATATACCTTACGCAGTAGGGCTGAGTAGTATGTAGTATGTAGAAGTAACAGAGTGGGTTCTAGGTTAGATTGAATCGATTAACCCATATAAGATTATTACCTAACATAAGATTATTAGCGGGGTCTCGAGTCCTCTAACTATGTACCTACCTACCTTACCTACCTGTATTTCCTTCTTTACGTCGTTCTTACCTTGAAGCCTTATTGATATCTATAGAGCAATTCTATGTATATTGTTATCGTATTAGTACCTTCACGTATCTTTATAGAACCCGGAGTACTGGTTTCACATCTACTAAGCAATACACTATAAGCTATAATCAAATCTGATTGGTTATTCTATTTTCTAGAACTTATTGGAACCCTTAGTTGTCCAAAACCTCTCACATTGAAGGAGATAAGTGGGGAGCTGCTGTACCACATGTGTAAGACAACATTTCATAGGTATACCTAATTCTACAGCGCAGTCCGGAAAGCTTAGTGAAACTAAGCCTACATCTAAGCTTGAAATGGCAAATGACCCAAAAATTATCTATCTCAGCTCTGCCAAGTACGCGGCCGTAAGCAGTTTGCAGTTCAAATAACGACGATTAGCACAGAGAAAATTAGTAACAGCCTCAAAGCATTGCGATGCCAATTCACCGTATAATACCCTTGGTAAAGCTTTCAGGGAAAAGTAATACCTACTAAACAAACTTCTTATTAAAGTGCCGTCTCTCCCAGTAAGCTTCATGTGATAATTTAGGGTTATTGGCGAAATATTATCTCGTGAGATAGCCTCTCATATACTGTATCGGACGTCGCCCCCAACCCTGTTAAACCAACGCTTGTCTCTAATGTTAATAATAAGCAGTATTAGGACACCCTATCCGTCTAGATTATAAAACCCATTTTTTAGAGACTACCTTTTTACCACGATCGCTAAACCCACCATATACGAATACAATTTCTAATATTCGTGTTCAGAATTCGGTCTTTACCGTCGTCGCAGCTACCGAAACTATGGGCTTCTCTTAATTATCCGTTCTCGTAACCGTTAATCAAACTAACTCCAGGTCTTCTTATTTAGTCCCTGGGCTGGCCCCTATTACTCGTAGACTTCCCGAGTCAATATAAGCGAGTGAATATCGGTTTGGAGACCACGCAATAACGGGAGAAGGTGTCGTAGTCTTATATGTGCAGAGATGATCTCCCGTTTCGGAGTTGAAGATCTCTAGTCCGGATCCTACAAGCATGACAAGAAATTTAGTGTCAGGATCAACAAATGCATGGCTTAATAATACTCACCCTCCTCACTTCCGCCTACTATATAGAGACCATCCCAAGAGAAGCCTGCGTCGAAAGGTTAGCGTGCATGATTTACGGTGTATGATTTCAATATACGTACTAAGACTGCGAACTGGGCCGATCATCTTCGTCGCAGTTCTCACACAGTTCCAATCCGTTGTTTCCCAGAGCGAAATCAATGAATCCGTTCCACCTGTGGCCAGGTACCGGTTATAAGGATGTAGTTCAACAGATATGCAGGATGAGGTATGCCCGGTCAGCTTGAATTCGGCATCTGGACCTTCTTTGTAGTCAAACTGGTAGGCGGGCTCAAAATCTGGGAATGAGAGGATTCTTGTTTTCCCATCTCCAGTAGTAGCAAATATTCTTTGGCCACTCCAGCAGAACACAATGTCGTTGGTCTGCACAGGCTGTTGGTGTGAAGAAATTGGTGTGCTTTGGGTTGGTGAAATAACGAAGAGCTTATCTTCCTAAGGCAAGGGGTCAGAGCTTGGAAAGTAGGCTTGATGAGAATGCTTACCTTATTCCCGACAATGACACATTCGCCGCGGGGATGCCATGCTAAAGTGAAGGTCTCTCCTAAGCCCTTAACCTCGTTCAAGACCTGTTTAGTCTTGACATCCCAGAACCTAACTACTCCGTCACTGCTCACACTACACAACTCGAGCTCCTTGACGGGGTTGAAGGCAACTTTTTCGATTGATGCCGTATGACCTTTCAACTCAGTCGTTTGACGAACATTAGGTTTGTCCGCATTCCCTTAAACCAGTAGTTAAGAATTAGCATTCCATACCGGAGTGAACATAAAATCCCAATTACATCATCCTAAAGGGTATTATGATGTCGCCGAATCACGAGCTAAGGATGAATCACGTACAAACGCGTAACGTTTTATCCAAACAACCAGTTGCAATATAAGTACCCAGTGGATTCCAGGCAATTGTGCGAATGCTAATAGAAGTAATCAGTCAGATCTCAGATTATAACACAGGGTCCAGGAGTCGTACCCGGCAAGGGGTTATGAGACCACAGCACGCATATTATGAGCGCCAGGTGAAGAGAAAGGTAACTAGTAACTTACTTATTTGGGGTCTTGTTCACGGCTGGGTCGTGGTAAATCGTCGGCTTCAAATTGGGAAGTATAGTCTTAAACTTATCAGCCGCCACGGACGTTCTCGGTACTACGCGCGCCATGGCTTTACGAGTAGATAATAGCTATGCCGTTACTGCGGAAAGAGCAGAGAAACAATTTCACGCCAATATATGGTGTTTCATGATATGTTTCGACAAAAGTTCAGCGGGTACTGAAAAGTTCTATGCTTTTTGTTGACTGTTGAATAGTTTGAGGTTGTAAATTTATTGTTTGAAGCTTCCATAAAGCTCGAGGTACAAAGATCTAGATGTACCTAGGTACCAAAAGTGAATGCCCAGGTGGCCCACTTTAGCTTGGGTACCTTAGGTAGTGCATCATCCTAGTCTAAATATCTGCTTAACCATATATCCTTATATCTTGAAAGATATTTCTATAACTGCTGTAGTCAATTATTATGATTTCCGATCGTACCTAACTGCTAGGTATGCATCCGCATACCTCTCATCAATGCACATGTATTTAGGTACTTTATGTATCAACCCGAATTAACCTTCCCCAGAAACTCATCCATCATCACATCTCGAGATGTTACCAACTGACGCATTTTTCACATAGCGGCACGATTGGCCGCTCATATTCTTATTATACCTTGTCTATGACTTACCAATACTTGGGGTATACGGATGAAGGTTCCAGGGGCCTGTATTAGCCATGTACTGGCCCATTGGAACTCCTAAGATATATGCGACAACCACCAGCCAAGCTTCTACTAAGACGAACTTCGTCATATCCAACGATGGCGTCTCCTCTATCGCCGCCGATAGCGACTCATTGTCGAGCTCTGAGCCGCCCCCTCCCATACTCCTCGACGAAAAAGACAGAACCATACCGGACACATATATACCACCTCTCACACCCGGTCTCAGAACTCCAGCTACTCCAGCTATAAACTCGGTCGAACATGACATCTATCATGACGGTAGCAGCTCTAATTCACAACAACATCTCTCAGGGGCTGGCGGGAGTACTATTCCAGCTGGAGATCCAATTATTGCTTTGAAAGTGTCTAGGACCGGTCATTTATTTGCCGTCATTACAGCCACTACTATGACAATATGGCAGACCAAAGTTCGTCCTTTATACAACGTTATATTTTTATTTTACCTGCTAACCATGGCAATGTCTACTCTTAGCCTACTGTGATCCAAGCCGTCGTCGTTCGATCCGAAGCGTCCATTAGATCCTACGGTACTAATGTCGCTCTCTTATTAAGACCCGATTCTGTTATCTTTGTCGTTCAAACAAGTTTAGGCTTCTTAATTACGTATTCACTTGCTACCGATGCCGAGTCCCGCGTCTATAAACCTCACTTTTCGGACCATAGCAATATCCAAAGGCGACGCCAAAGTCACTTTGGGGGTCCTGGTAATAATACACCCGACCAGATTCTGTTGGGTCCAGGTGAAGGAGCCGGGGTTCGTGATATAAGTCTCCGTTTTCGTAGGGTGATTAAGGTAGATGCCGGTATTGAACATGCTATTGCCCTTGACGACGAGTTAGTCGTCGCCACCAAAAAGCCAGCAGCTGTTCAATGCATCAAGTGGACCCCTGACAGCAGCGGTAGTCAGACGAGCACTGAGCTCGTTAGTCGCATGGGTTGGTTGGAGAAGAAGGTATCAATCAAAGAAATGACCCATGATCGGCCCATGAACCTCTCTACTTGGGTTACGAGTGACGGGAAAGCTTATGCTGTTCAACGAATCTCGGCTAGTCAGGCCAAAGATAACCCCGAATTCGACCCAAAGAAACTTTTCAAAGGATACTGCTTCCATTCGCCTCTTAGCAGCGGCGACCATGCCGTCAAAGCAGTCGTTAATGCCAGGTTCTCACTAATAGCTGTAGGCTGTATGGACGGGAGCATCCGCGTATACTCTGCTAGAGATTACGCGGGCAACATCCCTCCATCTCATGTCCACCGAATCCCAGTCTCGTCTGAATCGGCAGGTCCCTTAAGAACTCTAAGTTATTCCCCAGACGGATATTGCCTTTTCGCCGGTTATGAGGATGGATGGGCAACGTGGAGCGTGTTTGGAAAGACTGCCGGCCACAGCTTTCATAATAATCCCTCTATTACCACCTCTAATCAAGAGGGATGGTTAAGCGGCGTCACAGAAGCTAGTTGGATTGGCGGAGCTTGCGAGATATTGATGATTGCTCGTCAGAATGAATCCATCTGGTTGCTTGAGATGGCGCGGAGTGCAGTTACTGGTTGCTACACTCCTCCTAACCTCTTCCGTACCGTACTACAGAGTTCGTCTAGCGTTATGGTTTACCGGGGTTACGATCTCCCAGATCTCACCAGCATCTCCGCCGAGCCATTCCTTTGGCACAACGCTAGGATCCCCGCCAATTATCTTCTGAACCAATGGCCGATCAAGTGTACCGTCGTGTCTTCCGACGGTAGATACGTTGCGGTTGCGGGTAGGCGTGGACTCGCACACTACAGCGTTAATAGCGGTAGGTGGAAGACGTTTGCGAATGATGCCATGGAGAACGAGTTCCAGGTCAGAGGCGGGATGTGTTGGTATCAGCACATCCTCGTAGCAGCTGTCGAAGCAAATAGATCATATGAGCTCCGGTTATATTCGAGAGAAGCTGCTCTAGAAAGTTCAACCGTCATGTTTACTCAGCAAATGCCAGCACCTATAGTCTTGATTACCCCGTCAGGAGAAGACTCTCTATTAGTCTACACCTACGATAACCTTCTTTATCACTTTGTATTTGCGCCCGTTTCTGGTGCGATAAGACCCATACAAGTGGGACAAATCGCTTTCCATGGTATTGTCAGATCTCCCGCCAGAGTGAGGGGCCTTAGTTGGATATTACCCGAGAACCAAATGATCGATGGTGACCCCTCACAAGATGTCGCGTTTGCCTCAGTCTTGTTCCTGGTAGATGGAAAACTTGTTCTCCTTCAACCGTCCGTCAATAGCGAAGGACAGCTCAAATACGATATGCGCGTCATATCTCACAACGTAGAGTTCTACGTCAGCATGAGAGATCAGTATTCCGTTAACATGTTAGGCGAATCTAGTGCGCGGTTCTCTACAGAGGCCGAAGAAAACAGTCTTCGGAATTCGTTATGGGTATTTGAGGGTCACGAGTTGAAAGTCTGGCCTGATGTCCAGGAAGTTCTACGAGCTACTTCTATTGAGCCAACGAAAGAACTACCATCTACGGTCTCTATGCCTATAGACTTTTATCCTCTCTCCATCTTATTAGGTAAAGGAATCGTGCTGGGAGTTGAACCCGAATTAGTCCAACGACGAGACATCAGTTTCTCTTTTTTCCGTTTCTCTATCAGGGTAGGTAAATAGGTTATCCTTTCCCGTGCTAGGCTAATGGTCTTTAGACTCATCTTTTCCTCCCTGAAATTCTGCGTTTTTATCTGGTAACAAACAATGCTGCTGCGGCACTCAAATTGGCCCGGCAATACCAAAACCTCGAGTACTTTGCACACGGCCTAGAGGTACTACTCCATCATGTTCTCGACGAGGAGGTCGACTCGGCACCTAAACCAGAGGCGGCTATTCTTCCCAGGGTACTTTCTCTCTTATCGTCTTTTAAGCAATATCTAGATATTGTAGTTCAATGTACGAGAAAAACCGAGGTTAGGTCTTGGAGAACGCTCTTTGCATACCTACCCCCACCACAAGAACTTTTTGAAGAGTCTCTTCAACGCGGTTCGTTAAAAACGGCAGGGGGTTACTTGTTAATACTACACACATTCGACGAGCTAAGTGCAGCATCGGAGCAGTCGGTACGGCTATTCTCTCGAGCGATCCGAGAAGAGGATTGGGAACTTTGCAAAGAGTTAGCTCGATTTCTAGCGGCGATGGACGAAAGCGGGGAGACATTAAGAGAGGCAATGGAATTGGTCAACATTCGAGTCAAGCAAGAGTCGGATGATACAGACATAATGTCTAGACTTGAAGTGCCGCCTCGGAAAGCTAACGGCAGCTCCCGTATGACGAGACAGAACTCGGAGACAGGTTCCGACGCTCAATCAGCGAGCGACACAAGCAGCTTGGGCACAGCTAGTCCAATATAATAGAAGAGGTTGATTGGGATAAAATGGGAAAAGCGAAAAGTGGTTTTTACATTATTCACATGGTTATGTGCTAAAGGATCGTATTGTAGATGTAAACCTTTGGGTCTGGTTAGAATGCAGGCTTAGACTGGTCTGCTGAAACGTAATGCTATTGTTCTTAAAACCTACCTATCCCGCGGAGACGAGGTCTGAGTATATGTTCAAATAACTACATGACGAAAAGTTCGAAAAGTTCGAAAAGTTGATGAAAAGAGTTATCAATATGACCAATGATAAGTGAAGATTGATCTTTGGTCGATTATCTTAGGTAATCTTAGGTTAGTAATTGATGCTGTTGTATCTTGGTACTACTACGTACTGGAAAGGTACCTACACCTACATACGTATATTTTGCTTGGGCAGGTAGAGTCCATCTACATCCCCGGATACATCTGCGAGGCTGTTGAGGCTGAAATCTGGACCCACTGGGACTTTTCGAGCCCCCCCACTAGCAGCCCACTGAACCTTGACGGCATTTCATCAATTTTGGTCACTTGTTTGCGCCTGAACCCCTCCATCTCCGTATTCCCATACGACGCGACCTGAAAGCATTATCCATTATAAACCTCATTTCCTTATTTCCCATTCTGTCTCTTCTGTCACGCGGACTTAACCGCCCAGACTTAACGTCGTATCGACTATAAACCCAGCAGTTCTGTCAAGACTGCCCGACGACGTGGTCATGATGGACGAGTTCGCTTCCGAATCTGATAGTGACTACACTAGCTATTGGCGAGATTGGGTAAGTGCACGTGGTTCTTTAGAACCTTCTTCCAAAGCGAGTACGCAGGCGGTGTAGTGGGTAGGAAATTCCAATGGCACGGTTGCTTCTATCGAGAGCGCATTCCACTTTAGGAATACATTAACTCCTTTATCTTTGTTCGAGAGATATCCTTTGTTCGAAAGTATCGATGGCAACTTGCAACTTTTCCCCAGTATTTGATTCGTGGGAAACTCGTCTTCGGAGTACAGTGACGTTCCCTCTGCTTTTTACAAAAGAATTATATTATCAAGTCTATTTCTTTTTCTTTTAACCAGTATTGATCATGGGAAGTTCGCTCCCACCGACGTTTCATCCTCCAGTCCTTCGTCCTCCTCTTCCCGCATCAGTCCCACGAGAGTGTTCTACATTGTCTTTCTTTGAGAAATGGAAGCAGTCCACTGTCAGTACCAGAACGATTAGGCACATGCTCACCAGAGCTAGATTTCATCTCGATCTACGCGGACCCCAAATTAATATTTAAATTCCCTAGACATATCACCAGATATTATTATTATTTTGATGCTAATTATGCGCCCTTAGTTTATATCTTCACGCGGAAACGAGTACTTTTGCGAGATTGACGAGGACTACCTTACTGACCGCTTCAACCTGACTGGGCTCAACACAGAAGTACAATACTATCAGTATGCTCTCGATCTTATCACAGACGTATTCGACCTCGACTGCGATGACGACATGAGGGAGACTATAGAGAAATCGGCCCGTCATCTGTACGGTTTAATACATGCCCGTTACATTGTCACTACGCGTGGTCTGGCGAAGATGGTATGTTCATACCGCTTTATTGGATTATATATGGGCTAACTAATTCTTTGCAGCTCGACAAATACAAGAAAGCCGATTTCGGTAAATGTCCGCGAGTCTTCTGTCATTCACACCCGCTCCTACCGATGGGCCAGACCGACATCCCACATCAGAAGCCTGTGAAGCTCTATTGCGTTCGATGCGAAGATGTCTACAATCCGAAGTCCTCACGACACGCAGCCATCGACGGTGCGTATTTCGGTACCTCATTCCACAACATCATGTTTCAGGTCTACCCAGCATTAGTTCCCCCTAAGAGCGTCGACCGATACATACCCCGCGTCTACGGTTTCAAGGTACACGCCTCGGCTGCGTTGATCCGTTGGCAAAATACTCAGCGAACAGATATGCTCCGACGGTTACGAAAGCTGGAAATAGAGAGCGGGTTCAAGGAAGACGTGGGCGATGAGGATCTCGAAGAAGAGGACGAAGAGGAAGACGATTTGGAGCTAGAGGGAATGGAAGGCGATGCTATGCACGTTGTCGGTTAGGTTCTGGTTCTGACCGGATATTTTTTGTCTGAGCATGGCCACACTATCAACACTACGAGCGTATGCCGTGTCGGAGTTTATTCGTACAAGAGTCACAAGGAAATGCTCCGATACCTACGGCCAAATCAAAGCACGAAACCCTTCTATTTGTGTAGCACGATGTCTTGTCCCATGCCTTCAACAACGATTTTAATGTAAGGCACGAGTACAAAGTGGACGGTATAAGCGGTATTCATAATCAAGATGCAGATATGTTATTATGCAGGCGTTTGAGAAGGACTTGGCTGTCATTCCACGGCGTTTTACAAGATTCCCCCAGGATACCTTTAATAAAGTTCCTCACTAATGATATTTCCCTGTATACGGAATTCTCCCTTCGGATATAATATGATAAGGTGATATTGAAGACGTTTCTCAAGGTTGCTATGTCTACACGATGGTATCTCGGATTTATATTGATAACATACACGCACGTAGCGCCCTGCGCGATGGATAATATGATATAACATTTGATAAGGCCAATAGATATACAAGACGTAGCTAGTAAATAATCATTCTAATCTTCACTCTCCATGTAGATAGGTAGGGAAGCTAGCTATCCCAGACACCGTACCTATCGTCACCTCGTCTTCTTCCTCATGTCCGTCCAACCAGGGACAGAACCATGACGAAAAAGAAAAGAGAGGAAAGAATCCGTACTACGACGTCGTTATGGTTTCAAAAATTCTCTGCCCGGGCCAGCCCAAACAGAAGTGGTCAGGGAATAGTTTTCAACTAGCAAAAAGACGCACTCGGATTACTCCTCACTGTGACGCCTAAAGCCCGTGCACTAAGATGGGGAAGAAAAGAGGAAAAGGAGAGACTGAAAGGTTGGACGGAGAGGAAGGGTATTTATACATGTATTAGGCTGGTGAGGTTGCTGTTGCTGTTGCTGTTGCTGTTGTCCTAAATGTGTTGAGCTTTCCTCCTCGAGCCTAGCAGCTGCTAGGTTGTCTACTAGATATTGATGATAGGAGCGAGAGCTTTTGGTATAGAACCTTTCTATCTAGGTAGGTAGGTATCGAATGGAACCTGCGCTCTACCTTTCTCGCTAAGCAATTGCACATCACATACTTCGTAGAAAAGGGGAAGGAGATAAGGTACCTAGGCTTACAACTGTAATGACAGGATAGTAAGTGCTACCCCCGGTTAAGGAGCAGGAAGGGATGCTCGCTATTAAACTTCAAGGAGGGATTGTGTGACACACATGATAAGACGTAAGGGCGATGGCTGGATTCGTTACAACGAGACGCAAGCCACGAAGCCTGACACATCGTCCTACCCTTAGATAATCTCAAACTTTCAGACAAACCTTGATGATTTGTATTACGAATATCATGTACCTCTCAAACGCCTTATTAAAGTACCTAATGTCAGTCATCACAAGCAATCCAAGAATATCCCAGCTTGCCCAAAGACTCAAAGTCAACTTTATATTCCGCTGGTAATAATTCAGCTAGTTTGCTTCGTATCCTATCTATATGCACCCTTAATATCGTTTACAAGTGCGAAAAAGCCACCCTCGTACGCTGAGCAACCGGCCGAAAAATAACAACTCGCTTTCCTTAGAACTCCATGCTATTCCCCCTTCAAATCCTCTCGTCTGTTTGAGCAGGATTTCCCGAACTTTCCGCATGAGATGGAGCATCCACCTTAGTTCGATACCGCATCCCTAACTCGATATCATCTGCGCGGTGGCCCGTCATCCTCTCTACTTCGTCTCCGGGTTTCTCCCAGTGCTTCTTATCCGTGGCGTAGCTCCACGATCCTAGGCCCGCCCAGAATGCCTTGTCATGACTACGAGGTCCCCATGCCCATCCGGCACCAGCGCGGATCGGCATGTGATAATATCGGAATGCAAACCATGCGCAGATCGTTCCTATGATAAAGCCAAAGAGGATATCGAATCCGTGGTGTCGGAAGTCGAACCATCGTGAACTGGCGATGAATATGGATGTAAAGAAGGGGAGAACGGTTAGGAGGAGTAGGTATACAGGCGGGGCAGCTGCTTGTCTTCGGGTGGAGAGAACAGCCGAGTTATGGGCCCCGATCTGCTTAACCGTGGCTGGATCAACAGGAGAGGCAGACCTATCGATTTCCCGCTCGTTTCGCACAGCTTCATAAGACGTGTCGATATTACGCAGTCGCGACGGAAAAGCAGTAACTGCACTCGTATCGGCCGTTGCTGCGTCATGCGGCACGAAAGGCAACGTGATGGCAAATTTGCTGGCTAGGAAAAACGAAAGGTAAATCAAACCCGCAGCCGCAGAGCTGGAGTGTCCCGAAGGATAACTACGAAAGCCGTCGTCAAGTAGAGCACGGTCCGGGTTCTTGCAGATATCTGCACTAACAAGCTGGCCATTATATGGGCCGTCTAATGAACCGTCGTCGGCAGGCGTGTGGAACCCAATGATATATCTAGCGACGTGCTCGAAATCCGGTTGGCATCTGGATAGGAGATCCGGTCGCGGCTTTCCGAATAGGTTCTTCATGCCCTGTGTGATGATCCAAGCCGATATGAGGGAGAGGGCCAGACCTAGCCATCCCGTATGTAATTCCCATAATTTTCGCTTCCATATTAAAGACTTCGGAGTGCCCTTGGGAACGGTAGGGCCCGGAACGAAAATAAAAACGACGATTAGGACAACGGCGACGGGAATAACGGCGTTGCAGATTAACAGGAGTTTGGAGTTTACGGTCTCGTGAACGGTGAAAGGAAAGCTGTGGACGGTTAGCTAATTACACCCGCCGGTGGAGTTCCCTAACAATTACGAAAGGGGGACAATACGTACGATATATTAGGATCTTGTAAGCTGAAGGGTCTCTTGTTCGGAGTAACATTGCCCAGAATGACGCCGACGATGCCGACGACTATAAGTATTAACCAGTCGAATACATAAGACCCAATAACGACGAAGCTAAGCTTAGATTTACGGCTCTGGAAGCCTGAGGAACTGCGATCGGGCATTTTGCTGTAAGGATGGGAAAGCAAAGGAGAGATAGATGGAACAGCGCTGTCGCCCTCGGGCATTATCAATAACAATAAGATTGATCGTATCCGCTTCCCGCTAAGGTCTTAGATAACTTGGATACAGGTACGCATGTGAGTTATGTAGGTGTACATCAGATGACGATGCTTGTACGTATGTAGGTATGTATGGAGAAGGTGTGGAGAGATTTAAAAGTGCCCCCCGAATTTCTTGGTGTTTTGTTTCCCTGGTCACTGCCTTCGGGAGATTCCTTCAAACTACAAATTAATTGACCTTCCCAGAGTACCCAAATAAAAACCCCCCCAAATGCAAAACGACACAGCGTCTCGCTGCTAACGAATGCCAATGGAGAGATCGTCTTATGCCGCGCCTTTCAAGGCAAAGGAATAGGGAATTCGAGACGAGCCAAGCCTGATGAGGTAACAGGTCGCGTGGGTCCAGGGTCTTGGCTTAGCACCGTTGAATTTGGTTTTGTTTTTTTTTTGGGCGGGCGAGTTTAAAAGTATAGGGTACGGTTGGGACGAGCGCTATGTATGTAGGAACGAGTTTTGCCGCGCGGATGGGAGGATTCCCTTATATCGTTTCCCTTTGGGACCCTCGGGCTCCGTTTTTTATCTTATTACTAGATGCTAAACTAGGTCAGGTCGGCCGAAAACTGCCGCTGTCAAACAGTAGCAAATGTGGCAGTGTATAGGTAGGTAGGTATATGTAAGTGGCAGCGCAAGAGTGGTGCGTTGTGTAATAGTCTTGTTTAATGGAATTGTCTGTCCTCGTTATACTAGATGCACCCTTTTTTTGGTGTGTTGCCTCGGGTCTTAGACTGGTCTTACAAGATGTTTAGAGAAATCAAGATCTTCGTATAGAGGTGGCGATATCCCTTCGATCTAAAGTGAATATAGATGGGATTCGATTCGATTTATTAGGTAGTGTCTTGCATTAATAAGATACGGTGGTGAAGTGAAGTGTTCAGTAGGTATGTACACGCTAAAATATTATGCTGCTACAAGTACCTAAGGTAGGCTATGCTGTCCTATTCTGTACTATAATTCTATACTATGACGAAAACCGTCTCGTTATAGGAGCGCGCTTAGGTGTATATTCGCATGCTATATTTACCTATGTATACCTACCTACCTAGGTAGGTATATCAAATGACTTGTTGAAAGGCATAGGTATTCAGCGGTTACATTATTGCATCATAGGTATCTGAGCGTGACACGAGATGCGGGAGGTTACCATACCGGCAAAATGTGGTTTTGAGATATGATATTTGGGGGGTGGAATGATTCTTGTATCGGATATCTTTTCTTGTACGGGAATTAGAATCTTGCTTGGATAAAATATTATTACAATATTAAAAAAATGAAAGTGTGGGTAATAAGGTTCAAAAACGGGTAATCTTTCAGCACTAGTGGACTGGCCACCCACTAGAGCTGCTAGCTCAATCAAAACACTCCCGCATTGGTGGGGTGTGTTATGGTGGGGCTGGCTAGGAGCCTGGGGTTCGAGTCCCAGGCCTCCTAGCTTTTTTGATTTTTAAGGTTTTGGGGGTCACATGACCCTAATCCCACTTATTCCAACCAATCAGAGCCTTCAGTTCCAAGGAATCATTCCTTTCCCAGGAATGATTTTTGACAAAAGAATTATAATTTTATAAGGTATGGTATTACCCATTTTAACCATTATTATGGGTAATATGATAATCTACGCATGGAATCCTTCCTGAAACCCATACACTGCCGCTACGGTATTTTAACTTTACCGGCAATTAATACATAAGGTGAAAAGCTGCCCAGCTAAATTAAGACCATTAATGTACTGATATACCTGTCTAGGTACCTAGATACATGTTTAGGTACAGGGGGCAAGACAGGTCGCAATGGATCTTTTAGGTACCCTAACATTACGTGGCTTGCGTGGCTTAAACACAATAGTTCATAACCTGTGATGTCGACTTTTATACACGGATAGTTCACACTGCCACTCTTGGTGTCGCTTGGCCTCCGTAGTACGTGGTCGTAGAGACGTAATCGTATATTTCCCCCAATTTATGTAGGTATTAAGTCTTAAATAATATCCTACATAACTGACCTGTGTTGACATGGCTTAGGGCAAAAGCCCCATTTGCGTATGTTGAAGCGTCGCTTGGATAGATGTATTAGTAGAGGCTGATCTTTGTCGGTATTCGTTCATATCTCACTATACACAAACAAGACTATAAGCTAGCAAGGCTTTGGTTAATTTATTCCTTCTTCAATCTTAGAATTAAACCTACCATTGTGTATATCTTATGATATAATTATAGCTGTTGTATTCTCTAGCCGAATTGGCTGTAAAACTGTCTTGCAGGTTATAATTGGGGGTAGATAACGTCTCACCTCATTCTCTCCTGTCATGATCATTAGATATCATGTTCCAAAAGTAGGAAACAAACCACTTACTTATATATCTTAGTCATAACTCATTGACTAGGTAGTAATGGTGGCTTTAAAAGCATTTTTTTCATGTCAATTATCATTTCCGCCCTATTGCGTAGTACGACATAAGGAGAAAAAAAAACAATGTGATCTCGTATTTGGTGGCTGCAATAACGGCTTGGCAAAGCCAGCAGATAATTCACCGGCAGGCCTTGAACATGCATGTAACCTGCACGTTTCCAGCCGTGATGTGCTGGTTTCGCAGGAAATATCGATAGAAACCTGCAAGATGAATCACCCCTTTTGGTAGTTGTATTTATTTCTCTTACTAATATTTGGAGCAGAGGAAGAAGAAGTCCTAACCTTTCGCTTTTGAGGACGCGTATATACGAACTCAAGATTGTGATATGACCGATTGTGTAATGCGGTACCTAGTGTTCGATTCGCTTGTATGTAACATGTTGCTGATTCCGAGTTGATCAAGTAATCTCTTTGTACATCCTAGATTACGCAATCTCAGGACCGATCTGGCGGACTTGGGGAAGAGCCTCAGATTTATTGGCGATCTAGGCTCCAAAGATCCGCCATCACATCATCGTTCGAGAAATTCATGTTCATACATACCTAGGTACCTATAGCAACGTGGAGAGAATACGGACTTACTGACTTGTCCGAGCAATATAATTGGAGTAAAACTTTTTATATGGTCCGTCGTATGCTATCTCGCATGCAGCCACGATACCAGACTTTTTCGTTGAGTTCCCCGACGCCCATGCATGCACCTGTTTTTTTCTTTTTCTTTTTCACGCTGGCCCATCCCATTGGGATGACCCCTATTCTGCCCCGGGTCGTAATTCCCGAGCTCCTGTGGCTCTGTGGCACGCCGCCGTCGTCCGAGACGAAAGCTGAGATGGATAGATGACCGTACCATCCGATTATGGCGCCGCCCTGAATGGTCAGCCGCACTTGGTGTAAATATCTTATGAGCGGCCGACTCCCACGTACCTGAAAATTTTCTGCTGTTCAACCCCCGTCTGACAGACACCACCATTCGTTAGCTTCCCACATTCGCTCATGAACACGCTCGCTTGAGAACTCTCTTCCAGGATGTATTCGCGCACCCAAGTGTTCCTCGCTCTCGCAGGTCAGCTGGCGATTGGCTTTGCCTTCGTGCTGCCTCCGTCGCTGAGCCACCGCGATGTCTCGCCCGACCTGACTTGCGGGAACACGGGGGCCGGGACAAAGGGTTACACATGTTCTGATAACCTGTGCTGCTCCCAGTACGGCTACTGCGGCAACAGTACGGATTACTGCGCCACTGGCTGTCAAGAACAATTCGGCCTGTGTAGCGGGTCCGGCGGCGACGGAAACGGATCTGGAGACGATGGTGACGGTGGGACTTCACCGGATTTAACGTGTGGGAATACGGGAGCCGGGGAGCATGGGTATATCTGCCCAACTGGCATGTGCTGCTCTCAGTAGTGAGTAATTCGGGACGAGCTTCTTCTTGGACTCCGTATTGACATCTATGCTCAGTGGGTACTGCGGTAACTCGACTGATTACTGTGAACTCGGGTGTCAATCTGCATTTGGAACGTGTTCGCCGGACGGTGGTGGGAACGGTGGAAGTTCCGGCGATGGGCGCTGCGGACCTGATTTCGACGATCAGGTGTGCGGTACGACGGAATGTTGTTCTATTTCCGGGTAAGCTCATCCCGTCCGTCGAAGATATTTGTTGCTCATGTATCGCTGGTAGATATTGCGGTACCACTTCTGATTACTGCAATGCTCCGGATTGTCTCTTCGAATACGGACCGGCTTGCGACGCAAATAAAACTCCCAGCGGCACTAACACCTCGACATTATCCCGGTCTCCCCTCGGAAGCGTGGCCGTCGGCGGCGTAGGTATCTACGACTGTCAGAATGACGGTGATGTAGCTCTGACTTTCGACGATGGGCCTGGCCAGTACACATCTGAGCTCTTGGATCTCCTGGCGCGGTATAGCGCTAAAGCGACGTTCTTTATCACCGGCATTAATAACGGCAAGGGTGAGATCGATAATACAAGTCTCCAATGGCCGTCCATAATTAAGTGAGTACTACCCACATTGCCAACCAGTGAACTTGACTCCTAACGTATTTTCTGCCCAGGCGCATGCACACCGACAACCACCAAATCGCATCTCACACGTGGTCGCACGCCGACCTAAGCGCCATCACGTCAGCCCGACGGCAGGACGAGATGATCAAGAACGAGATGGCGTTCCGCAACATCCTCGGCTTCATCCCGACGTACATGCGGCCGCCGTACAGTTCGTGTACGAAAGCCAGCGGGTGCGAGGACGACCTGGCCGCGCTGCGGTACCACGTCATATACTTCGACCTCGACACCGCGGACTACCTCAACGACTCGCCGGACTTGATCCAGAATTCCAAGGATAACTTTGACCAGTTTTTCGTGGGCCTGTCTCCCGACTCGGACGATGCCCTGGTCATTTCGCATGATATCCATGAGCAGACCGTGCATAACTTGACCGAGTACATGCTCAAGGGTATTCAGAGCCGAGGGTATAAGGCTGTAACCGTGGGCGAGTGTCTTGGGGATCCTGTCCAAAACTGGTATAGGGAACTTTAGTAGTAGGTGCTGACTTCCTAGGCCTTGTCTCTGGGGTTGTATGTTGTTTTGAAGCAGGGGCTGGGACTTTGGGCCTTGGATATGATTCTCTATAATATTAAAGTTAATTATATGTGTCAATATGTTTTAGTAGAGATACTTAGCCAGAACATCTCCGTAGCTGTTAATAGGAGGAACGTGATAAGAAGTCTTCCACCTTGATATAATAGAGATTTAGCTCATGTCGAAGAGGGGGGTATGCCGTAAAGTCGCCTTTTTCTTACTCTAATGTTTAGATAAGATAAATAAAGGCGGCGGTGAGTTGTTGAGTCTTGAGGGAATGGTCGATAGAATACTCTACTAGAGTATTCATTGACGATGCACTTCAAGGTTATGATCTGTAATTTTAAGCTTGTGTATTTAGGGTATTGCAAGATGTGAAAAGGGATATTGCAAGCGCCTGTGGGTTATTTAACTTTGGCTTAGGCTCGCAGTTTGTTTGCATACTCCTTACATGAGGGTTATAGATAGCACTGGCCTCCACCAATCATCATCGTTTCGGACTGTATTTCATTGTATCCAGGAGTAGCTAATAATTTAAATATACCTAAACATAGAGTTTACCAAAGCATTTTAGAAGCCTAGAAACTTGGAGAATATGTGTTCTTACGTGTCAAAGTATAATTTACATTTGACGTTGTCGATGTGCATAAAACACGTGCCCACGGCTCACCACATGAATTTAGGCTATATGATTAGGAGAAGAGAGGCTGGCCTATAGGAAGAAAATAAACACAGGCGGCACATCACGTTGCAATTCACACCTAAGCGTAACTTACCTGTCGAAAATACACAGTGTTGTAAAGATATCTAGCCAGTGATAGCCAGAGTTGTACGATGACTCGGTTAATATGGTACACTTCAATACAGAAGTCTCGCTCTTTTCGCTGAGACTGTAGGTTGTACATATAGACAGAGTGCATAGGACTCGCTCGAAGAGGGTCAATTCTATGACTCCTTGCCTTTCTTGTCTCTCCGCTTGCCCATGTTCCGTACCCGAGGAACCACAACCCATTTGTTGGGGTTGTTCTTTCTGCGTGTCTTGTAACCACCTTTCGACTAAGAGAATGAGTTAGTAATTGAGCATTAAATTCAGCTTCAAGGGATGAGGTGAGCCATACCGGTGTACCCCAAGGACTTGTCGGGTGTCGGTTACCCTTTGATTTACCACGACCACCTCCATGAGGGTGATCCACTAGAAGCCAATAATTAACATCATATCTAACATGAACTTGGATCGCGTATCCAACATACCTTTGTTCATTGCCACACCACGTACTGTTGGTCTGATGTTCAACCATCGACTTCTACCAGCCTTACCAAGCTGTCGGTAATGGTGGTGAGGGTTACTCGACACGCCTATAGTAGCACAGGCATCCTTGCTGACTCTCCGGACCTCGCCGCTCTGTAGTCTAACATTGACATATTTACCCGTCATGACCTTGACTCCGTCATCCCTTACCTCTTCTTCCTTACTCTCAACGACAGCAAAGGTCCCCGCACTTCGGCAGAAGACAGCACCTCCCTTTGGGTGAGAACCGACGTTGTATACCGGAGTTCCAACGGGGATAAGGTGTAATGGCAAGCAATTCCCACGATGTGCCGTCTTAGCAGCCAGAATACCCGGATCGATGACTCCACCCATACTTTCGAGAAGGTCCTGAGGGATACCAGACCGATAACTTTGTACTACGTCACCAGCCCTCATACCCTCGGCTGCTACGATGTACGTTTTCTGGCCGGTAGCTTCCTCGGTGAGTAGCGCAATATGTGCGCTACGGTTCGGATCGTACTCGATTCGTTCGACGAGGTGAGGACCGGCAAGCCAGCGGTGGAAATCCACCGTCCTTATCCTCCGCTTGTGGCCACCACCACGATGCCGGACTGTAATTTTGCCATTGTTGTTACGGCCACCCTTCCCCATACCCTTCTTTGGGAAGGTTAACGGAAGGAAGGGCCTACCTTTCCATAAGTGATCGTTGATAGGTCGCTTAAGATGTCGCACACCGGGTGTCCTAGGTTTGTATGTACGTAGGATTAATGTCGATTCCCTTTCAGACTTGAGTCCGGACGGAGCGTGCTGCCTCGCGGGTTTAGGGGGAGCCTCTTCATCTTTAGGAACCCTAGGTACATAGTCGACATCGGGGTTGGGGGGATGTGCAGCCTCGCGAATTGTCGCATAGCCTCGGAGGGGCAGACTTAAAGAGCATTGGCAATTAGCCAGCACCCTCCGGGCTGAGACGGACAATATCCGCGGCTGTAGCATTATATCATCTCACAGCTAGTGATGGCATATATGTCGACTAAGACACACTCGGCAGAGAAAAGCTAGGCCGGCCTTGGAGGTTGGGAACTAAAATTCGGAAATTGAAGCTATTCTGGAATTCAAATTCTTTTGAGGTCAAGGGTAGAGGCTTGGCATTATAGCTTAATTGAAGATTTCGTTGATCAGCCGAGTTTTTGCCAGTGTTGAGGCTGATGAGTTAGAGATTATGTAAGGTTGTAAGGTGAATGGGGCTGAAAATTTAGTTTAATGATTCAGGGCATGAAAATTATTAGATTCAGCCACATCTTACTGTGAGTTGTAAAGTACGGATGAAGTATGAACCCCTGCAAACACGGGATCACGTCAGTGGATTGGTCAAAAAGAAGTGAATCCTCCGGGCCGGCGAAGTTTGTCCAATGAAAATACCGTTGCCCCTCCGTTGCTTCTGTTGATTCAAGTGGGCTTGTGGGGTCAGTCACGTATCCAAGGAAAAACCGAAGCAGGTGCGGGTCCGCAACAACCGTCGTCTGGTGGCAGACCCGTTATTATGTACAGTCGTACCGTGTGGGATCCTTAGATCGCGTCTTGCAGTCTTGCAGTCTTGCAGTGATGGAGCTACCATAATTCTTTAACCAGTACCAACCTCTCTCCTTCAAGACTCTACTTAACCTACTCACTTTACTTACCATCTTCCATTCTCAAAACACGCAATTGAGAGGGCTACTCTGAACCATATTACCTCCCTTAAGTACCAATTTTAAATCTTCGTTCACTAGTTTCACTTCAAGAACAATAGATTCTCCAATATCCAACATAGTCTAATCGGAATTTGACTTTTGGTGGCTCGACCGAGATTGCTCGCGTGTACACCAGAGATTCTATTCTCACTTTATTACCGAAGTATCAAGAACTACCTAGTTAGGTATTAAGGCCCTAAGAAACAACAGCTTAAACAGGGGTATATCTGCCCTAGAAGCTGCCTTGAGAGAGCCCCCCCAAATTCGCGCTAGGGTACCGTGTATCTGCTACGTGCAATAAAATAGGTACGTGCAAACACATCCCTCACGTCAAAGTTACGGGTACCTCCACCACCACGCTTTTACTTTCGAAACCCACCCAAAAGCCAAACATTGGCCGCACTCTTCAAAAACATCACTGTTCCCTCTACTCATCAACAACATTCAATCATCCACTTTACAACCTTACATACCTTTTCACGAACCCAATTACCTCTTCTATTCCCATTCTATCCCTCATTACTCCACCACATTATTCTCCAATCACGCCGTCCACGAATGTTTCTTACTAGCATCGCGTCTTGTCTTTAAGGTTCACTGCCTGATTTTAACATTTGCACTATTCAGCGCTTGATCTTTAATTAAAGCTTGTTGACAGACACTCACCCTGACCCATTCAACAATCAATTCATGTATGAAATGTTTTTTTTCTCTTACTCTTATCGCAACTTATTAAGTTTTTGCTTGTTGTCCTGCCAATGCCTCGCAAATTACGCGTATATAAGGCGGTAGCTTCGCAGCATTCCCTACATATATACCCACCCTGCATATATGCACTGCACGTTCATTCAAGCTTTTGCTGACCTATTATTACAGACTTTCAATCTAACTGTGATTTCTAAATCAAGCAAATTCGTCCACTTACAAGATGCCTCCGGTAAGTCCTATTTTATTTCACCGACTTCTTCGCCGATCACAGCTCTTATCCAAACTTGGCGCTATATCGCGTTATTCGACATAATCTAACTTAACTTTTATAGGGACGCTCTGTCAGACAGCGAGTCGCTACCAATGAGAACGACGAAAATGCAACTGCAAATGCTACGCGTATGACGCGTGCAAAGGCCGCGGCTCTTGATCTCGATGTCACATCTCAGCCGGCCAAACAGGCCCTTCAGTCCAAGAAATCCGCAGTTAACGCGAATCCTACCGCTCAAAGAAAGCGCGCCGCCCTTGGTGATGTCAGCAACGTTGGAAAAGGGGAGGCCGCTGAAGGCAAGAAAACTGCTAGCAAAGTTGGTCTAGTCTCTAAGGCCGCACAACCTACGGGAATTCAGAAGACCACTGCCCGTGCCACTTCAACTCGATCTGCTTTGGCCGCCAAGGAGGCGAAAAAGCCCGAGGTGAAGCGAGCAGGATCCGGTTCCGGTGCCCTTGGTACGACCCACAAGAGAAAAGTCACGTCAACAACAATCAAGCAAGACGTCCTCTTAGAAGAGCCGGTTCGCAAGAAGGCCAACACAGTGAGCAACGAACCCGCGAAGCTCGAACGCTCGGAAACCAAGTCATCCAAGTCGGAAATCGCAGCCGAGAAGGCCGTTGAGAAAGAAGATGCTTCCTCCAAGGAGGAAGCTGGTTTTGTGCTCCCCGAAGGTGTTAAGGATTTGGAAGAAGAAGGTCTAGATGACCCTGTGATGGTGGCTGAATATGCCCATGAGATCTTCGAATACCTCAAGGACCTCGAATCCAAGTCGGTACCCAATCCTGATTACATAAGACACCAGGACGAGCTGGAGTGGAAGACGCGAAGTATTCTTGTCGACTGGATGATCGAAGTTCATACCCGATTTCATCTCCTTCCCGAGACTCTCTTCCTCGCTATTAACATTATCGATCGATTCTTGTCTCAGAAGGTTGTCCAACTAGACCGCGTTCAACTTGTCGGTATTACAGCCATGTTTATTGCAGCCAAGTACGAGGAGGTGTTGTCCCCTCATGTCAGCAACTATAGAATGGTATCCGATGACGGTTTCAGTGATGCCGAGATCCTTAGTGCAGAGCGGTTTATCTTAGAGACATTGAACTACGACTTAAGTTATCCGAACCCCATGAACTTTCTCCGACGAATCTCAAAGGCAGATGATTACGATATTCAATGTCGAACTATTGGAAAGTTCTTGATGGAGATCAGTGTCGTCGACTACCGATTCCTAGCATACCGACCTAGCCATGTTGCTGCTGGTGCCATGTATCTTGCTCGAATGATACTCGACCGTGGTGAATGGGTAAGTGTTTATGTTGTAGTAGCTTTATGTTTATGTCGTCTTCTAACTCCTATCAGGACCCCACCATCGCCTACTACGCCGGATACACGGAAGAAGAGATAGAACCCGTGTTTGAGCTTATGGTCGATTATCTGGCTCGTCCCATTTGCCACGAAGCCTTCTACAAGAAGTATGCTAGCAAGAAGTTTATGAAAGGTATGTCATTATGCACGGTCACGCTTATTTACTTTACTAACGGCCCATAGCTTCGTTGATTACGCGCCAATGGGCCAGGAAGAACGCGCCTATTTTTGGTATCACGGACACAAAATTATCTGTGGACGACCTTTCGTCGCTGGAGCCGGATTATTAATACATACCATTCAATTGCACTATGATATTCCTACGTTAAGAGCCTTACTGAGTGTCAGGATACTCAGAGTCTCGTTGGATGATGGCCTTACGATACCAGCTTGTATGACGTTCGGCCGATGATTCTCATAATCTTGATTGCGGATTTTACTCCTTGAGCTGATGGACGTTTTTGATCCGGGCGTCTAATTTCCATACCCACGACCAAATCGACTTCCAGATGCTGCCTGGAAGTCTTTTCATTATACCAGGCCCCCCGGTTATGGTAGCTTGCAGCTACGTTGACACATTCGTCTCTCATATTTCCCCTGTTGTGTGCTAGGCACACCACGTCACGGTAAAAAGTCTCGGGCGTCCAGAGCTGGTGGCGTTTTGCCTATTTACGAAATTTCCGGTCACTACCGCTTACTCAGCGGCTATCGTAATGCTCTGCTCGGGTTTCACGAGCTTGGTTCTGTCTCTATCAACAGAGTTTCGCCAGCTCAGCCTGCTACTCTTCTCCGAGAAGGTTTAGTAGACGGCCACCCGGAGCTGGCTGTCGATAGGTAGTTCGGAGGGAACTTCACAGGTTGTACATATTATACTGTTAAGCGGTTCGGATTAGACCAAGGGGCAAGGGCAGGGGGGGCTGGCAGTACGATTTGCGTTGCATTAATCAAGGTTTTTCATTAACGTTAAAACTAATTCTTGTTTTTCGTGAGACTGCTTGTGATGCTTTTGTCTATTCTCAAGTGAGAATTATTGATATGGTTAATAATGTTTACTGATGATACCTTTGTTGTGAATTTAGATGTTTCTTTAATTTCACTATGACCAATTGCAGGATTGGGGATCAGTAGGTTAGGCCGAACTTGTTGAAATCATTGTTCTACTTTATGTTAACTACGCATACTGCCTTTACTAATGAAATCAATGGGATTAATTAAAGGTGCTATCTACCTCTTAACTAACCTGTTTGGGTTTTCCGCTTCTTACCCCTAAATACTCTAGCCAGTAGTCCTTTAACACCCACGGGGCCCCATTCCTCGTCCCAGCGAGCGAGATATGCCCTACGCTCCTCAAGGGCCTTCTGTCGAGCAATTACTCGCGCTTCTGCCTCTCGGGTTACGGCGTTGCGTTCGCTTGTCATGCGCAGGAAACTACCCGTCGAGGGCGGTGCGCCGGTGCCGCCGGTAAGTAACCAGTAGGTTAGCGGAAGGGGTTTGTCCAGCTCCGAGTTCTGAGGTTGAGGAGTTGCGGGCGCGATGTCTGGAGAGACGGTTGGAGGTTGGAGGTTGTTGGGTGGGAGAATCTCGGATGTATTGCTTTTAGGGGGGTTGGCATTCTCTAGTTCTGGGTTACTAGGTTCGGGGTCTATGTTGGTAGTGTCGGTGTTGTCTTGGGCCTCAGTAGAGCCGTTGATATTGGTGTGGGGGCTGGGTATACCATTGTTGTTGGCGTTCGAGCTGATGTTGTCGCTGGCATTAGATTCAGCTGTCGTAGACATTGTGATGGTCTAGTATAAGTTAGCCATAATGTCTCGTGGCTACATGTGTCTTTTCGATTCAAGTGGGTTTATAGGTGAGCTTAGGGGATTAGACTTACCAGAACTGAAGATCCAACTGATAGTTATAAGGTTAGTTCACGCTTCACGATATAAGGGTATAGCATGAGAAGATCAGTACTGAGAAGAAGAAAAGGGGGAAGGGCAAGTCTTATGAGAAGACTCTTATATATGTCTTTAAGGAGCATATTTGGGATTCATGTACTACTATCCTATGACTACCATCTGAAAATAAGGATGATACTTTATTTTCATAATTACTCATCTTATAAGCTCTACGACATCAGATACCTTCAGGTTAAATCTATCTTATCTATATGATGCGATCGTATGTCTAACTAAAAATCCCAAATTCGGACTCTTTTCCCGCCTGATTTGATGCCAATGGTAGAAATACTATAACATGTGATGAACAGAAATATATGAACCGCTACACTCGTTACTACGTGTCACGAGTGTTAAGTTGGCAATTCAACAAACAAAGTCACATTCAGGGGTTGTCTATGTCACATGACCAAATGGTCTACAGCATATTAAGTCACCAAAGATTAAGACAGAGAGTTTTGTGTGTGATACCATGTACGTGATGCCGTAGGTAGTGGCATTTTCACGTACAGAGGGCATATATATTGATAGTGAAGGAAGTCTCGTCATTATCGCTTAGCCCTGTTGGCTGTACGTCCGTTGCCCATCTCCCCTAATGACGATATATTGACTTCTTACCACGACTACCAATTTTCCTTCCCAACAATAGTGTCCAACCGGATAGACGACAAGTCACTCATATCCACATGGCGTAGGTCTGCCAATAGTCGGTGTTGGGGGAGTCTGCGGTTCCTGTTTATCGTACTGGGTTTTCCGACAAGGAACTCCTAAAGCTGAATAGCTAAAGTATTACGCCTGTAATTAATTATATTAGTATATATGAATGATTTTGAACTTCAGTGGGGGGTTATCACTTACAGACTCGCGCAAGTAGCGCGCTATTATACAGATCTCAGACGAGACGCTCCAGTTTGGATTGTCTCCCAGTATATAGTGGGACGGTAACCGCTAATAACTGGTTTGAGGACAGTCGGTAATGCCCTCGTAGTCTGAGTCTGCTTCGGTGTACTTTGCTCGCTTTGAGGGCCGCCCTCTCGGGGTTGGACTTTTGCGAGAAAGCTCGAGTTCAGCCATGCCAGGGACTAGTTTGGTGTCCATCCAGTCCTCGTCACCGTTCTCCCTAATCGCTGCGTCGAGATCTTTGTCTTGATTCTCAACTGCGGTGGCGCCTCTCTTACGAGATTTTGGCGCCTGGTTGGGGGATTGAGGTATTGTAGGTGATTCGGTATTGGTGGCGTTGTTTTGACTAGGTGGACTGTCTGCCATTCGATGGAGCTCTGCAGCAAGGAACCGCCGGACAGGATCATGTTCGTGATACCGTATCCGCTTAGGGTTGTTGCCGTAGCCAACGAATGTACCCCCGGAGTAAGACTGCTGTGCCCGACCCTCCCGTCCGCTGGAGGAGCGAGATGGTGTGCCCCATGCCGAAAGGCGCCAGTCTGGTGGGTGTTCCGTCATGCGTACGGATTTGACGATATTCTCCTGGAACCAGGGATATTTGGAAGCCGATGAGCTCATCCTGTCTGATGTTGGAGAGTCAAAGGGCGATGGCCAGGTGGGCATCTGAGGCATTTGATAATGCTTTTCCAATATCTCATGGCCCGAGAGCGAAGTCAATTTGACGTCGTCTTCATCGTCGAGTCCGTAAGCAATCGCAGGAGTCAAGCCCCGTCGTGGAGTTGTGTGAGGCAGAGAGTGGAATCCATCAGATGAGTCAGGTGACGGCTCTGGCGGAGGTGTTCTAGGTACGGGAGACATGATGGTAAATGTCTGAGGTACTAGAGATTGAGAATGATGAATTGATATTAGATTGGTGTTTCTAGATATCAATTGAGAGAGTAGTCAGAGATGGATATGTTTTTGTAGAAGAGAAAGTTAAGAATAACTTCACAGGGGGGGATGTTAGATATTTATACACCACCAGGAGGAGAGGTACAAACAATATGGGACGTACCCGTAAGTATATACAACAGGTACGAACACAGTAAGGAGGTCGGGTATAGTTGCAAACCAGTTACAATCAACTTAAGTGGTCTGTTCACAGGAGAGACACGACGATGCATTGGTAATATACGCGGTGTGTACGTTAAAAAGGTACAAACATAATTGTAGGGTTGGCGACAAGTCAATATCAGGACATATCGTACCTAAGTACATAGGTATGTACCTTGGTATATATATAGTCCAAGTGAATTGTTACGAAAGACTATATGATGTTGGGACTATGTTGCCTGGTTGGTTGTTTGCCTGCGTATGGTTAGCACGGGTCTATACCGACGATGTATTCGTCTCTTCGATCGGTGCTTACTGGCTTTATATTAGGGAACGATCTATTAGGTACCTATCGAGATATAGGACATCCGAATATAATCCAACGCTCCCTTATTCCATCCAGTAGCCCTCTTGACATCCCCCTTGGTATTTTCCTAAGTACGTCCTACACAAGCCATCCCCGACAGTCTGCCATTATAGAGGCCGATTGTTTGTTTCCAAATTCGAAGGATCCAAATCGTACTTCTATGGAGGCTATGTGGGTAAAACAAGGACGCTCCTGTGGTCATTGGTATATACACAATAGAAACCAAGATCCAGATGTGTGACTTATCCTATTTAGCGCCGTGGCGCGGATGGACTCGAGGATATGCTTGTATGTGATGATCTTGTAGTTGACGAGCTTGTAGTCGACGAGCTTGTAGGGGGTGAACTTGTCTGTGACTAGGAGCTAGATGACTAGTATTACTAGTGGTTTGGGGGGTTGAAGGACGTCTTTTCGTACTTTTCTTTGGTGGTCCCTGATCCATTTCGCTGGGCCGTCCGCCATCTACTTGACCGTCGTAGCTATTTTCCGTACTTCCATATTGAGAAACGATTCGCTTCTTTGTATATATGTTTATACGTCTTTTCAAAGAGATTGTCTTACCCAAGACCTGGGAGCCCTGAGGGTTATTGCGCCTACGAGGAGCAATAGGAATAGAATCTCTAACTTTAAGATAGTGGAGTTTCTTTGCTAAGGATTTCCGGGCTGCGACCTTCTTTGTAATTTTCTTAGCTGTGTAGTCGGAGGTCGGGTTTAGACGAGATTGTTGTTCTTGACTGTGCCGAGGATAAGGTGATCCTGGTACTAAAGGATGAAGAGCTGGAAGAGGTAGCGCAACACTGGGTAGGTCGACAGGTCTTATCTTCTGCTGTTGTTTAAGACGCACCCAGCAAGTAGACTTGCTTCTAGAGTCAGAGGTGGGCAAGTAGAATGGGGATGGCTCTCTAAACTGGTTGTTGGAGCCAGGGGTCGGTAGCTTCTTGAAGTAGTGGTCGAACATGGCACGACTGGTGGGTGAAATTGACTCCAGATTTCCATTCTTGAATCTTCTACGCAAGGTGCTAAAAGAAAAAGCACGAAATTGGACTGTCTGAGTCGGCATGTCCAATGGGCTCCTGGGCCGGGGAGAAGGAGTTCGCGGTATGGGAGCCATGATGATGGATGATAGTAGTATATCAAACGTCAATAAAGTGGTAAGTTGGTATATGATTTGGTGTTTCCATTGTCGCGATAAAAAGAGCCGATTGAGATGGAAGATGTTTGTAGTGAAGATGGAAATAAGAAACTTAGGAAAACAACATTGCGAGGAGAGATGACAGATTTGTGCAATAGCCTAGAAGGTCCGTGCAAAAATTACAACCTAAGCAGAACAAACCAACGATTATACGGCAGGAAGGCGCAAAAAAAAGTCACAGCCCAAAAAAAAAACCCTTAGGTGGCAATATGCAAGCAAAGTATAAACGTAGAAAATAGATTAGGTGGTCTGTTCGCAAGGCACAGGCTCAATTGTAGCAGTGAGTATCAGACGTAAGTTACTAATATAAGGACATATCATACCTTTGACATTATTGGTCCAAGCTGAGAACCGAAGTGTGATTATACTATACGTGACATTGGTTATGGTTACGAAAAATTTGAGTAGAGTAATGACGAGGTTAGGTTTGTATTAAACATTACTGAGCTTTATTGGGTCTGTACTATGAGTCTAGGAGGCAAACAAATAAACTAGGTGCCTAAAGCATGTATAGGAGCAGTAATAGGGTTTTGCTAATATCAAAGCTATGCTCATGATTTTCCGGTTTTGCGTTTCTGATTTGCATAGTTGATGGGAGGTAGCAACGAGTCTTCCCCCTTTGCTAGATGTTCTATCTCACATTTGACCTATTGGGTCCCTCTCCTTCGTCATCATTGCAACCTGCCACCTCCTACTCGTTTTGTAATGTACTAATCTCGATCATGTTCTGCTAGGCAATGTGCAAAGTTGAAGTCTTCTGGTATTTGCAAAGGGGGATTGTTGTATACAATATAACTAAACTAGAGATTTTGACATCGTTAGCGAGTGGAGATGTAGCTCGAGTTTCATGACTTACCTTTTAGGCTTGTATACAAAGTGGTGATTAGTTGACAATCTACTAACAGTGGCTATGCTAACGGTCCTCGTAAAAGTTGCGTATTCTGAATCTTTGTTTGTTAGTTAATTATCGTGTATAGAATCTATTAAGCATACCTTTATTAGATCAGACGGTGTAATGAACATTAATGTCTTTGTGCTTTGCGTGGCTTCACCACATATTATCCCTTCGTGCTGGGGATATGCCAGGCAGAGTCTTTACCGTAGCGGGCAGCGTATAGCGGATGTACTCGCGGATGAGGGAGCTGTTGGGAGTCGGCAGCGATACTGGTGTCCATATCCGGGTCACACAGCTTCGTACGTTTCACAGGGTGTGTATCCTCCATCATATCCCCAGTTTGACATCCGGCATGGAAGTCATGATCGCTACTCTCCATGTCCATATCTGTAGCTGCGTTTCGCTTCTTGGGGCGGCCATATTTGCCAGCCTCAAGATAGTTGAGCTGAGTAACCGGATTTTCATCTAGCACGAGCCTGTACAGCTCCGCGGCGAGGAATCGCTTGCTCTTGTCAAAAGAAAACGGCTTGTTCGAGTTAGCTACTCCACAACTAGCAGGGCTAGGGTTTAGGAGAGACTCGGAGGGCAATGGGCACGGGGTGCCGAGTGAAGATAGACGATTAACAGGACGATCAATAGGAACGCAGTCAGATGTCCGTATCCAAAACTGCCTACGATAATGTTCCCTGGCTGATGTGCTCTGGAAGTTGAAAGTCGGCGAATCGAATGGCGACGGGTGTTGCAAAAGCTGAGCCTGACGATCAGCGGAAGGTAGTTCTAGTCCTGGCATATATTGCGTAATGATTGTTGGGGACTTTATAGAATGGCGCCGATGGTGATCGCATGATGAGCGTTGCGGCGTAGGAGAGGGAGTTCTCGGCGGGAAAGACATGAGTGCAAGAAGCCTTTGTGTGTAGAAATTAAGTGAAAGACAATTCTATGTTGGAGCTGATATACTAATAACGGAAGTTGAAGGAAGTTTTGTAGTAGGATGGATAGGAAGATAATTGTGAAGATGGCTGCGATTAAGAAGTTTGCAAGTTTGTAAAAGAGAGAGGTAGAGCTTTTTGGATTCGGCAACTGTACGACTCACGAAGAACGACCAAGAAAGATATTCACAACTTTAGAAAATACGGGGCTGAATAAGAATGAGTGAATAGTTGAAAAAAAGAATTTAGGTTTTGGAGTCAAGGCTACAGCGCGTGGGTTAGGTTAAGAAAAAGGATCGTGACCTATGGTGGGACTTGAGCCCTGAGGGGTGCTTAGTTGTTAAGACCTAACCTGCCTAAACTTACGGCGGGAAGGTGCTTGATAACATATAGCGACAACATCTAAGGGGTAATATATGCTGTAACACATCTCTGGCCTGCCTGTCGACTACCCCCTTTTTTGTGACCTTCCCCCACTTTGTTAGTGAATGAAGCCCCCCTATCTCCCCCCTATCTACCACTCGACCATCCACCAACCACGTTCATTGACGCAAAACCCTCGAGCTAGCTTCTCCCAGTGAATTAAATGGCCTCTCTGTCGACGAACCCAACCGGCGTACATAATCCAGCTGATTAGCACGGACACCAAGCTCGCCAATGCTAGCCACTTGTACTGCTCCGTACGGGGGAAAGCTATGGCTGCACCAGCGCCGAGGAGCTCGAATATGTTTACCACCGAGTTCTCTGTACCCGCGAAACTTGACCGTTGGTGTTCCGGGACAAGTATCTGCGTCAATTGCTGGGTAGTGAGGTCGAAGACCCATACGCCGAGTCGCGAGAACGCCAGAAATGAGAATAAGACGACGCTCCAGCCCGCATTGGGTGGAACCTTTTCGTTGATAAACCTCCGGATAACAGCAAATAGGTTTTCTGCTTCCTCTTGTTGTGCTGAGATTGCCCATAGAGCTAGAACAACCGGTACCTTTGCAGTTCGTAAGTATTCGTACGTGAGATACCAATATAATCGCATGGGACTAGGGACGTACGGTATTTATTATTTGCCAGCTTATACCCCAGAGCCCAAACCGCTGCAATCCTATCATGGTTTGGATATCTCGGTTTCCTTCGTCATCATCAGCAATCAAGCGAGCCCCTGACTCGTCGTCTTCGTCTATAGGGGAAGTAGAAGCGTGGTGATGCGTCTTTCCCATGTAATCGATACCTCGGGGGGTAATAACTGTACTGCTTATCTCAAATACAGAACCAATACCCCTGGCCAGCGTAATTATATTAAGCGAGTAACCTATATTGATTAGATAGGTGATGAAGGTAGCTCTCCAGGTCAGCATGTTAAAATGTAGAAGTGCTAATGCGACAGACGGAACCCAGACAGAGGTGCTGAAGTACATTTCGAAGCCATGAAAGTACTGTCGAGTCCTTGATATCCATGATCTTGACGTTCCTTGCGTTACCACCGCTGGCTGCGAGGTAGGTGTATGTACTACACGTGGTGCTTGTAGCAAGGGGCTGCTATTCCATACTCGCTTCGCAGAGAAGACTTCGATTGGGATGCTAATAAGACTAGTAAGTCCCGTGAATATAACACCTAACCGGATCGATCCGAGGATCGAGATAACGGCTGAAATCAAGATGGGCGAGATGAGTTTGCAGACAAGATCAATCCTCCTCATGACAGCATTTAAGTGAGTAAGGTCATAGGGGTTACCAGCAGGAGCAGCAACGGTGACGACCCAATCTCGCTCCATCGAGATAAGATTAGCAGACGCACTTAAACGCTCGATAATACCGAGCGTCACAGCGATGGCGAACCCTATACCCTTGAGGATAGCGTTTTCAGGTAATACAAAGGTTGCTTGGCGTCCTACCAAGTCCTCCTGACTCAATATCAAGACCCAGAAAAAGGAGCCGAGAATAACTGAGCCGCGATTACAAACGATAGTCGAGAGCAACGTGCGGAGTCTGCTAGGAGACTTCTGGACCCATTGCCCAACCGAGCTAGAGAACAGGATCATGGCAAAATATACTATGATCATGCTGCAAGCTTGTATTAGCAACAAGCTTAGAACAAGTTTTTAACATAGTCGGTGAGACTTACCGTAACGCAGCTGCTACAAGGGTATCAGGATATGCGGCTGCCGTAAAGAGAATCTATCGACGTGGTGAGCCGGTATGAACATAGTTCATCGAGCCGCTTCTTCTAGGAGACATACTGCCGCGAACTCATAACCACGAGCGTTCCAAGTCGAGAAAGCATGGCTAACATATAAATTCAAGGCTTGTGCTCGAGTGAGGCTAATCGGAGTGATACCGCTATTTCCGCCGTCATGAGAGCCATCGTCAGGTAGCTCGAAGCTACTTTCGCTCTCGGTATCGCTATCCATGTTATACTATTGTTATAATTCGACTCGAATACCTGATGGAAGCGGACCACAACTACGTAGTATACAGCTAATTATTATAATAAACCATGCTCAGTAAAATAATTGCTATAAGCTGTATTTTTTGGGTTACAATGAATTGGCCAATAAGTGAGTCAGGCCGAGAAGTTGTTGAATGATGTTATATCATTGGCGAATGCCATAATGTAGACATATGATGTTATTTCCTTAGCGGGGCTTTGACCGGGATTGCGGCCGGTCGCCGGAGCTTTCTTATTCATATATTTTTATTCATGTATTGTGTAATTGCCTATAGACACAATTAGTTGATGAACTTTGATAGGTAAAGTGGTAGTTATAAGTGACCAAAATAAAACTATTCTACTAATAAAAGGGGAAGCTTAATTTATTTAACTAGGACCTATTTGTTTGACTAACATCATAAAGCTCACACAAACGATTCAAACAAGCAAATTTAATTTGGTAAAAACCAGCCTGTTTGAGCAAGCTGTATCTTATTCATTTCCTCGTAAATATCTGGAAAATCTCTCTTCTAAAACTGTATCTCATAGAGCGGCAATTGCAAAACTCCGAATAAGCCCATTCCTGGGGAGCGCCATTAAACCCCATTCCTGACCGACCCCCGTGTGCTCCGCGATTGTGATATCTTCAAGTTCTGTGTGTCGTGTCCCGTAATCGTGGGGAAACGTCCTCAGTCAATAAGACCCGTCCCATCACATCGTGCATTGACCCAAGGTCATCCGCGAAACTCCTCCAGGGGTCCCCATTTTAATATATGATTAAGCGCATCTGGTCTGGCCATCAAGGTCTATAGTAAAGGTTTGTTTGGAAAAAAAGAAGCAAGCTTGAAAACTGTTTACTCCGTATGACGAAGGTAACTAATTTTAAGCTCATGTTTAGAAGTGTAAGGATCCCATTCGCTCTTCAACACCGCCCCAGTAGACGATGGGTCTGGGCTCGAGCATGTTTAACTCAGGCCCAGAGCTGCGCTTCTCTGCTTCCAGGTCGGCAATCGACGGTTGTCTGAATAATACAGCATTGATCGTGCTCACGGGTGATGAAGAGCTCGAGCTGTATGATTGATATGAGCTTGTTGAGGAAGTGGATGCCGTAGATGAGCGGCGGAAAGATGTGCGAATCCCGCTCGGGGTGAATCGAGATCGGATGGTCTGGAATCGCGAATGCATCTTGAAGGTGTTTTGTTCCAGTTTGATATGGGATTTGAATAGGTCGAAGTTGGCTCAGGTATTCCTTAAGGCTTGGCTTGGTGGTGATTAAAAGTGCGTAAAAAAGAGGCACAGCCTGTGAGTTTGGAAGAATGCGAAGTGAATGAAGGTTTCAAAGCTGGCTTTGGGTTAAAAAAGATAGGACGATCTATTCCGGAGAGATTCGTGAATAGAACAAACAAGTAATACTTGTTAGGTGAATGGGTCCTAGGTGAGGAGTGATGGAAGAAACAGACACTACAGAGGAGTCTGGAGGAAGAAGGAACACAGATGAGATACGGCCCGACGTAGTTTTAAGTAGTAGGAGCGCGGGAAGATCTACACCAAGTCTCCAGCCTTAAACTAAGGGTTCAAGGGTTGTGAGGTTGGATACGGGATGGTGCAAGATAGAGAGGAATGCGCATAGTAAGGAGGTCGATAAACATCTGATCCACTTTGGTCATGGGTTTGACGGAACAGGGAGATATGACAAGGACATCGCTTGTGATGTGACTTCGTTAAAGCATATACATCTCCTGCTCAGGGGTTTGAACATCAATGTCTAGTTTTATTAATGCGACAAGGACTTACGTATTTTTGTGGTTGTGGCTATACACTTGTATAATATAGGAGCAGCAATTTATGAGATCTCTTATGTAACAAACGATAGTACAACGCCTACGATCGATACTAGAGATGTAACGAATGGTAGGACACGACGAGATGCAGATACTGGCCTAGATCTGCGACCGAGCGAAAATAGTCTTTTTCTTTTCTCGCCTATTGTACGTACAGTACGCCCCTTGTAATAATGTTAGCTTACTGGACGTGCACGATACAAAACAAGGCTTCTAATTCTGGATAAACAAACGCCCTTTAAAGCATCTCAACTATTATACCAGGTTTTTATAGCATAAAATACCCTGAAACGACGTTTTCGAAAAGCTATAACAACCTCATAGGGCGACAATAGATATACGCTTTAGGATTTTAGCAAAGTAGCTCTAGGGGTCCGCTGAATAACATTATTACAAGGGGCGTACTGTAGTGTAAGTGGTGGTGAAACAGACGAGTATTCTTCGCTACCTATTCCATTCTAGGCTCGCTTCGTAAGATAACAATGTCGTTGTCTCGTAGCCCTGCCGGAAGCAATGGAATATTGCACCATCACCAGCCAGATTGTTTGAACTGGGCAGCTAGGCAAGGTAGATGTGGAGCGTGCGTTGCAGTCTTTGGGTTTCTTATGTCCGAAACGGGTAAAGACACCTCTTCTCAGGAGCGTATGATCGTCAGCTGGGATTAAGGGGGGTTTGCTGAAAATGGGTTGGTCAATGATTCAGGTTGTTTCATGACAGGCATGACATAGTCAATCTATCAGAGACATCAATTCATCATAGATGCAGAGAAATATGCATATCATGAACTAGCTTGACCGAGTAAATGGATTTCCTATAATGATGGTTGTGAGACAGAAAAGTTCTGGAATCCCGAAAGCGATAAAACTACAAGATTGGATTTAAAGGCTGAACTAAATAAATTATTATGGTGTAAAGTAAAATGATAGTTATACTTTAAGTAGGTATATTATTAAGTGATATGAACTAAGAGTCATACATAACTACTATGAGTATGGATGAGCTGCATCAGAATACGAAGGATGAGAGAATTAAGAATGATGTTCCAGTATTGAAGATGTTCCAGGTCGTTGAAATTGGCAGGGGAAAGACGCGATACGTGTATGCGGTTACACACGGACCTGCATCTGCGTCTGCATCTGCATGTGGCACAGTAGCACAGTGGAACATGGATTACTTAAGCTTATCACGCTTGGCATTTAAACAGCCAAAGAGATTTAATGCTGTGGCTTGACTTACAATCTCAGTCTCATAGTCTTACACTCATTATTAACATGTATAATATAAGGTCGCCATAAAATGTTTATAAGTCAACTATATAATTTCCATAATAAATTAGTTACCCGTTAATACTATTATCCAAGTTCGTATAACTAACTAGTATTGAAACATCTAGGTCAGCTAAGAAGACTCATAGCTCGGTTCTACCGGAGATTTGTTATCACCCGGGGTCCCAGGCATTGCCAATGAACCCTACCCTTGGCACCGCCGCACCATCGGTTCGGAGGCCATCGTTCAGGAACGCAAGTCTAGCCGGACGTAGACTCTCATCCCCACACTTACATGCCTTTGCAGTATGTAAGAGCCTGTCCATGTTCCAGATGCTGCCTTCGAAAGATAAACACTCCTTGGCGGAGATTCGGTAAAAAGATAAACTAGAAAACCTATCGCCTAAACAAGCCTTGCGTTCATGTCGGATGCTTTATTTCTCTAGTCTTTATTCTAGATCTTATAACTCTAACAAATACAAGTGTAGTCAAACACATATAATATGATAATGGTATCTCCACCTGTACAATGCACCCGGGATATTTGGGATCCAACCAACCGATGGACAAATACATATAGTGTAAAACAAGATCCGCCGATTCACGGCCTAGACGAATAATCCCGTCCAATATAAACCCCGCTAAAGTGCCTAGAACGCCTATTGACCTCATCCAAGTCATTCCCTGCTTCGTTTTGAGCCTCTTGATATGCTGCTTTAACCTATCCCGAATCTCGATGTATGAAGGTGCATCCCGAGATCTGCGGGGAAGCTTGACCCGCCGTTATCTCGTAGTGTAGTGAATGTTGTCATCGTATAAATGAGCCGTCTCACCGATCAGAACGCCGTACTGACCTACGTATTGTCGCGCTCCGCCTAATGCTTTCGACCCAAGCGGAATCGTCAAGTAACCCTCTGACTTGGGACGGGCTCACTGAACTACCCCGTCTGCTATTCTCGCCTGAATTTGTCCCAGGGTCCTGCAATTCAAAGCTTAAAGCAGACGCGTGGGAACGATGTCCTGGCATCGATGGGCTTGCTCGTGGTAAGCTCAAGGGATGCGTCTGCGAAGAGTCGTATGTTGATATATCGGTGCCCGAAGTCCAGCTCTTATGCTGCGGCCGGGATGCGTCGGATACGCTAAGGAAATCCGATGTACCGCTAGCGCCTGGAGCCGCCATTGTACTGCGTTGCGTCGCTGTCCGTTTACGATCGTCCTCATCGTCGACGAAGATATCTGGCACGTCTAATTGAGGAACCGCTGTCATTCGTGCAGATCTCTTCTTCTCCATGTGTTTCTTGAATTGGCGAGACCAGTAGCTAGCATATGGGTTAGTGAATCGGGACGATTGGCATCTTGGTAGAAAACTTACACTGTGTCGAAGAAACCGACGACAATTCTTCGACGAACTTCTTCCTCAACTCGTTGAAGGCGTGCACGCCGACGCAAGAATTCCTCGAGTCTGAGATATTGTCAGTTCTAAGCTACTCAAGTCCTAGTAGGGGTATTTGTTTGTTACCTTAAGCTCTTGCTGTCACTGATGATCTTATAGTGCGCCATTATCATGAGTACCGTCGTGAAAGATATCCCCTGGGCAGGATCCGCGGAAACCATCACCTCCTCGTAAAAGATGTTGTAACGGCGGCGCCTTTCTTGCACTTTCCGAACGTCGATCTTAGAGAGCCTCTCGTTCAACCTTTTGATATTCAGTCCACTGCTGACGTTGCTTGTAGTAGCGATCGACGAATGCCTCATATGTGTCTTGTCGTTCCGAACGTCCTCTAAGATCTGCTGGACTGAATCTTCTGAATCGTAGATCCGCATTTCGAAGATGCCAGAGAGCTCTCCTAATAACCTTGGAAATGCTTCCTTACTGATAAAGCCTGAACCAGCAGGGTCAACGCTGCGCCACGCCTCCTTAAACCTCCGTATCTCATCTCGATCAATATGTGCCATGCCGCTCGAACGCTGATAGACATAACTGAAACTCTCGTATATGAGCGAGATGAAAAGGTTGACAAAAATATACATGCTGACGAGGTTCCAGGCGATGAATAGACATCTGGCCCAATTAGTGCTACCGCAATCGCTATCGAGGAATTCGCCACTGTTTACGCAGAGCGGAGGCTCGATATTTGCATAGTCTTCCATAATCTGGTTCCAGCCTTCACCTACACTCATGCGGAAGAGTAGAAGAAGAGCGTTGGGGACCGTCCTAAAATTGATGTTGACGTCCTCATTTTCCCCAAAGCGAGTTAGACTGAAAGTTTGTGTCAATGCTATTGCAAATACCAAGAAGAATACTAGCCATGTAGCAAGTAGATTGAAGATGGTTGTGAGACTTGCTGCCGCTGTCTTAAAGAGCTGGTCGAGTGCGTCGTTTCTAGGGATGAGAAGAAGGACGATGCTGACGAGGAAGTATTTGTGAATCTGAGTAAAGGTTGGATTCTCATAGTTTGCGATTAGTAGAGCGGAGGTTACAAAAGCACCGAATACAGAGATCAGCGAGTAGACGTCCCAAGTGCTCCTCCTAAATCGCTTCCAGCCGAGGCCGACGACGCGGATCGCGATATTAGCGATATAGATCAGTGTAAAGAGTAGGAATATGACATCTCTTGTAATAGACCACTCCTCCGGTTCGGGATAATACTCCAACATCAACAAGATTAAGTGAAGGACTAATATCGCGGTAATCGCAGTATACCACTTGCCTCGCTTCTCGATTGCTCGCTTGTGACACCATTTTTTCCATTTCTTCTCGGAATCGTTGTAAGAGCTTCTTGACGGCGAGATCTGACGTAGAAGCTTTCGTAATTCGAGCCATGATCTCTGCTCGGCCGTTAGGAATGCGACGCCGGTTTGCTCAGTGTAATTTCGCATAAAGACGGAAATAAACAGAGTCAACACGAAGACTGTACCAAGAAGATTGAAAACCACGAAGAACAGCCCATAACCTTGCGCTGCCATTGGCTGTGGTTGAAGGTCACGACCGGTAATTGCTTGTGTAGCGAATGATACGTCAACCCAACCCTCTTGCGAGACAATCTGAAAGAGAATAAATAGCGAGGAGGCGAAGTCG